TTTATCCATGCACACTAGAAAACTTTAAGCTGTCCCTAAATTTTCTACAAATGTTCTGAAGTTGCATATTCAGCCTCCTTTTAACTTTGGTGCTTTAATCACCCACAGCTGCTGCTACTACAAAACTACTTGTACCTGTAATACTTTCATGAGATATTGCTTGCACTAAGATAAATGATGTCAAACTTCATATATTGTTTACAGATGCTAAAGTTTTACCCCTGCAACACAAAGTCAAGCATTTTCAATCATTTGAGACCCGTGACTTGTAGCTTTCAGGAATGAATAATGTAATTTTTATCTGACCTGAGAGACACATGACAGCCAGCAGGATCCTGTCCAGCATGGTGGTTTTCTGTGAACTCACATCACTTACACTGTCAGGCCAATCTACAGGACACCTCCTCTCTTTTATTGACAGGTCTGTTACTCTGTTTGCAGCCTCTTGATGCAAATACTGACATTTTTAAAATAGAGATAAATAAAGATTTATCTCTTTATTTATTATGAACAGACATCTTTCACTCAAGTCATGTTTAACATATCTCATGGAACCTGTTTTCAATTAGTTTGAAAATAAGGGGGGTATTGAGTCCACAATAAACTTGTTCATCAACTTGTGTGGAGACCTAATACCCAGGGGGCATGAAGCCAGTTTTTGGAAAAACAGACCCGGACTGTTGTAAAAGGTTGTCCACCAGAAATGATATCTAGGACCTTCACTGAGCACAACCTGGGTGGACAACCTGGTAAACTAGCTGCTGGAAAGCTACAGGGTGAGTTCAAACATGCAACCCCTAATCCAAAAAAGAGACACAATCAGATGACAGCTTTCTCTCTCTGATTAAATATCTCTGCGATCATTAATTCTAAAGAGACAGGGAGCACATCAATTGAAAGAAAACAAAATAAGCTTTCAGTTGATGTCTTGTTGATGCAAACGGCGATATGACATTGGTCTTTTCACAAAGATGAAATATTTGGAACCATTGCTGAACAATACAAACACATGTTGCTAAATGATGTGCCTTCTGGCAGTGAGATCATACACTTCTGTTGTGACGGGTACAGTGGATTCAGCCTTAAGTCAGCTGAACAGGAACAGAGATATGGCCCATCAAAATCAGCCAGAGTGTATGAAGTCAGTGAACAGTACACAGCTCCTGATCCAAAGGAGTTTTTTGCAGTGTCAGTTAACAAAGAAAACCTTCTGAGCTTCCTCTGTGAGAAGTGGTGTGAACAACTGGAGCCTGCTCTTGGCGCAACCCATCTCTATCTGGGTGGTGGATTCAAAGAAGAGATGAAGAGTGTGTTGCTCACAGAAGGTTTGGTTATGGATGTTCCTGCTCTGGAATCCACACAACAGGAGGCTGACACAAGGGTACTCCACACCCTCTACAGTTTCAAGAATGAAGGAGTTGACAGAGTTGTCATACATGCGAATGACACCGGCATCATTATCATGTGCCTATACTATGGTGCAACATACCTCAGCCAAATTTATTTTATATGCCAACATCATTGAGAGAAAGAGCCAGGCCACGGAGCATGATGCGTCATTTACGCACAGATGATTCTGATTTTAATGCCATTTTTGGAATTTATGATGTGATCTCTGCGCACAACCCACCTTTGTCACGTGAGGTTTAAATATGTGCAACTTTATGTGAGTGTCTCTATTTGTAGAAAAGGGTGTTTGTCTTACTAGTGGGTCCAAACTTACACACACCAAATCTATCTGTGCTCATATGAGAGAGTATTGAGGGGCTACCTTCTGTCGCCATCATGTGGCATTACTGTCTTCAGACATCTCTTGATCTCTTTGACTACTTCAAGAAAATAATAACACGCCTCGCCGGTGGCGGATTTAAAGGCGAGAAGAGGAGCTTATGTGATTGGTGAAAACAGGTCTCGTCTGTGTTAAATCCACTCCACGCCCTTTCTCCTCCCTCCCTACGACTTACGCTGCTGGGAGGAGCTGAGTTAGGGAGGGGGGATACTTACGCCGGGTTGCGCCGCTCACCTTCGGGCTCTATTTTCATGCCTTGTTGGCACGTCGCAGGTGAGGCATGAAAATAGAGCCCAAAGAGTTTGGTGAGAACCCTGATGACTCCATAACAGATGACCTCCTTAATCAGGCAAGAGACTTCACCATAGCTGTGTACACATCCAAAGCTGATCACATTGAGGGTTCAGATCTCAGCAAACTGAGAGCATACAAGTTCCTGAACAACAAATCAACGCTCTTAAAGCTACTACCACCAACAGAGAATGCATTTTTCCGGCATCTGAAAAGGGCTGCTCTGGCAACACTCATTGACAAGAGTGCACACATCGCCAAACCACAAATTCCCTCATTTACAGAATTTGGTTGGTCTCTCGATAAGGGAAATGTAGTTCCACTTCCATCTACACAGCCAGTCTGGCCCGTGTCAATGGACAAGACAATATCATGTGGATGTGTCAAAGGTTGCCAGAACAACTGTTCATGTGCAAAGAAGGCCGTCCCATGCTACATAGGGTGCCGTTGCCAAGGACTGGCAACCAAATGCAGCAGGATACGCACTGCCACATCTGAGAGTGGAGACAGCAGCAGTGACTCAGAATATGACTAAATGCCTAAAACTTTGTCAAAATAGCTACTAGGACAGTTTGCTGCTGGACAATGCCATTTTTTGTAAATCAAGTGTATTACATTACAATAGTTGTGTTTCTTCATTGTCAATGTGAGCTTTTTCATAAAAACAGACATTAATATGTAAAAAATAATAGCAGCATATTCATTTTGCATTAACAGCATAACCTTTCAAGCCTCGGAAGAGTTTAACTCTGTTTGGTTTGTCATACAACATAGAATACCTTCAATTCAAGGGTTTTGTAAAAAAAGTGGCGGCCATTTGCAATTGTTGTCTCCTGTAGCTTTCCAGTAGTTAGTTTACCAGGTTGTCCACCCAGGTTGTGATCAGTGAAGGTCCTAGATATCAATTCTGGTGGACAACCTTTTACAACGCTCTGGGTCTGTAAAACCTCCTTGCCCCCGGGGTATAAGTACTTTTTTTCAAAGTCGGTCCAGAAACGACAGCAGGAGCAGCCATGAGTTGCATCAGTTGTGAATACAGAGAGGCATGGCATTGAGTTCCAACCCCCTCTACTTCCATGACCTGTCCTGAAGGACCAGATACAGGACAATGAGTAAACTGTGTACGGTCAGGTAGAGTGGAGGAGGCATGTTGCAGAGAGCGACAGACAGCAACAGATATGAAAGAGACAGGCACTCTGGAATTTGCCGTGGAGAGTAGAGGCTACAGTGGCGACCATGGCACACCAGACTTGGATGAAGAGTGGGGGACATGACGATTAGTGAGTGGGGGAAAGTCCTGTTCATCCAGGATGAAAAACTTGTTTGTTAGTTGTGAAGGGGTTGAAATGTATGCAGCTAACTCCTGTCTGGTTCCAGAGGTCACTGGTTGCAATAGAAGAAATCTCCTGGCATGGGATTGTGGAATCAAGATTTTCCACAGCTGTGGTGGTGACAGCAGGGCCCATGATGATCAGCAAGTCCAGAATCTTTTTCTCATCCTTAAGCTGGTACAGGGTGGATATTCTCCCTTACAGTTCAGATATTTTCAGAGGTAGGTGGACACAGCTACAGCATCTGACTGAGAGTGAGTGGAGCCATACCCTCTGTGGTCTGCTTGTAGTTTGCACACTTGCAAACCTCAGCTTGGCTAGCTAACGGAAGTGAGTGTTCTATAATTCAGCACACTCACTGCTTAACCCAGTTAAAATGGTGAAATTCATCTACCCTTTGGGACATCAAAAAAAAAAAAAAAAAAACTAAAATGATGATGAAGCAATATCATTACTTAATACAACATCTGCTATTTAATAATTAGGGCCTTAAAATGTCACATTGTTATTATTATTATATTTATAGAAAACTTGAAAATGAAACAACACAATAAGTCAAGCTTAGGCAAAACCAGGATGACACACCTGACAGGTTCACACCACACTTGACTCCATTAAAGTCTGTGTGTACTTCTCAGGTTTCAGTGTGGGCTTTGGGATTGGGCCTCTCTCACTATCCTGAGACAAGGTTTATAAAGACAGTAACCTATTCGTGTCACAAGAGGGCTGTGTTAGACTTTGGAGACCTCTGAGTGGAAAGAAAATAGAAAGAGGCTTTATGTCCATGCAGAATGTGTGCTCCCCCTTAGCCCTTTGTATTTTCAATCAACTGAAGCTGGTTTAGTGTATTCTTTGGAAGACAAGAGAAGAGAGCATTGCAGTTCTCCGGCCTGTGAGTATGAAAGAGTGCATGAGTTTGTGTGTTGCTCAGACAGAGAATCAGTCTCACTTTAGAAATGTTTTAAATTCCCACTAAATGGCATTCAGTCTACATTCAGCCTCTACAACAACTCTGCCATTATCAGAGTTAATAAAAAAGAAAAAAGTAAACTTGAAGTCAAAAACTGATAGAAGTGGTTCAGACTGGTTCTGACTGGTGTGGACTGGAGCTGGGTCTGCTGCTGACACAGACACCCTGATTTAATGTTTGAGGCAGATGCTCATTTACACAAGACAGTTTTAGAGTGTCTTTTTGTTTTCAGCAGCACTTGGTTAAATGAATCTCATCTTTGCTGAATAAGGTTATCTTGGTATTGCAGCATCTCAGTAGAAAATAGTTCATCTTTTGAAGCACTGCCATTCTCATTAATATCACTTCTTGATCACACTCTAATCAGAGTGAAAAAAGGCAGACTTTTGAGGATGTGTGTACAGGACAGAAGGTGACCACATTTGTTTTTTGAGGTGGGCAGTGGGAAAGTGAGAAAGGTCTTCCTTTTGATTTAAAAAGAAGGTTGTTTATATCATACCTATCAGACAGAATCAGATTTGAACTTAAACTTCAGATCAAGTCGGAAGAACTATAGACTTAAGTCTCTTGGCTACATTTCTTTGGAGAACTTTGCTCCTTTTTGTGGAAAACTTTCCCTTCAGGGCCACACTCTCCACTTCAAAGTGACTCCGCTCAGTCCATTCTCCTCCAGCCAGTTCTGGAGCTGGAAACATAAATAGAGACGATTTATATTAAATCTTTGTTTGTTAAAAGCAGAATTCATTGAAATGGAAACTAGCTCAAAGAAATGAAAAAATGATGATCAAAAGAAGTATTTAATGGATAAACTTGTCTGTCATGCATGTGGAGGCTCACCTCTCTGAGGATGTCTGCTCTCACAGCAGGGTCATTCAGGTCCATAGAGGGGTCCTCTGTCTTTATCTCCTGTGTTACCACCCGTTTTGCCACTTAAAAACAGAGGAGAAGAACATGCCATGTAATAACTGTGAGATACCAAATTTAACCAAAGGACTGTTGAGTCACTTACCAGAGGAGTAGCACACAAATGGGTGTTTTTCTTCACAGGGCAATGCCCACCATTTTCCTGAATTCCACACAGCTGCAGCTCCACACACTAAACTTCTTGAGCCCAGTTGGTTTGATCCAAAATCCCAGAACTGGAACGAGGAATCACTCCCATCAGACCAGTGAATGTTTGGATCTCTGTACAAACCAATCCATGGGTAGTATTCATCTGGTATTACGCTCTGAAGTTTCTGGTTCTCAGTGCCGTTCCTCACAGTGGCCAGGTCTTTGTAGTTCTTCCTGCAGAACCTCTGAGCATCAAACCAATTCATTCTCTCACGGACAAAAACAAACTCTGGATCGTGTGGTGTATCTGCTATCGGAGTGAAATAAAGTAGGAAATGTTAAGCAGACAATAAACCTTGTAAACCTGTTAGTATCCGTTGATTGGGGTGTGTCTGGACCTCCTTTTAAATCTGGCTAGCCAACTCTAATGCTGTGTCAAAATCATAAACCAAGATGTATCCTATCAGAAGATCGACTTCTGTATAAAAAGAAGTATATTGTCAGTGTGCTATTCTGGGCCAGCCCCAGTGTTGTTGTTGTTTTTTTTTTTTTAACCTCTTACCTCTGTTACACATGACGGTCAGTTCCTCAAAGCAGAAATCATCCCACCATCTACCATCATCTGTAATAAGCACACAGAACTGGTTTCCTGAAGAAAAGTCAGGCTCGTTGTCCTTAATATTTTCCCAGTTCATGTATTTGGGCCCACTGGCTGTGAAGCCGTCCGACCATTCCCATTCAATATTAGTGTACAGACCGATCCAGACCAGAGAGTTGTAACCATGAGCTACAGCTGTGGCTAAGACTTGTTTGACTTCTTCAGCACTTTTAACAGTGACCAGGTCTGTGTAAGTCTCTCTGCAGAAGGTCTGAGCTTCAGTCCAGGCCTTGGGTTCAGCAACAAAGTGGTACTGATGGGCAAGACAGGAGGTGAATATCCATTCTGTTAGGGGAATACATATGACAGACAGCTGCAGGTTTTTATCATTTTGAAATTTTTCACCCGTTTTTCCACTTTGGTTCAGAAACAGAGAAGAAGAACATGCCATGTAATAACTGTGAGATACCAAATTTAAACTAAAGGACAGTTTAGTCACTTACCAGAGGAGTAGCACACAGATGGGAATGTCCATTCACATGGCAATGCCCACCATTCTCCTGAAATGCTCACAGATCCAGCTCCACACATCACACTCCTGTTGCCCAGTGAGGTTGAACCAGACCAGAACGTAAGCGCAGAGTCACTCCCATCAGACCAGTGAATGTTTGGCTCTCTGTACAAACCAATCCATGCCCAGTCTGAGTTTGGCCTTGTGTTGTGGAGCCTCTGGTTCTCAGTGCTGTTCCTCACAGTGGCCAGGTCTATGTAGTTCTCTCTGCAGAACCTCTGAGCACCAAACCAACTCATTTTCTCTTGGACAAAAACAAACTCTGGATCCTGTGGTGTACCTGCAGTTAGAGTTGAAAAATGAGGAAATGTTTTTAAAATTCAAAGTTTATTTTTTGATAAACCTCCTGTTAGGTGGCAGTATCTCTTGTAGTACCGATGCTGAAATTTTCAGGAGTTTGCGCGCTCTAAGGAACCTAGAAGCGATGCTGTCCAGGGGCTTTTTGCCCCTGGTAGGGTCTCCCAAGGCAGATTGGTCCTAGGAGAAGGGTCAGTAAGAACAGTTCAGAAGACCCTCATAAAAAAGAACAAAGGGAAACAGTGTACCCAGCCCGGAGGGACACCGGGGCCCCACCCTGGAGCCTGGGGCCTGCACCCACGCCAGCCAAAACGGGCCTCATGGACACCGCCCCAGTGGACCCACCACCTGCAGGTGGTGGGTCACTGGAAGGGTCCGGTGCTTGATGGATTGGGCAGCGGACCAAGGCGGGGGCCTTGGCGGTCTAATCCTCGGTTATGGAAACTGGTTCTTGAAACATGAAATGTCACCTCACTGGTGGCGAAGGAGCTGGAGATTGTGGGTGAGGTTGAGCGCTACCGATTAGATATATTCGGTCTCACCTCTAAACATAGCATTGGTTCTGGAACCCAAGTTCTTGAGAGGGGTTGGACACTCTTCCACACTGGAGTTGCCCAGGGTGAAAGGCGGAGAGCGGGGGTGGGATTTTTGCTTGCCCCAAGGCTCACCGCCGGGATGCTGGGGTTTTCTTGGCTGGTTGCTTCCCTGTGCCTCCAGGTCGGGGAACGGGTCCTGACTGTTGTCTGTGCATATGCACTGAATAACAGTTCAGAATACCCACCCTTTTTGGAGACCCTAGGATGGATGCTGGACAGCGCCCCGGCTGGGGACTCCATTGTTCTGCTTGGAGACTTCGGCGCTCACGTGGGCAATGACAGCAAGACCTGGAGAGGCGTGATTGGGAGGAACAGCCTGCCCGATTTGAACTCGAGTGGTGTTCAGTTGTTGGATTTCTGTGCATGTCGCAGTTTGACCACAACTAACACCATGTTCGAACAAAAGGTTGTTCTGGTGCTCCTGGCACCATAACAGCCGTGGCCGTAGGTCAGTGATTGACTTTGTAGTCATATCATCTGACCTGCATCCACATGTTTTGGACACAGGTGAAGAGAGGTGCAAAGCTGTCAACTGATCACTACCTGGTGGTGAGTTGGGTCAGGTGGAAAGGGAAGCCACCTCGCAGACCTGGCAGGCCCAAACGTATAGTGAGGGTCTGTTGGAAATGCTTGGTGGAAAATCGCGTCCAGCTGGCTTTCAACTTCCACCTCCAACAGAGCTTCAACTGCGTCCCAAGGGCAGAGGGGGACATTGAGTCCGAATGGGCTTTGTTCCACTCTACCATTGTCGAAGTAGCTGTTGCAAGCTGTGGCCACAAGGTCACTGGTGCCGGTCGTGGCATTAATCCCCAAACTCGGTGGTGGACACCAGAGGTGAGGGGAGCTATCAGGCTGAAGAAGGATGCCTACAGGTCATGGTTGGCTAGTTGAACGGTATTGGTAGGCTGAACCGTCTGCAGCCAGGGCAGTTGCAGAGGCAAACATTCGGGCATGGGAGGAGTTTGGTGAGGCCATGGAGGAAGACCTTTGGTCGGCTCCAAAAAGGTTCTGGCAAACTGTCCGGCGTCTCAGGGGCAGCAGACAGCAACTTGCCTACACCGTTCTGGATGGGGGCGGGGAGCTGCTGACATCACCTGGGGCAATTCTTCGGCAGTGGAAGGAATACTTTGAGGAGCTCCTTAATCCTACCATCATGCATTCCCAAGGGGAAACAGAGTTGGAGGACCTGGAAGTGGACCGTCCAATCACTGGGATAGAAGTCGCCAGGGTAGGAAAACAACTTCATGGTGGCAGAGCTCCAGGAGCAGATGAGATCCAACCAGGGTATCTGAAGGCTCTGGAGGTAATGGGGCTGTCCTGGCTGACACGTCTCTACAATATTGCATGGAAATCGGGGGCAGTGCCATTGGAGTGGCAGACCGGGGTGGTGGTCCCTATCTTTAAGAAGGGGGACCAGAGGATGTGTTCCAATTACAGGGGGATCACACCCCTCAGCCTACCCAGGAAAGCTTACGCCAGGGTGCTGGAAAAGAGGGTCTGATTGATAGTTGAAACTTGGATTGAGGAGAAACAATGTGGTTTTCATCCCGGTCACGGACCTACGGATCAACTCTTCACCCTTGCTTGGGTTCTGGAGGGGAGATGGGAGTTTGCCCAACCAGTCCACATGTGTTTTGTGGACTTAGAAAAGGCCTACGACTGTGTCCCTAGGGGAATCTTGAGGAGGGATCTCTGGGAGTATGGGGTGGAGGGCTCCTTATTAAGGGCCGTCCAATCCCTTAACCAAAGGAGCACGAGCTTGGTCCGTGTAAGCTGCTGTAAATCGGACTCATTTTCAGTGAGAGTTGGACTCCGCCAGGGCTGACCTTTTTCACCAGTTCTGTTCATAACCTTTATGGACAGAATTCCTAGGTGCAGCCAAGGGATGGGGGGTGTCCAGTTCGGCAGGCAGAGGATCACGTTGCTGCTTTTTGTGAATGATGTAGTCCCTCTACCTTCGTCGAGCAGTGACCTTCAGCTCTTGCTGAGGCGGTTCACAGCCGAGTGTGAAATGGTTGGGATGCGAATCAGCACCTCCAAGTCCGAGGCCATGGTCCTTAGTTGGAAAAAGGTATTTGCCTTCTCCAGGTCGGAGGGGTGGTCCTGCCTCAAGTTGAGGAGTTCAAGTATCTCGTTCATGAGTGAGGGTAGGATGGAACGGGAGATCGACAGGCAGATTGGAGCAGCGTCAGCAGTGATGCAGACGCATGGTGAAGAAAGAGCTGAGCCGTAAGGCAAGACTCTTGATTTACCGGTTGATCTATGTGCCAACCCACACCTATGGCCATGAACTTTGGGTAATGACCGAAAGCACAAGATCGTGGATACAAGCGGCCGAAATGGGTTTCCTTTGCAGGGTGGCCGGGCTCAGACTTAGAGTTAGGGTAAGGAGCTCAGACACTCAGGGGGCACTTAGAGTAGAACCGCTGCTCCTCCACATCGAGAGGAGTCAGCTGAGGTGGCTCGGGCATCTGGTTAGGATGCCTTCTGGATGTCTCCCGTTAGAGGTGTTCCAGACATGTTGCACCAGGAGGAGACCTTGTGGCCGGCTCAGGACCAGGTGGAGGGATTTTATCTCTCGCCTGGCCTGGGAGCGCCTGGGAGTCCCCCTGGAAGAGCTGGTGGAAGTGGCTGGGCAGAGGGCCATCTTCCCTTCTTCCTCCTGGAGTAGCTTCCCCAGCGACCCGTACCCACACGAAGCGGAAGAAAACGACGAGGACAATAAGATATAACATTGAAATACTAAGAAAACCCATCACTCCAGGCAAGTTGTGATCTAACATACACAACTATCTTAGCTGGATACACAGTTTTCTCTGAATATAAAATGTATTCACAAAATAGAAAAATGCAGTGAGCTCTTCTACAAATATATCAGTACCTGACATATTTTATATGAAACACTGGCCAGTAAGAGTAAGTCTTATCTTCTGATGTCATTAAAGGGGATGGTTATGTAACTTGGCAGTGCCTTCTTAAACAAGTATGACTGCAGTGTCTACAGACACGATTTGTTCATGGTTTCAATTGGACTGATGAGTCCAGATCTCAGCTGATACTGATTATTTCAAATTGCCATTGATCAGCCTCATTAATCCTCCTGATCAATCAGTCTACCCCTGCTTTACTTAGATTTTTTATCTTTATTAAATTGTAACTGTTTTTATGAACCGTTCCCTGACAGTAACAGTATTACTGTGAAAAATCGGCTTACTTATTTCTATCTGTATGTTGCCATTTTATCTCACATATTTTTATTTTATTTGCGTTATTATCCTACAGTCCTTAATTTAGCCCTGAAACACAAAAGACAATGACAGAGTCATGTTATGTGTAAACCTACTTGAAAATAAACTTAATTCAGATTTTTAGTGAATTAAAAAAAGTCTCGACACACCCTTATATTGAACCCTGGTCATACCTCTGTAACAGATGAAGGACAGCTTTTTCAGGCAATAATAATCCCACCATTTTCCATCATCTTCAATTTCCACACAGTACTGGACACCTCCACCAAAGTCTGGCTCGTTGTCCTTAATATTTTCCCAGTTCATGTAGTCACCCCCACTTGCTGTATAGCCGTCTGACCATTTCCATTCAATCTTTATGTACACACCAATCCAGAACGCTTCGTTGTTACCATGAGCTACAGCTGTGGCTAAGACTTGTTTGACTTCTTCAGCGCTTTTAACAGTGACCAGGTCTGTGTAAGTCTCTCTACAGAAGGTCTGAGCTTCAGTCCAGGCCTTGGGTTCAGCAACAGAGTGGAACTGGTGGGGAAGGCAGGAGAGGAAGCGCCATCCTGTGAGGAGAACACATATGACAAACAGCTGACATGTTTTATAATTGCAACATCACAAAGTTGTCATGTTTTCTGCAGTCTGTCAGTGTTGGTAGATCATCCCAATTTGTTTCTGGTTCAATCAGAATCTGCTGATATACACAACATGCCCCTAAATGACTGCCCCCTCTTAACTGAAACAACTAAACAGATCTCTTCCCATGAGCCAGAGACAATACTTGTCAACTCTTCCATTCATGCTGATATTAACCCCATCTCCCACAATACTCTGATAGAGTATTTTCTCCTGCTAATCTCCCAATTTCACAGTGAAAGGAAACATATAAGATTATAGGGGATATTTGTCGCAGTATCTGGCTACCCCCACTTCTCTGCCAATATGAGGCAAGCCGGTGACATGACTCAGTCACAAGCTGGAGAGAGTAATGAGCCAAGTTGAGTTGATTCTGCCAGAAATTAAGAAGAAGAAGTCACTTGCTGGTAGTTTCTGTCTTACGCTCAGTCCAGTGTTTGGGCAGAGATGGATAGTGAAAAAATTCCTGTGCATTTTCCAAGACTGGTTAACAGGCCATAGCCTGGCCTTGTTGATGTAATCTGTATTTATAGTCTCAGGTTTAGTGGAGCAGATAAGTGACATAATCGTTAAGTTCGTGATACAAGCATGAAAATTGGCATGAGCATTCTTCATGGGTCACTTTACAAGAAAAGTGTCCCAACCATTTGAAATTTCAATATGGCTGCCATTTTTCAAGATGGCCGCCACCTAGGTGGAACAATTAGGTTTTGTCCTTGTTAAGTTGGTGATATCAGCATGAAAATAGATATGAACAGTCTTCATGAGTCACTCAATAAGAAAATGCCCCAAGTTGCTTGAAATTTCAAGATGGCCTCCATCTTGAAATTTTAAATGGCTGGGACACTTATCTAGTAAAGTTACCCATGGAGAATGTTCATGCCCAATGTCATGCTTGTATCACCAACTGAGCGATTCTGGCTCAAATTTGTACTTCGCCACTGCACTAGTTGTATTGATGCTTATTTGAATACGTTTTCTTGTTTAATTATGTGTCTCATTAGCAGCGGAATCTAAGGAATTTAAAGTTCATGTTCAGTAGCTGTTTCCAAGAAGAAAAGAGGCTTAATCCTTTAACCAGTGGCACAATTACTGGCACACACTTTTTAATTTGATGTGCAATAAATACTGCAAACAAAACACTGCTATGTAACCTCCCTATTATTTATCCTCTCCTCAACAATTAAAACTGCTCATTTTTTCATTGTCCTTAATGGTAAATGGAACAATTTATTGATTATCAAAGACACATTTTCAGAACAATGTTCCCTTCATCGAGCTTAAAATAGCGGGTTGAAAAGGCAAGAAATCACAACAATTTATCGTAAGTGTCAATGGCATGTAGTGATGGGCACCGCAGTTCTTTTAGATGTACTAAATCACTAGAATTAGTTCACTAAAAAGATTCGTTCAAAAGATTCGTTGACCAAATCATCAAATCATTTAGCGGGAGAAGCCTGCGACTCTGACCTCCTGAACTGATACACAGCTAAACGTTTCAGAATTCAGTTCAATTCATAGCTTCTGGGGCCAGGAGACGAGAGTGTTTGGCTGTGTTGCTTCGTCAAACAGGTTTGTAAAAATAAACTTGTTTATAAGTCATGATGTTCTAAGTGTACTGTCCTATGGTATGCTATTTACCAGGTCTGTTTGGTAAATTGGTGTCAGTAAGTGACTCGTTCACTGAACATTTAGAAAAATTTATACTGAAGATGCACCGTTCCCTCCCAAACTGCTGCAACGATAGGATGCTGCAGGTTTAATGCACTATTTGTTGAATGCTGTGACCTATTGTATGCAAGTTGTTGTGGTTGCAATTTAGCAGTAAAAAATTGTAATTTTGTCCAAGAAAAATGTTTCCAGAGAGTGTAGTTCAATGCATGATTCATTCATCAAGTGATTCAGACGTCAGCGCATGTGGTCCCTTCTTCGCTGGCTGCAGGCTTGGCAATGTTGTTTCTACTTTCAGCTCAACTGAAGTGAAAAATGAACAAATCACTAGAGGAAGTGATTAGGTTCAGTATTCCTTTAAAAGATTCTGTTCTTTTGAACGAATCATTCACGAACAACACAATACGAATGGCATGGGTAGTTTACATATCCATAGGGGCTACATTTATGCTGAACAATATTTACAGGTTTAGGAGAAACCTGTACTGAATGAATAAAACAGAACAAAGGGGGCCTGAACTGTTTAGCAGGTTCCCAGTTTTTAACAGTGTTGTTGGGGAACAGATAAATCAACAGAAAGGTAAAGATGTGCCTGTCCTAATTTTTGTGAAACATGTCATCAAAATAATTTCAATCATCTTTTTTTTTTAGGAGAATCAGAGTCATCTGCTGCAATAGTTTTACTGACCTGAGAGACACAAGAGACCCAGAAAGATCCTCTCCATCCTGGTGGTGCTCTGTCGACTGTCAGTGTGTTGAACTTAAAGAAACATTTAATGAGGATGAAAATGACAAGGAGTGACAGGCAAATCAAGTGAAATTCAATACCAGCTTCTTGTCTTTATACCTGACCCAATTTACCCCCTAATTACCTTCTTAATGATACAAGTTTTTTGATTCAAGATGCCATAAAAATGTTGATGAAGGCAGTAAGAGACCAAACTAATACTGGTATGACCGTTAATCATGGAACTTACTTTTATTGACTGGGTGTTCAAAGCTTGCATCTCAATAATTGTGAGTCATATTTCTGTTGATTGTGACCGGTGAAGCAGAGTCATCTCTGCCATTCATGGGTGAGACTTATTGGTAACCAGGGTGTTGCATTTTTACTATTATTGACAAGCCTCCATACAGCTCCTCTCTCTATGCTGCAGGACAGAAAGATTCAGAAGATATTTTATACCCACAGCCATCAGACTTTATAACTCTTGTGTAAATAGTAGATGACTTTTAGAGACATGTTATGTAAGACAACAGACAACTGAATTTCCTTCGGGAATTAATAAAGTTTTTCTTATTCTTAACTAGCCCGGCGTTGCCTCCCTGTCAATCAAATCAATCAAATTTTATTTATACAGCGCCAATTCACAGCAGCCATTATCCCATAATGCTTTCCAAAATAAAAAAGAGCAGGTCTAGACCACGCTCATTGCTCATGAGTTAACTGTCTTGGTAAAGGTGTGTTCACCTTCCGTCATCCAGTGCTCCCATGCCGCTCACAATTTTCCTTTGCACGCCCTGTTGACACAAATATCTAGTGGTTGGAGTTCTTTGGTTAATTCTCCCGGAATGACTGCAAGCTCCGAATTAGTTTCCTTCACTTATGTTTTGACAGTGTCAGTGAAATGGATGCACATGGAGTCGTAAATCAAAAGGAACAGTGATAGTTTCTGGCCATTAGTCTGGCAACCGAGAACTACAGTGAAGGTGCCCTCTCGTTCCTTGTGGTGCGTATAGATACTGTACTGGTCCCTGTTTTTTGACAGTATGGTTCACGGGGAAGTCAGGGGGACCTCATCCATATTTGTGATGTGGTCTGGCTGTATTTTCTCTTCAGTGATTTTGTTCTGGCAATAAGTGTGGAAGATGGCCAGTGTTTTTTTGTAATCCTTTAGCAGTTATTGCAAGACGGTAGTTCTCGTGCAGATGGAGAGATGGTGCTGTTTCATAAAACGGAAGATCCAGGAAGGACCTCCACGAAAGTCATTGATCTTCATATCCTGTACTATTGCTGTTGCCTTGAGTTGAATGGAAACTGCAGAGACACTTTTCCTTGCTGTTCTCTGTTCAATAACCTACTGTTCAATTTTGTCCTCTAACTCGGGCCATCTCGCTTTGTTCCCGCAGAAGCTCTGTTTGGTCTTCTTTACTTGGCGCAACTCATCTTCTTGCTTGCTCCACTTCCGTAACATTGATTCATTGATGTTGAATTCTTTCACAGCTGCTCTATTCCCATGTTCTGCTGCATAGCTGATAGCTTGGAGTTTAAAACCCGCTTTGTATGCATCCCTCTTCACAGGTGCCATTTTTGGGGTCCCTTTACGTACACACACAAATGTACTGTTATATAAAGTTGAAGCACAGAACATATTACGTATAAAAAGTGGCGGGGATAAGCATACTAAATACTGCTCTCTGATTGGTTAATTGTTGCTAGTGCGTACTCCGGGCCCGGGCTTCCTTACATGAATGCACTTCTAATTTAGACATTACAGTCAGGCAGTGTTGTAGACTGCTCAGGGGTCCTGTTACAGGACCGCTCAGGTAGTGACACAGCGTACCGTAATGCTCCAAATATCCATTGAGAGGAGCGGCTTTGTTGCTTACTGAAGCTGTACATACACATTTTAGCAGTTTTTTAAGCGCAGTGTACAAAATGAAATCAGTCAGTAAGCACAACAAGTAATCATACATAAGGCATACAGTAAATTCTACTGTTACCGTAGTACCACAAAGCAACACCAGTGACAATAGCTGTCTATTTGATAAAGTCAGTCATGTATTGACCCTAGCTTTCCATCTGTCCCAACGTACCCCAGGCTGTGAGGGACATAAGAAGCCATGTGGTAGTCTTTGGAACTTTTTAACAGAAGATACTTATATAGGCATGATTTCATGTCTCTTCACTAAATGCTTTGACATCTCTGATTAAAGCACAGGTACCATGTGTTTATCTTCAACACAAATTCTACCAGCCAAGCAGCTAGATTTTTAGTCCATTCAAATTCATTCAAAGCAACACCACCAATGGAAAAGCCAACTCTACCTTCAAGTTTACTTTATACTGAGGTGAGAAATGCAAATTCACAAATAAACAGTTTGCACATTTACTGCACACTTAAAGGAGGGGTATCAGGCATTTTTTTCTGCAGACTGTATTTCCTTTCTGATACCACTTTGATAGCTTTACATGATTTTCGGATCAAAAAAGCCTTACATTTCTCACAATAGTGTATTAAAATATCATTATTTCAGCCTCCGTCTGGAACACTGTTTTATCTGCTGTCTCTTTCTTTCTTTGCTTGCGCCCTCATTGCACCTGGGATCATTCCCGCTAACACTTGATTTTTTATCATTGTATGATTTTTCACAAGACCCTGTACGTCAACATCTTGTGCATCCACATTCACATTACTGACTTAACTTTTTTTTATCTCCATTGGATGTTGTGTATGAATGAAATGTGTTGTTTGAAGGTGAGACCTGCACAGACTACTTTCTGCCCTTATGAGATGAAAACACTGTTCCAGTTCTGCAGGTGCATTGTTGCTCAGGGGTTGGTGGGACATGTACTCCAATCAGTCTTCTGAGTCCATGTTGGGAATAGACTCCGTCACCTACAGTGGACATCCCTTGTAGGCTATGGGCCAGAGTGGTGCTGGGGGTGACCACATCCAGTCTATTATCAGCATACCTTTAAGAAAAAGTGGAAGGTATTCCTCATCAATTTTAAAAAATGTTTTTGAATTATACTTTTTTGGTATTAGAGTAAGATGATGAAGATGTATTTGGTGAAATGATTACCTTGATCATCAGTTGTCCATCCATACTCTTTTGGCTCTGGTATGTCCTTCCAGGCAGTGTCTCTACACTGCTGCCTGGTAGTTAGCATGTTGTACATGCAGCTGTAAACAGTCCCTATGAGGAGGAAGTACCCTGGAGTCCACTTCACCTTTTTTGTTGCAGAACATCACATAATGCAAATCATTAACATTGCATAGGCTTGACAATGGTGCATACATCCTGCAGACAAATAACTTCATATTGCTGTATAAATCCTCTTCGATATCCCAGGTTCAGAGAGTTTTTCTCGCCCTGCAAAAGCACTTACACAACCTATGAAAGCATGTAGGCCAACAAGAGCATCACCATGTCATCTCCAAGCAGCTGCGTAGGGTTGCTGATGCTGAGGTATCTAGTGCTAAATATGAGATGTGAGTGCTAAATTTCAGATACATGGAGAAGTTTATCTTCTTCAAGTATCTAAGGCAAAGGATCATAACATCTGTGGACTCACTTACAATAGCCTCCACGCAGACAGCAAAACAGGCCTGATAACCTTAATCGTAGACACAGAAGGAACCACTGAACCTATGGAACTTATGGATAAGCAGCTATATGCAACCTGTGGAGAGACATGCTATTGTCTGAGCAAAACTGACTGGAATGTGATTGAAGAGCTGAAATCTTCCAGTGAGAAGGCAGATACCAGGATGCTCTTACATGCAAATCATGACAGCCAGAAAGGCTTCCGATCCACAGTCCTTGTGAGCGAGGCTACAGACATTATGAACCTTTGCCTTGGATACTGTAAGAAGATAGACTGCCCCATGAGTGCCCCATGTAAATGTGGCACTCAGGATCAGACAAGATACCTCAGCATCAGCAACCCTGCTCAGCTGCTTGGAGATGACATTGGTGATGCTCTTGTCAGCCTACATGCTTTCACAGGTTGTGATTGTATAAGTGCTTTTGCAGGGCGAGAAATACTCTTAAAAAAAAAAAACATTTGTCTGCAGGATGTATGCACCATCGTCGAGCATATGTGATGTTAATGATTTGCGTTATGTGATGTTCTGCAACAAAAGGGGTGAAGTGGACTCCAGGATACTTCCTCCTTGTAGGGACTGTTTACAGCTGCATGTACAACATGCAAACTACCAGGCTTGTTTGTACCGTGACCTCAGGCCAGTCCATAACGGACTACAGCGAGGTGACTCAGCTCAAGGACAAACATTTATGATCACCCCACCCCACCCCCCAAAAAACTAGATAAATAAAAAATGTGGTAGAGCCAATCCTGATGTAAACCCTGTTGGTCCAGGGAGCGAGGGGCTAGCCGGATACAGTCCAGCAGATGGACATTCTTGTACAAGCTGTGGAGTTAGCATTATAATCCAGAGAGACCCCTCATATGCACATTTTATTTTACATTGTCTGCAGCACTGGAGAGCCCCCTTTTGGCTCTTTAGCTGCATAGTAGGCAGATTCCCTTCTTTCTTTTCTCTCTGCTTACCCCCTCCAGATCCATTTTTGGCAAAGCTACCTGCCCAAGCAGGAACCAAAGGGCTCTGGATGGCCTGCTGGCTTATCTTCACAGGGCCATGGTTATGCAGACCCTTCTAGCTAACACCACTGCTATTTTGTCCTTCTGCCTCCACCAGTTGACTTACAGTGGCAGGGGGGTTCTGGGTCCTCATTTTTGTTGGTGAGCATCAGCCGGCTACTCCTTGCCTCTTTTTTGTCCTGAAGGAGCAGCAGACTGTGCTCTGGTGTCTTTCTGGGTTGTACAAAACCATCTTTGTTGTCTCAAACCCAGCTCCAGCAATGTGAACTGGATTTTATGTTCTTGACGGACACCTGGATCCATGAAGGGGAACTTTTGCCTTTTTCGGAGCTCCTTCCTCCTGGATGTGGTTTTTTCAACTTTTCAGTGCAAGCAGTCTCCAGCTGTCAACTGCTCCAGCTTCGAGCTCCAACTCTTTGAGGTAAACCTCCCTGTGACTGTCCTCTGTGCGGTGGTCTACTGACACCGAAATTTAACAACACCTTTATACAGGACTTTGCAGACTTTGTGTCGGGTGTCACTCTTAAATATGACCACTTTTTAATTGTAGGAGATTTCAACTTGCATGTCTGCTGTGAAACCAGACCTCTGGTCAGAGACTTTCTCAATCTCATTGACTCTTACGCAATCTGTTTCAGAGAAGAAGCAATAAAAAGGGGCGCATTTTGGATCTTGTGCTGTCTTATGGATTGAATTTGCAGATAACTGATATCTGTCGCACAGCCTTTTTTCGACCATCTACCTGTTTTATTTTCCCCGTCACTGCCGGCAACCCCAACTACCGACTCTGCTCCTGTTCAGCGTCTCCGTGTTTTTAATCCTTCAACTACTCTGCAGTTCTCTGCTGCTTTTAAAGACTCCCTCTTGTACTCTCTGGTTGGTTTTGGTGATCGCAGTGTGGATGATTGTTTAAATCTGTTTGATTCTGTATGCACTGAGATTTCGGACTCCATAGCTCCCATGACTTTAAGACATGTAAAGCCACAGACTGAGCCTTGGCTTTAAATGAGTCCACTCGTGAGCTTAGACACGCATGCAGACAGGCGGAAAGGAAGTGGAAAAGGGACAAACTCCAAATTTACTGGGATGTCCTACATGACTTTCTCCTGAGCTATCAGCAGGCTGTGAAAAATGCAAAAACTGAGTATTTTTCCTCACTTGTCACTTCTAATGCTCAGAAACTGCAGGTTTTTTTAATGTATTTGACGCTTTAGTAAATCCCTGTGATGCTGTCTGTATTGAGCCTTCATCTTCTCTGTGTGAGGACTTTCTGCAGTTATTTGTCAATAAGATGTCTGCTCTTAGGTCCTCATCTGCCCAGTCTGTTCAGGACCCCTCTGTTCCTTCAGCTAGCTCAGCTGTATTTCAGCAGTTTGTGCCTGTTTCCCTCTGAACACTTAATGAAATAGTGCTAACTGTCCTGCTGATAGCATTCCTTCCCGTTTGTTCAAGGAGGTTTTTAATACAGTTCAGTCTTTTATTTTGCCTCTCGTTAATCGGTGTCTCAGCTCCGGAAGTGTGCCTTCCTCCTTCAAACATGCCACAGTGCAGCCTGTCTCGAAAAAGAAAAACTTGGATCCCTTGGTTTTGTCCAATTTTAGCCCAATATCCAAATTCCCTATTATTTCCAAGGTTTTAGAGAAAGTTGTTTTTAACCAACTCCAAGAATGTTTGTGAACTGTTTCAGTCTGGTTTTAAGTCTCTTCACAGCACTGAAACTGCTCTTTTAAAAGTTTTTAATGATCTTTTGTCGAACCTTGATTCTAGTAACTGTGCCATTTTAATCCTCCTTGACTTGACAGCGGCGTTAGACACGGTGGATCACTCAATCCTCCTATCACACCTTGAACGCTGTGTAGGCATCAAAGGCACTGCTTTGAGCTGGTTCAGATCATACCTCTCTGAGAGCTTTTTCTCTGTGCACATGGGCCAGTTTTCTTCCACAGTTGCCCCTCTGACATGCGGGGTCCCTTAAGGGTCAGTTCTGGGTCCCCTACTATTCTCCCTCTATATGCTACCCTTGGGGTCAATTTTTAGAAAGCATAGTGTTTCTTTTCACTGTTTTTGCTGATGATGTGCAGGTGCATTTGCCTGTTAAGGTCCCGACCAAAAACTCTCTGCAGGTCGTGCTTAACTGCGTGAATAATGTAAAGACATGGGTGGATCTTAATTTTTTAAAATTAAATGAGAACAAAACAGAGGTCATCCTGTCCGGTCGCCCTGACCTGATTCAGGTCCTTGCCAGCTCCCTTGGCTCACTGGCACCTTACATAGGGTTCCATGCCAGGAATCTTGGTTTTATTATTGATGGTGATTTTAAACTTGACAAACAGGACAGCGCAGTGGTCAAATCTAGCTTTTATCAGCTACGGCTTCTCCCTAAAGTTAAATCCTATTTAAACCAGAAGGACCTTAAAAAAGTTATCCATGCTTTTATCACATCTCGTTTAGATTACTGTAATTCCCTGTATGTAGGCATTGGCAAATCAGAGCTCAACTGCTTGAAGCTCATTCAAATGCTGCAGCTCGTCTCCTAACTGGGACCAAGAAACGGGAGCACATAACTCCAGTGCTTGCCTCTCTTCACTGGCTTCCTGTTAGGTACAGAATCGAATTTAAGATTCTTTCATTTGTTTTTAAGTCTCTGAATGGGCTGGCCCCGGAATATCTGTCTGAACTTGATAAACTGCGCCAGCCCTCCAGAGCCCTGAGGTCAGCTAATTAGGTGGCTTTAGACGTTCCTTGAACCTTTTTAAAATCTAGAGGAGATAGAGCATTTCCTGTCCTGGCTCTCACTTTGTGGAATGCTTTACCCCTGACAGTGCGCACTACTAACAGCCTTTCCACTTTTAAAACACTTCTGAAGATGCACCTGTTCACTTAAGCTTTTGGGGAAGTGTTTATCTATATTGTTGTTTTATGTTCTTATATGTTTTATGCGTTTATTGTTTTTATAGTTTTTTTTATTGTTTTTACCGTCTGGCTTTTTTTTACAGTAAAGCACTTTTGTTGGCCACTGGCTGTTTTTAAATGTGCTATATAAATAAAGCTGACGATGACATTGACATTGACATAACACATCTGTTTATGGATAAGCAATAGGGCGTGCTTTCAATGCTTGGCGGTAGAGAGATAGTCTCTTCAGTCAGAGAATCAAGAGTACAATGTAACCCTACGAAACACTCAACCTGCACTCTAGCACAGCAACAACTGTGTTATTAACAGAGTAAAAGAACTCGAAGACAAAGCCACAGAGTGATTATTTATTTTGAAGATTACATTTTATAAACACACTTTACATAGTGAAAAAATAAGGAATAACATTTTTTATGAAAGTCTGCTGGTATTTAATAGACTCAATAGGCAAGTGGCCTCAGATGAGCAGAGAGCCATTATTGCTGGGCTACAAGAAAATTAACCAAACCCCAAAACAAGATTATTTTAAAGAGAGAGATCACAAAAATAAACAGTTTTGTGTGCTGTCTGAAAAAAAATGTGTTCCTAAATGATACTAGTATGGTTTTATGTTGCTGTCTTTGACAGAGTATTTCCTTTCACTGAGTCTATGTAGTCAGCTATACTGTTGTAAGATAAGATAAGATATACTTTATTGTCCCAAAGGAAAATTCATTGTGGGCAAAAGTGCAGGTAGACTGTATCATCATACAAGAAAAGACCATGTCACAGAACAACACATGGTAATACACAACAACCACAATACAACAACATCAAAGTACAAGCACATGACAATGACAGAGCACCAATCGTGCTTTGTCTGTCTGAATTTTTCGGCCTTGCTGGTGTTTGAGGTTTTTAAAAAAGGTTATTCATGAAGAGAGTCCTCTGGAACTTGGACTACAGGTTTTATGTTTTGATTATCACAACTGTGAGCCGCACTTGTTCAGTAGTCTCATCACAGAAGGGGCAGTTTTAACTATGTAAAGCAGTTGACCTGAAACTCATCATGTTGATTCTTCTTTAATCTCTTAATGCAAACAAAGGAGGGAGAATGCAAAGAAAATGCAAAAGGAAAAACACGTTATCACCTGCCTGTAAGTTATAAAGCATGTATTATATACAGCTAACTATAGACCAATATCCAACCTTCCCTTTATTTCTAAAGTCCTAGAGAAAGTTGTTGCGAATCAGCTTTGTGATTTTCTTTATAACTACAGTTTTTTGGAGGATTTCCAGTCTGGATTTAGAACCCATCACAGCACGGAGACTGCTCTGCTGAAGGTGACAAATGACCTACTCATGGCTTTAGACCGTGGTCTTCTCTCTGTTCTTGTCCTGTTGGATCTTAGTGCTGCGTTTGACACGATCGACCACCGCATCCTGCTTCAGAGACTAGAACAATCTATCGGCATCGCAGGATGTGCTCTTTCCTGGTTTAAATCTAATCTAACGGATCGATCCAAGTTTGTCCATGTTAATAATGAATCCTCTGCGCACACCAAGGTCTGCTATGGAGTCCCCGCAAGGGTCAGTGCTTGGACCGACCCTCTTTACCTTGTACATGCTTCCTCTGGGTAAACTGTTATGCAGATGACACCCAGTTATACTTATCCATGAAGCCAGATGAAACAAATCAGGTTACCAAATTAGAAGCTTGTTTCAAAGATATAAAATCCTGGATGACCAATAACTGCTCAACTCAGACAAAACTGAAGTTCTTGTCCTTGGCCCTAAACACCTTGGAGAGGCATTCTCTAATAATAAAGCTATGCTAGATGGCATCAGTCTGGCATCCAGCCCCACTGTGCGAAATCTGGGAGTTTTATTTGGTCAGGATTTGTCCTTCAGCTCCTACATTCAACAAATCTCTAGGATAGCTTTTTTCCACCTGTGCAATATCTCAAAAATTAGACCCATCCTGTCTCAGAGTGATGCAGAAAAACTAGTCCATGCCTTTGTTACCTCTAGGCTGGGTTACTGTAATTCTCTCTTATCAGGCTGCTCCAATAAGTCTTTAAGGACTCTTGAGCTGGTCCCAAATGCAGCAGCTCGGGTATTTAGTAGAACCAGAAGAAGAGAGCACATCTCTCCTGTCTTAGCCTCTCTTCATTGGCTCCCTATTAAATCTAGAATCGAGTTTAAAATCCTCCTTATGACACAAAGCACTTAACGGCCAGGCTCCATCATATCTTGACGAGCTTGTTTTACCTTACTTTCCATCTAGACCATAACGCTCACAGTCTGCAAGTCTGCTTGTTGTACCAAATGTCTCTAAAAGCAGTATTGGAGGAAGAGCTTTCAGCTACCAGGCACCTCTCCTCTGGAATCATTTACCGCTCGAGGTTCGGGGGGCAGACACCCTCTCAAATTTCAAGAGTAGACTTAAAACATTCCACTTTGATAAAGCTTACAGTTGGGGCTGATTTGAACCAGCTCTTAGTTATGCTGCTATAGGTTTAGACTAGCAGGGTTATCTGGCACACTGAGCTAGAGTCTGTCTCTATCTCGCCTTTAGATTTTTATGTCCCATATAAGTCACTAACCAGATTTCTCTCTCTCTGAGTGTCTCTGAGTCTCTTAGCTTCCACTGGACTAATGCTGCAGATGGTCTGCTGCGGAACTGCCTGACCACAGCTGCATCATCCTTGATTGTCCACCTCAGGCCCTGAGCTCCTCCATCTCTTAGGCTCCTCTGGACTGTTGCTGCAGACACGTACATCAGCCTAACTGACATCTATGAAATAAAACTAGAGTAAACTACCATTGAGTTTTAACTTTAATCACCTTAAATTAATCATACATTGTCCATAATTAGTTGTGTACATTGAAGTCATTTTCTGTCATCAAATTGCTAACTAGATCTCTCTGTATGTCTCTGAGCCCCAGTCTCCTAGGTTGCTCTGGACTGATGGCTGCTGCAGACCTGCCTGACTCCAGCCGCATTGTCTATGATTGTCCGCCTCAGGCCCTGAGCTCCTTTTCTTGGATTCCTCTGGACTGTTACTGCAGACATGAACATCAGCCTCACTGACATTAATAACGTAAAACTAGAGTTGACTACTATTAGGCCTGCTGACTGTAATCACATTCAATTAATTTAACATTGTCCATAATTACTCATATCCTAACCCTGTGAACTGAATTCATTTTGTTTCATTACATGAGCTGTTGTTGTTGTTGCTGTTGTTTCTGCTGTCCCCTGTCTCTCTCTCACCCTCGTTCTCTACTCTCCCTTCCTCCCCCTCCCTCTCCTTACTTATTCTCTCTCTCCTTCCCCTCATCTTGTTCTCTCTCCCCCCCTGCCCTCTCCCCTCTTCTCCCTCTCTCTCTCTCCCTCTATCTCTCTACATTCCTCCCCAACCCAGCAGCGGCCTGATGGCTGTCTGGCATGAGTTGGGACCTGATCAAGGTATTCTGCCTGTTAAAAGGAAGTTTTTCCTTGCCACTGCTACTCATGTTAGATGAGATGGGCCAAAACCCATCTTAGGTTGGTTCTTGATCATCAAACAATGAGCATGGTCTAGACCTGCTCTTGCTCTTTGAAAAGCGTCTTGAGATGTTGTGAATTGGCGCTATATAAATAAAATCTGATTGATTGATTGATTGATAAAGTGCACCCCCCCCCCCCCCTTTCCAATTATCTATTGTCTAGTATTGTACATTTAGTGTAAATTGTCTTACATGATGAGTTGGTTGATTTATGTTGCCTAAGGCCATCCTCACACAAGGGCAGCCCCGTATTGTCTTGCCGTCGGCACCAAAACATGTATCGCTGTTTACACATCATAATGTACATAGGCTTAGTGCATTTACATGACGCAAAATCCACGCAAAATCCTGTAGTACATACACTCGGCCTAAAGGTGACACTGTGAAATTCCCACAAAGCACCAGAAACATAGAATGCACATGCGCATACAAGGTCGACTTCCTTCCTGTCCATCCATATTTGTAGTTAAACAAGAACAAAATCACCCCAGCTACCGCCATTGTTGTTGTTGCTGTGTGTGACAACGTAGTTTGGGGGGGCGGGGAGGAGGAAGGGTGCTATGATGTCACCGTCTCTTCCAGACTTACCTATTTTTACCAACTACAGCATGAAGAGGAAAACCAAGATATCCACCTGCAGGCCCGTTTTCAAAAAAAGATGCGGAGTCATGGACAAATACGCGTCTCTGTGTGTTAATATCACCAGATCGATAGTTTATTTTACCGATGTCTTACAAATTCGTACTCGTGTAAAGACCAACTAGGGGCCAATCATGAATCCTTGAAGACACTTTTGGCAGCCAGACCAAACTTGCTTGGAGCCCCTGAACCAGTCCTGTTATCAAATAATTCACAAACAGTGGTTGGGATGTTTTGCCAGTGCCTTCCCCAGCTCAGGGACATTTGTCAGAGTAGATGAGGTTCTTGCAGATTCTGTACCCGTAGGCTTTGAACAAGAGGAGCATACCCACGTTTAGCGAGGTGACGACTCTTATGCCAGAGTTTCATCATCTGTTGCATCTCTCTTTCTCTTGAACATAAAATCAAATTTTCTCTGCATTTTGTCTTATTTCTGCATTAAAATTGAAGCAGCTGTTTCTTTAAAAGTTCCCTCCTCCTACAAAAGGTGAGAGGTGGGTCCTAGTGCCTATGCAACCAGCGTCCGATCAAAGTTCTCATTGAGCACTACCATTTCTGGAGTTTGTATGTGGAAGCAAATACGACTCACTCTCCACCAGCATGGTCTTATTGGATTACTATGGTTACAATGCAGAGTGCAGACTGACGTACGGCAACACACTAAGTAAAGGTAGCCTACATACCTTGCGGGGGAGAAGGTTTGCGTACAGCTAAGGAGGATGAAAGGCAGTGCGGAAGAGGTGGGTTTTGAGAAGGGCCTTGAATCTGGTGAGATCAGTGCAGTTTCTGAGTTCGAGTGGGAGTGAGTTCCAGAGGGTGGGGGCGGTGACTGAGAAGGCTCTGTCCCCCCAGGTTCGGTGCTTGGTCAGGGGAACTGTGAGGAGGTTGGCATTGGCGGAGCAGAGGGTGCGGGAGGGGATGTAGGGGTGGAGAAGATCCTGTAGGTAGGGGGGGGCCAGGTTGTGGAGTGCTTTGTGGGTGAGAAGGAGGATTTTGTATTGAATGCGATGGGGGATGGGGAGCCAGTGAAGGTTTTGGAGGACGGGGGTGATGTGTTGGTGGGAGTGTGTGTGGGTGAGGAGGCGGGCGGCTGAGTTCTGGACAAGCTGAAGTTTATTGAGGAGAGTGGAGGTAGTGCCATGGAGGAGACTGTTACAGTAATCTAGACGAGAAGAAATGAATGCATGTATGAGGGTTTCAGCTGCAGGGTAGGAGAGGGAGGGGCGGAGGCGGGCAATGTTTTTGAGGTGGAAGTAGGCTGTTTTGGTGATTTGCTTTATGTGGTGGGTGAAGGAGAGGTTGCTGTCGAAGAGAATGCCAAGGTTGCGACAGTGGGAGGAGGGGGAGAGGGTGGAGTTGTCGATGGAGAGATGAGAGTCTGTGACTGTGGAGGTGAGGGAGTTTGGGCCGATGATGAGAAGATCTGTTTTGTCATAGTTGAGCTTGAGAAGATTGCTGTCCATCCAGTGTTTGATATCAGAGAGGCAGTTTGAGAGGAAGCGTTGGGTCTGGGGGGTGATGGAGTTGGAAGAGATGTATAATTGAATGTCATCAGCGTAGCAATGGAAGTGGAGGTTGTGTTGACGGAGGATGTGGCCAAGAGGGAGGAGGTAGATGATGAAGAGGAGGGGACCAAGCACCGAGCCCTGGGGGACACCTTGGGACACGGGGGCAGTTGTGAAGGAGCAGTTGTTAATGTGGATGAAGTGATTCCGGTCTGTGAGGTAAGAGTGGATCCAGTTAAGAGCGGTGTCTGTGATATTGAGGAGGGAGTGTAGGTGGGACAGGAGGATGGTGTGGTCGATGGTGTCGAAAGCGGCGGAGAGGTTGAGGAGGATGAGGATGGAGAGTTGGCCGGAGTCAGTAGAAATAAGGAGGTCGTTTGTGACTTTGATGAGGGCAGTTTCGGTGCTGTGGTGGGTGCGGAATCCTGATTGAAACTTTTCGTAAAGGTTGTTATTGTTGAGGTGGGTTTTGATTTGTGATGCAATGACACGTTCGAGGATTTTTGACAGGAAAGGGAGGTTGGAGATGGGCCGGAAGTTATTGATGTCGTCAGGGTTGAGTCCGGGTTTTTTGAGGATGGGGGTGACAGCGGTCAGTTTGAGTGACGGGGGAACAGTAGCGGAGTTGAGGGAGAAGTTGATGATCTGTGTGATGATGGGGGAGATGACGGGGAGGCAGTGCTTGATGGGGGAGGATGGGATGGGATCCAGGATGCAGGTGGATGATGACATGGAGCAGATGATATTGGTCACGTCGGTTCAGGAAACAGGTGAGAAGCAGGAGAGTGCTGAAGGGATGAGGGGAGGAGGGGAGGAGCGGGGAATGGCGGTGGGGGAAGGGAGTTGTAGATTGTGTTGATTTTGGATTGAAAAGAGGAGAGGAATGTGTTGCACTTTTCCAGGGTGAAGGTGATGGAGGTACTGTTGTGGTTTGTGGGATTTCATTTTGTGTAGTTCTGAGGTAAACCAGGGGGCAGAGTGTCTGAATGAAACTGTTTTTGTTTTCAGAGGTGCGAGCTGGTCCAGGCAGGAGGATAGAAATATCCTACTGCCTGGACCAGAATAGAAATAATGGTGAGATATGTGTCCAGTTCAGTTCTGTGTGCTTAAAACACTTCACATGTGATATTTCCAAATACGCCTAAAGCTATGAATTCAGCTAAAGTTGGAGATTTAAACAACCAGGGATCATGATACTTAAGCATCACAGACATGTCTCTGCAATCCACAATGCATCTATCACTGTGGTCAGAGCACAGCAAGACTTTTACAATATTAAAATCAGTACCTGTGAGGATTTGGCTCCGCAGAATTGGTGTAATTGCAGCTGTGGGAGGTAAGATTGGGACGCAAGTGGAGATGGGGACTGCACTTCCCAGGGTCCTTCACAGGATGGTGACACTCTCATTGTTGTCGCTGGAGTGATGTCATCGTTCAGCATGGTGAATGCAGGTGTAACAGCTGGGATGGAGGAAGATGGCCTAGCAGGTGCCGTACCGGATTCTAAGGCTTCGATCCTTGATGACATATGGGTAAGCGATGGCTGGATGCTGGATAGTACTTTCAGGAAAGGGATTGTCATCCAGGTCCGCAGGTCTAGGAGCTGGGGTCGGGGTTGTGCTTGGCACTTGAGAGATAGTCTTGTCACTTGGAGAACCAAGAGTTCATTTAACTCTACGAAACAGACTCAACCTGCACCCTAGCACAGCAACAAATGTGTAATGTACAGATTAAAAGAACTTGAGGACAAAGTCACTGAGTGATTCCTTTATTTTAAAGATTACATTTCAGGAATACACTTTACACAGTTAAAAAGATAATAAGGAATAACATTTTCAATGACAGCTTGCTGGTATTCAATAGACTCAATAGGCATGTGGCCTGAGATTAGCTGAGAGCCATTGCTGCTGGGCTAAAAGAAAACTACCCAAACTCCAAAACAAGATTATTTTTAAAGAGAGAGATCACAAAAATAAACAGTTTTATGAACTAGGGGACTACAGATGAAAACTAGCCTTATGGCTAATTCTGGCTTTTTTTTAACCATGTGTAATCATGTGTTTTATGAAATTGCGCTGTCCCCTTTTAAATAAACTAATCAAATCTAATCTAAAAAAAACATGTTTCTGTATGGTTTTATCCTGCTGTCTCTGACAGAGTATTTCTTTTTACAGAGTCTATGTAGTCAGCTATACTGTTGTCTGTTTGAATGTTTCAGCTTTGCTGGTGTTTGAGGTTGCTTAAAAAAGTTAATCGTGAAGAGTCCCTTGGCACTTGAACTAGAGGTTATATGCTTTGATTATCATATTTGTGAGCTGCACATGATCAGTAGTCTCATCACAGAAAGTACAGTTTTAACCATGTAAAGCAGTTGACCTGAAACTTGTCAAGTTGATTCTTCTTTAATCTATTAATGCAAACAAGGGAGGCGGAATGCCAAGAAATGCAAAGGAAAAATAGCTGTGTTATCACCTGCCTTTACGTTATAAAATATGCATTAGATACAGCTGCTGACACAGACACCCTGATTTAATGTTTGAGGCAGATGTTCATTTTCACAAGACAGTTTTAGAGAGTGTCTTTTTTTTTTTAGCAGCACTTTGTTAAATTAACCTTGTCTTTGTTTAATAAGATTATCTTGGTATTGCAGCATTTCAGTTAATAATAGTTTATCTTTTGGAGCACTGCCACTCTAATCAGTGTCACTTCCTGATCACACTCTAATAAGAGTGAAGAAAGGCAGGCTTTTGAGGATGTGTGTACAAGAGAGAAGTTGACCACATTGGTTTTTTGAGGTGGGCAGCCGGCGTGTTTTTTTTAAGTGAGAAAAGTCTTTCATCCAACATAACAAGAAGGTTGTTTATATCATACCTATCAGACAGAATCAGATTTGAACTTAAACTTCAGATCAAGTCAGAAGAACTTGACTTACACTACATACATTAGTCTCTTGGCTACATTTCTTTGGAGAACTTTTCTCCTTTTTGTGGAAAACTTTCCCATCAGGCTGCACTCTCCACTTTAAGGTGACTCCACTCAGTCCATTCTCCTCCAGCCTGTTCTGGCGCTGGAAACATGAATAGAGACTTTTTTGATTCACATCTGTGTTTGTTAAATGCAGAATTAGTTGAAACAGATACTATCTCAAAGAAATGAAGAAATGATGATCAAAAGAAGTATTTAATGGATTAACTTTTTTGTCATGTATGTGGAGGCTCACCTCTCTGAGAATGTCCGCTCTCACAGCAGGGTTGTTCATGTCCACAGAGGGGTCCTCTGTCTTTATCTCCTGTGTTATCACCAGTTTTGCCACTTATGTTCAAAAACAGAGGAGAAAAACATGCCATGTAATAACTGTGAGATACCAAATTTAACAGGAGGTCAATTGAGTCACTTACCAGAGGAGTAGCATATGAATTGGTATTTGTCTTCACAGGACAATCCCCACCATGTTCCTGAATTGACTATCGCTCCAGCTCCACATATCACACTCATGTTGCCCAGTGGGACTGCACCAAACCAGAACTGATGCATAGAGTCACTCCCATCAGACCAGTGAATGTTTGAATCTCTGTACAAACCAATCCATGCCCAGTCTGAGTTTGGCCTTGCGTTGTGGAGCCTCTGGTTCTCAGTGCTGTTCCTCACAGTGGCCAGGTCTATGTAGTTCTCCCTGCAGAACCTCTGAGCATCAGACCAACTCATGCTCTCCTGGACAAAAACAAACTCTGGATCCTGTGGTGTACCTGCAGTTAGAGTTTAAAACATTAGGAAATGTTTTATCCAAAGTTTACTTCTTGATAAACATGTTGTAAAGTGGCAGATGTGTCTGAACTTCACTTCAAATCTGATTGGCCAATCCAAATGGAGTTATACTACTATAATAGTAGTGTTGTACTATACTACTACTATCTTTTGCACTCATATTGCTCTGCATTGTCTTACACATACAGAATGTACAACCCTCCATGCCAAAGTTGTTTATATTCTGTTCAAGTTTTCTTTCTATTGGAGGTCCACTGATACAGGTTTTTCGACAGTTTTGCGACAGATATATATTAGAACCTGACATATTTTTATGATATTTTAAACACTGGTCAGTAACAGTAAGTCTTATCTTCTGTTGTCATTAAAGGGGATGGTTATGTTACTTGGCAGTGCCTTCATATACAAGTCTGCCTGCAGTGTCTACAGACATGATTTGTTCATGTTTTAATTGGACTGATGAGTCCAGATATCAGCTAATACTGATCATTTCAAAATGCCATTGATCGGCCTTATTATTTGTCCTGATCAATCGGTCTACCCCTGCTTTACTTTGATTTTTTATCTTTATTAAAATTTAACTGTTTCTATTTACAGTTCCCTGACAGTGATAGTATAACTGCAAAAAATCAGTTTACTAATTTCTATCTGTATGTTGTTATTTTACACATTACAAACAGTTTGGGTCAAATTTGACCTGTTTTGATTTTTAACAGCAGTTAAAATACTCTAAATGACATTCTTTAAGCCTGAAACTTGATGACTTTTCCTGAAATGGCACAATATATATGAAATTAATTTAAAAACATTCATGTGTATTTTTGTTTATTTGCTACGTATTTTTCCCCTCAGAGGCTGTTACAGGTCAAATTTGACCTGTATCTATTAAGATGGATTTTTGATCTACTAGTGTGAGGCAAGTGACAAGCAGTGAGAACAGTGTACAATATAAAGTTTGTTGCTCAATAAAATATGTTCAAATTATTATGAAACTATTATTACCTTGACAGAAACACACACTCACGAATGCATGCACACACACACGCACGCACACAGACACACCTAGCCAGAGGTTAAGATGACCTCACAAGTAACAAGAACCTTCTGTGACAGAAAGCTACTCTTTGAGCTTTTTGAAGGGGCATGGGGAATCTAAAATATTGAAATAGTAAACAAACAAATACTGTTGAAACATTGAAATATTGAAACATTCCAATGATGCGCTTGAATGGAGAGGTTACTGCAAGTCTGGTCTCACTGCATGATCTGTAATTTTGTAACATTTGCTCGACTTTTTTTCATATTTTTTTTGTTTTCTTGTTGGCTGCTGATGGATACTTCTGCTGGGCAAACATTTACTCAAGAGAAGAGTTCCTTTCATTGAGGAAAAGCAAATCTGGACAACAACATACAATTCCAGAGGAAATCAGGAGGTATTATTATGGTTGCCGTGCTGGTGCAAAGGTGAAGGCAAAGCTGAATGCTAGGAGGTGGAGATACAAACCCTTTCTTCCATCAGTCATCGTGGGAAACATCAACTCTCTGCCTAACAAAAGCGATGGGCTGGAGATATTGGTGAAGACTGAGAAAGAATACCATGAGAGCAGTCGCCTGTGTTTTACTGAAACCTGGTTGAATCAAAACAACTCTGACTCCAGTGTGGATCTACCTGGCTCCACTCTCATAAAGTCAGACAGAGATGCTCAAGCTTGTGGCAAGAAGAAAGGAGGAGGTCTGGCTTTATTTGTCAACCAGAGATGGTGTAACCCTTCACATATAACTGTCAAGAAAAAGTTGTGTTGTCCAGATTTTGAACTGTTGGCAGTTGCTCTTTGGCCATATTATGTTTCCAGAGAATTTAGTCATATCATAACAGTAGTTGTTTACATCCCACCCAAATCAACTGAAGAAATTCCATGCAATCTTTTGCATAATAGTGTTGCCAGGCTACAGACTCAACACCCTGAGGCACTAATAAAAATATCAGGAGACTTCAACCATGTCACCCTCTCCTCTCACCTGACTGGATTCACACAGTTTGTGAACTGTCCTACCAGAGAAAACAAAACCCTGGATCTGCTGTATGCCAATGTCAAAGAAGCCTACAGAGCCACTGTCTTTCAACCACTAGGCAAGTCAGATCATAACTTGGTCTATCTGCAAACCTGTTACAGACCTTATGTGCTGAGGCAGCCTGTGACCAAAGTCAAAATCAGAAGATGGACACCTCAAGCCAGTGACACACTAAGAGACTGTTTTAAATCAACAGTCTTGAATGTGCTGCTGGAAACAGGTGTGGATAGTATAAACATTGACAGACAGGTTGACTGGTGTACTGAATATATCAGCTTCTGTAAAGACACAGTTATACCAACAAAGACTGTTTGCTGTTTCCCCAACCACAAACCCTGGATCACAAGTGACATAAAAGCAATCCTTAACCAGAAAAAGAAAGCTTTTGAAAGTTAGGGAGGGGGGATACTTACGCTGGGCTGCGCCGTTCAACAAAATACAAAATTGTGCTTAGGGATGCCTTGTTGGCACGGCGGACCTGACTTACACCGCGCCTGCGCCACGTCTCCGTTTGTTTGCTGTTCAATAAAATATATTCAAATCATTATGACTTTTATATTTTTTTATTTCTTACATAATATTATGACATTATCCTGTGTAATAGATATTCTTCTCCAAAATATATATTTTACCAAAAAACGAGAGGTGTTTAAACTTAAAAAAATACTCAATTAAAAAATACTAAAAAAAATACTGCTTTTTGAAACATTTAGGAAGGACTAATCAATAATTTTTTGAAGTAGCATAGTTCATTTAAACATTATAAATAGGTTTGGGGCTAGAACTTTGGTGAAAATACTTGCTACATGGGCAATTCTTGGGCCGGGTCAATTCTGACCCAGAACATACTGTGAGAATACAGGATTTGAATAGTATGTGAGAGTTAACTCATATGTATCTATTTTATTTGCATTGTTATCCTGTGGTCCTTAATTTAGTTATGTGTAAACCTCCTTAGCAATAAACTTAATTCTGATCTTTAGTCAGTTAAAAAAAAAAAAAACATCTTATTTTGGACCCTGGTCTTACCTCTATAACAGATGAAGGGCAGCTTGTCAAGGCAAACCATATCCCACCATTTTCCATCATCTTCAATATCCACACAGAACTGTTCACCTGCATGAAAGTCAGGCTCATTGTCCTCAATATTTTCCCAGTTCATGTATTCAGCTCCACTTACTGTATAGCCGTCTGACCATTTCCATTCAATCTTCATGTACACACCGATCCAGAACGCTTCATTGTTACCATGAGCTACAGCTATGGCTAAGAATTGTTTGACTTCTTCAGCACTTTTAACAGTGACCAGGTCTGTGTATTTCTCTCTGCAGAAGGTCTGAGCTTCAGTCCAGGTCTTGGGTTCAAAAACATAGTGGTACAGATGGGGAAGGCAGGAGGTGAAGTGCCATCCTGTAAGGAGAACACATATGACAAACAGCTGACATCTTTTATCACTGCAACATCATAAAGTTGTCATGTTTTCTGCAGTCTGACATAAGTGTCAATGCCATGAGACGCGTAATTGTTGAGCAGGTTTCTATTTTTTAACAGAGTGTTGTTGGGGAACAGGTGAATCAACAGAAAGGTAAACATGTGCCTGTCCTAATTTTTGTGAAACATGTCATCAAAATAATTTTAATTATCAGTTTTTTTTTTCTTGTTTTTTTTTAAGTAGAAACAAAGTTATCTGCTGCAATGGAGGGTTTACTGACCTGAGAGACACAAGAGACTCAGCAAGATCCTCTCCATCCTGGTGGTGGCCTGTGGACTGTCAGTGTGTTGAACTTAAAGAAACATTTAATGAGGATGAAAATGACAAGGAGTGACAGGCAAATCAAGTGAAATTCAATACCAGCTTCTTGTCTTTATACCTGACCCAATTTACCCCCTAATTACCTTCTTAATGAAAGGTAATGTTGAATAAAGCAGCAAGACTCCAAACTTATACTGGTACGACCCTTAATTACAGAACTTACTATTTTTGACTGGGTGTTCAAAGCTTGCATCTCAACAATTGTGAGTCATGTTTCTGTTGATTGTGACGGGTGAAGCAGAGTCATCTCTGCCATTCATGGGTGAGACTTATTGATAACCAGGGTGTTGCAGTTTTATTATTATTGACAAGGTTTCATACAGTTAATGTAGTACCACAAATTTACAATCAAGCAACACCAGTGACAATAGCTGTCTATTTGATAAAGTCAGTCATGTATTGACCAAGCTTTCCATCTGTCCCAATCAACCCCAGGCTGTGAGGGACATAAGGAGCCATGTGGTAGTCTATGGAACTTTTTAACAGATGATACTTATTAAAGCATGATTTCATGTCTCTTCACTAAATGCTTTGACAATTCTGATTAAAGCACAGGTACCATGTGTTTATCTTCAACACAAATTCTACCAGCCAAGCAGTTAGATTTTAAGTCCATTCAAATTCATTCAAAACAACACCAGCGATGAAGAAGCCAATTCGTCCTTTTAAGTTTGCTTTATACCGAGGTGAGAAATGCAAAATCACAAATACACAGTTTGCACATTTACTGCACACTTTTTTGCAGACTCTATATTTTCATTCTGATACCTCTTTGATAGCATTACATGATTTTCAGATAAAAAAGCCTCCAATTATTCACACTATTGTATTAAAATAACATTAATTTAGCCTCCATCTGGAACACTTTGTTTTCTCTGCTGTCTCTTTCTTTCTTTGCTTGGTCCCTCATTGCACCTGGAATCATTCCCACTATCACTTGAACTTTAATCATTGTATGATGTTTCATGATAAGACTGTACTTCAACACGTGACACATCCATTTAGATTCAGTGACTTTTCAGACCCCCTAATGACTTATTTAGAAAAAAATAAACTACTTTTAGCGACTTCCTCTGGAGTTTAGAGACTCTAACATGAAGCAGGCTTTCCTTACTGAGGAGTGAGCAACCCTGCTCAGGCAGCAGAGCCACACATGAGCTCTGAGCTCTGGGAGACTGATGGTGACAGAGCTCCAGCAGTGAGCAGGTTTCAGCCTCAGAGACCACCAGGTCCAGGTTGAGACATTTTCCACCCCACAGTACAAAAGACCTTTATCTATTGTTTTTTTTTGTTTTTGTTTTTTTTTTCAGTTGAATTTTTTTTTTTTTTTGCCATAGACACAATCAGAACAATCTGCAATAACACTAACAAAAATGCAGCAAAAAACAAAGAACTATGGAAAAATTACAAATGGACTGACAATGAGGAGGATAAGTTTTTTTACATCATGCATCATTTACATCATGTTTTTTTTTTTTGGTAGTGGCATAAATAAAATGAGACATTTGTGAGACTATACATTGTCTTGTAAATAGTTGTACAAAAAACGCCTGAGGCATTACCTGCATTTTAAGATAAATAACGGTAAATTCATATGTTATTTGCTACAATTGCATAAATGTTTTGAAGTTTACGATTTATAGTTGCATTCTAAGTAATAAAAATGGTTTGTTAAATGTATTTGTGGTTTTTACAGTAAAAAATGTTACTTTTTCCCACTCGGAATTTATGGTTTGTGGGTGAATTTAGGTCCTCTGTGTTAATACAGTATGTCAAAATGATAAAATAACTGTAAATTCACACACGTGAGGTTGTGCTGAAAAAAAAATGATACCAAGCAAGGCAAGGTAAGCAGTTTTTAGGGGGAAATATAAAGGTAAAATCAAAAGTAGTCAAAAACGGCCGATTATACCCCAGACTCCAGAGATGAAAAGAACTTGAAGACAAAGCCACAGACTGATTGCTTTATTTTGAAGATTACAATTCATGAACACACTTCACACAGTTAAAAAGATAATAAGGAATAACATTTTCTCTGACAGTCTGCTGGTATTCAACGCACTCAATTGGCAAGTGGCCTCAGAGAGCCACTACTGGGCTAAATAAAAATTAACCAAAATTCAAAACAAGATTATTTTCAAGAGAGAGATCACAAAAATAAACAGTTTAAAAAAAAATGTGTTTCTGAATGATTGTAGTATGGTTTTATGTTGCTCTGTTTCCCCATTTTGCCCATTCTCCTCTATTCAAAAACAGAGGAGAAGAACATGCCATGTAATAACTGTGAGATACCAAATTTAACTAAAGGACAGTTGAGTCACTTACCAGAGGAGTAGCACATGAATGGGTGTTTTTCTTCACAGGGCAATGCCCACCCATCTTCTGAATTCTGCACAGCTGCAGCTCCACATATCACACTCCTTGAGCCCAGTAAGTGTGAACCAATCATTTGCATCAGACCAGTGTATGTTTGGATCTCTTTACAAATCAATCCATGGGTAGTATCAATCTGGTATTAAGCTCTGAAGCTTCTGGTTCTCAGTGCTGTTCCTCACAGTGGCCAGGTCTTTGTAGTTCTTCTTGCAGAAAGAGTTTAAAAATGAGGAAGTGTTCAGCAGACAATAAACCTTGTCAACCTGTCAGTATCCTTTGACTGGGGTGTGTTTGAACCCACTTTTGAATCTGGCTGGCCAACTCTCATACTGAGGCAAAATCATAAATGAAGATGTGTCTTATCAGAAGATGGACTTGTGTTTAAAAACAACTATTTGTGTTAGTGTGCTACTCTGGGCCAGCCCCAGTAATGTTGTTTTCTATTTCTTACCTCTGTAACAGATCACATCTGTAACATCCACACAGAACTGGCCACCTGAAGAAAAGCCAGGCTCCTTCACAGTTTCCCAGTTCATGTATTCATGTGCCCCACTTGCTGTGTAGCCGTCTGACCATTTTCATTCAATCTTACTGTACAGACCGATCCAGACCAGAGAGTTGTAACCACACTCTCAAAATGAATGTGTTAAAATCATACACATTTTTTGTGTTATTATATTTTAACATTTGTTTTGTTATGTTTACAAATTCTGTGTTACTATCCTAGACACACTTTTGAGCTAATGCTACTTTAAAAAATAGTTATCATATGAATTAAACACAACATGTGTTAGCCACTGCTAGGTCAAAGAGGTTATTAACAATTAGGTTATTAAGGGTTATTTTTCACCAAGCAGTGGCTTTACTAATTGTCCTACTTTTGAATAATTCTGGAATCATCTTTTTTTTATAAATTCTGTAACTTTTTTCTTTATTTATTTTTAATTTTTTTTAGAGGGAGGAAGCCCCTCAGCAGGGGACCAAACCTCCAAACACCCAGTCTCAGGGTGGACCACAAGGCCACAGAACTGGTATCTGAGACCAGATTCTTGAGTAGCACGGTGCCCTGAAGACAGGAGTATACCTTTCCTCACACACAGACGTATGGTTCTCTTAATTGACTACGGTTTGGGTTGTACTATTTTAACTCAATAAAAATAAAATATTAAGTTCCATTTCGGGGGGGGGAATAAATCCAAATATATAAGTCCCATTTCTGTAGGACCCCCAGCTGATCTGTCCACTTTACTCAGACACCTGGATGGTCCCTGTCGGGGTGACCCTGGGTCATGGAAACTTGTAGCTCTAATTTAGGGGTGTGGATTGGAGCAATGCACTGAGACAGTTGCCACATGAACCATGGAAAAAATCCTGTTGTGTAATCCCTTCTTTGATCCTCCTGAGGGCAGCACTCGCGACTGCCTTTGATGGCTTTGAAATGCAACAATGGCAGCTGTGCTAACAGCTACAGGCTAATACTCAAGCTCGCTGAGGAGTTGGTCTGCACTCACAAATGTGTGAGAGGCACATTTACATTTGCAACTCCAACTACACACCACAGGAGTAACGCCGTTGTAACCCGGCCCAGCGCACAGCCTCGAGCCGCAGGGGACGGTTGTTTGACAAGCCATGTCTGTATTTTAGGTGTTCCATCATTGCACTGATTGTTTAAGAATAAAATGTTTACAAAATTTTTAATGTTTATACTCTGTGTTTGCACTATGTTTTGCTCTCAAGTTTGCACTTAGTCTTACAAAGTCCAAGATTTTGCACTGCTGCCTGAACCAAATAAATTTTATAAAAGTGACTTGAGATTTAAGCAATTGTTTATTCTTTTTAGTGACCAGGTTGGGTCACTAGCAGATAACCGCAGTAGCTCAGGAGGTAAGAGCGGTCGTCCAATAACTGGAAGGTTGGCGGTTCGCTATAATTCAGCACACTCACTGCTTCACCCAGTTAAAATGGTGAAATTTATTTACCCTTCAGGACATCAAAAAAAAAAAAAAAAAAAAAAAAAAAACTACAATGATGAAGCAATATAATAACTTAATACAACATCTGCTATTTAAGAATTAGGGCCTTAAAATGTCAAATTGTCATTTTTATTATTATAGAAAACTTGTAAATGAAACAACACAATAAGTCAAACTGAGGCAAAACAAGGATGACACACCTGATAGGTTCACATCACACCTGACTCCATTAAAGTCTGTGTGTACTTCTCAGGTTTCAATGTGGGGTTCGGGATTGGGCCTCTCTCACTATCCTGAGACAAGGTTTATAAAGACGGTAACCTCTTAGTGTCACAAGAGGGCTGTGTTAGACTTTGGAGACCTCTGAGTGAAAAGAAAATGGAGAGGGACTTTATGTCCATGCAGAATGTGTGCTCTCCCTTAGGCCTTTGTATTTTCAATCAACTGAAGCTGGTTTATTGTATTCTTTAGAAGAGAGCACTGCAGGTGTCCGGCTTGTGAGTATGAAAGAGTGCATGTGTGTTGCTCAGACAGAGAATCAGTCTCACTTTAGAAATGTTTTTAATTCCCACTAAATGACACTAAGTCTACATTCAGCCTCTACAACAACTCTGCCATTATCAGAGTTAATAAAAAAGAAAAAAGTAAACTTGAAGTCAAAAACTAATAGAAGTGGTTCAGACTGGTTCTGACTGGTGTGGACTGGAGCTGGGTCTGCTGCTGACACAGACACCCTGATTTAATGTTTGAGGCAGATGCTCATTTACACAAGACAGTTTTAGAGTGTCTTTTTGTTTTCAGCAGCACTTGGTTAAATGAATCTCATCTTTGCTGAATAAGGTTATCTTGGTATTGCAGCATCTCAGTAGAAAATAGTTCATCTTTTGAAGCACTGCCATTCTCATTAATATGACTTCTTGATCACACTCTAATCAGAGTGAAAAAAGGCAGACTTTTGAGGATGTGTGTACAGGACAGAAGGTGACCACATTTGTTTTTTGAGGTGGGCAGTGGGAAAGTGAGAAAGGTCTTCCTTTTGATTTAAAAAGAAGGTTGTTTATATCATACCTATCAGACAGAATCAGATTTGAACTTAAACTTCAGATCAAGTCGGAAGAACTATAGACTTAAGTCTCTTGGCTACATTTCTTTGGAGAACTTTGCTCCTTTTTGTGGAAAACTTTCCCTTCAGGGCCACACTCTCCACTTCAAAGTGACTCCGCTCAGTCCATTCTCCTCCAGCCAGTTCTGGAGCTGGAAACATAAATAGAGACGATTTATATTAAATCTTTGTTTGTTAAAAGCAGAATTCATTGAAATGGAAACTAGCTCAAAGAAATGAAAAAATGATGATCAAAAGAAGTATTTAATGGATAAACTTGTCTGTCATGCATGTGGAGGCTCACCTCTCTGAGGATGTCTGCTCTCACAGCAGGGTCATTCAGGTCCATAGAGGGGTCCTCTGTCTTTATCTCCTGTGTTACCACCCGTTTTGCCACTTAAAAACAGAGGAGAAGAACATGCCATGTAATAACTGTGAGATACCAAATTTAACCAAAGGACTGTTGAGTCACTTACCAGAGGAGTAGCACACAAATGGGTGTTTTTCTTCACAGGGCAATGCCCACCATTTTCCTGAATTCCACACAGCTGCAGCTCCACACACTAAACTTCTTGAGCCCAGTTGGTTTGATCCAAAATCCCAGAACTGGAACGAGGAATCACTCCCATCAGACCAGTGAATGTTTGGATCTCTGTACAAACCAATCCATGGGTAGTATTCATCTGGTATTACGCTCTGAAGTTTCTGGTTCTCAGTGCCGTTCCTCACAGTGGCCAGGTCTTTGTAGTTCTTCCTGCAGAACCTCTGAGCATCAAACCAATTCATTCTCTCACGGACAAAAACAAACTCTGGATCGTGTGGTGTATCTGCTATCGGAGTGAAATAAAGTAGGAAATGTTAAGCAGACAATAAACCTTGTCACCTGTTAGTATCTGTTGATTGGAGTGTGTCTGGACCTCCTTTTAAATCTGGCTAGCCAACTCTAATGCTGTGTCAAAATCATAAACCGAGATGTATCCTATCAGAAGATTGACTTCTGTATAAAAAGAAGTATATTGTCAGTGTACTATTCTGAGCCGGCCCCAATGTTGTTGTTGTTGTTTTTTTTTTAACCTCTTACCTCTGTTACACATGACGGTCAGTTCCTCAAAGCATAAATCATCCCACCATCTACCATCATCTGTAACAACCACACAGAACTGGTTTCCTGAAGAAAAGTCAGGCTCGTTGTCCTTAACATTTTCCCAGTTCATGTATTTGGGCCCACTGGCTGTGTAGCCGTCTGACCATTTCCATTCAATATTAGTGTACAGACCAATCCAGACCAGAGAGTTGTAACCATGAGCTACAGCTGTGGCTAAGACTTGTTTGACTTCTTCAGCACTTTTAACAGTGACCAGGTCTGTGTAAGTCTCTCTGCAGAAGGTCTGAGCTTCAGTCCAGGCCTTGGGTTCAGCAACAAAGTGGTACTGATGGGCAAGACAGGAGGTGAATATCCATTCTGTGAGGGGAACACATATGACAGACAGCTGCAGGTTTTTATCATTTTGTCATTTATCATCCGTTTTTCCACTTCGGTTCAGATACAGAGAAGAAGAACATGCCATGTATTAACTGTGAGATACCAAATTTAAACTAAAGGACAGTTTAGTCACTTACCAGAGGAGTAGCACACAGATGGGAATGTCCATTCACATGGCAATGCCCACCATTCTCCTGAAGTGCTCACAGCTCCAGCTCCACACATCACATTCCTGTTGCCCAGTGGGTTTGAACCAGACCAGAACGTAAGCGCAGAGTCACTCCCATCAGACCAGTGAGTGTTTGGCTCTCTGTACAAACCAATCCATGCCCAGTCTGAGTTTGGCCTTGTGTTGTGGAGCTTCTGGTTCTCAGTGCTGTTCCTCACAGTGGCCAGGTCTATGTAGTTCTCTCTGCAGAACCTCTGAGCATCAAACCAATTCATTCTCTCCTGGACAAAAACAAACTCTGGATCCTGTGGTGTACCTGCAGTTAGAGTTGAAAAATGAGGAAATCTTTTTAAAATTCAAAGTTTATTTTTTGATAAACCTACTGTTAGGTGGAAGTATCTCTTGTAGTACCGATGCTGAAATTTTCAGGAGTTTGCGCGCTCTAAGGAACCTAGGAGCTATGCTGTCCGGGGACTTTTTGCCCCTGGTAGGGTCTCCCAAGGCAGATTGGTCCTAGGAGAAGGGTCAGTAAGAACAGTTCAGAAGACCCTCATAAAAAAGAACAAAGGGAAACAGTGTACCCAGCCTGGAGGGACATCGGGGCCCCACCCTGGAGCCTGGGGCCTGCACCCACACCAGTCAAAACGAGCCTCATGGACACCGCCCCAGTGGACCCACCACCTGCAGGTGGTGGGTCACTTGAAGGGTCTGGTGCTTGATGGATTGGGCAGTGGACCAAGGCGGGGGCCTTGGCGGTCTAATCCTCGGTTATGGAAACTGGCTCTTGAAACATGAAATGTCACCTCACTGGTGGCGAAGGAGCTGGAGATTGTGGGGGAGGTTGTGCGCTACCGACTAGATATATTCGGTCTCACCTCTAAACATAGCATTGGTTCTGGAACCCAAGTTCTTGAGAGGGGTTGGACACTCGTGAGAGGCGGAGAGCGGGGGTGGGATTTTTGCTCGCCCCAAGGCTCGCTGCCGGGATGCTGGGGTTTTCTCAGCTGGTTGCTTTCCTGCACCTCCAGGTCGGGGAACGGGTCCTGACTGTTGTCTGTGCATATGCACTGAATAACAGTTCAGAATACCCACCCTTTTTGGAGACCCTAGGATGGATGCTGGACAGCGCCCCGGCTGGGGACTCCATTGTTCTGCTTGGAGACTTCAGCGCTCACGTGGGCAATGACAGCAAGACCTGGAGGGGCGTGATTGGGAGGAACAGCCTGCCCGATTTGAACTCGAGTGGTGTTCAGTTGTTGGATTTCTGTGCATGTCGCAGTTTGACCACAACTAACACCATGTTCAAACAAAAGGTTGTTCTGGTGCTCCTGGCACCATGACAGCCTTGGCCGTAGGTCAGTGATTGACTTTGTAGTCATGTCATCTGACCTGCATCCGCATGTTTTGGACACAGGTGAAGATAGGTGCAGAGCTGTCAACTGATCACTACCTGGTGGTGAGTTGGGTCAGGTGGAAAGGGAAGCCACCTCGCAGACCTGGCAGGCCCAAACGTATAGTGAGGGTCTGTTGGGAATGCTTGGTGGAAAATCGCATCCAGCTGGCTTTCAACTCCCATCTCCAACAGAGCTTCAACTGCGTCCCAAGGGCAGAGGGGGATATTGAGTCCGAGTGGGCTTTGTTCCGCTCTGCCATTGTCGAAGTAGCTGTTGCAAGCTGTGGCCGCAAGGTCACTGGTGCCGGTCGTGGCATTAATCCCCAAACTCGGTGGTGGACACCAGAGGTGAGGGGAGCTATCAGGCTGAAGAAGGAGGCCTACAGGTCATGGTTGGCTAGTTGAACGTATTGGTAGGCTAAACCGTCTGCAGCCAGGGCAGTTGCAGAGGCAAACATTCGGGCATGGGAGGAGTTTGGTGAGGCCATGGAGGAAGACCTTTGGTCAGCTCCAAAAAGGTTCTGGCAAACTGTCCGGCGTCTCAGGGGCGGTAGACAGCAACTTGCCTACACCGTTCTGGATGGGGGCGGGGAGCTGCTGACATCACCTGGGGCAATTCTTCGGCAGTGGAAGGAATACTTTGAGGAGCTCCTTAATCCTACCATCATGCATTCCCAAGGGGAAACAGAGTTAGAGGACCTGGAAGTGGACCGTCCAATCACTGGGATAGAAGTCGCTAGGGTAGGAAAACAACTTCATGGTGGCAGAGCTCCAGGAGCAGATGAGATCCAACCAGGGTATCTGAAGGCTCTGGAGGTAATGGGGCTGTCCTGGCTGACACGTCTCTACAATATTACGTGGAAATCGGGGGCAGTGCCATTGGAGTGGCAGACCGGGGTGGTGGTCCCTATCTTTAAGAAGGGGGACCAGAGGATGTGTTCCAATTACAGGGGGATCACACCCCTCAGCCTACCCAGGAAAGCTTACGCCAGGGTGCTGGAAAAGAGGGTCCGATTGATAGTTGAAACTTGGATTGAGGAGAAACAATGTGGTTTTCATCTTGGTCACGGACCTACGGATCAACTCTTCACCCTTGCTTGGGTTCTGGAGGGGAGATGGGAGTTTGCCCAACCAGTCCACATGTGTTTTGTGGACTTAGAAAAGGCCTACGACTGTGTCCCTAGGGGAATCTTGAGGAGGGATCTCTGGGAGTATGGGGTGGAGGGCTCCTTATTAAGGGCCGTCCAATCCCTTAACCAAAGGAGCACGAGCTTGGTCTGTGTAAACTGCTGTAAATCTGGCTCATTTTCAGTGAGAGTTGGACTCCGCCAGGGCTGACCTTTTTCACCAGTTCTGTTCATAACCTTTATGGACAGAATTCCTAGGTGCAGCCAAGGGATGGGGGGTGTCCAGTTCGGAAGGCAGAGGATCACGTTGCTGCTTTTTGTGAATGATGTAGTACCTCTACCTTCGTCGAGCAGTGACCTTCAGCTCTTGCTGAGGCGGTTCACAGCCGAGTGTGAAATGGTTGGGATGCGAATCAGCACCTCCAAGTCCGAGGCCGTGGTCCTTAGTTGGAAAAAGGTATTTGCCTTCTCCAGGTCGGAGGGGTGGTCCTGCCTCAAGTTGAGGAGTTCAAGTATCTTGGGATCTTGTTCATGAGTGAGGGTAGGATGGAACGGGAGATCAACAGGCAGATCGGAGCAGCGTCAGCAGTGATGCAGACGCATGGTGAAGAAAGAGCTGAGCCGTAAGGCAAGACTCTTGATTTACCGGTTGATCTATGTGCCAACCCACACCTATGGCCATGAACTTTGGGTAATGACCGAAAGCACAATATCATGGATACAAGCGGCCGAAATGGGTTTCCTTTGCAGGGTGGCCGGGCTCAGACTTAGAGTTAGGGTAAGGAGCTCAGACACTCAGGGAGCACTTAGAGTAGAACCGCTGCTCCTCCACATCGAGAGGAGTCAGCTGAGGTGGCTCGGGCATCTGGTTAGGATGCCTTCTGGATGTCTCCCGTTAGAGGTGTTCCAGACATGTTGCACCAGGAGGAGACCTTGTGGCCGGCTCAGGACCAGGTGGAGGGATTTTATCTCTCGCCTGGCCTGGGAGCGCCTGGGAGTCCCCCTGGAAGAGCTGGTGGAAGTGGCTGGGCAGAGGGCCATCTTCCCTTCTTCCTCCTGGAGTAGCTTCCCCAGCGACCCGTACCCACACGAAGCGGAAGAAAACGATGACGACAATAAGATATAACATTGAAATACTAAGAAAACCCATCACTCCATGCAAGTTGTGATCTAACATACACAACTATCTTAGCTGGATACACAGTTTTCTCTGAATATAAAATGTATTCACAAAATAGAAAAATGCAGTGAGCTCTTCTACAAATATATCAGTACCTGACATATTTTATATGAAACACTGGCCAGTAAGAGTAAGTCTTATCTTCTGATGTCATTAAAGGGGATGGTTATGTAACTTGGCAGTGCCTTCTTAAACAAGTATGCCTGCAGTGTCTACAGACACGATTTGTTCATGGTTTTAATTGGACTGATGAGTCCAGATCTCAGCTGATACTGATTATTTCAAATTGCCATTGATCAGCCTCATTAATCCTCCTGATCAATCAGTCTACCCCTGCTTTACTTAGATTTTTTATCTTTATTAAAATGTAACTGTTTTTATGAACCGTTCCCTGACAGTAACAGTATTACTGTGAAAAATCGGCTTACTTATTTCTATCTGTATGTTGCCATTTTATCTCACATATTTTTATTTTATTTGCGTTATTATCCTACAGTCCTTAATTTAGACCTGAAACACAAAAGACAATGACAGAGTCCTGTTATGTGTAAACCTACTTGAAAATAAACTTAATTCAGATTTTTAGTGAATTAAAAAAAGTCTCGACACACCCTTATTTTGAACCCTGGTCATACCTCTGTAACAGATGAAGGGCAGCTTTTTCAGGCAATCAAAATCCCACCATTTTCCATCATCTTCAATTTCCACACAGTACTGGCCACCTCCAGAAAAGTCTGGCTCATTGTCCTTAATATTTTCCCAGTTCATGTATTCACCCCCACTTGCTGTGTAGCCGTCTGACCATTTCCATTCAATCTTTATGTACACACCAATCCAGAATGCTTTGTTGTTACCATGAGCTACAGCTGTGGCTAAGACTTGTTTGACTTCTTCAGCACTTTTAACAGTGACCAGGTCTGTGTAAGTCTCTCTGCAGAAGGTCTGAGCTTCAGTCCAGGTCTTGGGTTCAGCAACAGAGAGGAACTGGTGGGGAAGGCAGAAGAGGAAGCGCCATCCTGTGAGGAGAACACATATGACAAACAGCTGACATGTTTTATAATTGCAACATCACAAAGTTGTCTTTTTTTTTTCTGCAGTCTGTCAGTGTTGGTAGATCATCCCAATTTGTTTCTGGTTCAATCAGAATCTGCTGATATACACAACATGCCCCTAAATGACTGCCCCCTCTGAAACAACTGAAACAACTAAACAGATCTCTTCCCATGAGCCAGAGACAATACTTGTCAACTCTTCCATTCATGCTGATATTAACCCCATCTCCCACAATACTCTGATACAGTATTTTCTCCTGCTAATCTCCCAATTTTACAGCGAAGGAAACATATAAGATTATAGGGGATATTTGTCGCAGTATCTGGCTACCCCCACTTCTCTGCCAATATGAGGCAAGCCGGTGACATGACTCAGTCACAAGCCGGAGAGAGTAATGAGCCTAGTTGAGTTGATTCTGCCAGGCCATAGCCTGGCCTTGTTGATGTAATCTGTATTAATAGTCTCAGGTTTAGTGGAGCAGATAAGTGACATAATCGTTAAGTTCGTGATACAAGCATGAAAATTGGCATGAGCATTCTTCATGGGTCACTTTACTAGGAGAGTGTCCCAACCATTTGAAATTTCAATATGGCTGCCATTTTTCAAGATGGCCGCCACCTAGGTGGAACAATTAGGTTTTGTCCTTGTTAAGTTGGTGATATCAGCATGAAAATCGATATGAATAGTCTTCATGAGTCACTCAATAAGAAAATGCCCCAAGTTGCTTGAAATTTCAAGATGGCCACCATCTTGAAATTTTAAATGGCTGGGACACTTATCTAGTAAAGTTACCCATGGAGAATGTTCATGCCCAATGTCATGCTTGTATCACCAACTGAGCGATTCTGGCTCAAATTTGTACTTCGCCACTGCACTAGTTGTATTGATGCTTATTTGAATACGTTTTCTTGTTTAATTATGTGTCTCATTAGCAGCGGAATCTAAGGAATTTAAAGTTCATGTTCAGTAGCTGTTTCCAAGAAGAAAAGAGGCTTAATCCTTTAACCAGTGGCACAATTACTGGCACACACTTTTTAATTTGATGTGCAATAAATACTGCAAACAAAACACTGCTATGTAACCTCCCTATTATTTATCCTCTCCTCAACAAATAAAACTGCTCATTTTTTCATTGTCCTCAATGGTAAATGGAACAATTTATTGATTATCAAAGACACATTTTCAGAACAATGTTCCCTTCATCGAGCTTAAAATAGCTGGTTGAAAAGGCAAGAAATCACAACAACTTATCGTAAGTGTTAATGGCATGTAGTGATGGGCACCGCAGTTCTTTTAGATGTACTAAATCACTAGAATTAGTTCACTCAAAAGATTCGTTCAAAAGATTCGTTCAAAAGATTCGTTGACCAAATCATCAAATCATTTAGCGGGAGAAGCCTGCGACTCTGACCTGAACTGATACACAGCTGAACGTTTCAGAATTCAGTTCAATTCATAGCTTCTGGGGCCAGGAGACGAGAGTGTTTGGCTGTGTTGCTTCGGCAAACAGGTTTGTAAAAATAAACTTGTTTATAAGTCATGATGTTCTAAGTGTACTGTCCTATGGTATGCTATTTACCAGGTCTGTTTGGTAAATTGGTGTCAGTAAGTGACTCGTTCACTGAACATTTAGAAAATTTTATACTGAAGATGCACCATTCCCTCCCAAACTGCTGCAATGATAGGATGCTGCAGGTTTAATGCACTATTTGTTGAATGCTGTGTCCTATTGTATGCAAGTTGTTGTGGTTGCAATTTAGCAGTAAAAAAGTGTAATTTTGTCCAAGAAAAATGTTTCCAGAGAGTGTAGTTCAATGCATGATTCATTCATCAAGTGATTCAGACGTCAGCGCATGTGGTCCCTTCTTCGCTGGCTGCAGGCTTGGCAATGTTGTTTCTACTTTCAGCTCAACTGACGTGAAAAATGAACAAATCACTAGAGGAAGTGATTAGGTTCAGTATTCCTTTAAAAGATTCTGTTCTTTTGAACGAATCATTCACGAACAACACAATACGAATGGCATGGGTAGTTTACGTGTCCATAGGGGCTACATTTATGCTGAACAATATTTACAGGTTTAGGAGAAACCTGTACTGAATGAATAAAACAGAACAAAGGGGGCCTGAACTGTTTAGCAGGTTCCCAGTTTTAAACAGTGTTGTTGGGGAACAGGTAAATCAACAGAAAGGTAAAGATGTGCCTGTCCATATTTTTGTAAAACATGTCATCAAACTAATTTCAATCTTTTTTTTTTTTTTTTTAGGAGAATCAGAGTCATCTGCTGCAATAGTTTTACTGACCTGAGAGACACAAGAGACCCAGAAAGATCCTCTCCATCCTGGTGGTGCTCTGTCGACTGTCAGTGTGTTGAACTTAAAGAAACATTTAATGAGGATGAAAATGACAAGGAGTGACAGGCAAATCAAGTGAAATTCAATACCAGCTTCTTGTCTTTGTACCTGACCCAATTTACCCCCTAATTACCTTCTTAATTAATTACCTTAATAATGTAAAGACATGGGTGGATCTTAATTTTTTAAAATTAAATGAGAACAAAACAGAGGTCATCCTGTCCGGTCGCCCTGACCTGGTTCAGGTCCTTGCCAGCTCCCTTGGCTCACTGGCACCATACATAGGGTCCCATGCCAGGAATCTTGGTTTTATTTTCGATGGTGATTTTAAACTTGACAAACAGGACAGCGCAGTGGTCAAATCTAGCTTTTATCAGCTGCGGCTTCTCCCTAAAGTTAAATCCTATTTAAACCAGAAGGACCTTAAAAAAGTTATCCATGCTTTTATCACATCTCGTTTAGATTACTGTAATTCCCTGTATGTCGGCATTGGCAAATCAGAGCTCAACTGCTTGCAGCTCATTCAAATGCTGCAGCTCGTCTCCTAACTGGGACCAAGAAACGGGAGCACATAACTCCAGTGCTTGCCTCTCTTCACTGGCTTCCTGTTAGGTACAGAATCAAATTTAAGATTCTTTCATTTGTTTTTAAGTCTCTGAATGGGCTGGCCCCGGAATATCTGTCTGAACTTGTTAAACTGAGCCAGCCCTCCAGAGCCCTGAGGTCAGCTAATCAGGTGGTTTTAAACGTTCCTTGAACCTTTTTAAAATCTAGAGGAGATAGAGCATTTCCTGTCCTGGCTCTCACTTTGTGGAATGCTTTACCTCTGACAGTACGCACTACTAACAGCCTTTCCACTTTTAAAACACTTCTAAAGATGCACCTGTTCACTTAAGCTTTTGGGAAATGTTTATCTATATTGTTGTTTTATGTTCTTATATGTTTTATGCTTTTATTGTTTTTATAGTTTTTTTTATAGTTTTTACTGTCTGGCTTTTTTTTTACTGTAAAGCCACTGGCTGTTTTTAAATATGCTATATAAATAAAGCTGACAATGACATTGACATTGACATAACACATCTGCTTTACGGATAAGCAACAGGGCGTGCTTTCAATGCTTGGCGGTAGAGAGATAGTCTCTTCAGTCAGAGAATCAAGAGTACAATGTAACCCTACGAAACACTCAACCTGCACTCTAGCACAGCAACAACTGTGTTATTAACAGAGTAAAAGAACTCGAAGACAAAGCCACAGAGTGATTACTTTATTTTGAAGATTACATTTTATAAACACACTTTACATAGTGAAAAAATAATAAGGAATAACATTTTTTATGAAAGTCTGCTGGTATTTAATAGACTCAATAGGCAAGTGGCCTCAGATGAGCGCTACTGCTGGGCTCCAAGAAAATTTAACCAAACTCCAAAACAAGATTATTTTAAAGAGAGAGATCACAAAAAATTATGAAAACATTTGTTTCTGAATGATCTAAGTATGGTTTTATGTTGCTGTCTCTGACAGAGTATTTCCTTTCACAGAGTCTATGTAGTCAGCTATACTGTTGTCTGTCTGAATGTTTCAGCTTTGCTGGTGTTTGAGGTTGCTAAAGAGTTTTATCATGAAGAGTCTCTTGGCAGTTGGACTACAGGTTATATGTCTGAATGATCATATTTGTGAGCTGCACATGTTCAGCAGTCTCATCACAGAAGGTGCAGTTTTAACCATGTAAAGCAGTTGACCTGAAACTTGTCAAGTTGATTCTTCTTTAATCTTTTAATGCAAACAAGGGAGGCCAAATGCAAAGGAAATGCAAAAGAAAAAAATACCCGTGTTATCACCTGCTCGAAAGTTCTTAAACATGTATTAGATACTGCTGCTGACACAGACACCCTGATTTAATGTTTGAGGCAGATGCTCATTTTCTTAAGACGGTTTTAGAGAGTGTCTTCTTGTTTTCAGCAGCACTTTGTTAAATGAACCTCATTGTTGTTGAACAAGGTTATCTTAGGCTGTGTCTCATTTCAGAGACTGCATATGGCTGGGCGCACTCACGTGCGCTTAGCTGAGCGCACTGCCATTATGTGAACTTGAGGACCCTGGGGGAAATAGTCCAGTTTTTGTGAATTGGGACGCTCTACCCTTCAGGGGACTTCCTGGTTGAGTCACCAAATGTCCCCGCCCTCAGACTCGCATCACGACTGACTTGAAGAAAAGCTGTGGAGCGCAGCATTTATTTTTTAATTGTGCGACCTTGCACAGACACAAAACAGTAGATATACAGCCACAGATCATTTCATCAAAATTCATCCAATGATTGCTTGTTTTGTATAATAATAATAATAATAATGCATCAGATTTCATATAGCGCTTTATCAGAGACCCTCAAAGCGCTTTACATTGGATACATCATTCATTCGCTCACACAGTCACACTTTTGGTGGTGGTGGAAACGTGGCTGCCATAAGGGAGTATGAGGGCCGTATTGAGAACTTTTTTTAAAGACTTTGAGATTTAAGTTGTGAATTTAGGAGAATAAAGTCATTAATTTATTAGAATGAAGTCGTAAGGTTACCTGTTATTTCAAAGGAGAATTATTCAAATTAGGGCCATAAGGCATTTGAAGGAACTGTGCTTCAGTATAGGTTTCACAAACAAGGACATACTTCATCCTTTGGCACATCAGCATTACAATTTCATAAGTATAAAGACTTAGAAAGTCTTCATATATTGTCATAAGTATAAAGACTTAAAAAAGAATATATGAGAAAAGTGTCTTTTCCAGGAAACAAAAACAGGTGGACTTGGAGGAAATCGCTGCTTTTGTGGAGGCAGAAATGGATAAATCCGTCAATGCAGCCGTAAATAGCTGTGAATGGCACTGAGCTTTAGTTAATGATATGAATCCATATCAGAGACATGGTGCACATAGGAGCTCGACTCCCTCTGGATCACAAATATTGATCATCAGTTTGATCGTTTCTTAAAAAAACACAAAAACTCTCTGAATGACCCGCTGATGCATTCACCGATAATATACTGTATTCAGCTTCAGTCATTTCCCCGTCCAAAAAAGCAGCTTTATGACTTTATTTACTTGATAACTTTATTCTCCCAAGTTTACAACTTTAATGTCTAGGGGCTCTATTGTCGTGTTCGCCAGTGAGACGGCGGAGGGTGGCGGACCCGCGCAGTTGTATTTTCGTCTGGTGGAGCCTGGCGTACAGCCAGTTTGATATTTTCGTGGACAGAGGCGAACCAAGATCCGCCCAGCTGGGCGTTGTGGTGTGGCAGGGGGGAGGTGTCGACAGAATCAGCGGGCGCAGTGACATTTTTATGCTTGCGGGTGGCGTATAAAGTGCGCTGAAAGCTTGCCGATTCAAACCTGGTCAGCTTTCAGCGCAGGCAGAGTGCAGCTGATCTAGTGGTATTTTAGTAGTCCGGCGGCTTATCGGCATACGTCACCAATGCCTCACCGGCAGGTTTCCACAGTTTCAGGCACATTTCAGTGCAGTAAGTAATATTCAACAACTAACAATCTGAGTCAGCACATACATTTAGATCTATATAGATATATTCTGATCTATATCTTATCTGATGAGCACGTCTGGCATGCGTTTGGACACACAACCTGACCGAATCAACACAGCTGAAACCACATTAAATTAAATTAAATATCTAGTAAATAGACACACATGATGAAGTTAACAAGATATGTAATTCATCTCCCTTCTTTTCTTTCTTCCTCTTCCTCTTATTTCTCGCGCAGCTCGACCTGGACCTGTCTCTGTGTCCTCTCCCTGTCCTGCTGCAGCTGCTGCTGCTGCGGCTGAACAGATGATTTGTTTCAGTGCCCAGATGCGTTATCTACTTTAAGCCTACATTTGAATATTATAATGTGTAGTTTTGTGAGCCAAATATATTTTATATGCCAACATCTATGAAAGAAAGAGCCAGGCCATGGAGCCCGATGTGTCTTTTCTCATAGATGGTTCCGATTTTAATGCCATTTTTGGAATTTATGTTGTGATCCGTGCGCAAATCCCACCTTTGTCACGTGAGGTTTGAATATGTGCAACTGTATATGAGTGTCTTTGTTTGTGGAAAAGGGTGTTTGTCTTACTAGTGGGTCCAACATTACACACACCAAATCCATCTGTGCTCATATGAGAGAGTGTGAAGGACGCCCTCTGCAGCGCTTACAGTGACACTTGTTGAGGAGCTGCCTTCTGTCGCCATTATGTGGCATAGCTGTCTTCAGACATCTCTTGATCTCTTTGACTACTTCATGAAAATAGTCATACGCCTCGCCTGTGGCAGATTTAAAGGCAAGGAGGGGAGCTTATGTGATTGGTGAAAACAGGTCTCGGCTGTGTTAAACCCACTCCACGCCCTTTCTCCTCCCTCGCGATGACTTACGCCGCTGGGAGGAGCTGAGTTAGGGAGGGGGATACTTACGCCGGGCTGCGCCACTCACCAAAATAACAAATTGTGCTTGGGATTGCCTTGTCGGCACGGCGGACCTGACTGAAGCTGCGCATGCGCCGCGTCGCCGGCGAGGCATGAAAATAGAGCCCCACGTCTTTAAAAAGAAGAAAAAAAAACCTTGATGTGTCCCAGATACTCTGTTGTAGTTTTGTCAGCTTTCTTATTTCTAATGTTTTTGATTGTTGTAGCAGAGCGGATCAGTTTGGCTCTAAAGACTATAATGTTTGGTTTGCAGATTTTAGTGAGTTAAGAGATCGTGCGCTTATGCAGCCTGAGCTGACTGTCTGCTGTTTTTGGATTTCTTTTATTTTCTGTGAAGACGCGCTTCGTCTCTAAGTGAGTCTAGCCTCCAACCCATAAATGTATGCTTGAAAAAGGGGCGGGGGCAGGGTGATTTTGAGACTGCATTTGAAGCGCGCTCAGAATTACGAGCCAAATAGGACACTGTTTGCACCGCATGATGACATCACACAGACTTGGAATGCGCCGTCCGACAGTGCAACCTCTGAAATGAGACACAGCCTTAGTATTGCAGCATCTCAGTTGAAAACTGTTTATCTTTTGGAGCACTGCCATTCTCATTAATTGACTTTTGAGGATGTGTGTACAGGAGAGAAGGTGACCACATTTGATTTTTGAGGTGGGCAGTGGGTGTGTAAGTAAGAAAGGTCTTCCTCTTGATTTTAAAAGAAGGATGTTTATATCATACCGATCAGATTTGAACTTTAGCTTCAAATCAAGTCAGAATACCTTGACATTTTTACAGACTTCAGTCTCTTGGCTCCATTTCTTTGGAGAACTCTGCTCATTTTTGTGGAAAACTTTCCCATCAGGCTGCACTCTCCACTTTAAGGTGACTCCGCTCAGTCCATTCTCCTCCAGCCTGTTCTGGAGCTGGAAACATAAATAGAGACGATTTAAATTTAAATCTTTGTTTGTTAAAAGCAGAATTAATTGAAATGGAAACTATCTCAAAGAAATGAAGAAATGGTGATCAAAAGAAGTATTTAATGGATTAACTTTTTTGTCATGTATGTGGAGGCTCACCTCTCTGAGGATGACTGCTCTCACAGCAGGGTTGTTCATGTCCACAGAGGGGTCCTCTGTCTTTATCTCCTGTGTTATCACATGATTTTTCCCTTTTATTCAAAAAAGGGAGAAAAACATGCCATGTAATAACTGTGAGATACCAAATTTAACTAAAGGACAGTTGAGTCACTTACCAGAGGAGTAGCACATGAATGGGTATTTTTCTTCACAGGGCAATGCCCACCATTCTCCCGAATACACCACCTCTCCAGCTCCACACATCACTCTCCTGTTGCCCAGTGGGTTGTTGCCATTAATCCAGAACGTAAGCGCAGAGTCACTCCCATCAGACCAGTGAATGTTTGGATCTCTGTACAAACCAATCCATGTCCAGTCTGAGTTTGGCCTTGTGTTGTGGAGCCTCTGGTTCTCAGTGCTGTTCCTCACAGTGGCCAGGTCTATGTAGTTCTCCCTGCAGAACCTCTGAGCATCAGACCAACTCATGCTCTCCTGGACAAAAACAAACTCTGGATCCTGTGGTGTGCCTGAGTTTTAAAATGAGGAAATGTTTAATCCAAAGTTTACTTTCTGTTAAACCTGTTGTAAGGTGGCAGTATCTCAAGACTGATAACTTCATTTCAAATCTTATTTGCCAATCCAAGTGGAATTGAAGAAACATTTACAATGATTTGCCAGTGATCCTATCAGAAGAAAGACTAAAATCAACTACATAGGCTGTATAAGTCTGGGCCCTATTTTGTCCTGATATCTTTTGCACTCATATTGCTCTTCACTGTCTTACACATACAGAATGTACAACCCTCAGTGCCAAAGTTGTTTATATTCTGTTCAAGTTTTCTTTCTATTGGTGGTCCACTGATACAGGTTTTTCAACAGTTTTGCGACAGATATATATAAGAACCTGACATATTTTTATGATATATTAAACACTGGTCAGTAACAGTAAGTCTTATCATGTTACTTGGCAGTGCCTTCATATACTAGTCTGCCTGCGGTGTCTACAGACATGATTTGTTCATGTTTTTAATTGGACTGATGAGTCCAGATATCAGCTATTACTGATCATTTCAAAATGCCATTGATGGGCTTCATTAATCGTCCTGATCAATCAGTCTACTTCTGCTTTACTTTGATCTGCTTTGATTTGAAATTGTCACTGTTTATATTAACAGTTCCTTGACAGTGATAGTATTACTGTGAAAAAGCTGTTGACTTATTTCTATCTGCATGTTACTATTTTCACACATGTATTTCTATTTTTATTTGCATTGTTATCCTATGATCCTTAATTTAGCCCTAAAACACCAAAACACAATGACAGAGTACTGTTATTTGTAAACCATCTTGGCAATGAACTTAGTTCTGATTTTTAATTAATTAAAAAAAGTCTTGACACACCCTTACTTTGAACCCTGGTCTTACCTCTGTAACAGAAGAAGGGCAGCTTGTTAAGGCAATCATAATCCCACCATTTTCCATCATGTTCAATATCCACACAGAACTGTTCACCTGAATAAAAATCAGGCTCATTGTCCTCAATAGTTTCCCAGTTCATGTAGTCAGCCCCACTTGCTGTGTAGCCGTCTGACCATTTCCATTCAATCTTCGTGTACACACCAATCCAGTACATATTGTCATTACCATGAGCTGCAACTGTGTCTAAGACTTGTTTGACTTCTTCAGCACTTTTAACAGTGACCAGGTCTGTGTAAGTCTCTCTGCAGAAGGTCTGAGCTTCAGTCCAGGTCTTTTCTTCAGACTCATAGTGGTACTGATGGGGAAGGCAGGAGGTGAAGTGCCATCCTGTAAGGAGGACACATATGACAAACAGCTGACATGTTTTATCATGGCAACATCACAAAGTTGTCATGTTTTCTGCAGTCTATCATAAGTATCAATAGCATGGGTAGTTCACATGTACATGAAGGCTGCATTGATGCTCAACAATATCTACAGGTTTAGGAGCAACATCTGCTGCCATCCAGACACTGACTTTTTCAGGGAAGATCTTACATGATATAACAAGAAGATACAACGCTACAGTATTTTTGCACACTTCGTAGTAGCAGAGTCCAGATGCTAAATTGGCCTATCTGCAGTCTTGGCTTGTCCTCCACTGAAAATCTCTGATGCATCATGAATAAAATAGAACAAAGGAGAGACTGAACTGTTCAGCAGGTTGATCGTTTTTAACAGAGTGTTGTTGGGGAACAGATGAATCAACAGAAAGGTAAACATGTGCCTGTCCTAATTTTTGTAAGACATGTCATCAAAATAGTTTCAATCATCCGTTTTTTTTTAGCAGAATGAAAGTCATCTGCTGTAATGGAGGGTTTACTGACCTGAGAGACACAAGAGACCCAGCAAGATCCTCTCCATCCTGGTGGTGCTCTGTGGACTGTCAGTGTGTTGAACTTAAAGAAACATTTAATGAGGATGAAAGTGACAAGGAGTGACAGGCAAATCAAGTGAAATTCAAAACCAGCCTCTGGTCTTTGTACCTGACCCAATTTACCCTCTTAGTAGTTTCTTTATGAAACAAGTTTTTCTGATTTAAGATGTCATGAAAATGTTGATGAAGGCAGTAAGACTCCAAACTTATACTGGTACGACCCTTAATTATTGAACTTACTATTTTTGACTGGGTGTTCAAAGCTTGCATCTCAACAATTGTGAGTCATGTTTCTGTTGATTGTGACGGGTGAAGCAGAGTCATCTCTGCCATTCATGGGTGAGACTTATTGATAACCAGGGTGTTTCAGTTTTACTATTTTTTGACAAGGTTTCATACAGTTAATGTAGAACCACAAATTTATTAATCAAGCAACACCAGTGACAATAGCTGTCTATTTGATAAAGTCAGTCATGTATTGACCCTAGCTTTCCATCTGTCCCAATCTACCCCAGGGTGTGAGGGACATAAGGAGCCATGTGATAGTCTTTGGAACTTTTTAACAAAAGATACTTATTAAAGCATGATTTCATGTCTCTTCACTAAATGCTTTGACATCTCTGATTAGAGCACAGGTACCATGTGTTTATCTTCAACACAAATTCTACCAGCCAACCAGCTAGACTTATAGTCCATTCAAATTCATTCAAAACAACACCAGCGATGTAGGAGTCAATTCCTCCTTTAAGTTTGCTTTATACCGAGGTGAGAAATGCGAAATCACAAATACACAGTTTGCACATTTACTGCACACTTAAAGGAGGGGTATCATGCATTTTTTCTGCAGACTCTAAATTTCCTTTCTGATACCTCTTTGATAGCTTTAGATGATTTTCAGATCAAAAAAGCTTCCAATTATTCACACTAGTGTATTGAAATATCATTATTTCAGCCCCCATATGGAACACTTTGGTCTATCTGCTGTCTCTTTCTTTCTTTGCTTGATCCCTCATTGCACCTGGGATCATCTCATCATCTGTTTTAAAAAGCTCTCAATTTTTTTTCCAAACAAGAGCATCATTTATTACAGATAAAGATGAAATTACTGTGTGACATGCAGTTCACAAAGCGTCCTCTGGAAGCCCGTCGGACCTTCTCTGAGACGCAGCTAAGGTTACCTTGACCGTAAGACTGCCTGGGACCAGGATTGTCGCGCTGGCTGAGTTACCATAGTTACCAAGCCACGCTAGCCCTAAGCCTCGTTTGTGGAACCAACTCTCACTAAAATTAGCCAAGCTAACCGAAATAAGCCAGGCTTTGAGCTAAGCCAGCTTCGTGGAATACCCCCCTGCACAGACCTCTTTCTGCTCTTACAAGATGAAAACACTGTTCCAGTTCTGCAGGTGCATTGCTTAGGGGTTGGTGGAACATGTACTCCAATTAGTCTTCTGAGTCCATGCTGGGAATAGACTTCATCAGCTACAGTCAACATCCCTTGATCCCCCCCCCCCCAAGAGTCGCTAACCTGAATGTGTTAACAACCCCTTTCATGTGAGGTGTTGTGGTCATGTGGTCCCAGGTGTGAATGTTTGTGGAGCTTCCTGGGCAGAGAGCTGAGAACTGCATTCGAAGTGCCGGAGAGATTATGCCTGAGTCCACCCCCTCTGTTCAGAGAAGGTTTCTCCAGTCTGGTAAAGATGGCTTCTTTAACTCCTCTTTAAAACCATCTGTCCTCTCTAGCCAACACCTGTACATTGCTGTCCTCGAAAGAGTGACCCATGTCCTTTAAGTGAAGGTGGACAGCTGAGTCCTGACCTGAGGAAGTGGCTCTCCTGTGTTGAGCCATGCGCTTGTGAAGCGTTTGTTTAGTTTCCCCAATGTACAGGTCTGAGCATTCCTAGCTGCACTGGACAGCATACACCACATTTCTCTGTTTATGTCTCTGTGTTTTGTCCTTGGGATGGATTTCTTCTGCCTTAGTGTGTTGCCAGGCTTGAAATGAACAGGAATATGGTGTTTGCCAAAGATCCTCTTGAGTTTTTCCGACAGGCCTGGGACAACCTAAGGGATTACAGTGCTCTTGCGTCTTTCCTCCCTTTCGTGTTCAGTGTTACTTCTCTTTCTGTTATTCACAAAGGCCCACTAAGGGTATCCACAGGTTGTCAGGGCATTTTTGATGTGCTTCTGTTCCTTTTCTTTACCTTCTTTCTTTGTGGGAATGTTCTCAGCCCGGTGGTTGAGTGTTCTGATGACACCCAGTTTGTGCTGCAGAGGATGGTGGGAATCAAAAAGTAAATATTGATCCGTGTGTGTGGGGGTTTCCTGTACACTCAAACGTTGAGACACCCATCTGTCTCCAAGTGTACAGCACAGTCCAAAAAAAACACAGTGTCCTTGACATCTTCACGGGTGAACTTGATGTTGCTGTCCACTGTGTTGATATGGTCTGTGAAGGCCTCTACTTCATGTGTTTTGATCTTAACCCAGGTGTCATCCACATATCTGAACCAGTGGCTAGGTGCTGCTCCTTTGAAGGAGTGGCTAACCTGTACATGGAAGAGGTAGAGAGGAAGGCCCTAACCTCCTAAACCCTGTGAAGTTGATAATGTGCTGCTATAGAAATACAAGAGTTGGGGGGAAGCCTTCATGGAAAAGGTTTATTTAAGTACTTATATGCGACTATATTTCAAATTGTTTTTTACCAAGTCTTTTCTGTAACCCCCCCCCCCCCATCAGCAAAGCACAGAGTCACTGAAAGGAAAAGTGTGTATCAGATTTTATTAAAGTAATGTACAAGCATGTTTGTCACCAAAGAGGCAACTGTCGAGAATACAACAATGTAGAAAATATATAAGGTGCAAAAAGAAACACTGATGAATGAGCCTGTACCCCCCCCCCCCCCCTCCCCCCAAAAAATATGATTAGCAGGTTTCATTTACATCTTCAGCTTTCTTAGTGATAAGCCACACTGAGCCAACAGGGAATCAAATACATGAAATCATGCTGACTACGCTATCTCACAGACATGTTGGTTATCAGTTTGTAAGCAGTGATGGGACAGAAAATACTTATAAGATTCAGGAGCTGTTGGCACTGATTGGTAGCATTAAGTTTATGCTACCATTACTTGAGTCAACCGCCCCCGAAAAGCACAAAGCAGGGGGCCGACTGCACTGGCTGAAAAACACTGATTATATGAGACCAGATGGAAGCAAGCTTGTTTTTTTAGGAGCTGAACTTTCTGAATGTCATGTCAGTTTCTCAGATGCCATCTAAACCTTTATGAACAATAGACATCTCTCTATTTTCAGTAAGTTGGCGTTTCGCTGTAAATGCTGAGTCTGAGTTTTTTCTGTGGGAAGTAAGTTTGTCTAAGTGTCTTAGTAAATAGTAAGAAAGTTACAGTTTCACTTTGAATAGTCAATAAAACCTCAAGTTTTGTCAGGTCCATCTTCCAGAGGAGAATACAGACAATTACTAATTGTCTTTGTTAAAAGAAGCTCATTTAAATTTGTCACCAAATTTGGCAATGGTTACTACATCCACTTCTTGTATATGGGCTATGCTTGCAGTATCAGAGTAATGGCAATGCAAAGGCAGTGAAACAGAAAACCATGAAAAAGCACCATACGCATGTGATGATGAAGGAATGTGTGTGTGTGTGTGTGTGTGTGTGTGTGTGTGTGTGTGTGTGTGTGTGTGTGTGTGTTTTACTGAAAACAGTCTGCACAGCAATATGATTTTACAGCGAGTATGTCTTTCTCAGTTTTTGTACCTACATTGGGTTTGGAGACATTAAGCTTGCACACAGATCACCAGGCTACAGTAAACCACTGACATGATAAGGGGAGCTGGACTTTGTCTCTAAGCTGAGGGACGAATGTAAGTCATGTGGTTAAAACTTTGGAGCTCTCCAATGAAGGAAAAGAAGGTGGAAAGCAGCCATGTTATCTTCGTCAGCTGACTCACATCTGAAGTCCACCTTTTGCATATTCCTAACCATCCATAATCACACTAAGAGACTATAGAAAGCATCAGAGATGAACTGGTTGACCTCTAAAGAGTCATTGGCCTGGGCAGTCTGTTTAGAAGACAAGACTCTGACAGGGAATCTTGAAATTGTCACTGCTTCATGTACCAAGTATACCAAACAAACGCAGATCACCTCATAGTCTGGACTCACTGAGAACACCTCTTAGTGTTTGTACATCATAAAGTTATGCTGCTGGCTGCTGGCCTAGTATTCATACTCATGTCTTTACAGGAATTGTTTTGTCATTAGACACAGATTTTATTAACACCCAAAGAAAGAAAGATTTTTTTCATAAGGATGCACCATATTCAACTTTGTCGATACTATAATGATACTTCCATACTTCTTTTGGCCAATACAGATATTTTTTTCCAAATTTGCTCTAAGGGTAAAGAATAAGTCTTCTGTCTGTCTCCAGCACTTCAAATACTTGAATCCACCCAACACATGTTACACTATCATCATATGCAAACCCTCTTTTGGCCAATATTAACATCAGCAGACATTTTCATGCTGATACTGCACATCCCTCCTTTTTTATGGGTTCAGTCTTTTCTAAGCAAGGCCTTAGATGCAGTCTCAGGTTACACAGTGAGTCTCACAGTAATTAAGGTTTTGTGGCACACTGAGTGCTTAATTTTTGTTTGCACAGCTTCCCTTTTTTACACCCTTTGGGTTTATTTCTCTGCTTTAAGAAGTTTTTCTAAAACGTTTTAAATGTTCTTTATGCGACAATATTAGTGTAAATCCTGACATGACACGTGTGATGAACTCAGAGACTTCTCCCCATTATTGTTACTTTCTAGGAGCATGACTGTAATTCTGCTTAGTGAAATGGTCCAGCAACCTGAATCAGTGTCCCTCAGCTAATGTGTGTTGTGACTACTGTGACCTTTAAAAATGCTCATAGTTTGCTGTTGCCCATTTAACAGTGTGGGGATGGTATTCTACAGACCACCACATATTCTATAAAAACCCTTAAATATATCAACATAAATAAACAAAGGGAAGCTAGTATTTCCTTTTCCCAAACATTTACAAATAAATACTTGGTTCCAACCTTTTTAAATGAAAAGAAAGAAAGGTGGTTGCTTGGAAAGAGTACAGCGGACAACACAAGTTGCACAACGCAGTATGCTGAGCATGCTTGATAGTAAAAAAAAGTGTAAAAAGTTTCTGTATGTTGTGGCAGTGACAGAATGCTAAAACCAGCTACTTGTGAATGCTATGCTTGTGTCCTACTCTCTCAACACTCTCACACTGTATGAACAGTTTTAAATAAATATATACACAATTTCTTCAAAAGAAACACAGGAATAAAAGTGAGGGCTGGTCTGAGGGCTTGGCAGGTTTATGTGCCGTTCTTCTGCTCCCATTCCTGCCAAAGAAACAGATCTGCACTTAGTTTGCATTCATTTTGCATACATACACATCTATACGCAGTTTGCATGACTTTGCCTTTGGTATGGTCACTGACATTTTTATGACCCACAGCATATCAGAATAAACACAAATGACTTCTTAGGTAATAATTAATCTCTGATGCATCGAAGAGGTCTGGTAAACTCAATGCTTGGCCTTTGGCCTTTGCAAAACTGTGTCAAGCAACTTTGTGAATTTCAAATCCAATTGGTCGTCGCACTTCCTTAAGATTATCATGAAAATGAGCCAGGATGTCATTATAGTCGTTCCTGGTCATTAAGGCCAGAGCTGAGGCTGCAAGCAGTGCGCAAGAGCCCTATTGAAATTGCAGGAATTATGTATTATTATTATTATTATTATTATTATTATCACCACCATCATCATCATCATCATCATCACCATCATTATTATTAGTATTATTATTAGTATTATTTAATTATTATCATTATTAACAATACTATTCTATGATATTTTTATCACAAGTTACTATGACATTTTAGATCAAACTATACAATGATTTTTTTCAACATGCTATACTCTGATATTTTTATCATATTATACTGAAACATTTTTATCAAACTTTACCGTGACAGTGTTTTTCATACTATTGTATAATATTTTTATCATATCGTATGATAATTTTTATCATACTATATTTTGACATTATCATTCTATAATATGACATTTTGTAATATACTTTACCATGACTTTTTTCCATACTATACTATGATATTTTTACTGTACTATGGTAAGATATTAGCAGGACAGTGGTGTAGTGGTGAGCACTGCTGCCTTAACAGCAAAAAGGTGGTTTCATACTATAGTATGACATTTTTCATTGTACTATACTATATTTTAAACAAACTTTACTTTGACATTTTTTATCATAATATACATGACATTTTTTAACAAACTATAATATGATATTTTTATCATCCTATACTATGAAATTTTTTGTCATACTATACTATAAAATCTTTTAGAAATACTTTACTATGACATTTTCATCATACTATTCGACATTTTTTTTATCATATTATACTATAAAAATTTTGTAACACACTACTGTTTTTTTTATTAAAGTATACGATGACATTTTTACATTTATACTATTAATTTTTTTATCATTCTTTACTAAGACATTTTTAGCATACAATAGTATGATATTCTATCATACTATATGATGACCCATTTTGAAGATACTATCCTTTTACATTTTAATCATACTATACTGACATTTTTAAACATCCTATACTCTAATTTTAATCATAATATAATACGATAGTTTTTGACATACTAAACTATGACATTTTTTATCATATTATACTATTGTTTTTATCATACAATGAAATTTTTTTTTAAATACTTGACTATATTTTTAACACAGTATACTTTTTCATTCCTTTTTTTCATCAACATGTTTTAGCATACAATATTTTGCAACTAATCATACTAAATGATTTTTTTTAACATACTACAACATTTTTAACATACTATACTATGCAATTTTTTAGCATACTATACATTGCCTTTTTTAATTATACTAGACTATGACAGTTTTATCATACTTTTCATTGACAATTTTTTTTCATTATTATTTATGCTTTTCATACTACACTATGACATTTTTTTATTATATATACAATGACATTTGATGGTCATACGGAACTATTTTTTTATCACACTAAACTTTGACATTTTATTATTATACTATTCTTTGACATTTCATCATACCACACTGACATTTTTACCATATTATACACTGACATGTTTTATCATTCCATACTACAACATTTTATCCTAAGATACTGTGATGGATTTTTTATCCCACTTTACCATGATATGTTTATCTTACTATACCATGGCATTTTTATCATACTATACAATGACATTTTTATCATACTTTGATGTTTTGATCACTCTATACTATAATATTTTTCATAGTTTACTGACTTTTTCATCATAATATATTATAGCATTTTTATCATTATTCACTTTGACATTTTCATTGTACCATACTATGACATTTATATCGTACTGTTCTATGATATTTTTATCTTACTCTACTGTGATATCTTTTTATCATACTATACTATGGCATTTTTATTTTACTACACCCTGATATTTTGATCAAGATACAATGATATTATAAACTACGATATTTTGATCAAATTATACTGACATTTTTAAAGACATGGAGCCCAACAGCAACAACACATGTACAGGACAGAGCAGGGTTTTAAGTCATTTTGAAGTTTTCCAATTGGATGCATCGAGGGAAACTGACTACGCTGTTAAGATCAGCTGATGTACTGTGGACTGTGGCCTTCTTAAATTAACGTTTTGCTCATTTTTGCACGACATCTCATTTGAGGGGCTACTAAATCCTTACACGTGGCCACAGATCTCACAGATATCAGTCAGAGACAGCCTAATGTATTAGCATACTGTTTATCCCCTTACCTTTGCCTTCCTCAGGACATGTCCCCGGACTGGTGAGGGCTTTTGGCCGCCCTGCTGCCGGCGGAGCAGAGAGGCACTGTTTACAGGCAAGGAGCAGGACTCTGTGTCGCTGGTGTCACAGCTGGAGAAAGGAGATGACCCCTGGTTCCGTCGCATCATGGCAGGTGACTACACACAGAAATGAAAAGGATCAGACTACCAACCATGGCCTTTAATAACCAAATCTCCTGTTTAGGAGACCCAAAACAACACAGCGGGCTTACGCGCAGCGTAAGTCAGGTCCGCCGTCTGAAGTGTCTGAAGACACTAATGCCACATGATGGCGGCAGAAGGCAGCCCCTCAACAAGTGTCACTGTAAGCGCTGCAGAGGGCGTCCTCCACACTCTCTCATATGAGCACAGATAGATTTTGTGTGTGTAATGTTGGACCCACTGGTAAGACAAACACCCTTTTCCACAAATAAAGACACTCACATAAAGTTGCACATATTCAAACCTCACATGACAAAGGTGGGTTGTGCGCAGAGATCACACCATAAATTCCAAAAATGGCATTAAATTCGGAACCATCTGTGCGTAAATGACGCATCGTGCTCCGTGGCCTGGCTCTTTCTTTTATAGATGTTGGCATATAAAATAAATTTGGCTCACAAAACTGAATATTATCATATTTGTATGTAGGCTTGAAGTAAATAACTCATCTGATCACTGAAACAAATCATCTGTTCAGCCGCAGCAGCAGCAGCACAGGAAGAGGACACAGAGACGTGTCCAGATCGAGCTGCGTGAGAAATAAGAGGAAGAGGAAGAAAGAAAAGGAGGGAGACGTTTATTTACTAGATATTTAATTTAATTTAATGCGGGTTTCAGCTGTGTTGATTCGGTCAGGTTGAGTGTCCAAACGTGTGCCAAACGCGCTCATCAGATAAGATAGATCAGAATATATCTATATAGATCTAAATGTATGTGCTGACTCAGATTAATAGTTGTTGTTGATTATTTATTGCACTGAAATGTGCCTGACACTGTGGAAACCTGCCGGTGAGGCATTGGTGACGTATGCCGATACGCTGCTGGTCTACTAAAATACCACTAGACCAGCTGCGCTCTGCCTGCGCTGACAGCTGACCAGGTCTGAATCGGCAAGCTTTCAGCACACTTTATACGCCGGTGGCGAGCACAAAAATGTCACTGTGCCCGCTGATTCTGTCGACACCTCCCCCTGCCACGCCACCACGCCCAGCTTGACGGATCTCGGTGTGCCTCAGTCCACGGAAATACCAAACTGGCTGTACACCGGGCTCCGCCAGACAAAAATACAACTGCGCGGGGTCCGCCACCCTCCGCCGCGTCCCCGGCACACACGAAAATAAAGCCCAGGGTCTCATATGTTCTGACCTGAAGTCCAGAGGCGCTTGTTTTTGGTTCGATGGTCAAGCCCAGAGTGACACCACCGTTCAGGGCTTTCGTTAGGCTCTCCTTCACCTCTGTCAGCTCCAGTTCAAGGTTCACCCGCTCCTCCTCCTTCTTCCTGCAGTCCTCCTCCACCTTCTTCAGGCGCTCTGACAGCGAGGAATGAGAACGTTTGCCTAAAATAAAGGAGAGAGATCACTTAAATGTTAAGGAGGTCTTGCAAACCAAGACTTGATCCAATGATGCACTCTTATTTTTTGACTCTCTTACCTGTAGCAGCCTCCACAGCAGTCCGCAGGTCTCTCCTCTCCTTCTTAAGGTGGGTCAGATGGTTCCTGATCTCCTGCTTCCTCTTCATCAGCTCTTCCTCCTTGGACTGCAGTCGCTTGGCATCGGCCTCTACGCGGTTCTTCCCGTACTTAACCTGATCAGCATCTGCAAAATGAAGATTGAATACATTGATGACTCAAAGATGCTAATCTCAAACATCAGACCTGCTAGGAAAGCAACCTCTAATATCTAATCACAACCGGGCTTCTGCTGAATGATGAAGGACGAAAATGAAGTACTTTTAACATTTATACTCTCTGCTGCATGGAGCTGCACTGTGCACTCTCATCCTGACATAACTGAATTGTTTCCTTGTGCATGTACTTGCTGAGCCACTCTTCTTGCTATTTTTTTATGGAGTCGATTCTTAAAAGATGTTGTCATGCTCACTCTTTAGGCTTAATGCTTACTAACACTGCCCTATTACCACCAACATCCAGCAGATGGTAAAAATCTCTCCCTAACTGTGCGGAGCTGTTAGAACTATTGTTGGTGTTATTTGCACAGAAAGAGTCAAATTTTGCTCCAGATGCAATGCCTTATTTTTACTCAATCAGTGCCAGGTTCATGTCTGCAAATTTCACCTAGTGCCACCATTGACCACGATACAAATTTCTTTCAGGACCCACAGAATATCCTCTGCTTGGACTAGAATTAAATGCAATATCTCAAAAGAAAGGGGTGAAGAAACCTGGGAAAAACACATTTTTACGAAGGAGAGACTTTCAAGCTGAACTCTGATCATCTATTTCATTTCACTTCAAACTACTCTACCGGTGGCATCGAGGTCCTCCCTCCTCGGACACCACTCCTCATCACTCTCGAGATCAAATTGTGATAGGTCACTTTGTGACAGCTGGGAGTCGTATTGGCTCTTGAGAACCTGACGCCCCGACTGCTTGCATCCTCCTGTGTACACAAGGACTGTTGCTAAATTCTGGCTCAGTCTCGCTCACCAGTACCGGCACCAGCGGCACAATGAAACGCCGGCAAATTGTTTCTTTGATTGTCTGCTGATGATGTGATGGTCTGGTACTGGGATATCCACTGGATTCAGAGACGGTAGTACGGTGCCCATGGGAGCCAAAACGTCAAGACTGTTAGTTCTTGGCTAATGACTTTGGCATTTTCCTACTCTCCTCATAGAGAAAAAACACTCCACAACTAGACTATGACATACTTAATGCTTAATGCTACTTAATGGCACACTTCTCACTGGTGAGTAGTTTCTATGTTATTGTAACATGGTTATATGGTTTGTCGGCTTTTTGGCGTTCAGAACAACCCCAAACTTAGTCGCATGTTGGGGCGGGGGGGGGGGGGGGGCTCTGGCGGGAAAAAAAAAAAAAAAAAAAGGAAAATCGGTCAAAATCTGACAATGGCACTCCGGGCAAAAAAAAAAAATCTGTCCAAATCTGTAATGCAAACTACAAATGTGCACAGTGACACACTTTGCAGTACAGTTTGTCCTTACTCCTCTGCATCTGCTTTGTGAATTAGATGGTGTTTTCTGGCACAGGTTAAGTGGGATGCAAACTCAGACTCGCTTATATTTTTTTCTCTTTTAGGTTGAGACTTTATTTGAAGAAACTCAGATTGCAGAAATGTTAAAAAATGACACTAATGTTTTATTGATCACAAATATAACTATCCAAGATCCACTGTTTGGTTTCTGATCTGAAAGGTTAAAGTTATAGATCCAGCCAGCTGTTTAGCCTCCGTTGCAACTACCCTGTCATCTTTTAGGCTCACAAAATGAGGTCATTCATAAATTCGAACCGACATACTTCTCACATTAATTCAACACATGAATATTGTGGTGAAACACTTAGGAAAAAGGGAGGTTAATCCTCTCCCTGACACTTAATTTGGGATGGTGCATCACCTCTTAAATATGACATTAAAGAGCTTTTCCAGTTCGGCAAAACCCAAAACCAACACATGCGAGAGAAGAGAAGCAAAGCCGTTAATTTTAGAGGACTGGTAAAACATAAAATACCCAGAAACCCACTGAACTCTCAGTCTTCAGCAGTTATTAATTACACTATGCCTTTCCCTTACTGGAAAATACACTGAGGGTAACAATCAAACATCTGTGAGTGTGTGTGTGTGTGTCTGTGTGTGTGTGTGTGCCCTTTCGAACTTTGCTTATGAAGAATCGCTCATGAAACCGCTGCTGACATTTTCAAATTTAATACATTTATTTCTTACTAGAAATATGAGGATTGTGTCAGATGCTGTAAATCCGACTCAGCGCATATTTCCACTCCGACATCTGGAGGAGTGACAGCTCTGCTCATTCACACATTAGGTACAAAATACTTCCCTGCGCCACAAGGATCAGTGCAACCGCGTTCCTCCCTCTCCCCAAAAATCTGGGCTTCACTCCTGAGGTCTGCTGTGTCAGTTTGAGTGTAACCCCAACTTTGGCAGGAGGTTTCAATCTGACCCACTTGCGTCAGATGTATGATTTTGAGGGCGGGGTAGGCTTTGGGCTTTCTTCTTATTTACTCCCCTCTTTCTAAACTTTTAACGATAATCTTGCATATTCCAAAAAAAACTTTGATCTTCAAACTTTTCTTGTGTTTCTACTTACTGGAGGTGTTGCGTTTGAGTGAAGTCGTCCCGTTCATGCAGTTGACTCCGTTCTTTTTGGTCTGGTTCTTTTGGTCTGCTTTCTGTTTTGAAGCTATCCCATTGGTTGATGCTCCTTTCTTTCCCTTCAGCTGAGTAGAAAAGAACAGAAAGCAGGACTGTAAACCATATGAAAATAAATAACACACTTCATATGCACACTGTTCGTCTTAAATACCAGAACTAAACATTTTCCTTGGACATGTTTGGGTTGGATAATGCTTCTGGTTTATTGAATTAGTTGTTATTAGTTTCCACTCTCTTATCAGGAAAATATTTTCTTAAACTTGCAGAAACTTGTTTTTTGATCACTTGGATGCAGCAGATGTTATTAGAACAAAACTGACCTGGTATCACTTTGTCAAATTTTGTTCAGGGGGAAAAAAAAATCTACTTTAGTATCCTGCAGCGATAGAAAAACTAAAGTCCACCTGTTATATTTCTGTCAAGTATCAGAACCTTTGATGTGAACTCCCACATATCAAACCTCACAGAGTATTTTCAGACCAACAGTGCTTCCTGCAGCTGGATGTATGGTACAACTCTGTAGATTCAACTCTATGTCTTCTAGCTCATTGGTACTTTGTGGTCTGGGAGGCAATGTTAACACCCCACAGCCGTACCACACACTGCACACACATCAAAACAGAGGCAGGGAGGAGGCGGAGCTCCAAACAACACCATGTGGTGACTTATGCAGCCATAAAGTCAGGGTGGCATCCAGAGTGGGGCGGTAAAATATACATTATACATGACTTATTGTGAGGGAGAGAAAAGAATTACACTATGTGGGACAACCTCACACAGGGAAAAAACACTCTCTATAGAGCGGCAGGAGGTAGAGCAGTCAGCCAATAACTGAAAGGTTGGCGGTTCGAGCCCCGTCCTGTCCCTAGTCTGTCCTTGGGCAAGACACTTAACCCACCTTTCTCCCAGTGTGTCTGTCCTCCACTGGTGTATGATTGTGAGTGTTGTGTGGTGGTGGTCGGAGAGGCCGTATGCGCAAACTGGCAGCCACGTTTCCGTCAGTCTGCCCCAGGGCAGCTGTGACTACTAAGGTAGTTTACCACCACCAAAGTATGACTGTGTGAGTGAATGAATGATGTATCCAATGTAAAGCGCTTTGAGGGTCTCTGATGAAGTGCTTTAAAAATCTGATGCATTATTATTATTATAGATAATCTATACTTTTCATGTGCAAAGACATATCACAAAAGCTGGCCAGGAGCTTTGTAAGGAAGTATTCAAAGAGAAATTCAAGAACCATATATGTTGTGAGGAGGTAAGTGTTGGCTGCCTGGCAGATGGAAAAACAGCCCTGTAATCACATTTAATTAATTTAACATTGTCCATAATCACTCATATCCTAACCCTGTAAACTGAACTCATCACCATTACGAGCTGTTGTTGTTGTTGTTGCTGCTGTCCCCTGTCTCTCTCTCACCCTCGTTCTCTACTCTCTCTCCTTCCCCTTATCTTGTTCTCTCTCTCTCTCCCCCTGCCCTCCCCCCTCTCCCCTCTTCTCTCTCTCCTCTCTCTCCCTTCATCTCTCTACATTCCTCCCCAACCCAGCAGCGGCATGGTGGCTGTCTGGCATGAGTCTGGTCCTGCTCAAGGTTTCTGCCTGTTAAAAGGAAGTTTTTGCTTGCCACTGCTACTCATGTTAGTTGAAATGGGCCAAAACCCATCTTAGGTTGGTTCTTGATCATCAAACAATGAGCGTGGTCTAGACCTGCTCTTGTTCTTTGAAAAGCGTCTTGAGATGATGACTGTTGTGAATTGGCAAGATAAGCGAAGACTTCTTTGAAACAGGGGTACCAAAATCAACAGAAACCAGAGGTTCCCTACTGGAGCTTTAAATCAATCCATTACAAAATTTAGCTGATTCAAGATGTTGGGATCATGGGTTTGTGTAGAAACAATGGTCTGTCTTTAAGGAGATCTTCTTTTTAAGTTTGGCATCCGTGTCTACTTTTACAGTTTGTCGCTGGCAAAGAAAAGAACTTTACCAGAGGCGCTGAATTACTATTTTTAAGCCTCTTAGTCATTCAGGTCTCCTAGTGTGTGAAAGTCCTGAAACTATGTCAATATTTTGATGTTTTTTAGACACAATCAGACACAACTTTTTGGGTTTGTATAATCAGGCTGGTGGTGAAGCTAATGCTAAGTATTTCCAAAGACAGGAGTGATTCCGGCCCAGGCACAGTGAGAATCAAACAACTAAAATCTACAGAAGAGAGACTCACAGGCTGATGGGACAGAGACAAAGGGTTGCCAACATGAACACCTTATTTGGAGAGTGAACGCTCGCTCCTCCACAAATGATAAATGCTAATACCCTACGTTTTCAGCTTGAAGGAGCAGGGATTAAACAGTGTTTGATACAGGTTTACACCTACTGTTCAAATACAGGTATAAATAAGACCGATATGTGATGAAGCGATGCTGCGAAACACAAAAAGCAATGATTACTACTGTACTTAACATTCAAGTGAAAAGAATCAGAATGTTAGTCACCTGAGCAGCGTCTTTGTTTTTAGTGTCAGCAGTGAGAAACTTAGAGGAGACTTTAGAAACAGGTGCTTTATAGTGACCGGCAGAGGAAGAGGAAGAGAAAGAGGAAAGCTTTGGAGGGTAACGAGCTCCAAGTTTAAGCGAGGGCATGTTCTCATAGAGGTCAGTGTTCTCATAGTGCTGCTCCTCTTTTAGCTGGCGCCCCCCTGTGCTGGGACTGGAGTACTGCGCCTCTGGGTCCTTGGGTTAGAACATGCAGGCATGCAAGGAGAAGAGGGAAACAAAGAGAGAAGAAGAATAGGGGGAGGAAGACGACAGCAGTTAAAAGTTAATAACACTACATTGTCATATCAAGATTAGTTGAAATACTGTATAATTTGCATCAATCAGGAGGGCGAAAAATAAATGTAAAATAAATCTGTGGGCATTTCAACCTTCTAGCATCATTTTTTGAGGACATTTCTTCTGAAATTAAAAGTTTTGGACATCCACAAATCCTTCAACCGTCCAACACAATGTCAACTTCTTGTTATTGTTTGTACCACCTACAGACTCAGGTTGTGATTTTAAGAGTCTGACAACTAGGGCTGGGGGGAATATTCCACATTTGAATATTTTGTGAAAATAGTTCTTTGAATAGGAGAAGTGATAACCAATATACACTTCCATTTGGGCGTCTCACTGAAGCGCTGTTGTGGGCTTTTTTAGAGAAGATTGTTGAGGGTTTACTGTAAGTCGAGACGCTCCAGCTTACTTCTTAAGTGTGTTTGTGTACCACCTGTGAGGAGGTGTGTCCTTACCGTTCCATTAATGGGCACATCATCGTAATGCAGAGCCATACCAGTGGGGCAGGCGTAGCCGTTAACTGGGTTGTCCAGGTATGGGTTAGGAGAAACTGCACGCTTACTGGTGAAACTGTAATGAGAAAACATTGACTTTCAATAAAAACAAACCCATGCCTCTTCAGTTCGCTTCAGACCTCATCCTGTCCTGTAAAATACTCTAAACATCAATCCAAAACATTTAAATCAAGCTTGATTTTTCTGCCCTACAGGAAAGCATTAGTTCCTCACCAGAAAGACTGCTTTGCCAGCTGGATGACGTTTGCGGTGGTCTCAACGTCGATGTAGTCATAGTGCAGGGTGGCTGGATCTGTAGTGGAGCCAGTTTCCGCCAATAAGACCCCCAACCAGCGACCCATCATCTCTGAGGAGGACGCCTGAAGGGAGGATGGATGGAACTTAAAGGATTTTCCTTTTTGTTGTTCAGTTTTTATCTCCTTTTAAAGGCGGGGTAGGCAGGAATCCGTTAAAGAAGCATCTTTTTTTGTGGCGTATATACAAAAAAGCTTTTAATATCAGTCAATAGCTATTAGTTATTGATGATATTTGGTAATATAACAATATCGCTGTGTTTTGTTCTGTCTGTGTGGTCAACATTTTAAGTCAGGAATACTAATCTTAACCTAAAAAACAATAAAGTTGGTTACTTAATAATTATTGACACAAAAATTACAACCTGAACCTGTCAGTGATAAAAACAGGCCCTTTGTAATGATTAAGTTTTACAGAGAAAGAAAATAAGAAAATGTTAAGCAAAGACTGCATCAATACAGTTAATGTGGGGAAAGACCAAAATCAGCAAAATGGCAAATGAAAAGGAAAATTTACACATGAACTGAAGCAAACCACATGTAAAGAGAAAAGAGGAAAGCTTCTAAACCCTTTTGTTATAGTTTTCTCAAACATTTCGAATTCTTTAAAGGTGCACTATGCTGTTTTTTGGGCTGATTTTACCACAGGAGTACTTACTACATACGAGAGAATCCAACTCACCTCCAACACTGCCACCTCCTGGCCGTTACGAAGCAGCCGGAAGGCAAAGGGGTGTTTGTGGTCGAGACCAGGGCTGACCTCGCAGCCTCGCAGGGGCAGAGAGGCAATGTGGCTCTTCAGGTCATCCCGGTCTTTGTGGAGGAGCAACTGGTTGTCTTTCAGGCGGCACCAGCGCTCCCGCCAGCGGTTGTTGGATAAAACATTCAGGTAGCCTGAAAAGTAAAGAGATAAACTGATTATTTCCCACAGGTTTCAAATTTTTATTTTTTTAATCGTGCTGCTGGCATGACTAACATGGTAGAGGTCCTGAGGACACTACATTTTGATGATAGCCCAAGAACTGACACCAAAGGTACCGATACAGGCTCTGTCACCACAGAAATCCACATGTTGACTTCTTGTCTTACCACAGGTAGGGACGTCTTCTTCTGCTGACGAGGTTTGCTCATCCGTGGACAGCTTCTTCTTACCCAGCCCGATGATTTTCGTGATCTTCTTACCAGCTCCTTTCCCCACTGTCCCGCTTTTCTGCTCCGACTTTGAGTTCTTTTTTCCTTTTCCTGAGAGAGAGGTACACAGGGGTTTCTTTTAAATTGACTTAAAATCAAGGCCTCCTGCAGACTTAATGCCCTGGTGTTATTATCCAAACACGGGAAATTACAAAAAGATGGTACTGGTTCATTTATGCTGATTCAATTATGTTTGGAAAGAGGAGGAAAGATGAGAAAAGTGCAACCCTAGACTCCACTATAAACAACAGAGAGTTCAGAATCAGTTACATTGGGTTTAATGAGACCCTGGTGGGTTCAAGAACTCTTTGTTTGTGAATTAGGGTTGGTTTGCAATCCCAGCATGCCCCACTGGTCTGAGTGGGATGATTTCAGTTGGCCTAGTTTCTGTGCAAAGACAGACAGAAAGTAAAAAGGGAAAAGAGAAAGAGAAAGAGAGTAATGACTTTGCACATTCTGCTGGAAGGAGGGATAAAGTGGAGTAAGCCAGGTCTTAAGAGTCTGAGTCTGTCTGTCTAAATGAGGAAAATAGCTTCTGCTTGGCTCCCTTGTTTAGTTACTGTGGTCTGTGGTGAGCGCTAAATGTGTGTGTTTGAACGAGAATAAAAGAACGAGAAGGAGAGAGAAAGTTCTGGTCATGAGACGTGATATCGAGCGAAAGAGGCAGCAGAGGAGAAGTGAAGGAGGGGGAAATAAAGAATTCCCTTTCACTGATGTCATCCTTCTGAGATGCTAACAGCTAACGTCTACAGACACACAGAATTATACTGTACGTAATCACCACAGCTCCTACATATCAGCACCTCACTGCTGAAAGCTGAGGACCAGCACTCCAAACTGATATGCAAACGACAAAAAGTCTTTGTGTTTCATTCTCATTGGCTCCCGTTTTCACATTTTTTTCCATCGTACATTTTTCCCCCCTGATATGCAGTGACTGCTACCGCGGCGACAGTCTAAGTTGAATAGGAAGACGTCTGCAAAAGTCTCCTAACACATCACTCAGTGCAGACAGCAGGCACGCAAATGTAAAGGCTATTTGAAGCTTTTTCTCATAAAGGGTGATAATTATTGCTCCCGTTAGGAGACTTTTTCAGGTAAATCTGATTCCATTAAATCAGCTCTTTTTGTTACCAGCCACGGAAAGAATGCAGTAGATTGAGCTAAAAGGGGAATTCAGAAGTGAATGAGGGAATGACTTAAGTATGAGGGTCAGAAAATGAGAGGAAACTCTCGTGTTTACTGACTGACAATAAGAGGTGGCAGAGGAGCAGCTATGCCTCAAAATGTGAATCAAACTGCGGGAAATCTGTCAATAGACCTGACTAACACAGTTTTTTGCACGCCAAAGTTTCTTAGGGCTTTGTTAACGTGTGAGGGAATGATGGAGCGGGAGATCGACAGGCGGATTGGTTTTGGTGTCAGCAGTGATGCAGACGCTGTATAGGTCTGTCGTGGTAAAGAGAGAGCTGGCCTGGCCTGGGAACGCCCTGTGGTCACCTGGGACAAAGTGGCTGGGGAGAGGAAAGCCTGGGCTTCCATGCTCATGCTGCTGCCCCCCCCCCCCAAACCCAGCTCCAGGTAAGTGGTACAAGATGGATGACTGCACGAATGGATGGATCATTGAATGTACAAGTTTTAAAACTTGATTTAAAACTTGTTCATTCACTCAAGAAAAATGGTTGATGTGATTTGTAGAAGACCCACTGGGAGCCTTGCTGGTACTGTTCCTATATTCTGCATTGACGGCAAAAACACATAAAGATGAATTATATATACTGAGCCCATGAATCACTGCTGCCTGCTAGCTTTATAAAAACCAACTGGTTTAGAGGTTTGAAATTAACTGCTGATGGGAAATCTGTTTCAGACATATTGTTGGAAAATTAGCAAATCCTTAAGGGGCAAAAAAATAAGTGTAAAATTTCAGTTGACAAGCCAAATAATAGAGCTGACAGGTGAAATGAAATGTTTCTCCTCAGAGGATTGTGCCTGCTGAGCAAACAAACAGTAAATAAGCTGAGACTGTTTCGCCCATATTTCTCTGTTCTGACATTTGGTTTAGGAGGAGGGAGATCATCACTGAGTAAAACTGGTGTAAAATAAATCCAAAGGCTCATTTCTCATGCTTCATGCAGTATTAATGAAGGACGACCCTTACAGAGCTCCGAGTGCTGAATAATCAGAGAGATTCATGGAGAGCAGGGATTTCACAAGATCTAAATTCAAGCTCAAGCTGCAAATAAATCTCTGCAGGTTTCAAGAAACAACAACACTGAAGAAGCTGTTCCCTCTTCTGAATCAACTACAGAACTGTTTTTTAAGGTCCCTGTTAGAGGCTTTATGTGCTGTGATTGCTCTTTTCTGCTGATCCTGGTGCACTCTCACCTTGGTCCTTACAGTCGCTGTGTCCGTTCTCATGAGTCACCTCGCCATCTGAGCTCGGTCTGTCAAAGGACGTTTTCTGGCAGAGGGAAGAACAGAAGCACAAGAAAGTACAAGATAAATAGAGCTGTACTTTCCTGAAAAGTAGACACAGCTGTCTAATTACACTGTACACTGTAAAAGCCCTTAAGATCATCTGAAACATGCTATAGAGGAATAATTAGGCCCTGCTTGTGTTTGCTGTGCCAGGTTAGGAACTGTTTGCTGTTTAAAAGCCCTCTGATGTTGCTCATTTTCCATCACATACATACAACCACACGTGCGTGCGTGCGTGTGTGTGTGCAGCGGGTACTATTGGTCTCCAGTGTTTACGGACATTTTATCGGCGTTTCCCAATGAAACCCAATAACGTGGTGTTTCCCTCCTGTGCCAAATGGAACAAAGTGTTTTTTGGCAACTAACTTTTACTACTCAATACAACTGTGTTCGAATTCGCCAAGTAAAGAGGCCTGCATGGGAAAGATGTTAATCTATGAGTCTTTGTCAACTAAAGCCAGATAAATCCAGGAGTACTGGGTCCAAAAAGGAAAACCTTTAATTGGTGATATTTGCAGTTTAAAAAGACCTCTCTTACTTTCTAAATACTTTCTCAGTGGGTAATTGGATCCAGAGCTGGCTTTGGCTTTTGATAACGTTTCATAAAATCTGAAAAAGGCCCTCAGTGAGTTTGTTTTGTTAACTATACACATCCAAAAAATGCACAAGGACAAGATATGCAAAAAAAATCAGACCTGACAGCAGGGGTACTGCAGCGAAGCGGAGCTATTTTAAACCTCTTTTTTTAAAATAATCAAATATCCCTCAGCTTAACGTCACATTCCCTCTCATTCCACATATTGTAGCCACATTTTCCGAATAACTATCATAACTATTTTTTTTTTAAATTAAAGTCCTTGCATAGATGTCGGTTTGTTGGACAATCTTTTATATTCATTAAAGTGATCAAATAGATGGCAAGATTCCTCTTGCCTAAACATTTAGTTTTGCTTTAAATACCTTGCCAAGCAGGCTTGTGATCCAAACTGGCAGAATCTATCAGAACCAAACCCTGTATAACTGCATTTGTGTGTTTACCTTTTCCAGTTCCGGCTTGTGCACCGGCGATCCAGATCCAGCTCCATCTAAGTCAACGCTCCCATTAACACAGACTTCTCTCATCACCTGGAACACATGAGGAAATACAACATTAAGCTAATGAGGCCGCTCATGTTAAACAAGTGGAAAGTTCACATCCTGATGAACGCAGAGGGAGTTCAGCCTAAACTCTGCCGTGTCTGAGCGTGACGTCGTAACACACGGGTGGATCCTGAATGTAAGTGCATTTCTTCACATGGTTCCTGCGTAATTAAGCTCATTCGCTCAGCCTAGAAAGCCTGGGATAATGCTCGCCACATGTAGGTTAACTCTCATATCCCATCATGCTTCTGGGTGCAGCCATGCAGTGGAGGAACTACACGAGCCTGCATGCATGTGTGCAAGAGTCTGCTGCACACATCAGACGCAGCAGAGTTTTACTACATCCTTACGCAATAAGGTCAGTAAGTATGGCTGATTAGATCTGCAGGGCTCTGATCAGGGCGCCAGTGTGCATTGCCATGACCTTGTTGGACTTTGGACCTGGCAACCCCACTGTCAGATCTGGCAATCGTAGGCGTGTGGTGGTGAGAGGGGTGTGTGTAGATGAGCGGCGGGCAGTGGGAAATAAGATTCAGACAAACTGCTTTGTGTGCAGAATAGCTAATACACACACACACACACACACACACACACACACACACACACACACACACACACACACACACACACACACACACACACACACACACACACACACACACACACACACACACACACACACACACACACACACACACACACACACACAGTCATGCAGACTCTCCCCTCGCCTTCTCCACAGGCATCCTGAACCGTCTCAGGCCGTGCAGAACTCCTTAGCTCTCTGGGTTTGGCCTGAAGGGAGCATAATTGGGGAAATGACAGACTGTGGCTCCATGGGTTTGGCTCAGAAAACAGCTCGGAGGCCGAGAGCGGGACAGACAGCAACATCATGTCTATCCTTTCACTGGTGAAACACAAAGCCAGGCGAGGGGAGCTACGTCAGTCTAACGATGTGCTGCATATCAAACATGAGAAGGTGGTGCAGCTGTGGGCAGCAGTTCTGGGTTACAACAATATTTTTAATAATAGCATATTAGTGATTGATCATTGAAGTCTTTTTCGTGCCATGAAATGAGCTTTAAGCCACAAACAATGAATTTTACTTTGACGTGGGATTCTGGTGTTTTTGAATAAGGGGAGTATTTTGATACAGGTTTGGTGTTCAGGCCTTTATTCTGGAAAAGATTCAGTGTTTCCAAGTAAATTTCTTGCAGAGGCAAAACAGACTGGCTGGTGAATCAAAGTACATCCATCATTAGATGTTACTGTTGACAGACTTTGATTGGTATTTTTAGTTTGATGACACTGAACTCAAAGATCCAACACAACATCGGGAGATTAGGGCTGCGTCAGAGATTTAGAACCGTTGGATTTTGAGATTAAAGTCATAGTATAAGTTTGAATAAGTTTTTTTAAAAGGCATCAAATCACAAGATCAACCTTGTAGATTAATGCGGTTCAAGTCAAGATTTAACATGAAAAAGAAATCACAAACACAGATTGGGATAATTTGAAATTATCTGTGATAAAACTAATGACCTTTTATATGAAATGGTCAAACTATTGCACTGTCTGTAAGGGTCTTAATTTGTGCTAAACCTTACGAGCTTGGGTCCGGGTTTCTTGCTCAGTCTTTTTAGACACTTGGTACTCATGATTATGTGTTATTGCTGAGCTAAAAGCTTCAGTAATCCTTTTTTTCCTCTTTTTTTAATTGAAGTTTATTTTGAAAATATGTATAAAAATAATAATAATAAATAACAATATAAATAACAATAATAAAAAAGTGAAGAATACAACAACAAATGATTAAAAGTTATCCATGTTCAAAAGGAGTGGAAATAAGTTGAAACTTACCTAGTCCTACCCCTTCCCTTACACCAATGATTTACATACTGTATATCATAAAAAATACTGAGTCAGTTATATAGAAGCCTATACTTAAATATAACATCACAATATGCTTCATAATTCCCATTTTGGTACAGGAAACTGGCACCAAAATAGGAACACAAAGGCAAACCTGTATAACTTGAAGCCTAGAGTTGTGACTTTTCTTCTCGTCAATTGAAGACTTTATTCTTCTGTAAAGAATATAACCAAATTCCATTGAAAAAAACCATCAATTTTACCTCACACAACATGAGATTTGCTGGTTTACCCCCACCTCTTTTGGTAATGAGGTAAAAGTGTTAATTTAAATAGGGGTTTCATGTGAGACAGGCACTGCTTTGCATCAAACAAAACTTTTTAAAACATTGAAAACTGAATCATTATATTAACACACCACTAAGTTTAGTCAACTCCTGCCTCCTTCAAGGTCAAATGAGAGCTTCTGTCACTAGAGTCTGATGGCTCTAATGGGATGGATGTATTTTATTTCAACCAAAATGGGGCTTTCACTGAAGGGATCTTGTCTGTAATGTGATATGAACAATCTGTCAAAAGACTAGAACTTACCGTCCAGGCAATTAAAGCAGTGGGTGTGATTTTGAAACAAGAAGCATAAAAAACACGCCACAATGTGAAAAACAACACGACAGCCATGCAGTGTGATTTTGCAGATATCAGCAGAGATGGAATATCTGTTTTAGTGTGAAGCGGGTGTTTAAAGCACACTGAAGCTGAAAGGCCATAAACAGACAAGCAGTGAACATTAAACTTACTTTCCCCAAACTCAGAGCAGGAGAAGAGAAAGAAAAAGAGGAGGAAAGAATGAAAATATCTCCATCAAAAAGACAGAGAAAGGAAAAGAGGTCATTTTGTTGCAGAAGGCAAAAGGGAGATTATGAGAAAGAGAAAAATGCAAATAAAGTCAGAAAGAACAGAGAAGGATTAGGAGAATCATGTCAGGACACAATATGAACATGTGTTTTCGATAAACACGTCGTTAGCAGACAGCGTCTGGGAGAATCATTACTGTAACTCATAGACTTTTCAGGTACTCTCCCCATTTTTATTCTCTATTTTTCTCCTTTTTTTCCCTCCCCTCGACTCTTAATGTGATTCCACATGACTTCACTCTGTCACGTTGTTGGTCCCGGCTGATTCAAGCAGGGTGGGAAATGTTGCAAGAAATCTTTTTCCATTGTCCACGCAAGACTGACTGTAATTGGAGTCGTATGCATTCTGTTAGAGCCCCAGAGAGGTGGACGAAGAAAAAGGAGGTCAAGTTTAGAAAGAAGGATTAATAACTGTTAAATACCCGGTGGTCCCAGAAACTTAATGTGCAAACACAGACACAGGGATGATCTGTGTGGAGAAACTATCATAAAGGTAACAAAGAGAGGGATTCAACCATTCACTCAATTTGCAGTAAATGACTCAAAGGCAGAACCCAGACTTTTAGGTCCAATCCCACCTTGTTTCCAAATTTAACGTTAATGCAAATGGTGGTGCAAGCCTTGCTAGTCTTAGGTGGATGGGTATATCCAATGCAACTGGGGCAAAACCAATGAGGTCTCTGTGCATATGAGCTGGGCATCCAGAGCATATCACTTCTGAAATGTTCTGGAAACTGTCAGGACTGCATGTATTAAGGGTTTTCAGGTGGTGGGTTCCCTTTTATTGGTAAAGATTTTAAGTCCCACTCATTTGACTCCTGCATTTTTCTCACATCCAGGCCTGTTTTGCAAAAGAGGGTGTGAGCAGAGCGCCACAGCCAACTCAATGTTTTGAAGTATTGATTGCAACATTATTAGTTCAACATGTTTCTGATATCAGGGTTCCTAAAAGTGCAAGGAAAGGTGACCAAGAAGCAAATGATGCTGTTGAAACAAAGGTTTGGGTGTTGCAGAGATTTGTTTATTTTCACAGGTCTGGCTGGGACGCCCTGCAGCCACCTCAACCCCCGAGAGGTTACCTGCCTCAGCCAATCAATAAACAGCAGTTTATTACCAACAGGAGCGAGTAACTGAATCAGGAAAAAAGTACAAATTGTTTTGGTCCTTATTTCCCAAAGGCAACAAACTTGACATAGTTGAAAAAGACAGAAAACCGGAAGGTTTTAGAGACTGGCTGAACTGCAGCAGCAAAAGGGGACTTAGGTTGAAACAGAAAGCAGACATTAATTATCTGAAAACAAAGTCAAGCACAAACAGGGAAGTCCAGAAATTTCTCATGAGGGCAGAGGCGAGGAGGAAGACGAGGCAGTGGGGATTTCTTTTAAATCCAAAGACCAGATGAGACCCGTCTCCTGTGATCAAAACAGAAAGAGCCCAGAGGTGCTGGCAGCATGCTAACAACAGGAGTTGATGCGGGGGCTGAAAAAGGCAGAAAAGTACCGGAGTCTTTTTTGATGTTTGTTCAGACGGAAAGATCAGAGAGCGAAAGAGAAGACGGCAAAGAGGAGGGGGGGCAGAGGAAGAATGTGTGAGAATGAGCGAGGGGGATCAGAGGAGTAAAAACCAAACATCTCCACATCAGAGTGAGACCCGAAGAACCACCTGTTCAAAACAAATCAGTGACACAATAGCCGGATCAGACCCATCCTGAAGAAGAGCTACACCCTTTATTCTTTAGAGCTAAATATAAGTCTGAATGCATCTTTCTGTCAACAAGACCAGGATAAGAACTTCAACACATCCTAAACTTTACTACAGAGACATCAGCTCCACTTTACAGCGAGGTTTCACTGCTTTCTAAAAAAGTCTTTACATTATTTTGACTCGAGATGAATCATTTCTTTTTTTCTCTTTCATTCTTTTAACTCTTTTGCTTTCTTTTTATTTTCTCTTTCTTGGTTTCTTACCTGTTTTTGATTTCTGCCCTTTCTTTATTCTTTCTTTGTGCTCATTCATTCATTCATTCATTTAGATTCTTTTGTCTGTCTTTCTTTCATTTCTTTCTTCCTTCCTCTTTTCTTTTATTTTCTTCTCTTTTTCTTTCCTATATTGTCTCGTTTTCCTTACGCTGTCTTTCTATCACATTTTTCTTATGTCTATTTATTGTTCCTTTTTCTTTCTTGCCTTGTCTTTTCTTTCTGTCATTGATTCTTTCTTCCATCTTTATTTTTATTTTCTTTTTTCCATTTCTTTATTTATTCTTTGTTTCTTTCTTTCCTTCAATCTATCCACTTTTCATCTGTTTTTCTCCTTTTTTTCTTACTATTATTCTGTCGGTCTTTTGTCTTTTTTTCACATTTAACATTTACTTGAATTTTTCTTCCTTTTTGATTTTTATTCTTTCTCACCTAAAATGTTTTTTATTTTCTTCCCAGCAATGTTTTTCTTTCTTTCTTTTGTATCTTTCTTTTTCCCTTTTTAAAATATTTTTTTCTTTATCACTTTTACTCTTTCTCTCCAGGATTTCTTTTTTCTTCCTTTCTTTCAACCCAATGATTATGTATATGGTGGCCAAACTCCCTACAGTGACCATGCCCTTTACTACACACCGAGCCTTTAATAGACCCTGGTTTAGATCCCCATCTCGACTCCTGTTACACCCCAAAAGTTCTGGAGTTGATCAAGTAGATGGACAGGCCATAATGCATCCATCATAATCTATAAATTAAGATCTGCCACACAGATTAATATGATTTCTTGCATGCATTGAGCTAAATTGTAATTCTGAGCATCTTTCATATCTGTCCAGTAATGCTGTCACAGAGTATGAAGCTTTAATTGAAATGAAAAACTGCCTTTGACATCTTCAAAGAAACCAAACCCCATTAACAAAGACAACAATTTTACCTCAGAGAATACAGCAGTGGCTGGTCTCCCGCTGCTCCAATCAGTGCGCTTGTTTGTGTAATTGTGTGTTAAACAAACACTGTGATAGATCCAAGCTCCCCATGTAAAGAATCAAAGTCACACATTCAAATAAACAATCTATCGGATATAAGCCGCGGTAGACCAGCAACTCCTGTGATCTGTGAGGTAAAAATGACTCTCTGGAGTCTGGTGGCTTTGAAAAGAGTGATGTAACAGCTGTTTGTGCAGAAAGAAAAATGTCTTTCCCTTCCTCTGTAGCATCAGATACTCAAAAATAACAATTGGGAAGATGTGCTTTGCTGCAGACAAAAACTACTTTCTGCAGCAGCTTGATGACATTTCATTCCTCTCATTCATTAAGCCTCAAGCGTTGTATAACACAGCCGTGATTTTACTTCTATATGATTCCTCCTCAGAAATTTCCACAGTAAAGTTAACCATAACAGGTCTAACACGTTCCAAGGGTTAATATACAGTACGATTAAAAAAGGAAAAATATGTGCAGGATGTGCAGAATCATAAAAGTCAGAGTACAATTCTCATAAATATACTTGGATGGAAACTCAGCTACTGTCTTTTATTTCCCTCCAGCTCTCCGTCTCTCTGTAGCTGTCTGTCTGCTCTAAAATTACCATCCATCACATTTCCTCTCTGACCTCTGAAAGCAGCCGTCCAGGCCTGGAGAAAATAATCTCCAGTTTTCTTTTTTTGGGGTTATGAAAATCATCCAATCAAAGTTTGTAAAACAAAAGCGCTTGTTGTTTTGGCTCAGGTTAATGCTCTATGTGCCACACACCATTGTGCAGAGAATCTCTCCCTTTATGTGTGAGTGAGAAACAGCTGTTTTTACACTCTCGTCAAAACCACCAATCTTAGAGCAACGTGAGAAGTTACTTTGGGGTGTAAAATGATGCAGTGATTGACCACCAACTCCCATGTTGATCATAGTGAAATTCTGCCCCTGTCAACAGAATCTGGGTCTGAAGAACAACCTCACCCAAACTGAAAGGTATCTTATGTTGACAGACAATTAGAATAATATGTTTTAGAGGATATACTGTTCTTGGGCTCCTCACAGGGATTACATTTCAGCTACAACAGCCAGTTGGCAAAAATGATGCAAATCCTAAGTCTTCGCTTACACTCAATCAGGTCCTAAATTATATGTCAAAAGGGACCAATTCTGGGCTGCAAGGCTAAATTTCTATCCCCACCACTGACACAAATTAGCAACACTTTGCACTAGCTTGCCAATGTTAGCAGCGCAACTCGCTGCAAATGCATACAATGGCTGGTGAAAAGCATGTAATGCTACCAGCAGATTTGAATGCAGAAGCTAGCTACTAAAAAATTGATTTTTGAACTTCTTAAACTGATTCAGGATTGTGGAAATTAACATTAGCAATTCTGACGTGCATCGTTTTTTTCCCCGTCTCAAGGTTCTAGATCAACTTCTGGCCACAACCTTGTGTTGCAAGTCTTCTCCAACTCTCTGCTACTCACTTCTCCTGTCTCTGTAGCTGTTCTATTAAATAAAATTTAAAAAAAGGCAATTAAAAGGAAGCAGGTTGAAGGAATATGATTTTTGAACTTGGATTAAGGACTCTTAACTGACCATCAAAGCCAAGCTCAGCTTTTTAGCCCTCAAAACAGCCAAACCACTAAATATGGGTAATTCATTATCTCTGTGATCCTGACTACAACATATGACAGAGTTTTGTGCTGATTGTATTCATGTTACCTTTAGCCACTCCTCGGCCTGTTCTTTGCTCTGCACAGCCAGCACCAGAGCATCTGCCCCCTGGTGGACGATCTTCAGCTCGTGCTTCTTTTTCTTGCCATCTTTAGGGACGTGGGTGATGCTGCACCCAGACAGCGTCAGCTCCATCTGAGGGGTGTGGTCTTTGGAGGACTTGTAACACTAAGTCAGGAAAGAAAAAAAGCAAAGTGTAAGTGGAGAGACCAAATCTGTAGCGTTTCTTTTTCATTATGACTGGTCAAACTCTATCTTCATCAACCCGACAGTATTTAAGGTTTAATATCAGAACTCTTTGAATGGCTCCCAGGTGTGCAGATTGGGACATGTTGGTCCCTCACCAGCAGCTTGTTATCTTTGATGACACAGAGGAGCTTGGTCCACTGGCCGAAGCGTTTCTTGCGCAGCAGGAATGCACAGATCCGAGCGTCCTTCACCAGATCCATGGACGCCTCTTCAGACGGCCACTGGTGACGCATCTTCTGCCCCTTCCCGTCCTCCTCTTCCTCATCGTAAGACTCATAGGAGCTGCTCATGGCGTCTGAGTCATAGTCTGAGAGAGAGAGGTGTAGAAATGAACAGTTTTAACAATATGAATGTGAACACTTAAGGACCAAAAATGAAAATAAGTCTTCTTAAAGGAACATGTTTCAAACGTGTTGTAGCTCAGACACTCACTGGAGGTGATGTATTCAGGAGCTTTTCCAGGACTTAAGGGGACAGCTTCCTCGTAGTATCCTTCTGGAAGAGACGAGCTGGGCAGAGGAGGAGGGCCGCTGTTTGGAGGCTGCAGAGAGGTCACAAAGGTTCCTGTTAATCAGGGATGAATTTCAAAGCAAAGCACATCAATTTCTGTATCGACAGTGATGTTTTGGATTGTCCTCAGAAGAAAATGTTTTCTCACAGACTGTGTAACGAGAAAGACAATCTGCAACATTAAAGATGCACTAAATTAAGTAACAAAGTCAACTGAATTTCTCATTAATGCTTATCCTGATAGATAAATGCATGAGTGCTCCAAACGTCTCCTTAAAAATCTTTTCAGACGCACCATGACTGAGCTGAGGAGCCCGCAGACTTTTTTCCTCTCCTGGAAAACCCCCTCTGTGTCCCTTTTATTTTATTTACTGGAAGCAGCTTGATTTTCCACTGGTAATCCAGAGGAGAAACTCCATAAATGTTATGAAACTCCATGTGATATGGTCCATTAGCTGCAGCTGACCCAATCAGGCGTCAATGCGGCACTGATGTCAGCATCTATTGCCATGGCAATGTGGAACATTTATAAGAAGGTCTGGCTGGTGCGCAAGCTCATCGGCTAGCTCCATCACAGGGCAGGAAGTGTGTCACCAACGTTACTGCTCCACAGACAACTACTGATTTTAGTGCCATTTATTTGGTTAGAGTTTAATCAGATTACCTGGTCACAGCTACAGAAATAAAGGTACTTTTCCTACTGTTCCACTGAAAATGTTAACACGTGATGTACATGGAAACTCTGAATTCAACCAATCTTAACCATCAACCCAAAATACACTGATTTGGGCATTTGTAATTGGCAATAGATCAGTAATTTCGGCTGATCCCCTCCACTGTTATCATGTATGAGTAAACAAGAGTTAATTGCTTACTTGGCGTACCCAAGTGTTTAAACTTGATGACAGAATAATAACCTTTAACTTTATTGCATGGATACATGTGCACAGCCGGCCCCAAGCAAGACTTCAAGGATACATGGTTTAAAAGTCAGAAAACCTTTAGTCTTTAATTATCATATTTTTATGATCAAGATGTGCTCTTCCTTTAAATTTGCAGAATAGCTGAGAATTTTAAACGATCTTGCTGCAAACATTACAGCAAATACAGCCGGCTGAAGAAATCTGCAGGAATGATTATTAAATTACTGGCACCACAACCCAAAGTAAAATTCAATCACGATACTCTTCAAGGGTTTTCTTTGTCCCTTTTCTTGACAATGAAAAGTTAAATCCCCCTCCTTTCTTGTCTCCATCTGTGCACCCTCTCCCCCCTCCTTTAATCCTGCTCTTCATCCCCACTGTTTAAGTTTTTCAGACCTAAAGTCAAGTGGCGGGTGAGGCCTCTGACTGAAACCTTATCACAGCTCCTTTGAGGGAAACAGCGGTTGGGTGAACTCATTTCTTGGCAGGAATAAGCTGCACTGCTCAACTCCAGCTCTGCCAGAGGTCTCCTCCCTACCCCAGCCATTAAACGTAAAAGAAATAAAATCCCTCTGAGGGGAAAACGGGAGGAAAGGAAGGTAAGGAAACGCAATGAGTGAGAGCACTTAGCCTAGAAACAATAAGTCACACTATCAGATTTGAGGAGTGGATGTGAAAGTTTATGTAGGTTAAAGAAAACTGTTGACTCGAGGTCTGCAGCTTCGTATCTCACATCCCGACAACTTCCTCTCCAAGATTTTTAAGCAATGAAACCATTAATAATCATGCAGGAGCTGACTGTTTGGGTAAGCATTTTTCCTGAGTGCAGCAGAATACATTACAGAGAGAAAGTGATCCCACTGCTCTGCTATGTGGTGACTCAAAACTTCGAGTGTTTGCATGCACAGCACACACACTCTCCAGCACAGGCACACATGTCAACACACAACCCAAAGCCTCCTTTGCTTTTGTTCCCAAAAACAAACAGCTGGGCCGTATCACATAAGTTATCTGCAGATCAATTATGCTACAAAAAATCAGGAGTTCACTCCGGTCACAAAGCTGATGATTAATACACTCTGCGTAAACCAGAACACGCAATAGTTCATATTCCTCTGTGAGCGAGCCCATCGGTTTCAAAAGCTCGAGAGAGATTTCCCAAACATCTGTTCATTATCTGCATATGACAGAATCATATACAGTGTCGATGAGCTGGATAGACCTCTTTGTGTCCCTCAATGTGACTCAGACCAAAATATTTTGACAGCACTTCTGACAGGGGAAAGTGGAGCTTTGTCCTGTCCTGCAATCCGTGCAACTGCAGCAGAGCTGGTGAGAGCATCCTGTGTTGTTTATCTTAACAAAGTGTCTTATATCACAGATGATACCAAGAAAGAGGATGCATAGTGAACGCATCAGGGTCCTGCTCACTCTGAAGTAGTGGAGTAGTCCAGGGTATACGGCGGTATATGGTGTATACCTGCTTTTTTTTAGTCAGCATTACGTATGCCAACTTCTAAATCCCCCAAGATGTGCACCCATTCAGTAATATCTGTGTGTGTGCCAAATTGCCCATTTTTTCCTCAAGAATGGTGAAGCCATGACCCACCCTCCTCTGCCTCTAAGTGGCTGGTACTCGCTGCCTTCACTGATTAGATTGGTTAACTTTCGGGATGAGGACTGATGAGCCAATCAGAGGCAGAGTAGGGCAGGTCATGCTGCGGAAAATATTGCTAACGCCTCAGTGCCACTCCAGTTGATTGACAGGTCACTGCATGTCTCCTTGAAAGATGCATGAAAATGCAAGAAAGTGAGTGGCACATATAAAGTGAGAACCTACTTTCATGGAAGACATAATTCTGAGGTAAGGTGGTTTCCAAATGAATCATTGTTTTAAACTACTAGCAATATGACTGCATATTTCAAGGAGAAGAATTGTTGTCGCCAACAGGTAAACCATGCATGCTGGTTACAGTTTTTCTGGACTACTTCATAGGAAAAAAAGGTGAAAATTGAGAGTATACCCACTTCTCCAGGGACCACTACACCACTGCTCTGAAGGGGGTTTTAATCTGCATAACCACCAGGTCATGATGCATTATGCCTTACATGTAACTGCAGATGACAAGGGTGAGGAAAGCTATGTGATTTTACTCTCTAATCCCCCTAGAATCTGCAGGAATAAATGTCAAGCACTTTATAAGAAAATAAAGTTTAGAAAATTACTGCCAAGTACTACATGCAGCTCAATACTCAGCTGTAGATGTCAGTGGAATTAAAGTTTTGATATTGTAGGATGCAAATGATAAGAAACATCTTTCAGGTAAGAGCATCTGGAGTAACATCCATTGTTGATTTTGTCACCAATTTGAATAAACTCACTCATGCTGCTCAGTCCATTGAGCCATGACATAAAATTTAATTTAAGCTCTCACAGTTTTGTAAATATTCACAGCTGGAATAATTCAGATGAAGTTACGTGCATTACAACATTTCTGTTTGAGAAATCCACTTAGTTTCATTCAGACAGTCAAATTTATAAACTTCTGAGTGTGTTTCCTTGAAATATGCGCAAAAAGCACAAAAAAGTAATGGTTTATTTTCATTGTTAGAGGAACTCCTAGCCCTCACAGAGTAATTACATTAAGAGTTTTTTTTTCTTTGCTCCAGCCATGAGAGGAGCAGTACTTACAGGTCATGTGCATGGATGCATTTCTGAAATGTCAAAATTCCACAGTCATAATGTGTAATTTGGTTGTGGTAAAGGAGTCCTGACCTTGGTTTGGATACCCTGAGTGGGAGGATTGTCTGCTGCCCGGGCTCTGGCCTGAAACACACATCCAAACATTTGTGCCAAGTATCAATTTTACCCTGCGTTGGAGGACTGGACCTGAATAATGTTTCTGCAGCGGTGCCAAAGGGAGGCTGGAATGGACAAGCTGAGTGGACACAGGAAAGCCGCTCCCTTAAGGAGAGGCTCTGGAGAAGGAAAGCTGTGTTTCCAGTTACTTTACAGAAACTACCCAGTACAAATGCACATGTTTCCAGCTGCTGCTTATCCCTACAGATTTTCCAGGCTTTATTTAATAGCTTAAAATGCTGGACTAAACCAAGTTGACTCGTGACTGATTGCCTTAAAGGAAATGGTCAGCAAACAACAAAGCTGAATGTCCTCGGAAAAGCAGGGATACCTTACCAATGCTGAGTTATTTTGGGAAGTTAAGGTTGCAGGCAATTTTAGGACACTGGCAATTGGAGCCGATCTGAAAGCCAAGGTTATTCTGGGTGAATCTAAGAGGAATAACTCAAAGGTTCAATGTCCATCTCTTTGCGACATGTCAATCCAGATTCCGAACTCAAAATCAGAAAGAAGTTTCTTCATCACTTCACTGGCATCCATTAATAAAACGCCAGCTCATGGCTAGTTTTATCTTCCTGCCTCCATCCATCATTAACCCTGCACCTAATTTCTATTTCTCTGATGAAAACTCAAAGATCTGATAAGAAGAACTTTATTGAGAGTAAAGGAAAAGGGTAACCAATGATCACAAGGTCATTTGGATTTGTATCCTCATAGGAACAAAGATTCATCTTCAGCCCTACAAGACAGTAGCTCTTTACTGGTACCAAAAACCGGTTGTGTTTGGATCCATTTTAAGGTCAGGTTTTAGGAAAACTATATGGGAACTGTCCAAACTTCCAAGTGCCCGAAGGTGAGGATTAATGCTGAAATGCTCTTTAGGTTTGCCTCAAACCTCATTTTTCCCAAGGATGTTTTCTCTGCTCTTTTTCAGCACTACCGTCCTCCTGAGTTACACACATTTACATCTAGGAGCTGCACAGTTCAGCCATAGTCCTCCACTTTTGGTGTCTGGTTTGACTCAACACTTGCTCAACTGAAGGTAAAGTGCCATGCTCAAGGTCACCTTAATGGTAGCAATTTATAAGGAGAAGTGTATGATTCACTTCTTTGGAGAAGATTTTTGCAGCTGGTCTGAGCTGAGCTGCCACCCTCATTTCTTCATGTGTATGAGTTGAATCCTTTTTTCCTGAAAATACTTAAATACACTTAGGACTGACAACAAGTTTTGGATCAGATGCAGTATCTGCAGACATCTGAACCCTTTGGAAGGTTTTCGAGCTCTATCCAAGAATTTGATCCCAGCCAAAACTTAGAAACCTGCAGTTACTCACAAAGAAGGACAGCTGGGACGAAATGTGGACCGATAGCCATCTGCACACGCCCCCTTCCTCTGTGTGTTCTTCAAAGCTGAAGCATGAGGTCAAGCCAAGGCAATGAGTTTAAATTGATTCCAGACAGCAGAAGAAGATGAAAGCTCAAAGAGAAGGAGGCTCTGATGGTGCACGTGACCCATCAGCACCGAGGTCGACCCCGCTTGTCCTGCTTTTGTCCTGGTATAACCTTGAGACAAGTTTATATGATCTTAGATTGCAATAGGTGGGTTTACATAATCGATACAATCAGATAAGAACTGGGCAAATGATTCAGTTGGAATAAAAATGGCTTATATAAACAATTGTATCAGAATAAAGCTGCTGATCCAATTGGACCGTTAATCTGAGGGAAGGGGGGGCGGAGGGTGTCGTCTCATTCCAGCTCTGTGGAATGAAACTGATCAGAGAACAGAACTAGTATTCTTTTGGAGTTTTTAAAAGACTTGAACATTAATAATTGACAGGTGAAATTAAAGACACAATCAATTTAGTCGTGTCAACAAGGAACTGGAAAAGTCTAAGATAGAACAAATGAAAAGAAGTGGGGGCATGTAAACTTTAATTTTGCTAAACCGAAATCTGAGGGGTCAGCTGATCTCCGATAAAGGTCCTCAACTGGCAACAGACCATAATAAATGTAGTAACTTTCAAAAGCATAGTGGTCACAGATAACTTTTGTTTCTGAGGGACTGGATCCAGACTGTCTCTCAAACTAGGCTAATGTTATTTGTGGGACAGAAAAGCCCCTGGGTGTTTAAAGCAACAAGTAGAATTAGACACCCACATGCTGACAGTTTCACAAAGTGAGTGGATTTCATAAGTGTATCATTCTCTAAGAGCTGATGTTGGAAACACAATAATATTTAGTTGTATACAACACAGTTTTGACTACTGCTGTCTACCATGGTTACCTTGCTTGTCAACAAACTGACTGACCCTAGTGATACATCACATTATTGTTTTGCAGAATTACGAGGAAGGCATTAACAAGGGGACAGTAATGCATATCAGCAAATGAGGTCAGTGACTCTGACCAGATGGACCTAGTTGGTTCTGGATCCAGTTTTCCAATCCTCGACTGGAAACTATACCAAACTGCACATTGAATGCAAGTTGTTCTGATATGTAAAGGTCACTTGAAGCTGCCATTTCACAGCAAGGTAGTTGATGTTTTAAAGAAAAAAACAATGAAATACACCCCTCCCATTACAGCTCCCTCCATTCATGGCAAGGAAAAAGACACTAATTATTACCTGATGACAGGCAATACAACAGAATCCAAATCACCTGCAGCCTGAGGGAGAGTTGGCTGAGCGAGTTTGTTTGTTGACTGTTCACAGATCACAGGGTGTGCGCAAACACCAGATTACTTTTCCATCTATGCTAACGTCATCAAACTGTTTGAGACAGGAAGTTACTTGTTGAGCCTTGCTGTGGCTGAGGATTTTTCCTCTCAGAGAATAATTAGACAGCAAGGTTGGCCATAAAATCAATATAGGATATGAATAAACTATCTTCAGCACCCTTTGATAAATGTGTTCTGTTCATGTCTTTAGGCATGCCAGGACCATTCGTGCCTATAAATCTGGACTATCGGTCAAAATATCCTGATAACAAACCACAGCATCTATTATTGTGGTTGCAACAGTGGCAGCCATCCAGGAAGACGACTGAAAGCCTCATTGTGTGGGAGAGGAACTCAACTCGGATGTCAGCTGATTAGCCATCACGCACTCTTTACATAAGAGCCTCACAAAATCAAAAACATTAAAACACATGAGGAAGAAGAATGGTCAGAAAATGTGAAGACAGCAAAGAAAAACTAGACGAAGACACACTCTAAATCTCTGATAAAATCCCCTCTCTGCAGGACCAGAGGCCTCCTCCAAGCTGAAGACCTGCCAACCTCAGCGATACACATCTAAGTGTTCCAGCTCTCTGTTTATACATGAACCACCCATGCTAGAGTTACCTCCAACAAAACAAAACCTTTCTCCCATTTTAAACTCAAATCTAACCAACACTTCCCCTGCTTCACTTTCCTGACACTTCCTGCCTTAGCCCAGCCAGTAGACTTCGTATTTTGTGGGACAGGTGCATTCACAAGAGTGCAGTTTCTGGCGGATGTGCCCGTTGCCCGACTGAACTGTAAAAACAAATGGAGAGTGAGATTGGGTTGGGTCTTTTCCTGCATTTCTCTCACCTCACAATGAGGTGTAAATGTGGTTCAGCAGCAGCTGGTGGGAGCTGTAGGAGCTGGTGGTCTAACAGTTTGGAAACCATTGGAAGGGTGGGGTGGCCTTGTTTTTACTGGAAAGGAGCCCTGAGTTATAAAGTAGGTCCATATTTGGAATGGCACCCATCTATTGTACTGGAACTGAGTGAAAAGTCCCAGTAAGCTAATCAGGCAGCAGAGCACACAAACAGAGAGGAAGCATGACCTAATTAAAACGTGACTAGTCTTTGACTCCAACAGAGGTAAACATTACAGAACCTAACATGTATGTTTCCGACATGGACATTAAGATCTCATAAATCAGGATGTAATGAAAGAACTGTCTGCAAACTATGCAACAGAAGGACCATCTTAGCTGTTGGAAAATAAACTTTTCAGCGCTCTCTGGACAAGCTGCAGGCTTAAAAAAACCATCTGCAAGACTTTGAATGTTTTCTGAATTTCTTTTGCTCAAATTCTTTGATACATTATGTGTCCGTATTTACATACAGATTCAAGAGAGCGCCAACATCCTCTGGTTTTACTCCCAGATGAAGGATTGCTCCCTTGGGGTCGAGACTGACTTGCTGTCTAAGGTATCTTAAGGTCTTGTGCAGCAACAGCAGCCATGTGGATGTTTTTTTTTATAACTGTTTGGAAGAAAGTCAAAGCTTTTGATCTCTAAGACAAACTGAGCTTCAATCTGAACCTATCATGGTTTTATAGTTGGTCACAGAGCTATCTTACTATTTCTGCGAAGTGTTGCATATGCAAAACAGCAACAGGGAACACTAATGCACTTAACGTCTTAAAGCAAATTTAAAAGTCTGAGCACAATAAGAAAAGAGCTGCCTTCAAAATATTGTCACAAAGCAAATTTCATGAACAAAAATGAGCTCACGTGAGAGAAAAAGCCTAGAGATCCATAGAAAGCATGCAGCACAGCTTTGTTTCTTTGCTTTGAAAGAATCGAGCCTCAATTGGTTCAGGATTCTGATCAGGACAGTAAACCTTCTGGGCGGGGGTTTTTTGGGCAAGAACATCTATTTGTAGACTTTAGGGTGGACCCAGGACAAGCTGAAGGATTAACATGGCTCATCTGCTTTGGAGATGCCTCCAGATCCCCAAGGATGGGTAGAAATACTGATGATGAGAGGAGTATCTGTACCACATTGGATAAATGAGGGTTTTGGAGGTACCTTTGTCAGCCAAATAAGTAACTGCTTGTTCAGATCTATTATGCTCCAACAAAAGGCCAGCCCTGTTATCCACATTAGGGTTTTTGAGGCTAGGAAAAACTGGTCACTCTAGATGTTCAGACTCCAACTGTCTGACAGAAAGTGACAGCTATTGTTGTTGAGGCCAGTTTACACTGGACTCACTGCTTTCTCAAAGATCTTGCGGTGAAACTTTGGATTTCCCACCAGTTCAGATGGTTTCTTTAGCTTTTCCTGGTTTGTTCAATCACCAGTTTTATCTGCCAGGTCTTTAGGGACCTACATGACTTTACAAATACATTCATAAATGGACATTTTGCACATATGTCACACTGCATGCTGTATCAGTGCTATACCAGGCTGCAGAAATAGCATCAATTTTCCCTCAGCCCTTTATTAAGTCACTTCCATCACATCATGTGTCAAGAAAGAAAAAAAATACTGGCGTTGTAAAGAGCCTTCAGAAGCACTTGAGTGGGGGGAAAAAAGTTGTGAAATAGGTTTTCCATTCGTGGCCCAGTTTCTCAGCGTGGACTTTTTCCAGAGTGTTATGAGTCGGCTGAAACACTTCTGGCCCTGAAAGGTAACCGTGCTGTGGGCATGTGTCACTTAGCAGAGTCCTGCTGCTTGGTCCAGTTAAGACTTAATCAATCACCAATATGGGACTTGTTTGGATACCCCGGTAACTAAAGTGTGACGGCTTTCCTCACAATTTGTTTAAGCCATCTCATTTCCTTTCTTGAGTCCCTGACACAATAGTGCTGATGTCACAGAAGGCTTTGCTGTGGTTCACCAAGCCACAAACTAGGGGAACCCCGCAGAGGAATCGAGTAAAATATGAAAACAAATACATCAGCATCGAACGGAGACCAAAACAAATGGTAATTTCTTAAGACGTGGAAAATCAGGACTGATTGAACTGTAGCCTGTGATGGGATGCCAGCTCCTGCTTGACAAAGCACAGTGACACTTTTTCTTGCTTCGGTGTGTTTCCCTTTCAAGAAAGAAAACATTTGGTTTGGCAAAATACGAAACTACTTCTTTTTCCGTCATAAAAGCTGATGGTTGATGGCCACTAATATGGCAATGACTTGCACCGGCTAAGAAATGGTGTGTTCAAAGAAGAAAGGAGACCATCCCAAATCTCTCGAGGCAACAAACAACACATACAAGAGAGCGTTTAGTTTTTGTGTGCCAGGTTTAGTTTATATTTGAATACAAAGCTTTGGCCGAGACACATATTTATCCTCGAAAGTACTCAGGGGAGGGGGGCTTGTCTGATTTGAAATGAGAGAGAAGGAGGAAATGAACCCCAAATGGGACCCAGACTGCTATGGATAACGCAATCTGGCGAGTGTGTATACAGTACATCCATCACAAGAACACACTCCCAATCTCTGGTAAACTTGTGCAGGGTCTGTTTGGGGGAAGCCGAGGGAGGAGGGGAGGAAAGGGTGGAGGGAAGGGGGGCTATGGCACCACTCTCCAACATCAACACAGATGGAAATCATTTGTGTCTCAACAAGAGGACTGGTCCACATTCGCCTTTGGCTGAGCTGTTCTGGAGCTGTGCACAGACCATAGGATGCAAATGATGATGTGACTGAAGTATGTAGGCCAAAACAATTACCAAAGGTTCTTCATATTTGCTCTGATATGTAGATAGGCTTAATTTCGCTTGGATATATCACTGCAGGGGAAATATTGTTGAATAGCTGGACAGAGCAACAAATTTTTAGACATCACTTTGGGCTGAGAAGATGTAGTTTCCCTTTGATATGCATGAAGACAGCATGAGTGGTGACAATTCAAGACGCTGAGGTACATGCAGGTTGGCGTTTGTGGCTCAAAGCACTGCTAAACATTAGGGAAAACAGAGATCGAAGACAGAAGACAGAAACGAAGCAGCTCTACCAAAAGATTATACTGCCTCGGCTATCTGGTCCACTTGTTCCCCACACAGTCATAAAAATTAAGGGGATGCCCCTGTGTAGTCTGAACCTTACATGAGGCATTAACGTATTTTGCTCTTTCAAAAGGCAGAGAAAAAAACAGTGCAAAAAACATGGTGTAATTAAGAGGGGTTTAACTTTGGGAATTGTTTGAAAATGAGAGATTACAGCACAGCCTTTAAAACCCTGATACCTAATGTAACCCTAACACAAAGAAATTTCCATTTTTCCTCATTTTTTTGTATCTATCAACTCTAAATGGTCTGAAACATGCTCTTAAATAGGTTCTGGACAGTGATTTTCACCCTAAGCCCCTAAACCTAACCCTAAACACTTAGAAAAACTGTGTCCAATCTTGCTATAAAGGGTAGCAGCCCCGGACGATCCTATTCATTTGAATAGGGATCTTTTAAATTGCCCATAACTTTTTAAACGCAACGTCTGGTACCAGTGAACTCGGGGTACGTGAACTAGAGTGGTTTGGTCTTGGTCCCAGATCTCTAGCTCGCTCACCGGTCGGCAACTGTGGTTAAAAGTCTATCTGTGAGGCCATCCTGCTTGTTGTTTCAGGCTTACATGGGTTACTATATTTTTGAAGAGATTTAGGTTGAGGAGAAATGTTGGTTGTGCGCATACTGGTGGCCCTGTCAGCATGTTGCACCAGGCAACTGTTGCAAACTGAGACTGACTCACACAAATGCAGACCCATCAGCTGAGAGTTTTGAATCCCAGTGCATAAAGGAGGTTTTTCTATTGGTTAAAAAAGCAACAGTCCTTTTGCAACATGGGGGCTGACGTATAAACAAATCATGTTGCAAACATGGTGCATTACTTGGTATTTCAAGCAGTTAAAACTGGGACAGTGATTTTTCCACACCAGGACACATTAGTGATTTAAAGATTCAGATGGTCCAAATCAAATCTAGACATGTGGTCTCACTGCAGACTGCCTGACCTGTCCACTCAAACCAGGTTTAACTCTTTCAGCAGACTCTTCTAAGACCACAAAGTCCAGTTTTTGTTCCCAAACATGCATCAGTGAGCCTCTACTGCCCATGACTTTATCTTTGGCTCACTGGTTTTCCCATCCTTGGACCATGTCTGGCGGGTACCACTGCAGACCAAGAGCACTCCACAAGAGCTGTAGTTTTGGAGATGCTCTGACCCCGCCATCCAGCCATTGTCAAAGTCGCTAATATCCTTACTGTTCTGTTTTCAGTTCTTCATGAACTTTTTGTTCACGAGGCCACCCCATTCTGCAGAGAAAATCGGGTATTAGCGGCACTTTTTCCTGTATACCTCCACGCGTAAGATCTCGTCAAGGGATCATTTTCTTGTTTTCATTATCAAACAACATGAAATATGAAAATCATGATAAAGGGCTTCAAAAGACAACTGTTCAATTTCTGACATTCTTGTTTTTTTTCTGTGGTGGGTTTCCATTCACACAGCAGTGTTCAGTATCAATTTGCTCGCTTGAATGCAGCTCAATTCGAGTACAAGTAATTTTCATTTCATCTTTCAGTCCTTTTGTTCCAACTCCTCTACAGCTGGATGGAAATGCTTCTTGCGGCCGAGGCAGCAACTGTGTCGATGACAGGAATGTACTTCATGCTAAAGATAAAAGAGAAATATCAGCACAGCATAAATGTTGCATGTGAAAAGAGGATCTCTGGGACTTCAGCAGGATTTTGTTACACTTTGTGGTCTTCATGATCTAATTAGAGCCAGATCTTGTATCCTGGTATGTTTGATACATATGTGCGTATTCATGTGTTGCATGTAGCACATTGTAAAATGGTGCTGTGATCTTCTTCTGCAGAACCCTGGAGTGATTTATGAGGTGAAGGTTATGGAAAGGATCAGAATGACTTGAGAAGATCTTGGTTCTTTTTGAATTTAGACAGAATGTGTGTCTGAGCAAAGCCAAAAGGCTGCATCGTTTTAAGTCTTGCACACACACTCAGCTCTGCAGACATGATTAAGGTCATGAGACAGCAGAAAAGAACCAATGGTAAATGGGCTACACTAACTCTATTCACCATATTCACCCACTCTGATGGTAGAGCTGGCTATGTAAACTGCCCTGACTAAAACTGGCTCCAGACATGGGTGTGTTGACTGCATGAGCTGCTGCTAATGCCAGCCTCGTCCCTCGCCATAATCATTTCTGGAGGAAATGCATTTGAAGCCCCAGATTTCAGCTCTGTTTCTGACTACAATGAAGAAAAGGCCACATGGTGTCTAAATCCAACCAGTTTGAGCCTAATAAAAATAAAATGATGCCTTTTTGCTGTTTATTTAATTAGAAAACCTCCTGCCGAGTCTCCTGATACTCAATGACTTGAGTATTGCGTGTCTGGCAGTCACTAACAAGTCTGCCTCTGGAGAAACAAGTCTGTGCACTGTGCTATGTAACACTCCTTGTCTCCATCATCTATGTTTTGTCTGTGTGTTAATTTAGGATTGCTGAAGAGACACCTTGCTTCATTACTGTCTCTGCAGAGGGAGGTGAAAGATCATCAAAACAAAGTACAGTAAATTACTCAGGAGTGTGATGTCTGCCATCCTCAACATCTCTGCAGCACATGCAAAACACGGACCAGGACACAACTGGTTAACAAACATGTTGGCATCACCACTGCATGTAAAATATCCTAAGGTCTATGAGCATTTGACTGAACACTGCAAATGAAAGAGCTGCCTGCAAGATCCTCAGACCAGAACTTACTTAACATGGGAGGACCTCTGTAATCTGCAAGCACTGAAAAGCGAAGAGTTACAGTAAGGCTAAAAGTGCAGATTTAGAGCCACTTTTGTAGTCCTTCACTTTGCTTTTTTCTATCCTCACCATCTCACCATTTTTCTTCCTTCTCTATCACTGAGAACCGTAGTAAACTTGTGTAACATTAAAATTAAATCATTTGTTTCAGATAAATAAAGGTTAAATTAACTTGAAAGACTATGTTGTATTAAAAAGCTGATCAATTAATAAGATCCATTGGCTTATTATGCAATTCAACTAATCATTTCAGTGATCCTAGCAATGTTTCCCTACATAGACTTTACCTGGGCGGCCCATCCAAGAAGATGAAAATAGAATTTAAAAAAATAAAGAAATAAAAAAATGTGGTCATACACACAGCTAGTGAATGGACAGGAGGGCATCCAAACTGTTGCACTCCGGCTCTCCGGAGTGGTAGCGATCGTTTTTCGAGTGAACAAATGCGGCGCAGTGCAGGACATGTTGTGGATATACGCACACCCAAAATGTTGCACTCTGACTACACTAACTTATTGTTGATTATATACTGTTTTCTTCCTCATACAGTTTCTGTTATTGTACCACTGGTTTTGTCTCAGAGACTGACTGTGACTTTTTCTTCTTCAAGACATGAGGCCAATTGAAAGTTATTTTTCCTTTGGGTTGTTTGTTAACAAAGCAACTGTCTGTAGCAGTCTAAAGTTGTTAACAAATGCCATGTGCAATAAAAAACTTCTCATTGGTTAGTGTAATGATAGTGCACTGTGTACCTTATGTTTTATGTTTGTTTTGCATCTTGAAAAGTACACATTTATCAGTAATACAGTGAAATGAGAGGAAATGTGAATTATTTGCCTTGCAAGTCAAGTTACAGTGTGCACCCCTAAATCTTCAGCCTAGATTAGCTTGCTACCTCAATGCTTGTTAGTTACAGCCCGTGTTGATGCAAAAGCTCACAAGTGTTAAGAGTGTGACAATTTTCCCAGTAAAAAGACAGTCTGTATACAGTTAGCATGTCTTTAGCTCAACATCAACTGTGAGTCAATGAAACACAATAGTAACAGAAAGTATTGGTACCATGTTGTTATGTTATGTTATGTTATGAGCAGGTTTTGCAAAATAAAAATGCTAAATATTGGTTCAACAAAGTCCTGGTAGCAGAAATACTTGCAACAAGTCCTCCAATCCATTACGACCTAACGGGTCGTTTTTTCAAGCACTGAAATACGTCCCAGTGGAGCGTTTACTAACGAGTGCCTCCACCACAGGGGCTTTTTGTATGACTCATGGAGAAATATAAATGGTAAATATGACTCTTACCGATCACCAAATTCAGTTTTAACACCATTTTAGACTAGAACATAGTTGTTTAAATTTAAAATGTGCCGTTACTTTATCTCGAGAGGACTGATTTACAAATTTAGATCCCCCATTTTAGAGATCGGTACATTGCCCAGCACTCCACTGGGTCGTATTACAGTGCATGAAAAAACGACCCATCAGGTCGTAATGGATTGGAGGACATGTTGGAAATACAAACAAACCATATCAAATCTGTCCTTACTTTCCTGTTTTGCATCATTTTTCAGAGACAATTCTGACGTTGTGCATCAGAAATTTGGGGGATTTTCTCACTTAATGAAATCAATGTGCAACCTTGCTCTGATGAGTTTACATTTGATAAGTCTTTCCCATAATCATATGACAAATATCTTCCAATCTTGGACAGCTGGTATCACCTCTGTACTTCCATTGCCAGGACCCAAACTTAAAGCCTTCTTACCACTTCCCCCAATCTCTCCATATAATTCCTGCATGCAAACTGAAAATGCAAGCAGTAATGAGGTCAAAATCAAAATGATCTTCTGCTGCAAGACAAATTTTCACTAAGTATCACCACATGATGAGATTACTTAACACACAACCTTATGAAGGTAAGACGGTGGACTTAGCTTGAAGGCTCTTCCTTCATTTTGGTAGATTTTGACTTAAATTTGCTGCCACCTACAGGAGGTCTGTTTCCATGAGATCACCTGTTAGGGTGTGTCTGACAGACACTCAGTTAACACATCATGGAGGTCTTTGTTATTTCATTACTTCCTCACAGGCAGTATATAAAGACAATGACACCATCTTAAATGAATGCATTTTTAAGTTTGAGGTTATTTACGATCAGTGCAGTCACTCTGTATCATTTCTTAAGATTTCAATTTGCTCCATAAATCCACAAGACTACTCCAGCGTAATTATTCTTTATATAACACTGAGTAATCAAAAATGGCTGCCACAGCAGCATTGATCTGAAGCCGCAGCTCTCAGTCTCGCAGAGTGCTGGTTTGGCTCGGCACTGAGGCTTGACGGGTCACAGACAGACCGTGGCCAAGGCCGTCTCTTCCTCCTCCCCCTCTTCCTCCTCCTCGTCCATTCTTCTAACAGATCTCTCATCTCTATTTATTGCCCTCAATCACCACCAATAACTCATGACTGATGCTTTATAGGATATTTGGTTCTGCAAATTGAACGTATTTGAAGCATAAAAACCTGTTTCCTCTGCACTAAATCAGGCTCTGCGTTGTGTCTCTACATCTCTACCCTGTTTACCCCTGTCTTTTGCCATTCCTTCCTCTCTCCTCGTCCTTTAACCCATATATCTTTTAGTCCCTTCACGCCGGCTGGAATTTACACAACTCGAAACGAAAGAAGAATGGAGCAGATTATTTTCTCGCTGCCTGGACGGCTTCTCCAGAGGTCAGTGTGGAAATGTGATGAATGGTAATTTCAGAGCAGACAGACAGACTGGAAGGAAATAAAAGACAGTAGCTGAGTTTCCATCCAAGTATATTTATGAGAACTGTACTATGAGTGCTCTGATTCTGCACATACAGCACATCTAAATTTATAAGCTGTTTTATTTCCAGTTAACATATATGAGTCCTGGCTAATACAACTAATAGTTGCCTGCAGTTTTAAATATTCCCTCCCCAGGCTGTAGGGCTGGGCGATAAACCGAACCAACGTCATTTCGCCCATATCCATTTATTCGGTGTCAAACAAATAAATAAGATTGGATGTTTGTAGGTAGGCTATGGCTATGGTCTCATGTCCCTTTAAGAGGCTGTACTATGTTAGAGACGTGACTCCACCCCATCCAGTCCGTAACAAAGAGAGAAAGACAAGTGAGGAGATGGAGGACAGTTCAAAAGTTGTAGCAGCTGGAGCGGAGGCTGAAGTAGACAAAGTTATTGTGGGAGGGGGTGAGCAGCTTGTGGAGTAGTTATCATCCATTTATCGTTATCGAGGTGAACTGCTCAATATATCATGATATTGATTTCAGGCCATATCGCCCAGCCCTACCAGGTTGCACTAATTTTACATTCCAGATCACAGAAGTTGCTGGTTGGCCTCCACTTAAATGAGTTGGTTTGTTTGTATGATTGTGCGCCTCCACCCCAGCTCCTCCTCTTCATGCTGTGTCTGATTTTGCCAGTGCCACTGATGCCCGCTCTCTTATTGGCTGTGAGTCTTTACTGCTGCTCTCCCTGTCTTGGCTTTTAATTCATGCACATGCTGCAAGCTTTCGGTATGTTTTGGCATTTAAAGATTGAAAATGTGCATAAAAAAGGCCCTACATTAAAAAAATATATGTTCCTCACAGGTGTTGCTGTTATTGTGGAAATGGCTGCAAAAACTCTGCTATCCCTTCCACACACAGTCTCAGAAAAGCACACTGAACATAATTAATCTGTAAAGAATGCAAGTATGACTTGTTTTCTCCAGTTAGCTTCACTCTGGGTCTTGATTTGTTTTCTAAAAGACAACAAAAGTTGCTGTAAAAACAACGAACACAGAAGAGAGAGGAGAGATCACTCCTCCTCCTCTCGTCTACTTTTCCGGGAAACTTCGGCTGTGATTTCCAGACACACACTGGGGTCACCGGAGGAGGCTGAGGCTGTGGACTGGTTCTAATTACAAACTGCACGGTCAGGACTTGTGTGTTTTTAAGTGTGTGTGTGTGTGTGTGTGTGTGTGTGTGTGTGTGTATGTGTGTGTGTGTGTGTGTGTGTGTGTGCATGTAAAAAATAGAGAGAGAAAGAGAGAGAGAGGATGTCAAACAAGGTGTTGTGGCTTATTGTTATGGTGAGAAGGCTTTGCAGGCCATCACAGCCACCTGCTTTCCATCAGAGGCATCTGCTCCGACACACACAGATACACACACACACACTTTCCCCCTTTGTCCTCATGCTGACTCCACACACTCTCATATCAGTCCAACTATGTAATACACACCACACACACATTATGTCATGGCGGAGATGTTTCAGTCCTCAGCAACTGTCAGGGTGATGCAATGCACTGTGTGTGACAGGAAAACATGTTGAAGTCATGACTCCTCTCCTACTGCTTAACAAGAGACTGAACACAGCGCACATGGTTTCCACGTCTCACCGCATCACACCAGCTGACAGTCATGTGACTGAAAATGCTTTGAGGGGTGTTTGAATAAAAACCAACTGTAGTTTTCCTGAATACACAAAAATGCACGAGTTAATGAGTGTGACCTGCTTTAATAATAAAACATGTTTTGTCAAATTGGAGCTCTAAACTTCACTTCATGAGCCCACATGTGCACAGGGTAAAGGTCTTACCAGCCAAGGATGAGGGATCTCAGGGAGGGGCATCTGAGGCGGGGCTGGTAGACCACTGTGGATCTCTGACTTGAATGACGGCTCTGTGATTGAGAAAAAGGAGACAGGAAGTGAGAAAAGCAACAAAGGTAGAACTTTTCGTATCCGATTTCAACATTTTGTAGCTGTATTAAGTGAAAACTTCACATTCACGTAAGAAAAAAACCCAAAGTCCAGATTTGTATATATAAGTATAGACGGGTTAAGTGTCAAAGATATTCAGTGTCTCTGTGGATTTGTTCAGTGCACTGTGGTTTAATAACCTCACCTTTATCTGAGAGGACTCTGTGCAGGATGTTGGACAGGTGCAGCTTCCTCTCTCGTACCCCGGCGCTCAGATACTCTCTGTCCAGCAGGTCCAGGAACAGACGGAGCTCACACACCAGCTCCTCCATGGCTGCAGCACAAACACAGAAGCAGCATGTTTTCAGGGAAAATATTGGTGTACAGAGCCTTTGTGTATCTTGCAGACCATATAATGATATATAAGCACATTTACCTCACACTCAGCCAAAAAGTAAGTGAACGGAGGCGATAAATAGCAAAGACTACAATACAGAGATCACTAACGGTTAATCAGACACAGCAGAAAAAGGAAGAGTAGTCTAAATATAACATCAACTTTAAAATCTAGAAAGTAAGCTAGGTGTTGGGGTCTGTGGGCTGAGCTGGACTTCCTGGCCTGCCTGAACTAACTCTGTACTCATTTTTATGGTTTTGGCCAGTCAGGTTTAAAGGGGACCTTTGCTTCACTTGGACCCCCCTCTCCAGTCAACAAAGGGGCATTTCAAGCATATCTGCTCTCTGTGCATACTTTTTATATATTGAAACACTCAATTTTCTGGATTAAATTTGCATTTGACCGTTGCAGTTTACTAACATCCAAAATCTCAGAGGCTTTCATCTGCACTTTTGCACGCTTTTCTTTCTTCTTTGGTTATTTTAATGCATGTAGTAAGCAGCTTTTAGATGGCCAACCTACCGCAGGCCCCAGGAAAAGAAGAAAAAGTAAGTCCTTATGAAGAGAAATTTCTTGCATATCTCTATTTGGGGTGGCACAGTGGTGTAGTGATTAGCACTGTCGCCTCACAGCAAGGAGGGTGTTTCTGTGTGGAGTTCACATGTTATCCCTGTGTTTGTGTGGATTTATTTCGGTTTCCTCCCACATCCCACAAACATGCAGAAGTGGGGTTAGATCAATTAGTCCCTTTCAAATTGCCCAAAGGTGTGAATGTAAGTGTGTATGGTTGTTCGTCTCTATATGTCAGCCCTGTGATGAACAGGTGACTTGTTCAGGGTGTCCCCTGCCTTTGCCCCAAGATGCTGGGATTGGCTCCAGCCCCCCCTGCGACCCCCAATGGGATAAGCAGCAGAAAATGGATGGATCTCTATTTTCATATGAAGTGTTCAAATACTGTGCATGCAGAGCTAATCAAACTGCATCATGCAGCCAGTAAACAAACAAGGCAACTGTAGGCTTTGTAATATGCTCATGTTTCCTGTTAAAAAGCTTTTATTTAAGGTCTTTAAACTTTAAACTCTAGTATTTAGGGTTTTTTTATTTTTTTTTATTTATTTCTGGACATGTGCCTCACATGCCTCACTTAGAAGCACATCAATCTCATTTATTACAACAAAATAAGAACAAAAACAAAACCAGAGCATCCACAAGTCCATTTTAAAAGGCTTAAGATTGATTTAAATAACTTCAGTTATAGTTTTCCTTTAAACCTAGACTACCAAAGAGTCCAAGAACTATCCTCTCAGAGAGACATTATGTACTGTATATCAAACTTACTGCACTGTATGTTTGATTAATAGCAATCTAAAGGCTGTTTTACTCTTAATCTAACATTTAACGGACTCAGAACAAAAGCAAAACATCATTATATAACAGACAAGTGCACGGCCAGGTGGAGATGGAGAACAGAGCTCTCAGTCAGTAAATCAATCAGATCAGGACAGACCTGGCAACCTATCTGACGCACATATTGCTGCAGAGCTACGGCTGCTGGTGGAAAATACAAAACAGCCTGAGCTCGCAGAACAAAACATCAGGATGGACCACGTGCAGCAGAGGAATGAGCAAACACCTTCACATGATCGTATCTGAGAGCTGGTTGTGATATGGATGGCATCGCACCGAGTCTCCACGCTCTGCAGAAACACTCAGATAACAAACGCCTCTCAAACACTGATGGTACGGGTCTGTTTCTGTTCAACTGGAGCTTACAGTCAACACGTGATGGTATCAGAGGTGACGACACTGTACCGCAGAGAACCTGAGAACTGAAGGAGAGCAAGTGGAGATAAAGATGGGATGTTTATTTCGACTGAACACAGAAAAAGCTGACTACGGGACATGTTCTGAAGTAGTTCAAGAATACATCATCCTGATGTCAGCCCCAACCTGGACAGCTAGGGGATTCAAGGTTCAGCGCGTTGCTCAAGAACACCTTCACAGGCAGCTGTTCAGGCAGGTTGAAGACAAGTCCAAGATAAGAAATTAATTGGTTCATTGAATTCAATGAATTCCCAGTCACAAGCCTCTCCTTCCTGTCTTTGTGTTGAAATAGATCCTTTTGGTTCTGGACCGTTGAGATGACAAAATAAGGACTCTTACCTCATATCAAAAAAACATAAATCAAGTTTTACCTCTGTTAAACCACTTAATATATTTCAGCAAACCAGAAGAGAGACAGCAGACAAAAGTTATGGAAACTCTGTCCAATGTAGTCCCAACAGACAAAATAAATGTAGATGTAAAATCTGACACTCTTTCAGGAAATCATGAAGCAAACCTCTCCACTCTAAAGAGAGGATGGACCACCCAGGTTATATAAGTGCTGAAGGTCCATAAAGGTATGGAGATGCATCAGTGCCCATGGCAGGGGAAGCTTACACAATACTGCACATGCTCAACAGAATATACAGGTTTAGGAGCAACATCTGCTGCCATCCTGCCACTGGCTTTTTCAAGGAGGACCTTCATATTTCAGCAAGACAATGACAAACCACATTATAACTGTGATATTTCGACATTGTTTATCTAAAAATATTACACCTCTTCCTTCAACATCAGAGGCAGAAGCACTGGAGTTTAACTAACGTGGCCCAAGTGTGAAATATCCCAGCACTCTAAAACAAACCAGGCCTCCACCTGATCCACGTGCTGGACTCGGGTTTGAGATAAAAATGTTTTCTGTGGCAGGAACTCCATGTTCCTGCTATTTGCAGCCAGGTATCTGCGATGACACAACCACACTCTCCTTCAAAACAGGTCTGAAAAGCACATCTGAACATAACTCACGCAGGTATCATCCATTAACCAGCAACAGGTGAGGCTGGCGTACAGTACAGGAGGTCCACACAGAGTCCTGCATTGGAGTATCTCAGCGGTTTGACGAGGAATTCTCTCTCAAAGATTTCTGAAAAAAATGCACATTTCCAATGCAACCATGGTTCATTTTCACAGCAGCAGAAATTTGATTGTCGGTCAGCAGGTCTGAGGCTGTGTCCACATCCACTTTCACACATTCCTCACATAATCGAATTATCCTGCGGGCCGGAGAGGGAGGGGGCGTAGACCAGGCAGGAGCGAAGGTAGTGAGGGAACAATGAATGATGGTATCCAAAAGTCTGAGGAGCTCTGTGACACAGCGTCACCAAAGTCAACATTCATCCTCTGTGCATTGTTCCAAACTCTGACTTAGTTGTGTCCTTTCCTGAACTGTTTTGATGTGACGTTGTCTCCTTGAGCATAAAACCAGACCCTCAAAGATCACCTGATGACCAGGGTAACAAGGGTTCAGGCCAGTCTTAGTCAGCATAATTGCTGGCCTTTATTTTGATGCTCAGTCTTGACTTTATCTGCACCAACTCTGCCAAAATCAGTCAATGGTTCTGTGAGTATCCTGCTTTTTTTAAGAGACACAAATATTTCAAAAGCAAAGCTACAAACTTGGCAAACATGCGGCGGAGCCTTCCCCAGGCAGGTTTTAATATCACACTGAGAACAGCCAAGCTCTCTTTACTGCTTCATTTACTGTTTCAGAGAGCTTTATGCAACCTGTGCAAGACTTAACCTCCCCTGGGGTGGTCAGAAAGCCAACCTTGAGTGTGTGTGTGTGTGTGTGTGTGTGTGTGTGTGTGTGTGTGTGTGTGTGTGTGTGTGTGTGTGTGTCGTTAAACCTTAAAGCCAGCTCTCCAGATCACCAAAGTCAGCCAGGGAAAATGAAGTGGCACAAAGCGAGGAGGACCACCCTCAAACAAGAGCCCAGGGCGAACACAAAGTACCTCATCGTGCAAACAAACCTCCCACGCCCTGTCTTCAAAAACTCTCTCCTGTCTCTTTCTTTCCTGCCCGTACAGGGGAACGTGTGTGCACCCTTTTTCACACTCAAAGTGTGTTTTGGTTCACTCTGATACACATCACACAAAATACTTTCATTTTTATTTACATGAAGGAAAATATAATTTGCCTCTAACCACATTTGCTGTGTCAACACCACACATGCATGACAAATGATGGCAGTGCTCTCCAACAAAAACAGTTAATCCCTACACCCACACAGACGCACACACCCACAGACACTGAAAACACCTTGACCTGTTGTCGGGATGTTTTCACTGAACAAAGGGGGTTTTCCTGGGTGAGGCAATGGGGTCATTGTGGAGTCTGGAAGAATCTGAGACCCTGAGGCTCCCAGAGCATGTTGTTGTCTGTACAAAAATACTTAGGTGGGTTAGAGGAAGGGGGGGGGTTCTCTGCTGTTTCCCAGAATACAGCTGTTCTGATAGATGCCACACTGACAGACCCGATGTGTCTGTGTTTCTTTTGAAAATCAGAGTCTTGACACTCTGAGGATGTGCTGAGTCTGAGAGTTTGACAAGCTTTCACATGCATACACAGGGTTTCAAAATCTTTGTTCACTCATTTAAACACTGACCCTTCAAAAGTGGTCATTGCAGATCAAGATTTAGAGTCAGGCTGAATAGACGTTTAAGTCCTGTTAGGGGTTTTTGATTGGTGAAGAAACAAACTGAAACTAGCAGTGATGCAACTTCCATTGAAGAGCCGCAAACACCCTCGAGAGTTAAAATTTAAATCCTGTTTTAAGCTTGTCTAATGATCATCATTCACTTGAAAAACGTCGTCAATACTGACTTGTGATCATAACAGCCCATTTTGTGGTTCCTTGTGTAACCATATTAAGTAATCCCAGGATTTTCTCAGTCTTTTGGACTCCAAAGAACATAAAAAGGAAACCAACAGTCACCTCTGAAAGGCCAAATATAAACTCAAGCCAATCCAGCTGGGATGACAAATCCTGGAAATTTTCTCAGCTTCTGGAGTTTTTCATTTCTGCATAAAAACAAGCTTTAGTTTGAGCAGGAGGTTGTTTTTGAATGTGATCAGGGGACACAGTTTGTCACGGTGACGTTACATAACATCTGAAAATCTGTCTGCAGACAGCATGTCGTCTCTGTCGCACACCACGCCACATCACATCAAAAATCAGGTCGTGGATCATCACCAGCATTGAACAGGCTGTAAAAGTCAAAAGTTCTATTACAGGCGACAGACCCCTCCTCAGGTGTGATAAAAGCGCATCCAGATTAAACAGGTCAACCAACCAATCATCTCCGGTGAGCTCTCTCTGGGCCTCTAGGAAGCTTAACAGCATTGTGGGCTGAGTGTTACTGTAGGACGGCGGTTTTTCCCTTAATTGAGGTTGGTTTATGGTCGGGCATCGTCATGGTTACTGCTTCCAGCGTACCACCAAAACACAGCAAGACATATGATTGCATAAGAGCTTAGACACACAAACACACAGGTTGGAGTCAATGCAATCCAAAGTTGTACATCTGAAGTTTCTAACAATGAGAGGCGTATTTATTAGGGGTGGGAATCACCTGTGGCCCCACAATACTATATTATCACGATTCTTTGGCCATGATATAATATTACTGGGTTATATAGAATTTTTTCAACTGTTTAGCTAATTTATCATTTGGCTTTCCTTTATGTTTGTCTTATTGACACTGTATTTTATTTTCATGTAGCACACCTTGCTTGCCTTATATTTGTTGCACTGACTTTCTCCTGCTCTATGATGTCATCTCTGCCGACCTCACTGGACAAACAGTTGATTTTATTTTTCTATCATAGATTTGACTTCATATTAGCAATTCATTTGAAAAATAGATACTTAGTAAATGAGACGATACGATATATCACCAGTCAAAATATCGCAATACTATACTACATCGTTTTTTCCTTCACCCCTAGATTTTATATTGTCTATACTTGATGATTAAAATCTGCAAAAACAATGCAACAGGTGCTATCTCCTTCTATTTCAGTGAACAAAATCAAATAAGAAAGACTTCACACTCGTTATATAATATTGGATTCAATAGCCTTAATACTGATATATTTGGTTGATACTCTGAGGTTAAAAGCTGTGAAAGTCATAGCAACTCCAGTCATAAATGAGGGTTAGTAGAGCCTCATCTTGGACCAACACCAAGAGAGAGGGAGAGTCCTGTGCAGATCAGAGACCCTTCAATGCTGCATTAGCTTATGATGAAAGACCAGCTCTCTCGCTCTCCCTGGGTCTCAGGTCTGTAATTATGAGGTTTGTGCGCTTTCTTCGTTCCACCAAGCATGCCAAGCGATCATCACAGAGCGCGGCTGATTCCTATCTAGCAGTACAGGTGGTTTACTGTATGAGCAGATGTTTCTCGGACCACAAATATACATCTGCAAAACCCTGATTTAAAGACACGAAGAGAAGGGTTAAAGATGGAGGGATAGTGGATTGTTGACGGAGGTTTAGAGGAGATAAGAAACAGCGGGAGAAAGAAGAAAGAGAGCTCGTCAAACGGAGAGTTAAAGATGGTATTTGTGGGATGAGATGATGCACGCTTTGGTATCTTCTTTAAAAGATAATTAGAGGGTGCTCTGATAAACCTCAGGCCAAAGAGAGAGGACGAGGGAAAGAGGGGGGAGTGAGTGGTAAAGAAGCCCCAGCTGTGGGATTGGATCTTCTGGTGGGAATGGGGGGAATGTGAATTTTTTTGATTGGACTGGGAATGGAAGCTGACAAGGCGTGAGAAGAGAGCGTCATAACATACAGATTTTTTTCATTAGCGAGGTAGCGAAAGTCGCAATACTACTTAGACACCATGATGTCATTTGTTCATCCTCTTCCCTTTCAGAAGAGCAGGAACTCATACCATCAAAATAAGGATTAACTGAGGTCATGGACACAAAAGCTGATCTCCACAGTTCAGACTCTGGCTCCAGATATGCATCCTGTGAGAGACTGCATGAGCTAATAGTTCAACAGTTTCAAAATAATGTTCCTGAGTGTCAAATGTGAAAGAATGAGTGGATTTTATCATCCACAATACATAATATCTGGGGCTGTGATCAACCCAAGAAATTCTTGGTCAACTAAAACCCTGAAATTTTCGACCAAAAATCAATTAATTTTTTCCGATATGGCTTGGTGGGTTGAAAATATACTGATATCAGCACAAGAAGGCAATGCCTATGTAAAGTTGAAACGCTCAAAATAAAAATAAATAATTAGCAAACCACCAAACGTTCATTAACGTGGAGGCTCTTCAATCTTACTGTCTCTAGCCAGTCTCCAATGGCGAATCCAAAATGGTGAAAACAAGGGGGGATGTTCTGAGACAGGCTGTTACCTGTGAAACAGGGGTGCTCTGAAAACACCCCCATTAGCACTTGGTACGTTCCTCCTGATGGATTTAACTGTAGACTGTTAATTGACCCGGAAAAAAATCAAGTCGACAAATCAGAATTTTGGTAGAATCAGCACGTATCAACAATTAAGTCGACCAGTCGAATAGGACTTTACAGCCCTAATAATAATATTAAAAGATTCATGGAATCTGGAGAAACCTCTGTACTAAAGGGACAAGGACCAAAACCAAGACTGAATTGCTGTGATATTTAGAGCCTTAGGCAGCATTTGCATAAAAAAACACATGACTCTCTCTGGAGTAGAAACCTGGCATTAACTCAAATTTACTCCCAAAATACATTGACTGTGAATACAGTTAGACACTGAAGCCACAATGCAGATTACTGATGTTTTAAGTGTTGGGCACATCCTGATTATCATGGCTGCTATTTTTGATTAATTCAAACCAAAACTAACCCTTAGTTGTGCTTCCATGGTCCGAAACAGGTATTTTCCTCGTATTTATGTGCTTTTTCAATATGTGCTGAAGGGGTAAGCTGCCTAATACTTGGGAATCCAACAGCATGTTACTCATCAAATAGAAATTGGGAAAAGAGTTTACCCTCCCTCCACCATATACCCTTATAATCTTGTGCATACCCTCATGCAGCAAAAGCAATGCACGCCACATTTGCACCCATGGGAAACACTGAGATCTGCAGAGACAAGTCAATCATAGCACAGACAGAGCAGAAGTGTCCCAACACTGTTTTCTGGTTTTATGCCAGCCCTATCTCATCTCAAGATGCTAAAAAGGAGTCTGACTTTGACTGACAGCTCAAAGCCTTTTCATCTGTCAACGCCCATTACATCCCGCCAAGAGTACCACACAACACACACACTCCAACAACAGACACACCCATGTGAGAGCCTTTGTAAGTGTGAACATGTTTGGCTGAGAGACAGATCCAAATTCAAGTCAGAACACCAGGCAGACACATCAACTGCCTCCTCCATGTTTTCTCTGTTGTTGTTTCTAACGGAGCCCCTTTAAAGCTGACAGACCCCATGCTGTGTGGACCCCCAAATCAAACTACAGCTTTGCTCTTGTAATCCCAAGGCAGACCAAACATCTAACAAGCCATCAAGTTCATCCTATTACAGCAGTAATCCTATTAAAGTCACCCAGTGAGGCTAATCAGAAATGATCCCCTCCTAATGGTCACAAAATACAAAGTTAGCCATCAATGCAAGAACTAAATAAGGCGATTTCAACTGATCGCTTTACATCTCCAGGCTGGAGTCCAAATGTAAATGCTTGGTTGATGATGCTGGATCAGTGGGCTGCTTGCCATTTGTGTTAAATCCATATGAAACTGTCCTTTTTGGCACCAATCAGGCTCTATAGTGTGCTGGAGCTCCCAATCCTTCTTCTGTGTTTTTCCAGATGGATATTGACAGAGAGCGAAGGCAGTGAGGGCTATGATTAGTCGGCCCTCTCTTCCCTGCATGCCTGCATACTGACAGGCTGGCTTTGGAGGGAAGAAGGAGAGATTACAAACTCATTTCTCTTCATCTCTACTCCCCTGGGATTCATCCTCCAAACCGCCATCGAAAAAAAGGAGTAGAGGGGGGCGTGCATGCCTGACTCACGGAAGCTTTTAAAGATCTATCAATGTTGGGTTCACTGGCTTTCTGAACAAGGTAGACCCCAACCCCAAAGCAGGACCAAGTGGGCCAGAATGGTGACACCATGTACCCATTATGCCCACATCACACACACCCAAATTAATTGCCCGTGGACTCACGGTTTCCGTGTGGAAAGCTGAACTAATAAAAGGTAATAAACACTGAAACACTTGCGCCAGTTTTGCCCCCAAAACATGGCACCCCATAAGTGGGAGCGGTCCTGAGCGAAGAACTGCTGAAAGGAATCCTTGACTTGCAAAAACAGCAGGATGTGTTTTCAGCATCAGTCAGAGTCAGTAAGAGGAGGGGAAAGAAATCTAGGCTCTCGCAGACCTGGTCCTCTTATGCCAAGTTTTTGTCAAATTTAAACAGTTCAAGGGTTACTTTACAGAAAATGAACTGTTTGTAAGTTTTATTTGTCCTCATGTGTTTGTGGAACGCCAAAGCATCAGGCGGGAAGAGCACACCTCCCTCCCTTTCATATGCATGCAGGGAGAGCATCAGCAAAGACTTGTAGAATGCATAACAGAGCAACCATCAGTGACAATGCATATGATTCTAGTAAAAACAGACCCTGCATTGAAAAGCAGAGGGATTGAAGGTGGTTTGTCGAGGCAGCAGGAAGAGGCAGGCATTTTCTATTAGGGCTGCACGATAAACCGAAAATTTACCAATACCAAAATTTATGACAATAACTGACATCATTTTGCCCATATCAATATATTCTGTCAAAAAAAATAACTAAATAAAAGTCAGTTTTGGATGTATGTAGGTAGGCTATGGTCTCATGTCCCTTTAAGACGCTGTCCTACATCGGAGACAAAACTCCACCCCATCCAGTCCATAACAAACTGAGTTTGATAACCAGTTAGTTAGATCATACTTAGCTGGTTAGAACCTGTACCTGATATTCAGAAGACATGACCATCTTTATACATTGCAGTTTAATAACACACCTGTTAAAAGCTAAGACGTGCCTGATAAAATCAGTTAGGATCTAATTTTCCACTTGAAAACTGAGCAAACACGCCAAGTTTACCTGTTACATACCTGCATTTTGGTTGTCTTAACCTCACACTGGTTAAACCTTCACCTCAAACCAAAACCAAACATGATCTGCTCTGTTTTCATGAGCTGCTGAGCTGTAATCACCACCCCTCTACACAATGAACGTCTGTCAGAACCTCACCAAATGCTGGGCTGAGGAGTGCCGTCGGGCCACCTGATACCCTGCAGCTGCTAGCAGAGGTCCTGTTATTGTAGGACTCCATTCACTGCTGCAAGACGGAGACACTGGAGATATGGAGCATTTGTGTTGTCATTCCAGGATCATGTTGGGAAACCTCTGGCTGCAGAGCCGAGTTACCCCGGTGTTGACCTGGACTGTGTAATATCTGACGGGGCATTGGCAGCTGCAGCTCTGCAGTGTAGAAGCTAACAGCACATCTTCTGAGCATTATTTGTAGTAATTTTAAAAGCCCTTCTAATCCCTTTTTTTATGTTTCAGTGAAGCATGCACGATAATGTGTTGTTTATGTATTCAGATCTGTTGTCTAGCAACAGTGAGGTAATAAAAACCAGGCTTGTTTTGAAGGTAACAATGCCAGAAAACAATGGATCACATTACATAACAGCCGGCTGTGTCAAAGAGCTGACAATGAAAACATTTATGAAGAAAAGCAAGCTTCAGCATCGGCTACATGCTTTGAAGGTGAGCTGCTTCACAGTCAGTCAGATGGGAGTGAAGCTATGTGAGGATAAAAGATGATGACAGCTGGGAGAGAGGGAAGAAGGAAAGCATTCACAGAGGAGATAAGAGGAATCTCAGCTGCATGAATCATCCAATCAGACAAAAGATTTGGCCTTGTTAGTTGTTTTATTGCGGCTCATCGCTATCCTTATTTAGCACTTCCTTACAGAGGATCTGTTTTATAATGTGCCCTGCAAGTTCACTCTTTTATCTTACTTTTATGAGAATCTGACAGACAATGAGATTCAAGAAGACTGGAAATGTTCATCTATGCTGCTTTAGCCCACAACAGGCTGTAATGACTGAAACATAATGTTAGTATGAAAGTATGACCTCTCAAAGTACTTGGTTCTGAAGCTGACAGGCCCAAATACAGGATCCATATTCAAAATCCAAGACCAGTAACTCCTGATTTCTGCAGGATAAACTTCGTGTTTTTGTCAATGGAGTCTGGTGGAGGCATTCTCTTCTTTAAAGCTCCACTGACGAGTTTTTTTTACTGGTTGTGAATCTGACTGGAATTAACAGTAACAGTCTCTTTATGACCTAAAACAGCAAATGAGACAACCAACAACATAAAAAAATTAATCCATCGCAGTTTTTAAAGCCTGTAAATACTGCAAGGGGGTAGGTGTCAGACGAGATGTCTGATAGCAAGATGTCAATGGCTTCTTTTTTTATTTTTCGACAGCAAATACACACATAATTTGACAGTGAAAAGGAAGTTAGAGGGTTTTTTTCACTAGAAAAATTGTTCTTAAACATGTACCGGACAAGAACACATAGAAAATTCCTAACAGGAGCTTTAACTCTGCAGGGATATTTGAAACCTGTCTAAGTCAAAAAAAGATATAATAATATTTCATCAATGTAAATGCAGAAGTGGAAAACAATTTTGTCACATTACTCTATTCAGTAATGTCCTTAGGTTAAAATAGATGCTGCAATGTCATTTTTACACATCGCAATAAATCAGGTCCTTATTTTTGCCTCGTAATAACAAGCCTCTGTGCAGCAAGCCATGATTTGAATGTGCAGGATCATATCAAAGTGCCTGAATCAGAAAAGATGCAGCAAAAATCATGATTAACCTCACCCTCGATCAGTGCAGAGTCAAATCACTTCCCATATTAATGCTGTTTGTTTATGATGCATATATTCATTCTACCCCTGGTGGTTTGATCAAGCACATACTTAAACTTATTTTCTTGTTTCGTTGCAGGCATTATAGTCAGTTTTGTGGCTGCTGGCTGACTGAGTGCAATGCAAAGGCAAAATGGATAGCAGGATTAGTCTTTCAGTGATGCACAGCCCATAAATAATGTCAACATCTTCCTCACTGTTTAAAAATAAGGATCCAAAATGATTTATTCTTCACATCTGAGGTATGAGCTGAAGCACTGAGTAAAGCCACACTAAATTGCCAGATAACTGAATGGAGTTTGGCGTTAAGTTCATCTTGCAGACATTGACAACCAACCACAACCCTAATGACACCATGAAGAGCCAACTGTCTCTCCACTGTGTCTCCTCCCTGACTCCCTCCTTCCCTCTCTCTTTCTCCTAAGATCCAAACTTTTATAAACATAGCTTCTTTTGAAACTTTTCAAGTTTCAAAACAAAAACTGACAAATGCGTCTGATGATCAAGGCATCATCTGGGAGTCACATGGATGTGGAAAAGTGTGTGTAGGTGTTTGTGCATGCTGCCAACTCAAACGATCACAAATAAATAAACAGTACTTTCATACATATTGTGCTTTTGTAAGCACTCGTTGCCTTTGGTGCAGCAATCATTTGAATGAGGGGAGTCGCGTGGATGTACTTTAAAATAGGAGCAGCCTGCAGGCATGCATTTTCAGCGCGCGCGTGCGTGTGTGTGTGTGTGTGTGTGTGTGTGTGTGTGTGTGTGGGGGGGGGGGGGTGGGGGGGGGGGGGGGCGTGCATAGCTAAAATAGATTGCCTGGCGATAATCAAAGCAAAATTAAGGGGTAAAAAAATAGACTGTGGCAATCTTGGATGACCTTGGATGATCCAAAATAATAATAAAACAAGAAAAGCATATTTCATCAGAGTATGTGTCGTATTATGTTTTAAATATTAAAGAATCACAACAATACTGAATGCATATAGAATCTGATCCAAAATGTGCTCATAGCTGAGTAATGAAGGTGGGAGTTTGGGGTAGAAACGGTCAGTCTGCAAACTCAACCGGAGCTCACCAAAGCCCGTTAGTTCCTTTTGGAAAAAAAAAAAAGTTCCATAAAAGTGACTGTGAAATACTTCTGTTCTAGAGAATGGTTCTGTTATTTTCTTATTCAGACAAAAAAAAAAACACAGTTTACAGGCACTCACCCCTGCTGGAAGTGAACAGAACAGGGTCGCTCCTCATCGTGAAGTCAAACTCATCTAATCCGCCCAAAGACGCACAGGAGCGGGCGCGTGTCCGGCGGCTCCCCGAGCACCAGGTCGAGTAAAATCCACGCTCAAACACAAACTTTGACACCGTCTGTGTCCCTTTCAGCCTTGAACTTCTCTTATTCCCTCTTTACGGACGGACCGGCCTCTGAATAGTCTTCTTTCAAACTTTTTCTTCAGACCCTTCCACTCCTCCTCCTCCTTCCTTTCGCCGCTCCTCCCCTCAACTCCGCTGAAAGTCTCTCTCTCTCTCTCTCTCTCTCTCTCTCTCTCTCTCTCTCTCTCGAGCTAACTGCCTGCATGGATACTTTGAGGCGTTCAAAGACCGTCGAAAATTAACCCGGTTGAGTCCCATCTAAAACAATGCTGTTTATATGACATTATTTTTGTTTAACTGTGCACATATCAAGTGGTTTCTTATGTTGAGTTTGGTCTGATTTCACCTTACGTTAGTATATTTTCAGTATTAACAAGGTAAACATGGAGCCCTGAAGTTTCATCCCTCCCACCTAACTTAGGATGTTTATTTCAGACACCAGAGATGCAAGAAAATGAAACAAGGGATAGAAGAAATGAGGGGATTTGTTACAGGAGACCTGCTTTCATATATCCTCTCTCATTTCCATCCTCTCTCCTCGATCCTCTCTCCTCAGCACACCAATCAAACTGAAGACCTTTGAGATTCAGTTGTTCCCTACTTTTTGCAGGTATTTGAATGCACAAATATCTGAGTGTCCCTGAACGCAGCATTTTTCTCCACATGTGAAGATCATTTAAAAATGCCAAGGAGCTGCATAGGATTTAAAAACTCTGGTTTTAATGTCTGTTTTATTCTGTTTATTCACAAAGTCTCTGAGTAAACAAAACAACATCTCTAAGCTTTTTCACCACTCTCAGCACACCTCTAACACATGAACGCCTTTGTAATAAAACAACACTCCAAGTTACTTTTTCTTAGCTATAGGAGACATATTTTCTTATTTGTGGGGATGCATTTGTAACCCTCCTGAACTAGTCCAAGGCTCCCTCACTTAAGTCAAACTCAAACCCTGTAACCTCAAAACTCCCTCAGACTTCTCTGAACCAGCTTTAGTTACACCTAACCACAAACTGGGGACAAAAAGAGGCTTGCTTTCCTAATTACACTCCATTACCATAAGCTGCTGATTCCCCCCATCCCCAGGGGCAAATGCCAGTCTGAGTTCAATATCCCATCTGCCACCAGGGGAAGAGGAGGCGGAGGAGGAGGAAAAAGGAGGGCGGGGAGTCAGACTGAGGCTGCCCATTGCTGTTTTTCAGTTTTTCTTCTTTTTTTTCAGAGAGGAACATGACACAGTGGGAGGGAAAGAAAGAATAATGTCCTGGTTCACCTTTCAGCTCCAGCAGCTGAAGGAGAACCGCAGAATGTCAGAGGGTGTTTAAGAGCATTTCCCAAAAGGAAAATCAACATAATCTCCCTCTACCTGACCGAGTCCTTAATCTAGGGTGCTGGGCTGTGTTAAATCAGGGTTCTGATAGAATTTAGGTCACTTTTTTAGACTTTTTTTTAGCCTAAGTGTAAACACACAAAACAAAAATCTGCATGTGTTTTACTCACTGTGTGACCATATAAACTGATTTCACCCTTGAGTTTTATGTATACTTGTATATTTTCTTGTGTTTTTTTTGCTGATATGGGATAACTTGTCTGAAAGAAACTACCAGTCCCATTGGAGATCTGCAAGAACATGATCCATTCGCCCGACTAAAGATACCCCAGAAGTCTGACAGTCCATGCCATACAGTAAGTCAAAAGACCCTTGAAAAAGCGTGTACTTTCTTTCTGCAGGATTTTACAAACTCCAATGCAAATACAGTAAATCACCACACCACAGCTTTACAAAATAAGTCTCAAAATGGACAATAATTTGAGTCAACCATGAGTCCAATACTGAGATATCAGGTAGACTAAAGCCAGCTGAAACACTGAGTTGAGGAGTTAGCAAACAGGGGCTGTGAGCTGAGCTGCCATAAGTTGTGCTTGTCTGAACGTACCCTAAATGGTTTAAGGATAAGACTCCCATATAGTCCAGTTCTAAACAGGTTTTACCAGTGGCTATTAACAATGGTATTAACACACAATATGGCAGTTTTACATTAGTATGTAAGTCACCTTTGCAGGGCTTCATAGGCTGCAAAACGATCTGCTGTAAAGCTGAACTCTTTCTCTCTAAACTTAAAGCACTCAGGAGGAACGGGGGGGTTTAACACCATAGTCTGACTAAAATCACACTAAATCAAACCTCTCATAGACAGGCTAACACATCTAAATAATGCAGGTGGAGATCCATTTCCTGGCTTAAGTGTTCTGCTCATCCTCCAGTATTTGCACACCCAGCCTATCCTACAAAGCAATGTCAGTTTTTTAGATAAATAATTGACTTGATAGTAGGGCCGGGCGATAAAACAATAATGATATCAAAAAATAATTTTCCTTAATATTAAAATGAAACATGATCAAAACGCTTTTTGATAGTCTGCATTCTGCCATGTTTTGGTAGACTATACAAATAGCCAATGAAAAGGGGAGTTGCTTCGGGTCTGCGCCACACTTAACCAATCGTGCTGAATTAGAACCAAGTAGCAAACAACTGCATAGTAGCAGGCTGCAGCTACACGCAAACATAACACTTTAACACATGAAGCTGACAGCACTGTTGGTGAGAAAAAAAGAAAATGAGTGCTACCCCCGGCAGAAATGCAGATGAAGGCTCAACAGATGACGACACCACCAACAACACTGGCACGAAATTGTTGGTGGTGTGGAGGTATTTTCTTTTTTTGAGGTCAGACATGAAGCAGAGTAATGTGCACTGCAAATTATATTGAGTACATGTTAAATTTCATTCAAGAGTAACAGGTAACATCTTAGATTGACAAGTGATTTTTTTATATCATGATACATATCGATATCAACTGATATGAAAAAAATATATTGTGATAAACTTTTCCCATGTCGCCCAGCCCTACATGATAGTAACAAGCACGACAGCACCTGATTAGTTTGGCGAATTCCTGAGCGAAGAAAGTCACCGTAGCTCTAGTTTTGCACTCTCCAGACACAGAAGGAAGTTTCCACAGCCTCAAAGAGCCTTGAGTTCAACACAACAGGCAGCAAATAGCCACACACACCAACACAGACACACACATCTATTGTGGTCAGAAACAATCACTTCAGACAGGCCTGTCAAAACAAACTGAGGGCTAATCTGCACCCAAAAAACCTCCAGATTTTATCTCGATTAAAAGTCAGAGCTGATGTGAAAATAACGAGGCCAGACAAACACCACAGAGCTCAGAAACACAAGAGGCAGGGCAGGTTCGGGGTGTTTTTGTAGGCAGGAGAAGGTGGCATTCCTCTCAGCTCTGCTCATTGTGCAGCAGTGTGAGGCGGTGTGCAGGCCAGATGACCCTGAAGTCTGTTAATTGTAGAGGAGAAGTCCAGAGGGAAGATTTTCTGCAGAACTATGAGGCTGTTATCAGGCTGAGATACGACTGAGCAAAGGGAGTGTGTGTAGAAATGATGAGCGATGACAGGAGGGATGAAAAAGCATGTGTGTTGTAACTCTCATCCTTCATTTCATCCTGCTTCAGTGTGTGTGTATAAATGTTGGCTCGGCTTGACTGTGTAAAAGTCAACAGTGACATCAGTGTTTGGCCCCCTGACTGAGATTAAATCTAATAGAGATTGAGATACTGTAATAACTTGGACTGTTCTCTGCCCCAGCCAGCCATCAACCTGTCATGTTATTCAGACACCCCGCTGAGCAGACACACACATATATTCACTCATACGCACTGTCCAGGCTCGATGAAAGTGAGCAATGACTAATCTTCACTTTTAATTTACAATAAAAACACCCTTCCTCCTTCTGAGACATCTCTGAGGCGTCCAAGTTAACACACAACTCTTTATGACTTAAAACATCCAACATCTTGAAGAATATTTAACACCGTATCCATGACAACCTCCATAAAGAAATAATAACATTTCCAGCTTCAGCATTTGATATGTTGTCTTTGACCTGTTTCCAACTGAATATAGGATTTTTATCAAAGTTTTCCAAGTATTAAAGAATCGGGGATGTAACATCTGATTAAACCCACCAAGTTCTGAGTGTTTGTGGTTATTGGTCACGACTGAGTCTGCCATAAGAGCAGGGCCCGCTCCTGTTTAATGACCCCTGTGCTTTTGACATCATCTGGAACACTGTCGCGATAACCAAATATGCTAAATATAGTCTGGGGTGCGTCAGCAGCCAAACTGTCACTCTGGACAACGTCAAGACAGAGATGATGGCAGATAATAAGAGACGTCCGCCTGGCTTTGGATCAGAATTAACCACCTAAAGAAAACAGGCCTGGTTTGACTGCATTTCATCCAGCATATTGCACATGGAGTACAAAGAGAGCAGAGACCAAACATTAATGGACGCAAAGAAAGAAAATCAAAACCAGAAGTGTTTCCAAGAACATTTTCATTTACCATTTCTGTCTGTAGTCATGAGGGTCTGGTACAAAATGTATGCACGATATTTAATTGAAAAATACACCAGACTGAATTTTTAAAAAGTGTTATAGTCCTGAAATGAACCATGTATCAGTTCTTAAATGCAAGAGCTTTCACTTAATTTTGATGAAAATATGAAGATTTTTTTTAAACCAAGATATTTAAACACCTACGTATCAAAGCTGCAGATCTAAGAAATCAATCAGCCTTTTCAAACCTTGATCTTCACAACATCAAAACTGTATATTCTTATGATACAGGCCAGGGTCACTGGTAAAACTGGGGGTCATGAGCTCCTCAACCCTCATCAATCTATGTTTAAACTAATCCTGTTATTACAGCTGGATTAAAAAAAGTTATTTATAATCCAGGTGTCTTCCTGAGGCATGTCCTTCCTCTGTTTAAGTGATACTTTTTGTTCTGTTTGTTTTGTTTTGGCCACAGATATATGTACAAAGTATGCACAGCCCTACTGCCTGCTTGCTACGTCTGATTATTTGTACTGTCTAATGTTTGTTTGTGCTCCATACCACGTATGTGGTCATGAGAAAAATAAAAGTAAAGTGAATGTTCATGAAACTTACTGTCCCTTGGCACACAGATTCACACGCCAACCTTCTCCTGCTCCTCTCCCCGCGCTCCTCTTTTGTCTTGCTCCTCTTCCTCTTCTCCTCTCTCCTCCTCCTGCTCCTCTCTCTGCTCTCCCCTCTCCACCTGCCTCCTCCCAACTTCCCAAATTTGGTTGCACATTCTTCTTTTTTCCAATTTGTGAACAAAAATATTGTCATAATAAGTAAAAGGAGCTCCATTTAATCTGTTTGAGTGAATCTCTGGTTTACTTATACACTTGGGAACCACTGGTCTTGTGATGAACTTTATATTTATGGGTCATCAGTTTGCTAAAATTGCAACATCACTGTGCAAACTCATTCAAAATTAATTATCCAGTATCTTACAGGTTTGTCCTCTAAAACAAGAAAGCCATTTGTTAAAAACGATTTGTTGGCTGGTTTGATCGTTTATGATGCATTCCTGGAAGTCAGGAAATCTGAACGCTGATCAGTTCTGTCACTGGAGTCTGAATGTTTGATCCAGAACAGATTTCTAGCTGCACTTGCATGTAGATATCTGTCTAAAGAAATGAATAAATCATGGTCAGATTAAAGCTGATATGAGAGGGGAAGTCACTGTGACAGATTTTTGTTCATTTTTCATATTAATGTTTTTTCTGAATGCACCAAAGCCTGCTATGTGTGATTGGTCAATACCACAATGCTTAAAATTGTACTGCAAATAATAGATGTTGAAAAAAGAGATTAACTGGCAAATCCAAGTGTGCATTGTTGAATCAAAGGGGCTGTTGTTGAGATTGTCAGTTTAAGTTCAGCCAACTTTGTTTTTTTCTGAGATTTTCAGACTGAAAAAAGCTGCCTCTTCTAGAGTGGTCAAAGTTGGGAGCAATAAATAGAGATGATTGCAACAGATAAACACTAGCCTTCATAGCCTCAGAAATGCCAGAAAGGCCAGCAAAGTGTACGCACTTTTGTGCACCAGAGTCTTTAGTTTGTTTTGCCTGTGCAGCTACAAAAAAGGAAAGACTGGTGTGCATGCACCAGCCAGCCTGTTTCAATTCAGCATGTTTCCCTCTTCCCAGAAAAAGGCTGGTATTCAAGGCACGCCTGTCAAAACAGCAGCCAACCTGCACACACCTCTCAGCACGCATGAAGACTTATTCCCCGTCACACACACACATACTTCTCTGTCAAGCAAAACAGGGTGGAGAGGCTCAGGAGGGAGGGCTGCTCTGGCTTTGATTGTGTACATTCACGAGAATACGTCTGTGCTGCAACGTACAATTTCAACAAATGCTCACCAGTCTGGCGTCCTCCACTGTGCCCTCTCTCTATTTCTGCCCTCGTTGGAACTCCTTTTGTGTGTTTGCAGACTGCTCCATGCTCCCAGAGGAGCTTAAAAGGTTAACCCAACCTGGCAACCCAAACTTCTTTCAACCCTTCAGAGGAAAGAAGAAGAAAATGACTGGCTGTCTCAGAGGTTGATCCTAAGAGGTGCGGAGGTTGTCATTTTCACCCAAACTGGCAACAGTCTGGTTCAGATTCAGGAGCTGTCAGTCCCTGGAATCCTGAACTTGCAGGGTGCAAAGGTCGTACGAGCAAAAACCAAGAGGGAAAGCTCTTCAAAGGGATGTGTCATTCAGACTGACTGATGTTTTCCATCACTGACCGACGCTGACAGCTGTGTTTGATACTAAACAAACACAGAAACGCTTGTTAAAAAAACCATGCTGAGAGGTCTCTGACCATGTAAAGCTTTTGTCAAATACAGCAGACTGAGAGTGGAGATGAGAAAACAAATGTACACAACAGCTAAAGGGATTGATGTCAGAATGTCACAAACTGAATCCAACAGCGAGAACTCAGTCATCTGGAGCCAAATTTGATCCATATGTCCGCAGTTTGTTCATCCCTCATTTGACAGGGAAGATTTACAGCCGTGAACTGAGATCCAAACTGAGGTGATGTTTGGCAAGGATAGATGGGCCAAATAATAATAAATAAGCAAAGTGCTAGTTCAGGCAGGCCACAAAGTCCAGCTCGGCCTATTTTGTGTATATATTCACAATGAATGACGATTTTGTCTGAAAACCAATGTCAAAAATCACTGCTTGAGCATATAGAGGAGAGAATAAGCCAAAGCTGCTTTGTTCACAGGGGGTGCCACAGTTGACCCAAATCAAAAGTTCCTTACAAAAAAAAGCCTGAGAGCGATTGTGGCCATAACTCCAACAGTTATTTTTAACAAAGGACCACAGTGTTTCAGCAGTGTGTGTGTGCGTGCGTGCGTGCGTGTGTTTGGGGGGGGTCGGGGTAGTTGTTACCCCCACTCTCTTGCCGCTCCAGGGGCTACACTGTTACATTCACCTTACGTTACCTGCGCTACTCGCCATACAGACCGTGTATAAGCTTCAACGTCACACTTCACATTAGTTGAAGACGGTCCGAGAGGATTTGATGTGCTTGTTGATGACTCAAAACAAGTCGAAAATAACGTCATGTGTTGTTGTGCTCACACAATGCGAGTAGAAATCATTTGTGTCGCATTGATAATAATGCTACTAATGCTATTAATGCTACTCATTATACAGACCATGTATAAGCTTCAACGTCACACTTCACATAAGTGGAAGAGGGTCCGAGAGGATTTGGTGTGCTTGTTGATGACTCAAAACAAGTCGAAAATAACGTTGTGTGTTGTTATGCTCACACAGTGCGAGTAGAATCATTAGTGGCGCATTGATATTAATAATCATGTGAAATTTCAGTCACGGCACATGTAATTTCATTTTAATATTCATTCAGCAGCGGCGGTGCGCCACTGCTGAATGAATATAGGGGAAACACTGCTGATACATATGAGTCCGAGGTAGAACCAGGATCATAGACTGTATCAAGAGTGGACAGAGTCTGCCTCCTCGCTGGGTGAAGCCTCTCTGAGAACAGCACCCTCTGTTGATGGGCTGCAGTAAAGGTCATAAATCCCGCCTCCGCCAGTAAAGTTTATGGGGCTGTGGACAAACTTTATAAATTTATTACACAGAACATACATTTTTCTCCCACCTGCTTGTGATGTTGACATGTAGTTACAGTAAGACTGGTATGTGCTCAAGTCCTTTTTTTTCTGTGAAGCTCCATTTTTAAAAGTTATTAGGTGCTTCATGTTTTCTTTGATTGACATCTGATACAGCCTATGGGCGTTCAGGGATTGCGTAGCTCACCCAGGGGATACGCTGTTTGAGCCGAGCGTCATCACAGCGACTCTCGGTGACTGCGCGGCCAAATGCGCGCATCGCTACTGCGCAGCGCTGGTTTCAGGAAATGAAGAAAAATCCCGGAAATACCGAGAGCTTTTTGGCTTCAAATCTGTATACAGGCGGGAGGCGGAACCAAGTTGTCCATAGTATATACAGTCTATGGCCACAATCAATTGCATGTAGGGGAAACCCTGGACCACATGTCTAGTCCCAAATAATGATTAAAAAACTGTGAAGTTTCTTCATAAACATTCATTTAAACCTCAACCATCCAACCCAGCAGACCAAAACAAACTGGTCTTCAAGCATGTGCAGTGCATCTGAACATGCACAAGTAAGTCAGCGTTTCCCTAAACCATTATTTTATGGTTCATATGAAAAAGACCAGGCAGCATTTCTAAAGATCTCATTCTTGCATCCTGTAGGAGTCAACTTAAGACCATGACTGCTCCTGAAACTCTAGATAAAGTTCTTCTGAATGAAGATGTCAACAAACAGCACCAGGCCGGTTGCTGTGGGACTCCTGGTGCTCTCTGGACCTGTCTTTGTAGTCTAACATCTAAACAAACCAGGCTTTATGAGTCATCATGGGTTTTGTTTGAGACTGTGGCTTTGTGTAATTTAATATTGTGGATTTTGTGCAAAGTCATACCCAATAACAAACAAGAGAGACCACAGGAGCAACACATGGAATTCACCATATTCACACGGGCCGACATTTCTCTCTAACCTTACTCTCAGCTCTCTTTGAATGCTGATGTTCCCTAGTTCTTCAGATTATACACACAGAGATCTGACAATTAACCCAATTAATAACCCAGCAGCCAACATCTACATTTGATAGTGTTGTACGGCTGCAACTATCAAATATCGACAATTCTGCTGAATATTCCATCGATTTATTGAACAGTTTCAGAACAAGCATGTGCGGTAGCAAACTGCAATGCTCGTAAGAAAGCTTATTATGGTATTAACTTTCATCATGCCCCTAAAGACATTAGATGTTACCTGCTTCTGCTACTACCCCGGCAATGTTAGGCTAGCGCTACCTCAAGCTAGCGTGAAGAGGAGTGTGCAGAGCAGCACAGTCTCCGCCCACTACTCAGCTACTGGAGCTCTGCAGAAGAAAAGCCACTCTCATCATTCATTTCTTCCACTCCACAAAACTAAAACTGCGCTTACTCCTCCCTTCAACTGTGGTGACTGAAGCGCCTTGTGTCACCTTAAAAATAATCAGTGTGAAGCAGTGACGATTTGAGCTTCCTCGATTATTTTCCATAATCAAGGTACTCAAGGCATTTGAGGAATTGTTTCAGCCCTATGGTGTCGCATGATAAAATAGCATTGACAACCAATACAACTACACAAATATGTGGTTCTCGTTGGTACTCAGCTGGTGCATCTTTAGCTTGAACTCAATCTATGAACCCTCTGGCTACCACTCAGCATAGACGTGCCTCTGGGAGTAGAGGCGAACTTTCTCCAGTGTAGGAAGTGTCAAACAGTTAAGGCTCCTCTGTCTAAGACCTGTATTGGTTTTGCAGATGAAACTATAAGAAGCTCTGTGTGTCTGTGGGCTTGTTTGAACACAGTAAACACTGTATAAAAAAATAACACCAGGCGCTTGGTGAGGACTGGAGGAATTCCTCTGGATCCCAGACTTCCTGCTGGCTGTGTTTCAACAAGCTGCAGAGCATCAACACCTCCATCAAACACACTGTGTCGCTTCCCAAACACATCCAGTAGCGAGAACAATCACTGGGTCACGTGTGAGACTTTTCAACTCTGGTCTGGGCCTGCTCTCCATATGGTTTAGGATCAGCACACAAAAGCCAATGATATCTGTTAGCAGGATGAAGAATTAGACCTGAAAATACTGTTGTATGGTAATAAAGTCTGCACTCCAGCGGGATAAGTACGCATGTCTGATCCCCCTCCCCTGGGGGGAAATATGACTTTGAAATGTAGATTTTTGCAGCTGGTTTTGTTTGCAAAGCATGCATTTGAATCGGGCCATACATATGTATCATTTTAGAGTATGTACAGTAAATGCAAAGAAGAAATATCCAGATGTTTCGTATTAAGCCCACAGGCTACAGAGAGAAATGAAAAAGCTCACAAAGAAGTGGAGGAATCATCCTCAACTGAGCTTCAAATCACCGCAGTGTAAATTTTATCATCATTCACACACAAACACACACATGGACACACACAGGGACAGTGCAGGCTCGTCTGTCTTGACTGGAAGTGTATGAAGGACGCTGACGTCAAGCCGTTATAAATCTCAGGTCGCAGTGCGTCACAGCCGAGCAGAGAGCCAGCTCTAATGTCCAGGTCTGGAAGTCCCATCATCATTATCATCATCTTCCTCAGCAGAGTCACTGAGCTGAGTGTGTGAGTGTGGGTGTGTGTGTGTGTGCTGTGTGTCCATATGGTCATGCATGATCTGTGTGCATGGCGTTAAATCATGTGATCCCTGCAGTCTAACCTCTGTCAACTGTAACAAAGTCGGACTTTTACTGGTCTGAGAGTGCTTTTATTTGGAACGCAGAGACATTAAATTTTATGATGTTTCATAACAGAAAAAAAAACAGCATGACTGTTTTTGTCCTATTTGCAGAAAGCTAGAGAGTGCAGCTTGTTCACATTAAAATAACAATAAACTTAAGGTTAGCTGTCCTCTGGCTATTTGTTGTAATTCCTTCAGTTAACAAGAACTGTTTGTAATTATTCCCCCTCTTCCAAATGAAACTGTTTTTAAAGCTGTCAAATCTGCTCAGACTCCAACACTTCATAGACTTGATAAAAATGTTTTTTCACCGCCTTAAAAGATAATGCTGCTCTGACTTGTGCCTATGGAAGTTGTGAAACATCTCTGGTAGATCCCTTTGGCTAAAACAACAACAGAAAGGACCCTCAAATAGATGAACCATTCTGTTTGGAAATCAGACTTACAAAACCAGAAACAGATGTGGCATCTCTCTTTAAGGCTACCAGACTGCATTGACAAAAACAGTCATTTTAACTCACAGAGAACAACTGGTGTTCAGTCACAATTGTGTGACTGTTTGTGTTTGGGGTGGACCAGTAGCAGCTGGCCAGTAGAAGGTACAGCTTTGCCACTCTAAAGTTATTGATTGGTGTGTTTCCATCGACTCTTGTTAAGTTGTGGTTCATGCATTCACTCCTGATCACTACAAAAGACTGAGTTTCTTGGGGAAATGCACCCCCAAAGCACTACAAACCACCTCCTGTTGGGTGGTAATGTCCTAGTTCTTTCACCACAAATTTGAATACAAACTTACCAACGAGTACAAGATTTGGAAATACCTGGTAAATCAGTATTTTGGACCAATTATCTAACATGACCCCAACAAGGGAGCGCAGTTTCAGTGAATAATAGTCAAATTGGTTTTCAGAGTATGGCTTAAGGCAGCAGAACTCACACCACCAGACTCTGGTCCTCTGGCCTAAGCAGAGAAACCAAGACTTCCCTCTCTCCAGCCTCTTTGTCCAAGGCCAGCTGAAAGACATAGTCTCTCCAGGACATTCCTGGTCTTCCTTCTGTCTCCTACCGGTGGACATGCCATGAACACCTCACCAGCAAGGCGTTTGGGAGGCATCCTGATTAGATGCCCAAGCCAACTCATCAGACTCCTCTTAACATGGAGAAACAACAGATCTACTCTGAGCCCCTCCTAGATGACTGAGTTTCTAACCCTATCACTGAGGGAGAGCCCAGACACCCTGTGGAGGAAACTCATTTCGACGGCTTGTACCCACAATCTTGTACTTCTGGTCACTATCCACAGCTCATGACCACAGGTGAGGGTAGGAATGTAGATCGACTGGTATATCGAGAGCATTGAGCAGAGTTTTAAAAGCATTATTAAACCTGTACCTGATGAATGAATATAGCATGTGGTTGAAGAGACCAAACTCTGGACTAAAGACAGAGAAAAGCCTTAAAGAAAGACAGCTCTCAAAAAAGACCTTGCAGATCTGCTTGTGTCTGTGTTTTGGGGTAGGGTTTTCTTTCTGAAAGGGAGGGTGTTGCATAATTTGATACCTCTGTTTCTGTTTCTGTCAAGAGCGCAGCAGCATATGGAGCCTCAGCCTCGCTCCAAAGTGAACAAGATGCTGGCAGAGCGGCGAAGGAAATTAGGTCAAGAAGAGAAGCGGCTCTTTTTACAGTATGGAAGTCCCTCAAGAAGTATCCAACAGGTTTGGCTGAAAGTGTGCATTCCATAAACTCGTAGGCTTGTCTCTTTTTCACCTGGTAATCTCATATGTTTATCTGCAAGACAAACAGTCCAGAATAAATTCACGTGATGATGTGAAAATGTTGGTAATTTAGTTAGAGGTGATCCCTTTCTTTCCTTAATTGTGTTTTTAGGACAAATTTGTCCAATTTAACTGCTCTTTAATTACACTGAGGTTTTTGTGATAAGATCAGAACCCGTGTTTCCTCTGAACCCTTAGCTCGGTGTGAGGATGATCACAGAACAGATGGAAGTAATGTCAGCAGAGTTGTTTTGTCCATGAGGCCCAGTTCCAGCTGGAAATGTTGACTTGTACCAGTAAATTGAGAAATCTGAACTGCAGCCACGACTTCACATGCCAAAACAAAGAAGTTTACACCCTATTTGTTTGGTTTCCTCCTCAGTCAGTTCCTGGACTTTGTAGTTAGTTGTCATCTTCTCCATCAGTGCACACACTTAAACTGATGATTAGTTCTGGGCCTGAGACTAGAAGAGGGGATGCAGTGTGTCATGCCCATGTCATTCTTTATTTTCTCTATGCAGACGATTATGTGGTTTTCAAGCAAGTAATTAATTTCTATGAGGAATAAGCAAACTTTGATCTGCTGATGGAAACTGTCACACTGTTAAGGCTTTGGGTTGGACAACGATTTAGGATTAGTTGGTTGGACTACATTATATAATGAGGATTAGCAAAAAATCAGTTTTATGGGTTTATTCATATGGTTAATTAAGATTTTTAAAATTTAACCCTAGATTTTTACTGCTGCCCATGGGTTCTCGCACATCACCCTCTCTGTTCACAAAATATAGTTGATGTCCCACAGTCTCACTACATTTTCAGAAAAGTTGTCATTTACACAAACCCTTGTATATATGCGGTTAAGAGCATGCCAAACCTGTAGGTGGCAGTGCAGACAGAAGCTCAAGTCCACGTTGGCCAATCAGAATCCTTCATAGCAGCAACAACAACAACGTCACTTCCTTCTTTTGGAAAAGATGCAAATATATAGAGATTATACAGATATAAGAGATTTCACCAGCATGAACGCGACTGCTATTCTGTATGCATCAATGATCACCACAGATTGTAAACATAGACTGTAGATTGTAAACAATGTCGCATTTAACCCAGTTTCCAGCGCACAATCTGCCATCGGCTACCCAAATCTCTGTACACCTCCATTCTTCTCCGCTTACATGCAAACGTGCAAACAAAGTTTTCCAAAATCTCCACTCTGGCCGCAGTTTTTAAAAGCATTGTTTTCAGGGGCGAATTCTCCGTTTGCGTCCAAACGAAGCGGGCAAACCTTGGTTAATGTAAAATAACCGGATACATATAAACAGGGCCTTCGTTGAACGAGCCACAATCCTCTTCAAAGTTGATTTAAAAAGCAGCTGGATCCATTTATTTTAGCATCTTAAACAAAGCATGCAGCTGAATGGAAGAAATTTGTCTTACTAAGAGATGCGCAAGACCCCTGCAGCCAAAAGCATCCGCTAAACTGCAGCAAACATTAGTGAAATCTTTTTTCCAATTGCATTGCTTAAACAATCAAAAAGACAGCTACTTTACTGACAAAGCTGCACCGCATATCTGCATCTCTTACGGTACATGCTGTAGATGCATACAATGAATAATCAGACACATGCTAACAAGGGAACTGTAGGAAAGCATTTGCAGGACAATCCTCAGATACAATATTATTCTGCAGGAATCACCATTGCGCCAACTTGGCTAAATCTCTTGTGCCTAAAGTTCAACCAAAACCATCAATAAAAGCAGAAATATGACTAACCAAATGAAGCTTTGCATGTCTTTCCTCACATTTCAGATGGAAACTCAATGCCCACTGATCCTAACACCTTCTAACACTGTCAGCAGCCAGCTTTCTGTCCACAGTCCGTCCATCCTGCAGTGAGGTTCAGAGAAAATATTCCAGCTTTAAAGATCACAGGTCTGCATGCCGTCCACCTGTAATTACTATGTGACAGTGAGGCGCCCGGTACTGACAACAAAGAGCCGATCAAAGGGGGAATAAAGATGTGAGGAGAGATGGATGTCAGAGGGAGATGTAAACAGTACGGTTTGGCTGCTCTCATTTTTCTGTTCACCATTAAACATCATTTTTTCAGACTGGTCACAGGTTATCTAACTACATATTTACTCCACAGTTTCATCTCCTCTGTTTGAAATACAGCACTTTAGTAACTCTGTGCACAGCTGGGAGTAAGTGAACAGAGGTCAAGCGTGGATGTCGGAGGTGTGGGGTGAAAGTGTGCCACATGGAGGTCAAAGGTCAACAGCTTTTGTCTCCCTCTGGGATGTTTTCTAGATTTTTACGACTGATGAAACACACCCTTCTCCCCCCTTAATAGCTCTCTGAATTGCTCTGCAGCTTATTTTAAAGCACAAAGCACCAGATTTTTTTACCATCTAACTCTTCAGCTTCTGAGAAGCACCACATCTCCAACCATCCTTGCAAATAATCTGCCTCAGGGGCTCAGTTACTGTCAAAAATCACTCCTAACAACCCTCAGCTATTAACTCCCTCTCAAATAAGCCTAACCTGACGGGCTTGTTAGCCCTGAAGCAACAACTAAAGTGTCAAGAAACCCTTGAACCTCTCCTCTAAACTGGACTGAGTCTGAAATTTTCCCCCTCTCTTAACCTTGAATCCTAAGGAAGTCTGTGTAACTCTAAACCCCACCTGAAAAACACCTAAAACCCCAAACTAACCCATCAAAGAGGACTTCAGAAACCCCATGGCAAACCCAATAACTACCTAAAACTGCCACCTACTCCAACCTGAACTCACCTTTAACCTTAAAGTCTCTGGTGCAAAGAAACCCTGCAGATGAAGTCTGAACTGCTGAAACAAATCACTTTATAGCTTGTTGCTGATGGTAAAAACAGACCATATAAACAGAGCGCGTGTGGAGGGTCTCTCTGTCCTCCTGTGGGCCCTGAAGTGTGTGTTCCTGTGTGTGTTTTTGAGTCTAATCTTCAGTCTATATAAAGAAAGCTGTTATCAATCAGAGCACAGGAAATCTCTACACGTCGCCGTAATTACCGCGCTGATTGACCTCTGCCTCACCCTGTACAGTGACACCGTGTTTGTGTATGTGCAATTAGACCGCGATGACTCTATTTCTGAGTGTACACAATGCACAGATTACTGTTTGATGAAAGGCCAATCAGCCTGTAACATCCTCCCTGTCCTGCCCACGGTGTTTGCTGATCAGAGTTTGTGTTCCGTGTTTGTCTGGACTGTCACTCATGCTAACAGTCTTAATCACCTCTGATTGGATTTGTCGAAATTTAACACACATTTACAAACAGCATCTGAACCATTAACCAATTCAATCAGGACATTTTTGCCAAAACAGCTGTAACAATGCAGATCTCCCTATTTCTAAAACAATAAGGGATTATTTAATTTTCTTTTAAAGATTAGCTAACTCACATTTGCGGATGACATATTGTTATACTTGAATTATGCAAAGGAATATACTAACTGTGACACTCTAATGCTAGTTTAAGTTAATACTGAAGATAGGGTAAATATTGATGACCTTTGTGCACAAATACACTGGCCACCCCTAACCATGTCAAATTGTGCCCCCAGTCACAAAGTCTTCACACACCCCTGCAGAACAACACTGATGAAACAGTGGGATCTGTGTGCTGTCAGGCTGATTTGTTTGTGCAACAAAAGCTGCAGGAAAAGACATTTATCTGCTGGCTTTGAAAGAATGAGAGAAAACAGAGACAAACTTTAACTTGTCCCAAAAACAGGGTAAAAAGGTGGCACTTGGCCTGGCAGCAAAAACAAAGATTTTTTTTCTATGACTCACAGGCTGTAAAAAGTAAATAACATGATCATTATAACAACAAATAGAACATACAGTGGGGTGTAAACACAACTCCACAGCCCTACTCGTCTAAAAACACTTTTTCTATCTTAGCAAATGATCATATGAATAATCAAATTAAGTACTTTAGAAATGTTAATTTTAATTGTTGATTTGCTGTTTCTGTTTGATTCAGAACTTTATCAAAATAGTGAAGGCAGTAATATAAAACTTTAAAGAGGTGACTAATTTAACTCAGATCCAAATTAACTTAAAAATAACCCTCAAATCTACTGCATGTTAATCATCCGGTCTGAGTTGTAAACAATGTTCAAACTGTCAGGTCTTCATAGTGGAAATCTGTCTATACAGTGTGATGTAATAAACGCAGTCAAAGCTGATGGCAGATATGTAATAGACGAACAGGAACAGTTTGCTGTTTCCGAGCTCATGTTCCCCTCTGTATACACTAAACTCCACTGTATCCTCTGTCCTTAATGTGAGCACGGGCAGAATGAGTCAGCGTCCTCGTCTCCTGACGTCCCTGTGACAGGCTGTTTGTCCATTCACTCATACATTCTTAATGGAGCGAACCCAAACACACATGCAAACATGCACAATGGGAGCACATGTTACTCACAGACTTACAAACACACACAATGACTTCTGAAAGGCCAGATGGTTCAGTGAGGGATGACTGGAAAGAAGGTCAGATGTGGGAAGATTGTCTCAGAGGTGGGCGGGGCTTCTGAAAAGTCCCCCGACCAATCAAATTTCCATGCTCTGTCACCATAGACTGTATATAGAATGGATGCTGTCTGCCTCCTCACTGGACGAAGCCACCCCCGAGAACAGCACCCTCTGGTGATTGGCTGCAGTATAGGTCATAAATCCCGCCTCCTCAAGCAATCCCTATGAAGCGGTGGACAAACTTAATAAAGTAATTACACAGAATATACATTTTTCTCCCCCCTGCTTGCAATGTTGACATGTAGTTACAGTAAGACTGGTTTGTGCTCAAGTCCTCTTTTTTCTGTGCAGCTCCATTTTTTAAAAGTTATTAGGGGGTTCATGTTTTCTATGATTGACACTTGATACAGTCTATGGGCTTACGAAGATTTTGTAGCTCACCCTGGGGATATGCTGTTCGAGCCAATAGTCATCACAGGGACTCTCAGCAACTCTCCAAATGCGTACAATTCTACTGCGCATGTGGTGGAGTGCATACAACGCCACTGCGCAATGTTGGTTTCAGGAAGTGGAGAAAAAACGTGGAGTTACTGAGAGATTTTTGGCTTCAAATCTGTATACTGGTGGAAGGCAGAACTTGTCCATAGTATATACAGTCTTTGTCTGTCACTAACTGTTGCTTTTATTTCACTGTAAAAAACGAGCTGAAAATTTGGGTCCAGGTTAAAGGAATACTGGAAATATTCTGTCTTGTTTTTAAAACCCATTGTAAGGTCTTTTTGTGTTTTCTCTTTATCTAGGAGTCCCATTTGTCCTTGTAGAGAATATTACTCTCTGAAAACTCTTGAATGTATCTTTGCAGGACTCTGTCACCCCAGTAGGAAAGATTTGCAGCTCAGCCATGAGGCAATGGTATTCCCTGTGCACGAGGAGTCACATCAGCGTTATATAAAAGCCATATGCTGCATCAGTGCAATTGGTGATCCCAGAGAAGGAATGAAGTGAAATGACTTCATCTCTTTCCACTGAGTCCAGGAGGAAGATGGCGTTTGGAGGATGTGTCATCATCCTGTGCAGGGCACCGCTTCAGCTCATTGTCACTTTTTAAACCTTGAAAAAAGTTCACAAACACACACAAAGCGGATAGTCCTGCTTGGCGCACAGGTAGGAAACTGATCATAAAGGCTTAGAGCGTGAAACTAAAGTGAATCTGCGAGAGTTTCGGTGAGAATATGTGAGGGTGAGTAGTCAACATCACACACCATTGGTTTCTAAGCAGTCAGAACGTTTGTCATGCAAATAGCCGGCCAGCATTTCGCTGAAACCCAGCTGCTTTTCCTGTCCATGAACTTTCAACACCTGGAGTTCAACTAAAACTGAATTGAGAGTGACTGTTTCAGGTAAAGAGCTGCCAATGTGTCCTATTGTGTCTCTCTATTACCTTATTTGACTCTATGTGCTTTCAGCTGCTGTCATTCAGATATTGTCAGCTGAAAGTCATCTAGCAAAACATTAGAAATCTTAAGTTGGCGAACATCAGCTTGCAGCAACAATGATCCAGTTATTGTTAAACTTTGTTGACGGCCAGCTAGCTCATCCTAAATCTACGAACTCTGTCTCCAAGTCTTCGATAAACTTGATTTACAGACTTTTTAATATTTCTGTAAATGTGCCCACATTACGTTTCCTCAAAATTAATTTACGACGCCTTGTGGTTTTTACGCCACATCACAAAAGACCTGGAATCGACTTTTTTCGGGAATAACTTCGTCATCGGCGTGATTAATGCGCCCCAAGTGCTGCACAGCAACGACAGGTCCTGTGATCCCGGTCAGGTCAGATCAGGTTAATTCACTCACACGGTAATAACAGTACAACTCTTTCTGACCTCAAGAGAGGAAAGTAAAGCAAGCTCCTGATACACTTCACCCACGCTAACCTTTTTCCTGAGATTAAGCTTCCTCTCTTTCTTCACACACCATCACTCTCCTGTTTTCGTTCTCCAAGAAACACTGAGAAAGCAAACACCAGTGTGAAGCTGAAATACAATCTCAAACACTTTTCTTTCTCTGCTGTCAGACAAGCCATGCAAATAACTCCACGGCTTCCCCGCTCTGTAAAAACATGAAAGAGGGCTGAAAAGTAATAACCCACAAAAGAGCCGGGACCATGTAAGGACAAACCAGAGGTCCACATGATTCATGTTAGAAAAACCAACAATGTTCAGCCCTGAAACACTATCTGATCAATAACTTCAGTGCCTTGACTTCTTCTTATTACTCAAACCTCACTAAATCTCTCTTTGGTTTTAAATGAAAGTAGAAAAACAAGCAAAAAAAAAAGGATTGATTAGAAAGTAATGCAAAACATGCATCGACTCGCACGAGGCTTTGTTGACGTATAAGAAAATAGACCAAATTCTTCTGGTTCAGCCGATGAGGAAGGTTGGAGTGGAGCCGCCGCCACAGAAAAGAAGAGCTCAAAAGAAATAAAAAAAAAAAGGGAGTTTGAGGCTGTGCATGAAGACTGAAGCTCAGCAACAGGATGGTAAATAAAGCCTGGCTTGATTTGTGCAGCTTTTTCCAATGTTACATGTTATGCGAATAACAGACACCTGTTAGCAAGAGCCAGACTGAATCTCTTTGAGCGCACTTTGGTTGTATGCAACGAGTGGATCCTTCAACGCAGAGCAAAATAGGGCAGGGCGATATGACCTGAAATCAGTATCAAGATATACTGAGCAGTTCACCTCGATAATGATAAATGGACGATAAACACTCCACAAGCTGCTCACCCCCTTCCACATTAACTTTGTCTACTTCAGCCGCCGCTCCAGCCGCTCCAACTTTTAAACCGTCCTCCATCTCCTCACCTGTCTTTCCCTCTTTGTTATGGAGTGGATGGGGTGGAGTCACGTCTCCGACATAGGACAGCATCTTAAAGGGACATGAGACCATAGTCTATCTACACACATCCAAAACCAACTTTTATTAATGTATTTTTTTTACACTGTCCATACCAATATGGGCAAAATGACGTTGGTTATTGTCGTAAATTTCGGGATCTGTAAATTTTAGGTTTATCGCCAAGCCCTACGGCAAAATGGGCTGAACTCATCAGCTTTCTTTAAACCAATCTTCATAAAAAATCTGCTATTTCATCGAGCCGTAAGTTTCTAAGTGTTCTCAGGCTCAGAGCTCACACTGCCACTGTGTGTTGGAGAAGAGTGAAGCCTTGTTCGGCCTCAGCTCTGCTCTCATTCAGCTCCTTGTTAAAAACATGGATTTGGTGTTTACTCAGGGATTCCACTGCATAGATGGTTCAGTGTGTCAGCCTGAGACACACCTACAACTACACACTCCCTCCAACAGAGCCGCACAACACCGTTCGACAAACCACAGCAAAGACATACATGCTCTACTGTGCTGTGAGGTGGAAATACAGCTGCATCACACACCGATTTTTCCACTCATTATTATTGTTAGGGTGTGTTTCTGTCATTATCAGTGTAAATATAACATTGTGAGACCAGAATAGCTGACATTTGCATCCAGAGAGAGGAAAGAAGAAGTGGGTTAGAATAATACCGGAATGGAAACTTTGCATGAAATTGACTTTCAGCCCTGCAGTTAGCACTCGAGCCTTGTGTAAATAACGTGAAGAGCGGGCCTGCCAACCAAGACACACAACCTGGAAGAAACACACACACACACACACACACACACAGAAAGGTACAGACGTGAACACACAGTCAGCCTGTGGAGAAAGCCAGGCCTCGCTCTGAAGCATCAACTGAGTTCACCAACCAAAGGAGAGAGAAAGAAAGGAAGAAAAGAGAGAAGGAAAGAAAGAAAGAAAAGAAAGAAAGAAAGAAAGAAAGAAAGAAAGAAAGAAAGAAAAGGAAAAAAGAAAGAATGCTTTTATAATGTTGGGACTATCAAATATGATGAAGACTTTCAGGGTCAGGTTAGAGAAAACTTAAAAAAAAAATCATTATGCAAGTAAAAACACAGTCAGTGGACACAGGCCCTTACTTAGCTGTTAACATTTTGCCTCTACTTCCACAAAATGAAGAGGAAGCACAGTCAGTAGATGCTTTTGAATCATTTACTCTGTTAAAGCTTCAATTATCCATAAAAAACTATATTTCCTCTTTTTGTCTAAAGAAAAAATACCCTTTTTTGTTGTATTCACTGCTTTAGCCTCATAAATGCTCATTCCTGCACAAAAACACAAACATTTTGCCTGAAACTGGTCATACTGGTCCACCAGCTCGCAAGCTTCCAGTTTCCCTGAATGAATTATGAATTAAACCTCTGTGAGAAAGAAAAGGACAGGCGCTCAAGAACAGGGACTGGACTCATTCATTCAGACGTCTGGTGAGTTTAATGAGTGAGTCAGCGCAGCAGGAAGTGACCTTATAAATCTGTCACTCGATGTTTCCTCTCATGGGTCACCTGTGGCCTGCTGAGGTGAAACACTTCCATGATTGAAAATTTCCCTTTTCTTGCTGACCTTTGAGGGCTTTTGTATTTTCATTTGAGAAATGTAATTTTTTTTATTTTATTTCACATTTTCCCACAAAGTATGAGACATTTAGTCTGTTCCTGATGGTTTGTAAGCCTGCACCCATCGCAGTTTCTCTGGGATTGCATTGCCAGCTACAAACAGGAAGTAGTATTTTGGGGAGGCCCAAATATACATAAAGCCACCAAACTTTGTATACATTAGCTCAGTGGATAACTAACCCCCAGTTTCCACAGCATCTGGAATCGCTATGAAAAGGCCGTGCCTTCCACACGCAGCTGATCGTAACCATTCAAGTTAATGTGTCAATTTCCACCGCCAGAGCATTCCAGGTAAATTCAGCAGAGTAGTCCATGCTGGAAAGGAAGTCGGGCACAGACACAAAATAAAACATCCGGCTTCTTTTCAAAATAAAACACTACGTGTTTCGGGTGGATCGTATTTCACACCATGCAAACAGGCGGGAACAACCAAGTGAAAGGTTTTTAGACAGCATTTTATCCCAATGACACCATGGATGAGGAGATGCTAATTTTTGAAGTCTAGAAGTAGAATTCCTCCTCTGAAGGGACACAATCTACTGCTTATATGGTTAGCCTATGTGGCTAAACACAACTTCATATCGCACGATTGCACGTGAATCCACGTGCTCTTGTTAGTGCTCATGATTCCTGCTGTCCGTAATCCGTCACAAAATTCGCCTCAAATGGATCCGGTAGGAATTGGCAGATGGCGAAAATAGCCACTGTTCCGGATCAGAGCCACTCTGGATGCGGTTAAATTGGGGGTAAGACACTTGATATTGGTTATGTACAGGGGTGTAGTTAAATGGCTCAGTGGCACCTACAAATTTCAAAAAGATCAGCCCCTGCAGTATGTTAGACCTAAAAATCCAGGATTCAGTGGTCTGCATCAAATGTATCAAGGCAAAAAATTACAAAAAAAGTCTCAAGAAGCCATATTGTAGAATTAACAGGGAGTCTGCCACTTTAATTTGGGGGTATTTGGGCATTTCAAGGGGTCTTTTTAAGCAGATCCTTCTTGGAGGTTGATCTATTTCGCTCCAACTTTGGTGAAGCTCTAAAAGAGAATCTAAACTTTAAAAGTTACTTGACTCCTGTACAAAACTCAAAACAGCTTGTCAAATTCTTGTTAATCCAATCCACTTCAGATTATTTGCAGAAAGAGAAGACACTTTGAGGAAAAAAGTTCTTAATTTTGTGCATGTAACTAAAAGTATGAGTGCCAGCCCTGTCTCTGGCACACCTTGAAGTCTTGGCCCTGATGGTCTCATTTGATCATAAAACTGTCTCAGTATTAGTTTTAGTCTGTTTCATAATCAGTTTAAACTCCCCACAGGAGCTTTAAGTTGGCTGTGCATTAACTTACAATAAAGCTAAACCCCTTCAAAACAAAGCTGCCTCACTGCTGCTGGGTTTCCATTTCCTGTGTAAAGGGGTATAGAGTCGGGTCTGCTGTGTTGTTGCAGCCTGATCTCAGATTAAAGCTGTTTATTAAAAAGCCTGAAGGGTGAAGACAACAGAAATAACACTGATCCCCCACAGAGAGAGCAGCAGTCGAACCCTAATAACATACAGGGGGACAAAGAAACACACACACTCACCCCCTAGCTAGAAATATGCTCTTATGAACACACACACACTGAGAAATCCTAACCCTGACCGAACGCCTCTGCATTCCTTCACACCAGAACGCAAGTGGCTCAGGACAGACTGGGTCTGTGTGCAGGCTGATGGGGAGGAATGTGATGAGGCAGATTCATGCTGCGGTCAAAAAGGCTTCCAGCTCGCTTCTTTTAAGGAATGAAATGCCAGAAATTCTCTTATGGACACAGACTTCATTTAGCTAAAACGCTAGCAGGCAGCAGGAATGTTCAAGCAGCTTATCTGGATTTTACCCAGGGGAGTCAGACTCAGGTGTGTCCAGGTATTTACCCCCTACGGCGCTGTCTTTTGTTGGAATCTTCTCCTTCTATTCGGACATGGAAGTCAAATCTAGCATATGCTGTTTTCAGTGTTTACCAGTAAAAAAGAGCTACAGACTTTGTGCAGTGTTTAGTGAAGGAAAACAGGTGTTGTTTGGGGTGTTGTGAGGCATTCAGGGACCTTATGGCAAGTCCGGACCAGTATCCTGACCTACATTAATGCACTAACCTACAGTGGGCTCATGTGAAGAGAGAGAGGGGATGAAAAGTATAGAGAGTGTCACTCTTTCTTTCTAGTTTTATGTTTCACAGCCCAGGGGTAACATCTGTTTGAATAGATGTGTGTAGGTGTGATCTGTGCAGGTATGTGTATAGGTATGACAAATGATGCTGCTGAAAGAGCGGTTAGGACCTCTGAATGGAGTTTTTCTGAGTCAAACTTAAAGTGAACGAGCAGATGGACAGATGTGCATGAGACAGAGCGGAAAAATGTGATGACACAGAGAAAAACAAAGACCCCAAATTCCCTTTTTCTTCACTTAGATTCTCGTTTGAGTCTGAAATCTAAAGGGAGGACACAACACAGATGAGCAGATTGAAACCTTAGGTCACACAGTAAATAAAAAGTTAGACATTGTCATTTGGATACCCTACAGTGAACTCAACATAATAGACCCTCTTTTCAAGAAATAGTATGAGTACCCCTTTTCTGACATTATTGTGTATGACATAGAGCTGGACGATAAACCGAAAATTTACCTATACAGAAATTTACGACAACAACCGACGTCATTTTGCCCATATCGGTATATTCGGTGGCAAATAAATAAATAAGAGTTGGTTTTGGATGTATGAAGGTAGACTATGGTCTCATGTCCCTTCAAGACGCTGTCCTACGTCGGAGACGAAACTCCACCCCATCCAGTCTGTAACAAAGAGGGCTGAAGCAGGCAAAGTTAATGTGGGAGGGGGTGAGCAGCTTGTGGAGTAGTTTATCGTCTATTTATTGTTATCGAGGTGAACTGCTCAATATATCGTGATATTGATTTCAGGCCATATTGCCCAGCCCTTGCATTAAATGTAAAAGAAGGCCCTCTGGATGCCCTGGTAGTGGATAAAACTTTTAAAAAGTGCCTTTTGGAAGTCTACCTAGTGAGCAAAATGTAAAAAAAAGTCCTCTTAAGTGTATGAAAATAACTCTCTGGATGCTCTTCTAATGATTAAAATGAAAAAGTGCTCCATTGAAGTTTAAAAAATTCCACTCCTGTGGCAAAATGTCATACAGTGACCTCTGGATGCCCTACCAATGAGGGGAATTTAGATGCCTTTTCAGGCCATAAAACATTGAAAGTGATCCATATGTACTTATCCACATATGTACTTTAACACAGCCTCTGATTTCTGGCTCAAAATCTTCAAAAGAGTCGAACATCCTCCAAATAGAACATCTTTGTTCGAGCCTCGCATCTGTGAACCATTGAGCACACTGCAGCTAGCTTTTAACAGGAGCTGTGCTCTTCATCCAGATGAACTCCACCCTAAAACACACATTACACTGCTGCCTTAAGGTAAGTGAGATTTCAACTCCATCCTCTTCTCTTTAAACACATCTATGTTGGACTCAACCCAACCCACACCACTTTCCTCTCCTTTAGATGTGGCTGAGGCGCTAACCATACACCACTCTTTTATCCCTCTATCTCCATCTCCTCATCCCTCTTTATAAATGACTACCATGTGGAGGATAAGTGAGCTTAGAGGACCAGTGTTTGTCCAAGTCTTACTTATCACTCGTCATCCTTGGATTCACCTCTGAAGCCCTCAGATAGCAGGAGATATATGTAATGCCATTCTTTGTATTTTTTTATAGTGTACGGAGAACTCTAAAGGTTAAGGAACCTACATGATAATCTATTTTGTGCCCTTAATTCATTCATGGTTTTTAAAGATTATCCTCTCAGATTTTCCTGAGGTGAGGTGGTAAATTCAAAACATAGGAGCCCAAAGGTTCTGCTTTTTCCCCCAATATTGCTTCATATTACCACAGATAAAGGACCTGTTTTCTTTAATTCTGCTTTTGTTTGACGACTAGTAAATGCCTTTCTAACACAAATACCCATAAAACTAAATGTTAAAACTTAACATTAAGTCACGTTTTGTTTCTGCATACAAAGGGCATAAATGTCTCCCATGCTCATCACGACTGATCCTGCAAGTTCCTGTGAGATCTCGCCACTGTGAAATCGGTCTCCCAAATGTTGAGTGTGTGGTCCAGCAGTTTTATGGGATCATCTGGTGTGTGTTCTGAGGATTGTCATGTTAAAAATCAGTGAGGGGTGTCCTCATGTGTGGTCTCCCATGACAGTTGAGATCTAGTAGCTGTCTCGTGACTCTAACTCCATATTTTCACATTAGTTTTTGGCTGTTTTATTTATGAGGAAAAACTGCGCAAAGACACCTGTAAACATAACCCACAAAAGGGGGAGGAGAGGTGAAGTGGGGGGACAGAGTGTGAGGAAATCAAAGATGTCTGCAGGGACAGTTTGATGGACGTATTCTACAGAGTGGATGAGAAACACAGAAAGACTAAGACAAAGACTCTCCTGTGACTAAACCCCACTGACCTGAGAACTGAATCCACACTTGTCCTCCCACACACATTTAAAAACAAGAGATTCACACATACTCACACACTCTCTTTTACTCCAAACCCATGCCTTTTTCCCACTATTATTGCCGAGAAAAGTCCCTGAGGTCAATATTTTGCGCATCTACTTCAGTATCTGTGTAGTTCTTGGAGCATGCCTAGATGTTCATGTTTGTGTCCAATATTTTGAATTCTTCAAATGATAAATATTCCTGTTTTGCAGCAGAGGTGCAGACAAACACTCCCACACTTCTTGACAACCAAAAACACAACCGTCCTGACTCAGAGAGAGTCTGTGTTGAAGTGTCAGTGATGTGTTCAGGGACTTTTTGGATCTGCTGACAGCCTGTTGCTAGACTCAAACTGCATGCTTCCTCTCTGGACAACATCCTTCCTGCAGTGGTTTGAGATGAAGCATGAACATCTCTTCACCAACTTAACAAGCAGATGACGTGGATTTGAAGTTGTGTGTTTCTGTGACTGGCTGTCATTCACACAAAGAGCTACAGCTGCAGACATTTACATGGAAAACTGTTGAAGTCTAAGTAAATGAATCTCTGCCATGTTTGTAAAGATAACGTGGGTGTATCTAATTGGGTGCTGATGCAGGTGTGGTCTCTGATTGGTCAAAAGTTTCATCATTGATTTAAATCCCAACTAAATTCCTCCTGCCTCTTAATCTGTGTATTTGAAGCTATGATTTGTGTAACTAGGTAGGCTGTAATGTTGATTGTGTTAGCTGGTAAATAGACTGCGACTGTAAACTAATTTGCTTGAGCTGCAGTAGAGAAGCTGTTTGTTTTTGTCTTTATTTTTCTCCTGTTTTTCAGGTTAAAGGAATATTTCGACGTAAATTGAAATTATGGTTAAACACACTGTAACACCAAAAAGACACCCCCTTGAGAGATAAATGTTGCTGACTGATTGCTTTACTAGTTATACCAACTTCAGCAATGACTGCATGATAGCAATACACAGCAGTCTATGTCTCCACGCACAAACCTCAACCAAAAAGCTACTCTATGGCCACAAATAATGCTCAGAACTTCATCAAAAGTACATAAAGGGTCCCTACTAGCCATCAAACATCTTCTTAGCTTTGCCTAATTTCTTTAGCAAAGAGACCGAACACAACTCACCCACTCTCCTCCAGCAGCCACTTGTTTGTGGGATAGCCCTGACGAGTGGATCACAGACTGCAGCTGTGTTTCGCAACTCGAGGAAGAACATTTATGATCACTACTTCATGGAAATGCAATCAGACTGAGACACTAAGGGAGAAGAGCTACCGTGTCCGCAGTGCAAAATGATTAATATGATGATTATTACTTCAGGGAAATGATCTACTGCACTTGGCAATCGACTTGTCAGGGCTCCCCCACAAACAAACAGCTGCCGGAGGAGAGTAGGTGAGTTGTGTTTAGTCTCTTTGCTAAAGAAATCAGGCTAAGCTAAAAAGATGTTTGATGGCTAGTACTATGGCTGGGACCCTATATGTACTGTTGATGAAGTTAGGCGCTGTTCTGAGCATTATTTGTGGCTATAGAGTGTTTTTTTTGGTTGACGTATGTGCTTGGAGATGTAGACAGTTGTTTATTGCTATCGTGCGGTCGTTACTAAAGTTGGTATAACGAGAGAAGCAAGCAGTTGGCAACATTCATCTCTTGAGGGGGTGTCTTACTGGATGTTATGATGTGTTTGACCCTAACTTAGTTTTCGCCAGAATATCCATTTAAGTGCTCAGGTGAGGTATTTGTCATTGTTTTGCATGATTCAAGATGAAGGTAAATTACTTCAGCGTTTCTCTGGGATCGAGGTGTGGGAACTCATTTATCCATGACAAACTATTTCAACACCAAGGCTGTGGTGCCTGAGATTTGTCATGTTCATCGGGTATAATAAAAGAGTTTTATAGAGAGGATGTGATGTACAAACCTGGCTGGATTTGTGGGTAAGTTCTGCCTCTTTCTCTTCTATTAGTCACGAGTTTCTCTGACGCCTTAGTCTGTTATTAGTCAGAACAGCAAAAACACAGGTGATGGGAACCAGGTTAGAGAGACTGATCAGTCAGTGTTTCACCCACAGAGTCCAGATGAATCAGGGCTCAGGTTTATCTAAAAACCAAGTGTCAGACTTCCAGGACTAGACTCAAGAAAAACTCACACCTTGGACCGCAAATGGGCAAAAGCATTCAAACAGAGACAGACTTAACTTGACATTTCTGCACCTTTAAACATGAGGTCAAATAAACAAGTTTTCAGTGTTGATGTAGAAGTCTCAGGTGATCCATAGGAGACAGAGCGCGAGGTGAAGAAAGGGGATGATGGTTTGCTGAGCTTGTATTGACACAGGCAGAACTATCCAAACACATTAGCCGTGAGCTGCAGAAAGTGGCCGTGTCCCGACTTGAAGTTCAGCACCTTGGTTTGGTTACTCAGGCATTACAATCACGCATTTCTGTCTGCACACAAGCACGGACAGGCAGAGAGACAAATGCGAATGGAGCAAGAGAGACAGACGAGACCACTTTTACTAAATCATTCTGAGCTCTCCTCGAGGCAGAACACTATTTTTAACTTATTATGGAGCCTGAACATGTTATTATCAAGCACTTAAGTCTGACCGGACTTCACAGCTGGTATTGACTCCAACTGTGTAGCCTAGATTTTAAATTAGACCGGGTTTTTACCACTTTTCTTTGAACTTGAGAGTTAAAAATGAGCAGTTATTAGAATTTGTCATAACTGTGTTTGACTGCCGGTGCGGGACAACGGAAGTCTTTCTGTAATTTATCATCACAACTATAAACTAGCTGTTTAACAAGGTTGCACAAGACAGTGAGAGAAACAGTGACAGACAGCACAAAAATCATCATTAACTCTGACAAACAGGTGGTCTAACTTGTGTTTTTTGCATCCTTAATTATCTCAGTTTTAACCTGGTGGCCAGTTGTGGTAGTGCAGCCCAAAAAGTATTCTACCTCCTCATAAACCCACCATTCATGTCTGTAAAACTGTGGCCACACCTCCTTAAAATACAAACACAGTCAATAATAACTCCCCCCCTAGCAGAATCTGTTGTATTATCTTAATTATGGGTCAAGTAGGAAAGACTCTTGCACATATTTAGTCAAAGTAAAACTGGAAAGAAACCAAGAGGCCACAAGCTTTTGGTGCATCCACCTAATAAGCAATTCTTACTCAGCTGAATGGGTGCCATATCTGTGTTACTGTACATGCACTTCACTTATTACTCAAAGCTCTTTACATTAATATTGATGATGGCTGCATCATTTTTATTTATGTACTTGCACACCCGAAGCAAAAGCCGGCCAAGGACGGAAAACCTGCGTCTGAGTGTTTACTACGACACCAAGCAACATGAAAAACACCAATAGGACGTGCTTGGTGATTATATGCATATTTGTTGTGAGCCTACTATGGGTTGAGCTCAACAAGTATACTGGTAACCAACAAGATGGAGAAACAGCTTAGAATATAAAGAGCTTCACATGGGGCACCAACAGCATAGTGTACTAAGTGCACCTCACATAGACTAGCAGCCTGGGTTTGATTCCACCTGTCCCTCCTGGCTCTCTCCCTTGTTTCCTACTCTATCCACTGCCGTTTCGCTGTCAAATAAGGCCAAAAATAAAAAAATAAAAAAATAAATAAAGCTGAAAACAAAAAAACAGAAACAGCTACACATCTGCATGAAAACTTCACATTGCTGAACTCAAAAGAAGACTTTATATGGAAACACAGTTGAACCTTTACCAGTTTACCAAAACCAGACTCCTTTACATACGGGTGTGACATGTTGGTCAGGTTTCTAATGGGATATGTCCAGCTGAGCAAGAATACAATTTCCTGACCTTCTGAGACCACCATAGACAGTCTGCCCCTGAAGCATGCTTGCACAGAGAGATAGTCCCGCACTAAGTCTTCCAGTGTAATTGCAGAAATTTAGGTGTGACCTACTCAACCCACCCTCTTAAAAGTAAGTGCACAACAAGTTAGTGCTAGTTTTCATGTTGCAAAACATCAGCTATGTCATTAAAGGCATCTTTATCTTCACTGCAGCTGATGAATACTTTTGTGTATAAAAATGAAAAGAGGTAAACACTAGGAGAACCTACACACCTAGACACACTAGGTAAACAGTAGGAGAAAGTTTTCCTCTGCGCTGAAACAGAACCTAAAATATGATTGATAAATCTTTCCTCCCCTCTGAAATCAGCATCGGCCTTTGTCTCAAAAATCTCATATCGCTCGGGCTCTACACCCACACATAAAAGTGGTACCCACACCAAATATTTCACCACACTGTCTTCTTTATGACTTCTGAGTATGGTGCAGAGTCCTCACCTGCAGGCTAACACCTGGACCTGAGCTGGCGGAGAGAGCTTTGCCTCCACAGAGAGAAAAGGAGAGAGAGAGAGAAAGAGAGGCAGACAGTAGGCTGGGAATGTTGGCCTGAAGCACAGCACGGCACAGGGGGATACAGATACTGTAAGAGGGAGGGGAGGTAAGGAGAAAAACAAGGAGACAAAAGAAAGCTGAGGAATAAAGAGGAGAGGGGAGATGGGGAGAGACAAAGACCGAGCAGGAGAGGAGGAGACAAAGGAGGAGACAAACAAAGGGAGGGAGAGTTGAGATGCTGAGGAGTCTTTACCTTGAAAATACCACTCAGCAGTTACTAAATAACTCAATGCATATTGATGTTTCTGGCTGAACCTGAAAGCAGCACAGGAAATAGAGAGTTATACAGTATCCTAAATACATCATCGGCCATACAGTGTAACCATGGCACCCCAAAACACACACACACTGGACCCAGATGTCAAACAATGATGATGTCATCTCTGTAGGTACTGACAGATTTAGAATTAAGATCCACCTGCTCAGATAACGTGCCGCCATGAGCTCATGTAACGCACATGTGACATCAGTTAATGCAGCCACCATTTTTTGCTGACCGCTAAAATCTTCAGTCTGAGAGGAAAGTATCTCAGTGTTTCAAGAAATCCTCCAGCTGTAGTCAACAGACTGCGTGTGCACACAATGTTAAACAAAGCGTTCCTCTTTCAGTCCTGTTTCAGATGTGAAATAAACCATCACCCTCTCTGTAAACTTGAGTGTAACCCTGACTTTGTTTACTGTTGGCCTCTCTGCTCTTACTCCTCTGTGCATGTCTGCAGGTTCAACTCCTCACAGCTCCATCCTCTCCTCAGACCAGCAGGATGTATACACTCTATCTGCCGGCTATTGTCTATTGTTGCATGGAGTCTGGCTGTGGTGAAACTGGCGCGGACTTCTAAATAACCGAGGAAATACCAAGCCTCGGGCCACACGTACGCCCACACTCATACTCGTACACATGTCTGACACGGGGTGAAAGTAGAGACAAAGGCTGTAAATGGATGGAGAATTCTTGGAAATGTAATTCAGGCAGGCCTGTGGAGGAGAGGAAAAGTGGAGACAATGATATATAAACAGAGTATTTTTAAAGAGGCACTAAATCTCAGTAATGCCTCTTGTGGTTTATGTAAGGTCTGTAAACTGTAATGCACTTTTTAAATGAGACCAAAGTTGACCTCTGAGCTGTCAAATACCAAAAAATGACAATTAATGATGTTTCTCTCACTATACATTTATATATATTTATATAAATCATTGAATTTTCCTTCGGGGATGAATAAGGTTCTAATTATCTTATCTTCTATCTGATATCAAGAAAGAAAGGATACCTACAGAATCAACCTTTTTGAAGAAGAGAGCCGTAAAATCTCTCTGTGGTAGTTAGTGGAGATTTGCCGTGTTGGATCTGGCTGAACCTGGCAGGCTATCAGACAGGCTAGAACTGCTGTATGTGTGCTGTGTGTGTGTGTGTGTGTGTGTGTGTGTGTGTGTGTGTGTGTGTGTGTGTGTGTGTGTGTGTGTGTATGACCTCAAATCAATATCCCGATATGTTGATCAGTTCACCTCAATAGCGATAACAAGCTGCTCACCCCCCCCCACATTATTGGTCTACTTCAGCCACCCCATAACTTTTGAACCGTCCTCCATCTCCTCACCAGTCTTTCAACCCTTTGTTACAGACTGGATGGGGTGGAGTCATGGCTCTGATGTAGGGCAGCATCTTGAAGGGACATTAGACCATTGCCTACACAAAGATGGCAGCCTTTATTGGGCCATAAATGAAAGAAAAAAGCCACTTCAGTGTAAATTGTGCATGAATCGTGACAGCGCACCTTCATTTTTATAGGACTGGATCTGTAGAATCTCTGAAAACACATTGATCCTCCCTGTGGGAGGGAAATGCCGTATTTTTCCCTTCTGAAAAGCACACAGGTTTGCCAGTCGCTGCATCAAACTGCTCTGGTTAAACACACCATCACTGCACTTGAGAAAACACTTGAAATTAACTCATTGAAAACAAGAGAAAATGTTAGAGGCAAGCCAAAATACATCCAAATCTAATCAGACAGCGACTGATTCTAGCTAATTCTTTGTTTCCATTGTTTTATTGTTGTTTTATTCCTTTAATGTTCCTGCCTAATTAGTCCAAATCTGGTACTTTGTCTGTCCCTTTGCTCTATTGAATTTGATTAATTGGATTTGTCCCACATCATTCAGCTGCTGGAATGACCCCCCTTCCATCTGCAGTCTGTTGCATGAAATCAGGAAGCACTGGGGGGGGGGGTGCCTGATCAGCTGATGCCTGTGGCAGGGCTTCAAAGATGATAACAAATTGGCTAACATCCTTGAAATTAAGAAGTCAACATTTTTTGAGTGTTAGAAAATGTATGCATTTTGAGTTAAATAGATAAATCTTGATGAGGCCAGATCAACAGGGTCCTTTCCCTTCCTCGTTACTGTTTCTACAGGCGTTTAATGTGTTGAAATAAACCCTAATAAAATGAATCACTTGTCTGTTAATTCACCCACTTCCTCTCAATAAAAGACCCTGAAAGCTGTCGTCTGGAGGTCATCACAAGGGGAGCTGACAGAGATCCAAACTCCCAGCTGGTCTTCCCCATCCTCCCCCCTCCTGCAGGGGATGCTGGGAGCAGCCTGCAGCCCCCAGCCCGGGGCATCCCACACCCTGCAGTCAGCCAATTAATCACACTCCTCCCTCCCTTCCTCCCTCCTCTTCTCCATCCTCATGTCCTCTTCTCCTCTACCACATGGTCCTTTGTACATCTTACACTCCCATTCTCAACACTGGAGCTCCTATTTATATTTTAATTAAATCTCACACTCTAATGTTTAAAAATAATACATGTCAAAGTTAGCAGCATGTGTTAAATCCTTTAAATATGCTATAAATATAAAAAAATGGCCAGAGTCATTAGACCGGTGCTATGAAAATATAACTTAAATTTGTCAAATTAGGGTGAAAACATTAAAATAACGACAGAAAATACCGTCAAATAAGAGTTTAGCCGTAAAAGTAAGCAAAAATACCACAATATCCTTAAATGTCCACAAATAATTGAAAAAATGCTGTTAACGAAGGTAATAATCTCACCAAAGTGCAGTAAGATAATTCACTTAAGCCACTTTTTTGGCCAGTCTCCGGCGTTTCTGACCTAACCGAGCAGAAAAACGCCTTTTTCTTTTAAATTTAACTCCCCCAAAAAACCCTGAAGTGATAAAAACGTCCATCCTCTCCCATCACTCCCATTCACAGACACAGGAAGAGCTCATGACGCTTCCAGCTGGTGACAACAAACCACGCTAAAAGCCAACAGCGGAGAACGACCCGTGAATGAAAGTCGTTTTTTATAAAGTCTAACAGTCTGAAAAGCGTCTTACCTTTGTCGTTTTTCTCTTTCTCCATGTGTAAATTAAATGTGTCTCTCGGACTGGTGACAATAAAGGAAGAGCGGGTGTGCCCAGTGAACCCCCCAGCAGCGTGTGACCGACAGCAGCACTAGCCAATTAGAGGACTCTAAACTGCAAGGGGCGGGTCGGTTTGGAGCCACGTGGGACTCAGAGGTGAAAACAAGAATATTTCTGAATACTTTGGCTCAAAATACACTGTCCTACCAGAGAAATAAAAGCTTTAGTACATGGTGCTCTTGAAGGCTGGATTTCTGTGTCACTGGTCTGGGGGACAGATATGGTTTCACGTAAGCAGAATATGCTTTTCGACCAACAAGAAATTAGTGTAGGGGAGAGTGGGGTAAGATGAGCCATTTTTCATATTTCGGATCACTAAATCAAGGCAATCATAGTTTTGTCAATAACTAGTGTATCTGCTTATATTTTACAGTATTTTCTGCAAACCATCAGAATGAATGTTAACATAACTGTCTTGATAATATAGCATGCCAAAAAAACGTACACTGTGTATGGGGTAAGTTGACCATAGGAGTGGGGTAAGTTGAGCCATATCATTACTATCCCCCCACTCTCTACTCCAGTCCTCCCTCACTTTCTCTCTTCCTTAAATAACAGTCACTTCTTCGCATTAATGTGTATTTTTTTTATTATACGCTATTCAACTGTTACATTAAATTCTTTTTATTATTGCATATAACTGCTAAAAAGCTGATTTGTAAAAAAGCCAATTTAACATGAGAATAAGTGATTCAGAACATTCACAGCTGTATTTTTGGAAAGAAAAAGTAACACATTTCAACAATCTGAACTGAAACTCTGATCGTCTTATCAGACTCCTTTACTTTCTTAGTTGAGCTACTGGCTCAACTTCCCCCTGACTAAATGGCTTTATTAGTCCTCTAAGATAAAATGGTGGACTTCTATGGTAAGTTTTTGACCTCATGTTGTAGCTCATAGATACCACAATTGATGTATAAAACAAATTTAAAATGATCTTTTTTGGTCTGAACACAATTCTAATCAAACTTATGACAGACTAAATTCACTTTCATGAGTGAAAATTGTTTTTTTGGAAATAAATGTCTAACTCCTTCACCCATGTGCTTCTAACCTTCACAGACTCCATGAATTGATGTCCATCTCCTAAATATTTGGTCACATGATCAATTTCTTTTCCCATTTCTAAGCGACAGGGGGTGGCTCAACTTACCCTTTGGCTCAACCTACCCCACTCACCCCTACATGCTGCTCTTGAGGGCTGGATTTCTGTGTATGAGCAATTACACAGCTTTCTAGACAAGGCCAAATAAAAGTCATTATCATAAAAGAAAAGTGTTGTCCAAACACATATGGTTTCACAGAATATGCTTTTCAACTAACAATAAATTAATGTAACCCTTTGCAAAGTGCACAACACGTTCGATATTTTTTCTTTGTGCTCTATCCAGAGGTCGCAACTCGGTTACTTTTAGTATTTCGAAAGTCAGTTGCTTTTTGCACAAGACCGTGCATGCCGTTTTTCTCTTAACTTAATCTAAGTGTTTTTGAAACCCACATTTCCTGCATGCAGTTTCCATTGTAAAGCTAAATGCAATAAAGCCAAATTATGGATTAAGCAAAGATTCCAGCTCTTATTATATCAGAGGCCCCTGCAGCTCCCTGTCATTAAATATTCAAGAAAACTCAATTTTAAAAGGATTAAGTTTAAGGAAATGAGGGAAGGCTTATTTAGATGGAAAACAAGAATCACACTTAATAAGATGTCAGGGATAAACAGGCAAAAGTCACTGGCAGAATATTTGCTCGTAACCCAATTTGTGATGAATCTTATTCATGCTCAAAATAGAGCCATTTTCTGAGTATATTAAATTAGTGTCTAAACTCAATAACGAACAATTTATTGCAAATGAAATACCAAATTTTCCTGTGCCAATTTGTGGAAAGAACCAAACAGGAAAGTGAACCTACAATCAAATTTAGTCATAAGAAACTGTTAAAAGTTAGATTTCTGGTAAAACAGTCCAACTTGTTTTAATCTGGCAATAATTCAAAGTATCAACAGATGTGAATTTTCATGCAAAGATCAAGACAAGATCCGAACAGAGAATTTCACAACTACCCTGAGCTGGACATGAGACGTGGGACAGTCAAACCTTTATTCAGAAAACAAGAACTGAAGTTATAACGCAAAAAAATTGGGATAAATATTGTTCCTCAGTGTGATTCTCACAGCTCAGACTCTGAGTATTTGTGAAAGTGTTCAGTGTTGTTTTCTCTGGGTCAGAGGCCTGTTTGCACAAAGAGATCAGATGTCACCCTGCTTTGCTTTCCCTCCACCCTCCACCCCTCTTTGGCTTCGCTCACACCGTGTCTGCATGCAGAGTTAGAGATTATTACTCATATTAGCACTAGCTGGACGACTGCTCATATGTGCATTCTTTGATGAAACAGATATCTGATAGCTAATCCCCCCACATGTGATGAAGTAAACCAGGAGGATGCGTCATCTTTTGAAGTTTTAAAATGGGAAGCATATGGAGCTTTGTAACCACCTCCATTAAGTTCATCAGTGTTATCTTTAACTTTGAGGTCAGACATTACAGATACAGATGGCACACTCAGGCACCAAACCCTGATGTAAACCCGTCTTTGGAAAATTTGGATGACCAATGCTTTGAGGCAGAAAACAGATGCTGAAAGTACTGAAACACAGACACATTAGTGTGCTTGAAACCAATGTGATCTAGCTGGCGTTGATAACAGGGTAAAGGGTACCTCAACACAGGCACTGTGGGGTTCCTTTGCATCTGGCTGAAATGCAAAACACCAGAAAATTCTGCAAGCTGATTTTAAAAAGGTGTCCTTAAACATAAGCTTGGAAAGATCAGGGTACCTTGCGTAGCCTTACAGGACAAAAGAAGCATAATGTTGCACTTGTGCTCAAGCTCAAGCTTATCCATTCACTCTCAAAGATTCAAAACTAGAGACAAACTGATGATAAATGGGAAACTTGTGCACCTGAACCTGCAACCAAAGATGTATTAAAAAGACATGGTGAAGGGTACCTTAAAAACAGATGCAGAGTGCTGTGGCACAAATGCAAAAGTGTACCTTGTGAACATGCACCTGGGATAAAACAATGTGACAAACTGATCCGAAAAGAAACCAGTGCACAAGACGAACAGATGCTGAAGGGTACCTAAACAGACTCCAAATGGTACCATGTGCATGCAAATGAAACAATCACAATCCAACATCAAAGGGAACCTCAATCTGTGCATCTTAACCAGCAGGTATTCGACAAACACATGCTAAAAGGGTACCTTGAAACAGACTGCAAAGAGTACATGTCTAATCTCTAAGCTTAGGAAAATGGTGTCGCAAAATGACTTGGAGCTCATCATTCATGCCTTTGTGTCATCACGTTTAGACTACTGTAACAGTTTGTTTTCCTGTCTGAACAAAAAGGAACTGTCTCAGTTAGTGCAAAACTCTGCAGCGAGAATTCTAACCCGCGCTATTAGGAGGACTCGCATATCCCCTACTTTTAAAGCTCTTCATTGACTGCCTGTGTCCTCTTGGATCAATTTTAAAATTCTGGTCCTAACATTTAGAGCCTTGCATGGTCAGGCTCCATCTTACATTTGTGATCTGATCCAGCCTTACACCCTCTCTCGAGCTCTGAGGTCCGTGGATCAGAATCTGCTGATGGTTCCGCGCACTCGTTTTCAGAGCAGAGGAGACCGATCCTTCCAGGCTGTTGCCCCCAGGCTTTGGAATGATCTTCCTCTCTCTGCACTTAATTGACTCAGTTGACTCCTTTAAAAGCCAACTTAAGAGTTATTTATTTGTTCAGGACTTAAATTGTTTTGGGGGCTGCTATGACTGTTAAATGTTGTTGTCTTGGCCTTTTAATTTGTATGTACATTTTTATTTTTGTCTATGTGAAGCACTTTGTGACTTTTTGTCTGTGAAAAATGCTATACAAATAAACTTTACTTACTTACATGTGGAAGAACTGCAACAAACTGACATTGAGGGGTTTACATGAGACCCTAAAGCATAGAACTGTTGCAGAAAGATGCTGACAAATTAACACTAAAGGGCTCTTAAAGAAAGGGATAAAAGACTCTCATGCATCAGCATGTGAAGGTGTTAAAAATGCACCTTAAATCCAGGAAGAGAGAGACAAACAGAGTCAAGGGGAAAACTTTGCAGGAGACTCCTAAAGTCACTGAATGCTTGTTACAATGAAAGCTCAAGATCACCTTCAAACAGAATGAGCTAGCGTGCATTGTAGTGATTTCAGTGAGTAACTGCTGAACCTGTTAATGTCTGTGCAAGAGCGAACAGACACCTGCAGACGACAATTACATGTTTATTTCCTTGTTAATTTGTGGCTCAGCACTCTTGTCTTTACCTGCAGAATAAAAATGTACTTAGCATGGCACTTTTTCTGCCGACTAATCAAAACTTATTGAAACTAGCGACCATGATGTAATCTAACTCAAAGGAAAACTGAGGTCTGTTACATGACCACTAAAGATGCAAAATAAGCAATATGTGGTAATTATGCTGCTCAACAACTGCTGTTTCACCTATTTTAAAGTGATTTCATGTGATCTGTGTACAACTTTCTGCTGCAAACAGGAGGCAAACAAAGAGTTCATGCAGGTTTAGTCAAGCAGAACCAGATAACTGAGCTGTAAACTGTGTCGAATGCTGACAGTGCACACTTTTGGTAAATATTTTCTCCTTCTTCTTGGTTTTCCTCTGAGAAAAGTTTGGCTGAATAGGGGGTTTGTTTATACTGTGTCTGATTTGTTACCATCTTCTCAGAACACAGGGATACTCTTGGTTAGTGAATGTGATTATAAAGGACAGAAATGTTCCTCAAAGCTATGAAAATTAAACCAGAATGACCTGTTATCCTTGAATCGACCGCAAGCAGGTTTTCTCAGATCCTAGAAACCCGTGTCCAGGCTTGGACTAATGGCTGGGGTCTAATTTTATGACTTTAAAACTTTGCCCCTGCATTTATACTGAAGCCACCCTGCAGCAACAACAAATCCGAGAATGTGGAAGTAAAAAGTCTCGCAATGTCTCTATAGCCTCCTATGTACAAGGAGGTTTAAATGTGCTTCTGTGATGATGCAACGACAGGAAGATTTCCATACACATGCATGCAAAACCACTCCCACTCCTCTTTCAGTGCTGCGGGGTCAAGATGTCAAAGGTTAGAACCAGATCCGTCAACTGATCTGTTGTTGGTTGCAAAAACAAACAAATACCAGCACTGCACACAGCCCCCCCTAAAAGACGAACTGCAGCTGCATTTCTTGATAGCCTCCTCCTGGAGAAACTGAGAGGCTGCAGATCTTCCACAGAAGCTGAATTTGGGACAGCAGTGAAAACAAGTTCAAGGAAATTTAGCTTCAAGGTTTAAGATACAGGAGCAGGTTGGTGAAGGCAAACAAAAATTATGAGCTTGGAAGTTTTTAAAAGTTTGTTATACAGGGTGACCATATTCTGAATCCCCAAAATAAAGACACAATTACAAGGGGGCGGAGTCACGGAGTTGGGCTTAGTAAATTTTGAGTTTTTCGGGTTGGCTTCTAACTCAGTAAGTCCACATGACGCAAACTCAAAACTTCCGCACAAAACTCCAGACATTTGAATGATTTTATAATCTACCCCAGACAAAGCCAGACAGCCCCCTGAAAAGAGGACATGTCTGAGTAAAAGAGGACATATGGTCACCCTATTGTTATAAAGCCATGTCTCATAAAAACTGTAGCAAGTCTGCATGAACCAGCTGTTATGGAAACTGATAGACACTTATGTTTCAGCAGTTGCATACATTTTAAATGAAACCCTTTTGTCTCACAGTGAGTTTTGTTAAAGTTGAAGTCATTTTAAGAAAATCACAGTAGATGTCATATTGAAGTCTTTCTGTCTTGTCTTGTTTCAGAGGAGGATCTTACTTTTCCTTTTAGTCAAAACTTTCTCTGACTGTTTCACAATAGTTTATGAAGGAGGATTTTTCTCCTGGCTGTAAAAGATTTGAGAGTGAAGAATACCTCACTGTGTTTGGTCATCTGGGCTGAAAATGTGTTTCTAACTTCATATTTCCTCATGTCAGAGAGAAAATTTCGTAAAACCCAATTTTATTAGTGCAATGAGTCACATTTCAAAAACACAAACTCCCTCTTCACATGGAGCTACATTTGACTGAACTCTTTTAATGTTTTCTGAATGACTCCAAGCCTGAATAAAAAAACAGATTTTTTTGTGTCACTCCTGCAGCCCTCAGATGTTAACTCTGATTCATAGGTTCTGTGTTCAATACTTGCAACTCTCTGATCCTTTTGGCTTTTATTTTGAAAAATTTAACTCCTCACTTCTGCCTGTAAACATCTTTTAAATGTCTGATCAGAATGATTAAAAGAATATGGGAAAAAAATGAAATTTGAGGTTTCTTTTTCATGCTACGTGTGAAGATACTGGCCAGGTGACTTTGTGCTTTGGTTTTTTGTTTTAACAGTAAAAGGAGGATCATTTTTGATACAAAACTGTAAAATAAAACCTTTTCCATATTGAATTAGACACGGTAAAAGCAAATAAAGGGGGCCAATTATACTTTAAATTTTCGGTTTTGATAAACTGCTTACTCAGTTTCTGGTTTATTTCCTTCACAAATTAGCTGACAATACTCCGGTGTCAAAGTTGACCCTACCTTATTGAGTTTAAATGAAAGACTCCACTTCATCCTCATGTCTTCAAAATCATCCTCATGTCTTTCCTTGAGTAAAACGTTTCACACACACACTCACTGAGACGACTCAAACAGCCCAGTCCATGGTGACGCTGTAGTTTGGATAAAGCACTTTAATAGCAGATGAATATTAGAAAGAAGACATGACGTTTTTATGACAACAGTTAGTGTGTTACTTACAGGAGCAAAGAAAAACAATCATTTGACACTCAGGTTAAACTCAAAACGTTGATATGTTTCTCTTCAAAAGCTCGTTCCTCTTTGTGATGCTATGAATTTAACACTACAACCTGAACATCCTCCAATAAAATCGCTTCCTTATCGATATTGCATTTAAATAAATACCTAACACAAACTAATGTAAGCAGCTGACCTGGGCATTTCATTAAAAATCACTCAAACCACATTGATCATAATGTTTTCATACGTTTCTAACCAGTGGACAAACCCCGTGTTCCCGCCCTCATGCATGCCTGAAGAGTTATACACCATGGCTTGGATACAGACAGATAGATCTGGTATAAGTCCAGTATATGTTCACATACATCTTACAGTATGTTAGTTGGCGAGTTGATCGGTTTGCAGTCCAGAAATCATCAAGCAAAGCCGACAGACTGCAGCTTATTTTACTGTACGCAACAATGCTTTCAAACAACGAACATAGAAAGAGTTAAATCTCGATCTGAGAGGACAGGACGGTTAATCGAGCACGTCTGGAGCTGCAGGAAGCCTAACAAAGTCAGCGTGTTTCTGTTTGTCTGGTAAGAAAATCAGGATTTCTTCAGCTGCAGCGTGTTATGATCGGTCTCTATGATGCTTTCAGAAGTCAAAAATAGCTTATAAAAATAATTTCTTTTGTTTGTTTTTGATGTGAGTGTGCGTCACTCTGGCGATGCTCCGTGTTTGACACCTTTGCACACCCTGAAGCCGACCTTTACCCCTCCTCCTTTTACGCCCCCCATCTTCCCTTCAAATCTGTGATTCACTGCCATGTTTGGCTCGCCTTTCTGAGCTGATTTATGAGATGCTTATGTAAGAAATGGGACTGCATTCAAACATATCAGGGCACGTACTCGAAGACGATTGAAAATCAAAGCGAATGATAAGGTGCTTTTGACACGAGTGATCAGAGCAGCAGTAGTCGTCTCCTATTTTTGTCTTTCGCCTTGACATGCTCAAACAGCGTGCGTCTGCTGTTTCTTCTCCGTCTTAATGTAATGGCGAGGTTGTAAATCTGAACTGGCGTGATGATGTAACAGTCAGCGCAGGGACAGAAAGAGAAAAAGCAGAGCATCAACTTGACAATTTGAAGAGACAGATATGATGATAAAGTAAAAACTGACAGGGGGGGATGACACTGAAAAGTCAAAACCACAGAAACCTGGGAGAAGGCCTGCATCAAAATTACAAAAAGCAGTTTTTCTTTGTGCGAGGATGTGTGTATGAAAGCATCGAGAAGGGCTGAAAGTCAAGGGGGGGAGGAGGATGCAGAAACCACGGGGAGGTGAGGAGCATCAACACAGGCCATGCAAACGCAGCTCCTCGTCCTCTTCTGTTGAGGTTTTTCAGTCAAACATTCGGACCACATTGCATACAAAAAGCGATAAATGCTGCCTCAATATCGTGAAAATGTCCCGGCGGAGCCTCCGTTTCCGCGGCGTCACAGGCAAGATGGCATGGCGTTTTACAGGTGGAGAGTAAGGGTATCATGGCGGTGCATATATAGATACTTCAGATGGGTTGGTTTTGTTTCACTGCTTCCCTCCAAACAGGACGGATGCTCATTGAGATGTTGTTTTGCGGTCTTAAAAAAGGCGCGCCTTCTTCTTCATGTCGTTCTTCTTCCACAGGGCCAGACGGTCGAACTGATCCAGGGTCATGCCGAACACGCGCATGAAGTCCTCAGGAGATAGGTGTCTCTGCAAGATCAAATCACAGCAAAGGAAAGATAATTACTGAGTGGAAAAGATGAAATATTTGACATGAAGCTGGTCTATTTTGTGCAGAGCATGCATGCAGACCCAATACAAAAGCCTGCACCTCTTTGCGTGCACAGAGGTTGTGCTCCCCTCTGATGATGATTGATAGAGTTAATAAAGTAAAGTACAGGCTGCTGGTGCTGCCTGATAGACAGTCACCTGGTTTCTATGCCAAACAACAGAAAGAGGAGTGTTTCACCCGGAGGGCAGAACAGACAGACCCCTTTAATTTTTCACTTACCAAACTGAAAGGATGATAACATGCAATCAAACAATAAAGAATACAACCACTACTATTAAGAAAAACACAGAGTGACTGTATTTCATGTTGTTAAATCAGAGCGAAGACATCTTCACACAAGGTGATAATGATCAGCTGTCAAAGACGAAAGAAATGACTGAACATGTGAGAGGCTAATTCAGCTGTACCTCAACTCCAGGTCAGAAACAGAGTGACATCTATGTCAAGCTACTCTTTCAAAGACCTGTTTTCAATGCTTTTATAACTTCCCTAGTTCTGCCTGTGCAAAAACCTCCATATAGGCTTGTCACACTATATTAGAATCAACAATAAAGTTACTAATATTGTGCAAAAAATAAGCATACTGTAATACCACTCAGTTTCCAATAGGTAATAATAGGTCGTATGTTAGGTGCCACTCAGCTGCAGCCTGCAGCTTATGTCCTGCTAGGAACAACCAACTCTTTTTCCCCAATGGGCTCTATGCACAGCTCCACTACTCCCTGAACTAAAGGCAGCTCCTTTATTTCCTGTCTTACATTATTGGACAAACTGATTAATCCAGGTGTGTCCAGGTGATTCGTCATAATGGTCAGTCACACCTGGATTATTTAGTTTGTCCAATAATGTAAGACAGGAAATAAAGGAGCTGCCTTAAGTTCAGGAAGTAGTATTCCTGCTCTATCAACTGAATTATCCTCAAATATAAAGGGCCCACAATTAACAAAAATAGCAGGAAGAAGCATGAATCTCATTTCAAAATAAAAGCATGTTTCTAAAAAAAACTTTAAAAATCTAAAGAAGTGTAAATGTACAAAATACAAACCTCACAAAGAACCCTTTTAATACACAAACACTGTCCTTTACTGCAGTATGAGGTGACAGATTAAAGACAAGCTACTCCACCTGCGCCTGAAGGAGTTTATTTGGCAGTTTTAGATTTTATAAGAAGTTTCTGTCAAAGAAGAATAAAGTTTATAAGAAAAGGAGGATGGTGTTAAGGTAAGTCCAATGAATTAATTAGTTAAGTTGGTGTCCTAATTATAGACTGTATAACAGATGGATGTACATCACCTATTTGCTCTGTGTCATGTCAGTGTTACAGTGTGTTTTGGATGCTAACTGCTGTTCCAGCTGCTGCTCATCTTTGAAAAACCTGTTGCTCTCGCTGATTTCCATCCTCACAGTCATGCAAACAGACACAAAACCTTCCTCCTCTGAATCAAACTCACTTTGAAAAGCTGACCTAGGTCATTTCAGAAATATTCAAATATTTCTTTGACTTTGTTCTGTGTTTTAAAAACGCCAAGCTGATATTTCTCTCCGTCCTAATTTGGCAACATCCCCTCCTGACTCTGTTTCTGTCTGGACTCTGAGTTTGAATTTTGATTTGGGTTTAGCTGCTGATTAGTTTGGGTAAACCAAAACCACCATGGGGTCGGGGATCACATCATTGGTGGGTAAAACAGACATTAGAGTATTTCTCTCTGACACACTAATGGTAAATGGACTCCAGTCTGGGGATCCCGACCACAAAGGAGATCTGTTGCGTCAGTAACACCTACGTACCCCGACAATCTGACTCCATGTGGGACATGATTCCCAAAACCCATGGGCTCACCAGGAGAGCTCACATAGAGGTTACTGGGGGTTTAAATATTTTAATGGGGCTGTTTCAGGGGGAAAAGGACAGGACCTGCACCACCAGAAAAACCACGATTCAGAGACTGGAATATTTCCTGTTCTCAACCTACGGGTTCTGGATCTGTAGGGTAAGAAAAACTGCTGCAGGAAATTAGTTATTACGGTACATTAAGTGCTTAATTTTTTATGACACGACATGCATGTGGGTTCAACTCACCGTGAACTGGAGTGAGAGGAAGTAATGAGATACAACATCAGACAGAAAAGCCAATAACACTGCCAATTATCTTCACATTTGGTTTAATACCAGAGTTTATAGTCTTGACTCAGACTGTCTCTGCCTGAACTTTATCTCCAGCAAACTGAACCACAGGAGCAACACGTCCTCCTGTCATGGGTTAACACTCTGTTCCAAAGCAATGTGCTGCAGAAACAGGATCCACTGTTCTGGTTTTAGGCCCTGAACCAGACCTCGTAACCTGGATGCAGGGATCTGCTTTATTACCTGAAGGTGTCGGGTGGAGCTGAGGTCAGACTGAAACCAAAGGCCTTTGTTTACTTTATTCAAATATGAAGACCAACTATCACGGTGCACATGGGGCAACCACACCTGTTACTAACATTTAAAGGGCAATTCAGGTATTTAATACCCTAGAGGGTCCACTCAGCTTGCTATCAGCTCTCAGTCCAAATCCAGCATCCCTGATGATATGGGATAGGGCTGAAACCTTTTCTCGAGTACCTTGAGTACCTCGATTACGAATAATGATCGAGGAATTTTCGAGTACTCATTTATAAGCTCAAATCGTCACTGTTTTGCACAGATTATTTTCAAGGTGACCCATGGCACTTGCGTCACAATGGTAGAGGGAGGAGTAAGCGATATTTTGGTTTTGCGGAGTGGAAAAAATGAATGATGAGAGGGGCTTCCCTTCTGCAGAGCTCCAGTAGATCATTCGCACTTCACCTCTGAGTGGTTGGTGGAGACAGCGCTGCTCTGCACACTCCTCTTCATTTTAGCTTGCAGCCCAACATTGCTGATGTAGTAGAAGTAGCAGGTAACATAGGAGCTATTCAGCTCTCAGACACTTATGTCTTTGGGGACATGATGAAAGTTAATATCATAATTAGCTTTTTTACGAGCATTACAATCCGCTAACGCACACGCTTGTCCCGCGATCGTTCCCTTTACTTCTCCGAGTCTGGCCTGCATAGCGGGGCTCCAGGGGCGGAGCAAGGAATTGTGACATAGGTAATCTCACTGTATGTGAGTCTACCGTTTGGGTCCGATTACTCAAGTAATTGGAATATTCGGTCGAATACTTGATAACTAAGATATTCGATCTGCAGCCCTAGTTGAGGAATCATCAGAGTCCATGTCATGGGTATCTTCCACATCTGTGAAGGCTCCATTAATGCTAACCAATATCTACAGGTTTAGGAGCAACATCTGCTGCCATTCAGACAATTACTTTTTCAGGGAAGACCTTCATATTTCAGCAAGACAATGAGAAAAACCACATTCTGACAACAGGGATTACAGCATGGCTCTGTATTAGAAGAGTCCTGCTGATAAACTGGTCTGATGCAGTCCTAACTTGAAAACATTCAGAGAATCATGACACCAAAAATAGGACAAAGGAGACCCTGTCCAGAGTTTTCCCCAAGCACTGGAAATCTTTTATAAATTTCTTTTGTAGAGAATACGGCCCTATCCCTGTCTACATTCCTCTGACCACAACACAAACTTGTAATTAGTCATTGAGCTTTACAAAAATTGGAGGTGGCACCTCTTTAAGCTCTGGCCTCCTTCCACCCTGGCTCGGCTGCTTGTCTTTACCCCTAACAGCCTAATTCTGATTAATAGTCATTCTCCAAACCACAAGTGGACGTTTTCTCAGGTTGTTTAATGGCCTGCAGACAAAAGGGGAGAAACAGCCGAGCGGGGAGAGAAGGATTACGGCTCACCTCCAGTCTGGTGCGATCTACGTCTCTGGGAAGCTTCACTTTCACTCTATGCGTCACTGCCAGGATTTCATAGGGGTAGATCTGGCACAGACAGAGAAAGCATTGTGAGAGAGTTATTAGGGAATACAATCATAATCCAGAGAGCACATACAGCTGCCAAGAATATTATTAGCAAAGTATTAAACAATCAAAGTAATCTTACCTTGTATTCTGAGAGGGGGGAAAGTGAGGGAAAAACAGAGCGTTAATAAGGTGGAACAATGATTTTTTTTATTACAATAGCACACCTATTATTGAATAAAATAAATTACACCTTGTGGAATCAGGTCTCATCAGAAATATTGTACTTGAAGTCCATGAAACTGGTTTTAAAAGGTTGCCGTGCACCCACAAATATACACAGAGAGTTATAAGGTTGGCATCCAGTCAGCCATGATTGTGCTCTCACACACTCGTATAAACACACACCGATAATTGTGCAGCTGGAAAAATGACATCACCTCCGTGCATTGTAACCCTGCAGTAACTGGGCTGCAGGGCTCTGCATGCACAGTCACTGAATAACCAGGGTGAGCTGACCTTTAATCTGTGCGGTGATGAAAGACCACACAGGCCTTTCAATGTTGCATAGTCTAAGATTTTAGCCCACAGGGGAAGACTGTCTTTGGGATCAAACCCTGGGATCTCTCTGCGATACAACTGTGAAGTTATGTTTGAAGTTTGAAGCTCCAGAATTGAGAGTCATCTTCATTTTTAGGCAACATTGGGTTAGTGATGTTGGAGTGTTTCCTTGTAGGGATGGAAAAATGGCTCTGAAGGAAAATTTCATTTTGGATCGAGTGCAGCAGGAGGCCTACAGGCTAGGGATGCACTGATCTTATATTTGGATCGGATCATGGATCCAATATTGACAAATTAATTGGATCGGATATCTGGTAATTGACGCCGGTCCATCGTTCCAATCCAGTTTTTTCTTCTTCTAATTAATATCATACACAGCAACACAGTGATTCTGTTCGCTCTATATTCTATGTCTGTCTATCCTTTTAAACTAAATGTTTACATGTAAGTCTTACTCCTTTTTGCTGTGTGCTGATGTGCAATTTGTTATTTGTTAATGAATAATATTAAGTAAATTTATATCTGTGTGAATTTGTCACCTTTTTTTTAACAAGGCTAATGTCAAGCCTGATGACTTCACTCACAGGGCAAGGTATACAGTTCATTCATTCAACAGTAGTATTGGATCGGTATCGGATATCAGCCGATACACTCAGCAGTATCAGATTGGATCGGTAAAAAATGGATCAGTGCATCTCCACTACAGACTGCATTGTATCATATTTTATGCACTTTCCAACAGAGCAAAACCAAAAAGAGTTTGCACACCAACAAGGACTGCAGAATAATCAAACACTCTCACCTCTCATGCCGCCCCAGCTGTGAGAGTCTGGGTCCACCTCGTCCTCCACCATCTCTGCAGCCTGCAGAAACACAGGAACAAATGAACAAAGAAGCTGTTAGACCGTCGTGGTGATGACGCTGCTAGAAACACCAGGGTTCATTCATTCTTTTGCCGCCACACTAAATCCTCCGCATCAACAACACTAACCAGTAATGTCAGCATGTGAAAAACAGTTCAATACACTCTGCTCCATGAATCCATCGTGACTCCTTCGCTTTCATTTCCTCCTCTGGTCTGTTTTGTCTGCCTGCTCTCAATCCATCAACAAACACAGTGATATCACATCAGTGGATGATAGACTAAATACCCCCAACATCCTCATAATAAACCGGGGCCCTGCTTATGTGGAGTGAGCGATACTGCGTGACCCCAGGGTAATTTAAAACCAAAGCTGTGAGAAAAACACTCTGGGAGGCTGGATTCTGCAGAAGAGGAAGAAAACTTTGAATGGTCTTCATGCTTCTCTGAGGTTTCCTGTGCTGATTAGTGGATACTTTGTGGAGGACTTGGATGAAACTTTGGCGTAAACACACGAAGAAGCTGAGAAGTTTGAATACCATGGCACAGTGGGTGATAGAGTTTGGATTAGGGACTAGAATTACAGCCTCAAGGTGGTGAACCTCCACCAGCTCATCAAGCTTTGGTTTAATACCGCCTGTGTTTACCCACAGTTGAAAGCTTTGTAGAAAGGCATGGATGATGTGACAGCTCTCCAGGCATTATGTCTAGGCTTTGCTGTAAAATCGCCTTTACTGTATGGGATGGACAAGTAACCCTAAACCTGATCCCTCAGACATAGAGTCATGACGATACCACCTAGCGGCCTTTTCGATTGGTTCTTCCTAAATCTGAAACAGCTCTTTATCCGTTTGTTCAATTGTTTATTTCCCTCTCTATGGTGACATGCACACTCCATTCAAATTTACAAGTCACTCTGCAGTGAGTCCAATGCGAAAAATTTCTTAGTAAAGCAGCCAATGCAAATCAAACATTCCCCCCCGCTGCCTCTCCAGACCTGCCAAAGCTCTGAGCCTGATTTTTCATTGAGCCAGATCTAAGTATCACAGAAACAAAGGACACTGAGGGCGGTTTTTGTTTGATAAGGGTTGTGATTTTGAGTCATGTTGGCTAAACCCTGGTACCAGATGTGACAGACATGTCGTAGGTGCAGCTGGTAGTAAAAATATGTTTATCAAAGTTTTGAGTAATGACCCCGCAAGGCAAACAAACAAACAAACCTCCAGGTTTCTTTTCCCCATCATAGTTTGTGTTCATAGGTTGGACATCCATTAATCCCTTACTGTCTTCACACCCTCCTGCGATTCTGGCGGCGCGACTGATGCGAATTGTGCGAATCTCAACTTGAGCGGATATTTGTGTCACAATAACTATTCAGCACAAAGTTTGCCGGGTGATGTATGAAAACAGATGGTTGTTTACTGGTATCTAAAATGGAGGACAAACTGATCGGGTCGGTGTGTGGGTGTCCCGAATTATATGATACCTTTTCTTTCAAATACCGAAATCGGAATAAAAAGGAGCTCGCCCGGAGGCAAGTGAGTGAGGAGGTCGGATTACCTGGTCAATTGTAAAAAACCTTTGTCTATCACTTGATTCCACCCGTTGAATCAGCAGGGATTACCGTTGAAATTACTGAGTAAATACTATTCATTCACGCGTCTAGATTTGCGCTAATTAAGCGAGTAGATGATTTTACTCACGCTTAGTGTGAGCGCCCCATTAGACATCTATCCAGGGATGGCAGGAAGTGATCACTAAAAATAGTCAAGCTGTTGTCCATTAAAGTGACCCTCAAAAATGACTGTGAAATTTTTGACCTGGACTGTCTCAATCACGGACTTCCTCCTGTCATTATTTAGGGTGGCTCTTTACCACAATATGCAACATTGTTACACATGACTGTTATAATAATTTGTGGTAATTTTTTGTTTACTTTCAACATGGACAGTCATTTGAAAAATCATAACCTTTTACTTTTGTTTCAGTTTTCTTCAACATTACTCATTTTATATTATTGCATAAAAGTTGCACTGTGGCTGTAGACAGTCTAAAAAACAGCTCTAGGAACTGTTTGGGGAGTGAAAGAGCACTGATTGAAGAGCTAAAGCTTCAAATGGGCCTCATTAATACAGTATTTTTACACAAATACACTCTTAGTACTTAGGTGTGGGGAATTTTAAGCCTGAGGTGAATGAAAAGCTTGACATTGTCTGATCTAAAAAAAAAGTCATTTATAACTCCATCATAACAGCCATCATCAGCTCACCTTGTAGATGCCGTTCCTTCCATATCCGGGTAAAGATGCAGATTTATTGTAGGGGAAATCTGCAGAGGAAGAAAAGTTCTCATGTAAAGCCAGAGCATCCAGGTATCTTGATTCATGTCTGTTTAATCTAAGACTTAAAACTCACTGGGCTGGGACGTATCCGTGGGCAGACTGTGTGTGGATTTGCGGGGGTCTAGATCTTCTGGACCCATCTGACCATCAATTTCACTCTTCAAGATCATCCAACTGGTCCTCTAGAGGGAGAAAAGAAAGAGACAGAGAGACAGAGAGAAAGATGGAAAGAAGTGATGGATGATGGCAGAGTATGAGTTAGTGAATTAGTAAATGGATGTACAGTATTTGCAAAGTTTAAGAAAATGGCTTGAAAAGAGAGACAGAGACAAACACACAAACAAACAAACAAACACACACACACACAGACCCACCTTGCTATCTTCCCCATCCTGCCAGGATGTTCTAGAAGCTGTAAAACAGTCACATGTTACAGGAAGTCACAGGTAATGAGCTGGATAAACAGCCTCTCAGCTCCACTGTACTGCTCTACAAAGCCTATAAATCACACCCGACCATGACACCATAAACTGCACATGGCACCTACAAGAGCTCTGCACATACACTAAGACAGGGTGGATAACAACCCAGAAATGTCTGTGTTACCCTGTTCTGACAGGGCTTTTAATGATGGTACGGGTGCAACAACAACTGGTCACTATAGAAAGACATTTTAGCAATAAAGCCAACGTTACAAGGGATTGTGGTAAAATCACAGGTCCAGAAAGAACTGCATAAAGGTTTGGTCAAGACATTCCTTCTCATTATTCATTAACCTTGACAACAGACCTTTTCTGACCTACTTGTCTTTGCTCCAGCACCACCAACCCCAGAATTCAACTTTTGCTCCAAGTGAATCCAAATCAAACTAAACAATTTCTCTGATATTGATTGTGTGCATTCAGTCTTCCTGGAAAATGAACCCTTTTCCTTTTACTGACACTTATGGGACTGCAAACATTTATACTGTATTTCCGCATAAGCTCTACATCATGGTGGTCCATGACCTTGTGCACATTACATATTTGTGCATTAAAGTGTCCTTGTCAGTTTGCAAATCCATACAAATTCAGGCTGGCAATGAGATTTTTATGTTTCTTAATACTGCCAGTTTTTCCAGTTAAGCTACATTGTGTGCATAAGAGATCATGGCAACCAAATCTGAGTGCATTGTGTTGAAGTTGGAGCTAATAAATGTAGAAGAAGAATAGATGTGGAATGCAGATCCGATGCACAACAAAGGGAGAAATGATGCAAATGCAGGAAATACGATTTTACCCAGTGGACCAATCGTAGAGAGGTTTGGAGAAGGTGCAGGTCAGTATACAAATGCAAGCTTTATTTAATATGGTTGATGCAGAAGTTTAAATCAGGCTTTAGGAGCAGCAATAGTTGCATGGCTACTTAGCTGATGTCAAACTTATCGGAGAACACCAGCCCCCTTTAAGAGTCTTTAAGCCTGGACTGTGCGGTATATTAGTTTGATTCCACAATTTTTGCTGCTGCTCTCCCCTCTTTGGCTTTTTATGGATGCAAATGAGTTGGAGGGAGGCGTGCTCTCCCCACCTCAAACAAACAAATGTTGTTCCTAAGTGGAGATCCATGAATTTACGTTGAGCGTCTTCATGTACAGTGGACGAGGTCATCTAGACACACTTAGTGCAGACATAATATATGTATCACAAAATTGGACCAGTGGGCCAAATTTCCCCAACTGTATGTGCGGTCCACTCATACATGATGTCACCTTACAAAACGCTAAGGTTGAACCACAAGGGAGCAGTTTTCCTCAGAACTGAGTCGATTTTCTTCCTCTTTACCGGCCAACGACAGCTAACGCCTCATCAGTGACCTCACGTCTGCCTGAATGCACACAACCAAGATCCTGATGGCGGGCTCGTAAATCTGTAGGACTCTGCCATATGCAGCTGATTTAGGTGTCAGGTTCGATAGAGAGGAATCCTGTGTGATAGAGGTGAAAAAAAACTCCTCGGACTCCTACATCAGTGTGCTCTGAGTGACCCGAACAACAGGACACGACTACAGTGAAAAGTGAACACCAAAAATAAGACACACAAACAATGGTGAGGAAAGACACGGTGATTGGTGCAATGATAAACACCTCAAATACGACCATACGGAGTGAATCATGTACCCAAACACTCACAGTGGACACACAGTCACAGTTCAAACAGTAAAACTGACAAATGAGCCGGTGAGATGAGTGCACACATGCATAAACAGGATGAGCCAAATTACCGCCCAAAGCCCCCAAATTCCAACAGTCCCATGTTAAAGCCAATGTGTTGCAACGTCAAATCAGACATTTAGGGGATTTATGAAATGAACCCAATGATGCAAACACTTTTAAGGATTATTATGAGACATAAAACTGGCCTCTGTGAGCTGGGACTGGAACATTAATGCAATATCGACATGTAACTTTACAATTTTGTATAGTGGCTTTCAAGGACAAATTTTACATTTCTTGGGAAAAACAGCATTGAAGAAAGAGTTGAAATATTGTGTTTTGTGTCCTTGGCATTGTGTTTCTGCACTACTTTCATGTATTCAGTTGTTTTGTGGTTTCTTTAGGAGCACACTCTAAGGATAGACTCCCTACAGGCGCACAAACATCTCAGATGCACCATAAACTAAGAGCCCAGCACACTGAGAGTCCTTTAAGTTATTCATTCAGAACTAGTTTCAGCTGCAGGCCTTCATCAGTTTTAACATGTTGGTTAAGTCCCATTCTGTCCCCTGTGGTCCATCATCAGAGCCCTCTGTCCAGCATGGATTTACCTGTTGTTGAGCTTAAATAATGTACTCTGGCAGAGGTATCTCATAACAAGCAGGGGCGTGTCTTTTTGATTGGGGTGGCCCAACCCAGGAACTGACACCTCTGGATGCAATTATGTGAGCCCATACCCCAAAATAAGGTTTGCATATGTGATATTACATCAGCTGTGTAACTAATTTTGGCAGAAGAATCGTCTCTGATGAGGCAAAAAGCCAGATATGATAACTTTTGAGTTTTTTTTTTTTTTGTTTGTTTTTCTCAATTCTGGGGAATTTTGCCCTGACTAGTATTTTTTAATACAAAAAAGAAGAAACTCAAAAACTAAACTAAAACTATGAGTTTTGAGAAATTAATCTAGTGGAAATCAAAAACTGTTATAACCTTGGTCCATTTTAAATTCTAGTTTTTTCTTTCTGTTTTACTTTACAAATTTCATTTTTGTGGCAGGTTGTGATTGAATTTGGTTTTTTCGTAATGTGCTTTTTGAGTTTAATAGTTTCCTGAATCTTTTTTTTCCTGAGATGGTGTGTTGTTAAGTTTACATTAAATGTTAATAAAGATGTTTTTCTCGGCTTTTGTGTTGTGAGATAACTTGCCATGTAAAATTGTGTTGATTGTTAAACCTGGAAGTTCATCCTTTGAGATATAAAATCATAGTTTTTTGTTTCTTTGTCAAGTTTTCTGGACTATTTTTTCTAATTAGAAGAGGACTTTTTTTAATGTGTTCGGTTTTTAACATCTTTGCTTTTTGTAGGTAAACTTTGCTTTACCTTCAGGGCCACCATAGAGAAGGTAACCAACCACAGACTTAATCAGGGATCTGGGTTACAGTTTAAAAATGTTGAACACTGGACAATCTGTTAACCCTCACTACATATGTAACCTAATTTTGGGGGGAAAACCTGATCACTTTCTTCTGTCTAAACCAGCTGTTTTTGTTACTGGCCAACTCCCATGATGCATCATTTTTGTATTTGACTTTATTGCAGAGACAGCTGCTATCAGAGGCAAGCCAACAGTTGGGTTGGGCTGCAGAAATCAGGATCTAGCGTCTGAATTTTGGACCTTGCACTATGCATGTAGATCCATGAACCATGAGATGTCTGCAGGCCGAGGAGGACACGGGGGGAGAACTTGGCTGATGGGATGACTGACAGGCGACATGCAACACATCGTGCAGAGACCAGACCAGAGAAGGACGTGTTAAGGAGGAAGTAGACTGTACCATGCTGTCTGTAGATGGGGGGTTTTCTATAGATATTATCTTTGACCATAGTCTCTGAAGATGGGAACAGACGCAGAGGAAAGAAAATGGACAAAGGCAACATGGGAGGGAGAGAAAGAAAGAGAGAGAATGGAGAAAAAGTAGCATGAGTTAGCAGTTATTGAGGGATGAGGTAATTTTGAAGAAGCAAAAGGGGGGAGGGAGGAGCGCAGTATAGCATGATTTTACTCAAAAACATTTGTCATTTTTATCACGGCACATCAGAAAAAAAAACAACACTTTTTTTATCCATGCAGCATATTCCAAAAGTATCGACTCTTTTGAGTTTGTTGAAGGGGACAGGGAAGTTATTTGATGCAGAATAATTCAATTAGAGAAAATATCAAACCAAATATCAAAGTTAGCATTCTTAGGTGATTTCAAATCATCCAAAATAAAAAGGTTGGTATGAGTGTATTAACTGTACAGCTAGATTGAGTATATCTGGAATAATGGGGACAGTATGTTTTACCCCGAGGCTTTAATCGAATCCATCTTACAGTCAGCAGACCCACACAGGCCTCTGACAGAAACACTTAGGAACAACTGTCGCACATAAACCACAGCAGAAACATGACTCACAACAAAAAAACAACACATCTGGGTTATCCCCTCAGCTTGTTTCAGTGCCTGCCAGCATCTGAAACAATATCCATTTAAAAGCAATAAGGACAATGACTCTGAAAGCCATTAAGTGGATAATCACTGCACTTTTTCCCACTTAATCGCTTCCAACATGGGAGGTTTTTTCTTTTCCTCTGGATGACTGACAGTGTAATTGTCAATGGGAACAATATGCTGGATAACACAGATTTTCTTCCATGAAAGACAAAAAGAATTGAAGGGTTTGCTGTTTGATGTCATCTCATGTAAAATGAACAGTAATTTAAGTGTGGACAGTGCTGCAAATAAAATAAATGAAATAGAAATTTAAAATCCATTAATCAAAGGAAGGACGTCAGCTTTTACACTGTAAAAAAATAAGGTAAATTCATCTTTGCACAAACCACTACACCATTACTTTTTCTCAGCGTTATAAACAAGTTCACAGAAGTTCAGACCTGATGCATAAATTATTGTGTTTGTGCCAATCTACTCCAAAACGTAACCCTTAAAAGGTGTTTTTGTCTTATCAGGCTAAATTTTGGACACACTCACCTGGAAAATCCAGAAAAAACATCTTATTTCAAGATATCACAAGCTTAAGACATGAACTGAGTTGCATTTATAGAGTGCAACAAATCTGTACATATTTGAGAGTGCGCATGATGGAGAGCTTGGTGACTGTCTAAGCTCAGTCTTCAGTGTTTAGCCCCTGCAGGATTGAGGTAAAGCTGTTTTTTTGGACAGTGATGAGGGTGTCCTTATTCTACCACTTCATATGGTGTATGCAAGCAAGGGGAAATACTGGCATCTCCAGGAAACACTTAATGACACTATCTGGGAAAAATGATATTTGCATCTCTGTCTGAATGTAATAAGCAGAAAAATATATGGGAACTCTTGTAGCATCTTACCATCTGACTAATGCGCTTATGAAAGTATTGCGCCATGGGCTGCAGACTGAAGACCTGGTTTTTGTTGGTCTGGGGTGCACAGGGACTCTATCTAGAGGACTCTTTCTGTGTTGGGAGTTAAACTGATGTCTGTTTTAGCTGGAAAAAATAATTACATCTTGACTGCCAAAAGTACGTTAGGGTCCTTGCATAGGAAAATATTTTGCCCCAAACAAACATATTACAGCTTATTTAAATATGTGCATTTAGAATTGATGTTAATTGCTTTTCAGCACTTTTTTGCAAGCATTTAACTTTATATGTGTACTTTGTGAATTGGAGTAACTTTTGTTAAATTTGCACAGTCTTAGCAAGTGCAAAAGACCAGTAATCTGAACCTTATGGCACAAAACAAACCCACATCTCAAACATGTTGACCGCTTCATTTAAAGTTGTCCAGTACCTGAAAAGGAAAGAGTTGAAAACAGTGGAAAAACTTCTCTTTGAAGCCTTATTGGTTTATTTGTGTGGAAGGAATCAGCATCAGAACTTTAAATAAAAGTCCTGCAGCTTCTAACCTTCAGTGGATGGAGATTTTAGAGTACATATCAGAAGAAAAGATGATTGGCTCCTGCTCTGTAGAGGTAAGACATGGGGGGATAGGACACAAGTTAAGCAGCGGGCCAAGCTGTGCGGGCGTTGCCTACCTGGTATGTGGAAATGCCGGGGAGCAGCCACGTATGTAGAAGTAGAGGAGGGGGATTTGCCGTCAGAGTAGGTGGATAAGCTCGGGGTACTTCGACCACTTTCACTACCTCCATTTGGGAAAAGGAGTCAGCAAGCAGGGAGGCAACAGGGAAGGGGTTTGAGGGGGGACAAGGGGTGATGGGGAGAGGGCAAAAAGGCAGCGTTAAGTTAGTCATGTTGAAATAGCAAAGAGCAAAAAGGAGGCAGCGACGTTTAAAACAATCTAGGTGACTTCATAACCCAGCCGTTTACTGTTTCCTCTGACCCAAGCCACTGTGCTGTTAAGTGATGAGACCCAACTTCAAAGTGACTAACGGTTGCTTTGTTTTCTCTTCTTTTCCTGGCAACATCCTCTATACCCCTCTTGAGAAGTCATGCCAGCTACCAAATCACCTCATACGGTTCCCCTTACTGCCGTGGACTGAGACCACCCATCAATCAAGGTAAATCACCTTCACAACTTTATTCTCATGTTTTATCTATCCCACCAAAACATGCCAAGAGAAAAGGTTCAAATGAAGACTCAACCTTAAATGTATACTTTTCTTTCATGGCTCTTATTCTTGTAAAAGTCTGAGGTCAAGTTTAGCACATTTACGCACAACACTGATCGTTAATGTGCCTTGACTTCTTGTCGAACAGATTGGGGGAATTGTAAAAACTCTAAAGCAATCTCTACATCAACATACATCTAGCCTTTTCCACACCTTTAGCTGACAATGGAAGCACCAATTTTTAGAAGCTAACTCATCCAATTCATGCTCAACCTGGCTCTGTTTGGTCGTCAAAGAATCTGGTATCTTTCTGGTCTACGTCAGGTTCCAGGACGGCTGAAACAAGTTTTTGCACTTAAGATAGTTTCATGCAGTTTTGACGCAGCCCTCTTTTAATTCCTACGCTGATGTCTATGCTACTTACACCTACAACATTGTACACCACATGATGACAACAGAAGGGTTATTGACCTAAAACACGTTTGACCCAAGACGTTCATTCTCATCACTTAACATCTCAAACAGACCTGCTACCCAATCAGGTCAAGGTCGGAGAGTTTTATTGTAAGACTGAGGGTGTAGCATGGGTCCTCTTTGGCTGACTGCACCCATATGTGTGCTGTGTGTCTGTAATCCCAACACACCCTATTGTGTTACATCACAGGCAGGCTAGGTGATGGAGTCACTGACACCCATAAAGCCAAAAGTGATAAACACTCTACATCCAGAGCTCTGTGAAAAAACTGAGATTTAGAGTCTGCATGAGAGAAAGAGAGAGAGAGAGAGAGAGAGAGAGAGAGAGAGTGTTAGCTGATTGAACACACACTCCTCTCCTCTCCTCTCCTCCCCACATGAGGGGAACCATCAGCAGCGATCTGGATGCAAGTGGATGAGATCACCGACACACACACAGCAGGTCTGTTAGTGCTGGTCTGAGTGATCTCCTACACATACGCACAATCACACACACATGCTCACTAACACACACGCACATACACCAGAGTGCTGTTAGTGCAGCTCTAAATGTAGGGCAGATCCTCCTCACAAACATCTGGAGGAGGTGCCAGCAGACTGCAAAGTTTAGGGAGGAGGTGGGTCATAATTCATGTGAGCAGATTACACATCACATTCAAGGTCGGTGCCATTTCTTAATCAGAAACTGCTGACACATGAGCAAGATACAAAGAGGATTCGGTATCATTAGCAAGGATTAAGGGATAAAAGTGCCTCAGTCATTCTTGCGAGATCCTCAGTCTTGTTGCTTCACTTTTACAGAAACTTGAGAGCTCAGTTAAGCGGGTGGCTGCTGCATGAAAACAAATCGCCTTCTTTCACGGCATGTTAGGAGCAGATAGGGCCTGAGAGGGAGCAGCAGTGCACTCTGTTACATGCCACTGCAACTGGCAAACTGGCTTTGAATTACACCTCGTCACTCAGGCTGGTTCATTCCTCAGCTCCACGTCTTTTCATTTATCTGCTCCAGTGAGGAGAGCTTTACTCTCAGCCTCTCCACCCTGTCAGGGAAAAACCACCAACAAACCCTGGCCCGTGTGTTCGTGACTTTATGTGCAAATGTTGGAGTGGAAACCCCGTCTGTTTTCCTCCTCCTCTTATCACACAAAGTCCAAGTTAGCACATGTTGGACTAACTACAGTCCTGCTGCAAAGGGCCCAGTACCATATAAATGACCATGCAAGGTTTCTACATGTGTAAAGTGGCCCTGCATGTAGAAACCTCTATATGACAAGAACTTTCTTTAGATCAAGAAATGGACCTGATAATCCTTTGTGGATTCTTTATTTACTCATGTCTTAATACCACCTTTAACATTTCAGCTCCTCTTCTGTTGGACTAAAACATTATGCCTATATGACAGAAAGTATGAACGTGACTTGGGGTCAGCAGCCTTATTGATCCAACTGGGTAACCAATGTTGGAAAAACTGGACACCAGTTTTTTCGGGGTGTAAAATAAGTTCACAGGAACTTCATCATAACATTAAATCTGTAAATGTAGGACCACACTTGGTCTTTTAGGCTGATACAAAACATTATTGGAAGATAAATAAAATTTGGAATTGATATGCAGTGACAGTAAAATTAAGCTCTTTTTTTTTCCAAATGTGGTATACACACCATCACAAGATTTGCCTAAATGTACAGTCAACACCATGTACAAGAGTCAACAGTTATACTGAGCCGTTAAGACAAAGTGGTTGGCAGGACATAAAGTGGGACAAAGTGGTCCAAGAAAATAGACCGCCAAGGATAGACACACAGCTGGAGAAGGCAAAGGGGGTCCACTTTTTAATATTCTATTTTATCATCTATCTGCATGGTAAAAATAAAGATGTACGACAGGGCCTTTGGGAAGGGAGTTTTTCTCTTAGATTAATGTATTTGTTGACGATGCAGTAATTTATTCAAGCCCAATTGTAAATAATAATAATTTAAAAAAAATGAACTTCTGATTTACATCAAGAGTAAAAAGAGGTTAACACAAAAGGGATCAGATCTGAAACAGTACAATAAAGAGGAGATCATTCCATAAAAGCAGGCAAACAATAAGTCAACAGTCCAAACGAACAAGCACACAAATGAAACCACTTCTGACCTTCCTCTGAAAACTACATCGAATATATCCAGGTCACACTCAGGCCCAAATCAAGTTCAACCATGCACCACACAACAATGTACAGAAACAACTGAACAGGGCAAGCAGAATGGGAACTCTAAGTGGTCCTGAGATCGTACCCTGATGCACCCCATGAAACAACAGCACGATACCGGACAACAACATCACAAAACCTGCTGACCATTCCACCAGGGGGAGGGAGGGGGGATAACACAGAGAAAAAGAAAGGCTTCCAGTTTTTACCGTTAGGAGGAGGTAAACTGAGATGGAGGGAGGTCCTAGGTTTGGGGTCAGGTAGGGGGTCCTGTTTGAACCCTGAAGGGTGAGGGAGATTATGGGGGTGGGGAAAAGATGGAGCAAAGGGAGGTAGTTGGATAAGCCTTCCAGCAGGGGTTAAATCATACTAAGGGAACGTGCACAGAACTGGTTTGTGATGTTGATTTCTGGAAGGGAGGTATCGTGAAAAACATGAGCAGTTTCATGGTTTCAAAAATTCACAAAATAAACCTTCATGAGTGATCAAGCAGGGGTCTCGGACCCAGATGCAGAGCAAACCACATCAGATGTTCCTTTTTTTTCTGTAGACCACATTCACATGGCAGCCATTTTTCAGTGACTTCGCACCAAGGTTGGTGAGACTCTGCCAAGGGTACGCCATTAGATTCAAGAAAGACAGCAGCTGGACAGAAGTGTTTATTGATCTGTCGAGGGTCAGACCACCACCCTCTGCCCCGACAGTGCTGTAAATATTATATCCAGCCATAAAATAACATGACATGACATGATCCAGACTTTTATCACGTATGTCTTTTTTACTTACGGGGGGTAGCACAGAGTCTTCATGTGTTCATGACTTAATAAGGCCTACAGAAAAGCAGGTGGAAAAGATAGCAGAGCCTGCCCATCCTTGGTATAGCATCACTCGAAAATGTCTGCAGTGTAAATATGGTCCTTTGGGTTCATTGATCCACAGTGAAGCTAAAAACCTTGAGACTCATTCTGTGAATTTCCACCACATGGTTAATTTGGTGCTTGTTCAAACCCCATGCTGAGTGAAGTCAGTTTAACACTTGTATCACAGCACTCCATTCTTTAGGACTGGCAGCCTCAGTCATACACAGATCGGACGGGCTGCTTGCTGTTGCTGGGTAACCTTTCTGTGACACTTTTTGTCTTTTAATCTCAAACCAAGGGTTGTATGTTTATGTTCGACCCATGGTGTATAAATATTAATTCTCTGATTGTTCACTAAAGCAATGATTCCAGCAGGTCGCCCATGCTCTGTATCTGACCAGCTCTCAGCCTCGGTGTGCTCTGATACCTCTGAAGTATGGGATGTAGTTGTGCTGCTGCAGCATAGCCAGAGTGGTGGGATTTAACTGGTAAGACAAACTCGCACTGCCACCTCCTGGTAGAGGCGAGAGCTTGCCACTACCACCACCTCCACCACCGCTTCCTTCAGCCCCTCCAGGATAGCACGGAGGTAGGGGGGATGAGTCCCTAGCCCAGGTTGAGGGGTACTTAATGGCACCCATGAGATTTGGAGGCAAAGGGAGGGAATTGGAGTCACGGGCCTGGATGATGACTCGACCACCAAGGTTTACATCTGGGCCTGAGTGTCCAATTAGATCATAGGAAACAAGTTGAGATTCAGTGGGCGGTAAGTTTCCCTGCAACAATGAAATTTTCTCTGTACTGGAGAATTCAATGGGAATAAAGCGGCAGCTCCTCTGATAGAAGATTAAATGTTTGATCCAAAAACCTGACTGTAAGTAAAATCAAATGTCATTATTCGGGAAGCACCAGTGAAAACAATCTTCAAGGATAAGTGAAATAATACTATGAAGAGATCATTAGACTACAGTAGGTGGTAAAACCCAGGCAGCTTTTCAGCTCATTCAACTGGTTTAAGATGGATTATTTAAGGTTTCAATGAAGCAACCAAAAAGCACTGGGCTCAGTTTCTGGTTTTGGATGTGGATAAGATGAAAAATTCTCCCACCTATAAGAAATGATGAAGCATATGGGATATTTGAACAGGCATTCAACCCAGAAGACCAACTAGATTTTCTTGAAAAAGAGTAATACTTCACAGAAATAAAGAGAAACACTTAGACTTAAGCAACAACAACAGACAGATTTCAGCTTTTTAAACGTGTGCATTTTAGACTGCTACCTGGTCGGCTGTAGTTCTGGGGGGAGCGGGATGGTGTGTAGCGTCCGTAGCCCCCAAGGGAACTGTTGGAGCTGGGACTGGAGGGCCTCCGCTGACGGGGTGACTTCTCTCCATCACCCTGGATGCACAAACACATAATAAAAATCACAGTCAGAGTTAATTTCTCACCTGAGTTTAAACTGGAGATGGCGCAAAATAATATCAGATTTAGCTGCATCCAGTATTGATGTCGATTCGACATTTTATACATGGACTTCTTCATATTTCTTCATCATGTGTAAGTATGTTATCCTCAAATTAAACAAAACAAACACTGCATTTGTCAGAATAATCATTATGACCTCTAAATCCTGGTTTAAGACCACCGTGAAGAGGTGGTGCAGTAAATGGTGCATTTATTTAATTCCCAAATAAAGACACTGCAACAAACTGCTTTACAATGTTAATGTGGAAAAAAAAACCAGTTTGAAATTAAAAAAATAATGGAAATCCATACATGCAATTAGAAATATGACTAACCATGATCAAACATTAAAATTCTGTGATTTCATGAATTTAAATCACTTCATCATTTGACAGTTTGAGAAACCCCCAGCCAGCAGGAGATTTTTGCTGAAATAACTGGACTAAAACTGCACACCACACCTTTAAATCTCACACCACTCAATACAACTCCTCTGTGCCTACATGTCCACACCACACAAAACCACACAATAACACACAGCAGAGCACAGATGGAGAGTGTCTGAAATCCACTCTGACACATCATGCATCACATTACCTCAGTAGGAGTAGGAGAAAGCAGCTGGGGGGACTGCAAATGAAGAGAGGGGGGGAAAGCTTATGATTAGGACGAACTCATACATGAGCTGATATGAGTTCACCATCCAACCGTGAGAGAGAGAGGATTCGGTGTCAGTGAGTCATGACGTCCACTGTGAGGACAGTTCTGATGAATGCATGAGCTGAATGAAGTGGATCCAAAGTCAAACACTGGATCGCAGACTCAGGGGGTGGTGAGGCAGTGACTGCGCTACAGAGGAATGGCTGTGACTCTTAAAGAGGAGCAAACGCTGCAACAATGAAGGATAATCACTGACTTTACTTAAACAAAAATAAGGGGACGTGATGGAGAGAAAGCATGCTGGGTAACAAAGAAACAAGGGCAAGAAGCTGTGTAGTCCTGTGTTTTACCAGTAGATGGAGCTAAGACTTCAAGAAAATTAAAACCTTGAGAAATGATCATGTAAGTGCAGTATTGAGCCCAATAAGGGGTCATTGCCATTTGTTAATGAGAGCTGACACCATTTAATACCAATAGGTGGTGCCATTACTGTGACAAAACAAATGTATGTAGATGAGTTCAGGTTGGGAGCATTTAAGCAAATCAGACAATGCATGTGAAAGTTCGCACCATGTCATTCCACAGTGGGGTGCTATGACTGTAGTTGAGGAATGAGCACTTTGATTGGTTCAGGGGTGGACCCTCATCATGTGTATGAATGATTAAACAGACTGGACATTAAATGAAGGACTTTCAGTGACTTCCTGTTAAGTGGCACGACACCAAAATACGAGGCCACACCCACTGATGTGTACTAGCGATTTATAGAGTTTCTATTGGATATCAGATTTTTTGAGGGGCCAAATGAGTGTGAAGTTGATGATTTTTGGAGCATGTTAAGGTCTCTGAATGTGTGATCATTCAGGCAATGGAACGAAAGAATGATGATCTCAAGGGTTCCAAAAGAGACCTCCAATTAGTGGTTGATTTGCGGTCATAGTGCATGGTGCTAAAGTAATGTACTTATTAGTCCTTTACATCAAAAATCAGGACCCAGGTTAAGAAATACAGGATGGAAGGGGCAGAACTTGAGCAGATTTACCGTCTTGATGTCCATCACTGGATGAGAGAGATAAATAATAAAGAGTAATAAAGAGAACGAAGGTCAAAAACAAAGGGCTCGTGTAGCCTACCTCTCCATAGTGTCTCTCCTCAGACGGGTAGCTGACGTACGGAGAGTAGGACAGCATGTCAGGTCTGTCTATGTTGTAGATGGCCTTGGTTTTTGGAAGAGCCGCCAGGTCCTTGTAGTCCAGCATCTCCTCCCCAAGTTTGGCCTGTAAGCAGAGAGACGAATCAAACAGTTACTGCAGAACAAGAGAAGGAAAAAAAAGAGCTACTGCTGCCCCCTGGAGCAGTGAAGAGGTGGTGCAGTCTTACATAGATGACTCTGCTCGGAGAACCTGAAGCACTGGAAGCTGGGACTGAGGTGATGCTCTCAGATGAGGTCCTAGTCACCTGAAACACACACAACATAAACCCCCCAAAACAGTCATGAGTAAATATATATATTACAGAGAGAGATTTTAGATCATTCATACGAGCTCATGCTGGATAAAGTTTATTTGTAACTTTGTGCCTGATGTTTTGGTGATACCCTCAAATATGTGATTTTGGCTACAACAGAATTAAAAAAACATATTTCATTTCCTACAAGTCACTGGTAGTAGTTGAGTCACCAAACCTTAAGTCTGAGTCAAGAAGAATCAAGAAGAAAACTTTTATATTTGACTTTGTGATTGTAGAAAATATCCCCTCCTACTCTCTGTTGCTTCTTTTCATTCACCCAAACTAATGTACATGTAAATTTTAATGACTACGCTAAGCATTATTATGCCAAGTCAAACTAGTTTAGGTGCAATTAGTGAAGCCGTGCTGAACACTGGCGATTAGCACCAACCAGAGTTAGCAGGTACTAAAGCACATTCATTTCTACTCGCATGTCAGAGCTTCTTCAAACATGCAGCAGCTGATAAAACACAGCATCAGTAACTGACCAATCAGAGTCTCTACAGGAGGTGGCGTCTAAGCATGGCTGCTGCTAAACAGCTGCACAGTGTCTACGGTTATGATCAACCCATGCGGTAGAGGGCTGTGAGGAGGTTTGGTGAGGTCGGGGGTGCAGGGGCGTTCAGGAGCACCAACCTGTTGCTCAGGGACGTCATTGAGCTGTATCCGGACCTGCTTCTGGGAAGGAGATGGGTTATGATGAGGAATGAGGAGGGAGAACGAGGAAGGGCTGACTCTTGATGTAAAGCTGCAGGGCTGCAGATGAAGTGTTAACTCTGGTGTTTTGTTTACAGCTGATGATTACAGCCCTCTTTTGTTTAGTCTGTCTACAGCTGTATGATTAAGAAGCCTTAAAATCACCCTAACACACTCTGGGGTGTATTCTGGATCTATTTGGGTCCTAATTGTGAGATTTGCACCATCAAAGCCCAGAGCCTCTTTTCTTTTTCAATTAATATTTCAAGATCTTTTCCACCCACCTTACTCTTCTCCTCCTGCTTGGCTGCTTGCCTGCATGGAGGATGCCAGATAGCAGATCCTGCAGACACAGAGGCCAAAACAAAACCAGGGAGAGTCAGAGATCCAACAATTTGCATGCACATTCACACTTCTATTTTTACAGGGACTCATCAGACCGGCGTCTGCTAACAGGGCTTGCAAATGCGGTGATGCCAAACTGTCTGTCATCTGTCCCCACTGTCTTCTCTCAGAGCTTTAAACACATGTAGTGAAGCATCAAACTAGTAACACTGCAGATCATACACAGAACGTTATTACCGTCCTTTTTGTCAAACTTCTCACACATCACTTTTTCTGGTCACAGCTGATGTGGTGCATGTGCTTGTAAGCTAAGGGAGTAGGCTGTACTTTAGCGAAAAACTTGCATGCATTAGTATTGTAATACTTGAGTAATGACAACAGTATGTCGAGTATTTGTCCCTATCCCTACAACTTAGCCTAGGGCTGGGCGATATGGCCTAAAATCAGTATCACAATATATTGATCAGTTCACCTTGATAACAATAAATGGACGATAACTACTCCACAAGCTGCTCATCCCCTCTTACATTAACTTCGTCTACTTCAGCGGCCGCTCCAGCCACTTTTGAACTGTCCTCCACTCCTCACCTGTCTTTCCCTCTTTGCTACTGACTGGATGGGGTGGGGTCATGTCTCTGACGTAGGACAGCGTCTTAAAGGGACATGAGACCATAGCCTACCTACACACATCCAAAACCAACTTCTTCTTTATTTATTTTTTTGACACCAAATATACCGATATGGGCAAAATGACGAGGGTTACTGTTGTAAATTTTGGTATCTGTGCATTTTTGGTTTATCACCCAGCCCTACCTTAGCCTACAAACTGCACCATTTAAATCATACACAGTGTTTGTTTATACTCTATTTTTTACCTGCTGCACCAGATGTTAGCTTGACCATTCTTTTGTCTAACCTTTTGCATTTTTTTTTTGTTGTGTTTTATTTTTTTTTATTTTTTCGAGCCATTTTAACTTTATTGAAAGGATGGTTGAGACAGGAGGTCAAAGCTAATGCAACACAGACTAAGCCTCTGTATATCAGGTGCCTGTTTTGTGCAGTTTAATTGCTATACACCACAAATAGATTTTAAAACAAATGCATATGACAATCTAAAACCACCTTCACACTTCTTTCCAACAGATTGTCATAGTTTCACAAAATTGTTGCAGATGGAGTGACAAGCAGCAGCTCAATCAGAGCAGAAGAAAATCCAGCTCATGAGTCGAAGCACCAGCTGCTCCTTTATGTTGCTGCTGCTGCAGCAGCAGTAAATAATACCTCCATGATTGTGGCAGAGTGACTCAGGCACAAGTGTGCATGATTCATCCACCAGTCTGCTCACCCAGTTCATTAGTAATGAAGACATCAACCATGCTTTTGGTTTGTGGTGCAGTGAGCATCACAGCAGGCTTGTAAAGAGCAGCAAAGACAAAGAGATGACTGCACTCTGGTTCTTTTTACTCTCCGACCATAAAGGGTCAGGTGTTTCGGGGGGGTACATTTGTCATAGATAGACAAAAACAGCTGTAGTCCCCTCCCTGGGATCTGAGATTGACACATTTAAAGATACTACACTGCAAACTTTACGGTTTACCATAAACAGCCTTTACCTTGCAAGTACATCTCCTCTCCCTCTGCAAACATCTGCTCACAGCGGGCACAGCGGGCACATGTGGGGTGGTAGTGCTTCTCTCCAGCCTGGTGAAAATTAAACAAAGATCAATCAGGATACTGTGGAAATCAGTGTTTATTTTGTTCTCCTAATGGGAATCCTTCAAATTTCCTTTAAGCTTTTCAGTGGTGCATCACAAAAAAAAGCTGTAAAAGTACAGGACGCCATCGTTTACAGGATTAATCTGTAACTGTTTCAGTCCTTGGGACACTCTGAAGTATGTTTCTAAGGCAAATCCTCATAAGCTTATTAAAATGCTGCAACAACAAGAACTACAAATCTCAGGAGTGCTGCTTTGCTAACAGTAATATAGCCCAATTAGCATGACTTGATTTAAAAGCCACCTGTTACAAATAAACACAAAAAATATGGGTGTGTTTTATCATCCAACCACAAGATGGCGCACCTGTGCTGCGTAGGAGGCTCTGCTTCAAACTCAGTTCACAGCTGATTTAAGGGAGAGATTGATCAGTGTGCCTCACTACTCAGATCATAAAAATACAAATTCCAGTGTCTTACTGCTTTCTGCTGTTGTTGTGATGAAAATGACCTCCAACACTGCGCTTTTACACGGCCCATGTTACTTTAACAACTCCTGGATGGCTCTGCTGACCATTCATTGGTTATATGCACTTTGTTTTAAATGACATTAAAATGTCACTTTGAGTTTAAGCTGACACTTTTGAGCTAATCAGACTGACCTCTGACCTGTGGGTGTACCTCCCTCTGAGTCCTGGTTACAGACTACACTGACAAATCAGAGCAGCATGTGGTTGAGTAACACATCTTAAAATTCACACCATGAAGTGGATTACATTAAATCAAAATGCTGCTAAGAGTTGCGTTGTATTGCTAGTATGGTCTCAAAAACAGTTTTTAATGCAAACTAAATGAGGTCTTTGCTGCTGGTCTACCTGCCTTAGTTTTCAGGTATGTACACAAAAAGAGAGGTAGGTTTGCTCTTCCTGCCTCCAGGTCTGGCCTTATATAAATCTCTTTGCCGGTAGATGCTTTGTTTAAAAACATTTGAAATAAAGTGATTATTAAGGATTATAAAATGATCATTTTAGTGACCCCTGTTATAAATTTTCATATTTCATGTTTCTGTAAGTTTAATACCTCGCCTGCCAAGAAAGCACTTCAAGGTTACAAACATGTGATCTGTGCAAAAACAGAGAAAGGCCTGCAGGAGAAGATTTTCAGCCCTGCATTAGGCTGTTTTACCAGCATAACAAATTGAACCAGCAAATTTTGCTCCAAAAATGACTCTCCCCTGATCCACTCTTTATTTAAACAAGTCATTTAGTCAGTTTGGTAAGTCAAACACCATTCTGCTCTCATAGAGAAGGTCTGATCAACACCAGTGCTGTATTATGTTTGGCTTCATTGAGATCTAGTTATATTATCTCACCCTGCTGGCAGATTTACTTGTTTTAGCGCGTGCATGATTTATGGACTTAATAATAAACTAAACAAATCAAGATGGATTCTTTCTGCAATGAAGTCGTACTTTTCCTCTTCTTGCAAAACAGACATCTGGTGTCTCCTGATCTCTGCCTCCCAGAGGCATCCCATCCTGCTTCAGCAGCGGCCTGATTAGGTTGAACTCCTCAGAGGTCTCTCCACTTTGCTGCGTCATTTCAACATGGAGAGAAACCAGAAAACAGGACGTAGACACCCTGTTTCTTGGATAACATCATGCTGGAAAGAATCAGGAGCAGATGGAGGGAGGAGGAAACTGGGGATATGAAGAACGAAGCAAACATGAGCAGGAAGACTTTAAGTCCAGGTGTTATCAAGAGAAAAAAGACCATCAGGTACCTCAAAATGGAAGCACGTTTCAGACACCGTGCCAAAAGCTTATACCTGACCCAAGCTGAAACAGATAACAGGACAGAGACCCAGAGAAAGGGAAGGCGACTTCGAAACATGGTGGCCAAAAGATAAAAGACCGGGGCTGGACTGAGATTCAAACATGGAAGGCCTGGGAGTCCCGGAAAGGAGATAGCACCACAATCAAATCCTTCCTTTGTCCGAATCCAAGGCTGTGTGAGGGGAAAATTATCATATTCAATGTCCTGCAGGACTGATAAGTAAAGGAAGAGGAGGGGCGGATTGAAAGCTGGTGATTGGAGGGTTTACTTTGGAACAGGGCTGCAGGGTTGAGGTTTGAGGCTGAGACTCCTGCAGAGAGTCCAAACAGACGTGGTGAAGAGTTCAGAGAAATGAAGACAGCTGAGTGGTTAGAGGCCAGGTGAGGCTGCAAAGAGCTGCCTCTTCTACCTCCAGCAACCATCTGCTTTTTCAAGTATCATTCCCCGATGCTTTGTTGATTGCTTTATCTCATTGTCACAAGAATGAGCCACATGAGAGACTGAACAAGTTAGAAGACTGAAACAGGACTGGTGAGCTTTGCATTCAAGCACAATAGAGAAAAAAGTGATTGCTTACATGCCTGTCTTTTATAAGTTTAGGAGTACCTTCATCTACCTCTGTTTAATCCAATTTTTTGAGTCTTGATACATGCCAACATAAAATCAAATCTCCAAAAAGCTCTGGCTTTGCAGCACAATCCCTGTTGTACAGGACTAACTCACATCCAAAGCTTTAAAAAAGGCTCTAAAAACTCACTCCAGGGTATTTCAGTGTCTTCATGATACCAATTAATCGTGCCGAGTCATTTTCTGACAGTGCTGTAAAATGACACTGTTTGGCAATCATATTTTGACCTATATATCAGTCTGATTTATTACTTATTGAGAGTCCTATAAAAAAACGTATAAAAAGTAAGATTTTTCCACAGTGTGTTGTTAAAACTTCGTCTGACTTTGGCCTTCTAGTAATAAAAACTCAAGTAGAGAAATGACCAACCTCGTCAGCGATAATCTCATTGGCTCGTCTTGTCGGTCACACAGAGAAATGAATTTAAGTCTGTTCCATCAGATTTCTCATGACAGCCTCAAAGTTAATAAAAAATACATTAAGCTGCTGCTAAAACTGAGCACTGATAGTGATATGTTGATATTAAGAGCTGGCCATTGTGTGTCATCCTCTTAGCCACCAGCACATTGTCATGACAAGCCATAGCACTCACCAAAGTGTGTCGCAGGCCTTTATCTTGCTGATGACTGCAGTGTGGTATGATAAGTACAAAAATGATTAACTAAATGATCACTATTAAGAGACACAGAGATGCTCTATGATAAAAGTGCCCTAAAATCAAAACTGTGGGCACTGCAAGCACAAAAATGCTGCCAGTGTAAACAGGCCCTAATAAATAAAATATGTAACTGACAGTGGGTAATAAAGTTATTTTCATTATTATGATTTTGAAACACTGTACTCTTGTATTAACACTGAAGTATTAATACAAGAGAAACTGTCTGTGATTGTCAGGGACATTTAAAAACCTTTATCATGTTTAAAAGTCAGTGTGTCTTCCTGGTCAAGCCAGATGCAAACAAGGCTTTGCTTTGTAGATTGAAACAAACTTCAAAAATTCAGAAACTCTTTTCATACTCTGTGTGAATGAAATGGTACAAAGGGCCTGACAACAACTAAAAAAGACATTACACCACCTATTCACTATTTGAATGGCAGGTCATTTCTGTGTAGAGCAATAAATAAACCCAAGAATGAGATGAGATAACAGCACCAGTTTCATTTTAGCCTCCTCCACTGATGCCAGCTTGTTATTGACTCAATACATTCCCACAAGGCCGACACTTTGATCTAAACCAAATGTCATGACATTTTGAATGCTTGGTCTCCCTGTCACTGTTTCAAAGAGCAGCAAAGCACAGGTGGAGTGGCTGCGGATGGCGTCTAAACTAATACACAGTGACAGCTCAGTAGAGTGGCATTTGATTTAATAATGAAAAAAGATGCCAAAGAGCTTGGTCTTTATTTATAGAGCATGTCACCATCTCACGGGGGATTTACACCATAGAAAGTTTGTTTTAATGCTTTTATTAGTTTGGAAGTAATATGATCTCCAATATCATAAAACACTGAATGGGAGTTTGAATATTTTTAAACTTGGCCCCTAATTTTAGATTGCAGATTGCATTGGGAGAAGTTGGGAAATGGTCTGCAAGTACCACTTTGCAACCCTCAGGCACAAAGCATTCTCTAAAGGTTTGTCTTCAAATTTCTTCCCGCTACTTAAAACAACAAAAGATAGTTTTTTGATAAAGTTAGTTGCATTCCAGTGAGACCAGTTTGGTCTAACAGATCAGAAATCTGTATGCAAACAGTTATATTTCATCATGTGGCTTTATTCTTTATAAAGACCCCCTGGACAGGGTAGACCAGGTGTCTTTAGGAATACATATAACATATCCCAAACATCCCCTCTCATATATACATAAAAAAGTCAAGGCAGGGAGAGCAGCAGCAAAGACAAAACAGAACAGGAAGTACACGACACTTGTTAAACCATGAAAAGCATAAAAGATGAGTTAGGGTAGGGACGGGTTGCAAAGGAAGCAGGAATAGTAGAGCTCAGCATAGTGGCCTGTCTAAACTAGCACTGAAGTAGACTGTTACTTAACTTTTCTAAAGCTACCAGACTACATTAATAAAATCAGTGACATTGATCTTACAAATTTAGAGGTTTCTAGTCTAACATTGTGCTGGGAGGTTAGTTTTTGGTGTTGTTGTTCCGATTAGTACTGACAATAACCACCAAAATGACACCCATAACAATGAAAATGAATATTAGTATAATAATCAGGCACATTTGCCCCAAGAGATTACGTTCCAGTTGTTGCAGCACTTTTCATAGCTGCACGCTAAATGGCGGACAGGTTCAAAATGACCTGAATTACCCTTTAATTAACCCCTGGTCTAAACCTTTCGTCTTGTGTTTAAGAGTATGAGGTAATGAAAGGAGAACTGAAGTATGGAAAATCTGGCCTCGAGCAAACAAACACAAAACCACTCAGCCTCTCCCTGCTCCACAAACACAAACATAAAACCAAAACCCACACACTGAACAGGTTCAGGTGCTTTTAGTCCCACTAGACTGACTTCAGCTTGAAAAACTACAGGACCAAATAATCAAAGTATACACCCAGTGGCTTCATACAAAACGGTTTGTAATATGCTCTCGTCTGATTCTTTCCCCGTTGCCCTCCTCACTCTGGAACCTGATAGGTGTTTATAAGAGGGGAGAATGTGAGAGGCGTCATGCGATGAAAGAAAAGAGAGAAAGTAAAAGAGAGAGGGATTATTGTTGGTCTCAATAATGCTGCTCTGTTGTTCTGAGGTCACAGCGGTAGCTTCCAAGACCCCTTTTCTAAAAGCTTTCTTCCTCCTTCTCTCATCCCTCTCTATGCCCTGGGAGAGTATCCCATGTCTCATCCCTCCATCCCTGCAGAACAACAGGCTGCTTCACTCCAGACACATTCTTCTGCTCTAGACCTCTACCTGCCTCTGTAACAAACCTTTCAGCTGCTCATTCTCCAAGATTATTGTGTTTTTTTTTCCTTCTGCAAGCTGGAATGTGTGTTCTGCTTCAAAACATATCTTATGATATTACAGTAAGAGCCCTAAATGGGCAACCGCCTTCACTTCTTAGAGATCTCACAGTACTCCATTACCGTCTGGAACATTACCTATCAAGACTGCAGGCCTGACTCTCACACATTCAGTGTGGTATAAGTGTTATTGCAATGTATTATATTGTTTCAACTTCAATCAATCCCACCAAATCACAGTGTATTGTAGCATATGACAACGTGTAGTTACACATATCATATTGTATCATATCAATGCCGGGCTAAATCCTATTATACATTTTCAATCGTGTCATATTATATCATAATATGCAGTACTAAATCCTATTGTATCGTATTCATTTGTATCATATTGTATTGTAACATATTCAATCACATCCTATCACAGTGTACTGAAACGTATTGTATCGAATGTAATCATAATGTATCATACTGTATTATATTGTACAGGGCTCAATTGCACCATACTTACATTGAATCATATCGCGTTGATAGCATGATTTTATATTCTATCTCTTCATGTCATATTGTAACATACTGAACTGTATATTGTATATGTTATATATAACATATTGCATCGTTCCCTATTAAATTATATCCCATTGTAACGTACTCAGTTGTACTAATTTGTATTGTATCATACACTGATTTGTATTGTACTGTATTGAATCCTATTGTAATATAATGTACCATACTGAATTGTATCATATGGGTTTGTATTGAATCTAGCTGAACTGAATTGAATGTATTGTATTGTATACTGTTACATCATGTCATGTAGTTTTATGAACTTTATTTATATTTTGGGAAAACTGCCAAAACCAAATTACCCTTTAGGGAAAATAAAGGTGTATGAACCTTATATATCATACCATACAGAGTCATAATGTATCATTTCAATGTTATATCATATGATTGTGAAGCCCAAGAATATTAGATTAGATTACATAAAATTAGATTAGATGGTGCATTGTACACCAACAACAACAGCGAGTTGATGCTTCATACTCTTCATATCTAATGACATGTTTGACACATGCAAAGACCAGGAATCAGTGATATTAGAACAAGGAGTGGTGCAGCTCTGTTTGAGAGTAACGAAGAACATTTTTTTTTTTTTTTTTTTTGACAAAAAAATTTCCCCCATGGGGGATCAATAAAGGAATATTCTATTCTATTCTATTCTAACATTCAACCTTCCAAAAGGGTGAGGGGAGGGAAAGGAACAAGGAAAGGTAACATGTGAGAGAGCAGCAGAGAGTGAGGTCAAAGCTATTAGCCCACAGCCAAAAGAGAGAGATTGTGCTGAATATCTGCAGATCCTGGCAGTCTGGTTATTCTCTGTAGGGCAGCACACGGCTGGCTGCAGAGGGATTAATCTCATTTTAGTTTTGATGAGTCTAAAAACTCCAAAAAAGTTACACATGATTAGAAGCTGAATCAGCATCTGTTCAGACACCATTTCCTAGAGGCCTTTGTAATGTAGCACTTGAGGTGAGTTTCATAAAAGTTTGATGAAGGTTTTGCAGAAAGAGGGTCAAGATTTGGAAAATAACAGCTCAGAGTGCAGCTACAAAAAACAACAAGATTACCTCCAGGACTTTTCCAGTGATGTACTTCTTGCAGCTCTCACACTGGATGCCAAACATGGCGTGATAGTCCATCTCACAGTAGGGGATCCCATCCCTGTACAGACGACAGAGGGTGAGTCAGCAGGTTAGAGGCAGAAGAGAAGCTTGTGAAAAGAACTTGAGATACACTTGAGGGACGCGTCATGATTCTCTGTGTGGTTAATAACATAACATTTTTGAGGGTGACAGACGCTGAACTGGACAGAAACAGTGTGCTGATCATTCCTGGGTTTTGTGTTTATGTGGCTGTCAGCTCTGAGCTGTCCAATCCTGTGAAAGTTAAGAAATTCTCTCCAAATATGTCTGTGAATAAGCTGAATAAGCTAACCAATTTAGTTGATGCCTAAAAGAAAATCATTTTGGTTTTGGACACCGAAAGGTAAAGATTTGGGGTTTGAGGATCTCAAGTTTCAATCCGATTGGTAATACAAACATTTATGGATCATCTGATAACTCCTATAGAAGCAGAGCCACTCTTCATGGCGACACTGTGCTTCTAAATTCATCCTGACTCACTTGCTGATGTACTCGGCGTTGAGCACTTTGTTGCAGACTTTGCACTTGAAGCAGCCCAGGTGCCAGTGTTTTTCCAGCGCTACCAGAGACTGTTCGTTCTTAAACTCCTTCCCACAGCCGCAGCAGTCTGCAGAAAACCAACACATGAATATAAAATATGAAAACCATCCCCTCTGCAGCACCTCGATATGATTTAGCAAAAGACAAAAAAGAGCATTTGTTTCACTGAAAGTGGACTTGAGACAATTTAAAAGAGTGCCAGTTTAAGGTTGGAGGCAGGGAATATAATGAGCAGAGCAACAAATCATAGTAAGCAGGATGTAGGTTTCGTGATTGATGTTCCAGTCCGACATAAAGAAAGTACTGACTGTGCACAGCCTGTATGGGTGCGGGGCTGTTGGCAGGGAGAGGCTGGGTACACTGTTGGCAGATACACTCCTTCCCGTTAAATGTCACTCTGTCGCCAGCTGGAAACGGCTGTCTGCAAACAAACAAAGGAAAAGATACAACATCAAATAGAAGAAAATGACTATTGTTTGTGCATCCAAAAGCTCACAAATCTGTTGTTTGTCTCCAAAAATTTGGAACATGATGGGATGGATCTGTTTTTTTGTGGCTTAGCAGCTGTCATAGCAGACAGGTCAGACAGATTCTTACTATTATTAATTACAAAGGAGGAAAGTTGCATATCTATCGAGTGTCTGATGGGACCAGGAGTCTAAATGACAAACTGCAGCCTACGGAAAAAAGGGCTAAAGACAGGGCGGCAAATTTAAAATGAAAATCATTACTCTGCCATATTAAACACAAGAACAAATATCAAATAATTGAGAAACTCAGTTGAAGAGACATCAACCAAATTGAAGAAAACAGATTCAAAGTGACCACAACCTGCAACACGGTGTGGACTTTAGCTGACTTACAGGACTGGTTGGAGAAGAAGAAAATGCCAATATCTTTGTTTGGGTTAACTTATAAATAAAAAGGCCAAAACCTCATCGAAACACTGGTTCTTGGTGAACCACGTGATCTAGATCACTAAAACAGAGCGACACCTGTTTTAGGCATTAACCCTGCATTAACACGGTAAGACCACAGACGATATATACTATGGACAACTTGGTTCCGCCTTCTGACAGTATACTGATTTGAAGCTGAAAAGCTCCCGGTATTACCTCAATTTTTTCCCACTTCCTGAAGCCAACATTGCGCAGTAGTATTGTATGCACTCCACCATTTGCACAGTAGCATTGTACGTATTCGGCGGGACAGTCGCAGAGAGTAGCTGTAATGACGTTGGGCTCAAACAGTGTATCCCCTGGGTGAGCTACGCAATCTTCATACACCCTTAGATTGTACCAAGTGTCAATCATAGAAAACATTAATAACTTAATAACTTTTAAAAATGGAGCTGTACAGAAAAAGAGGAGTTGAGCAAAAACCAGTCTTACAGTAACTACATGTCAACATCACGACCAGGGGGGAAAAAATTTATATTCTGTGTAATTAATGTCTAAAGTTTGTCCACAACTCCACAGGGATTGCTGGAGGAGGCGGGATTTCGGACCTGTACTGCAGCCCATCACCAGAGGGTGCTGTTCTCTCTGTGGCTTCACTCAGCGAGGAGGCGGACGGCATCCATTCTGCCTCCATTACTGCCTTTGTAGAGTTGAAGCAAAGTGTGGAGCTTTATGAATAAAAGGTGTCCAGATCAAATCATGTCCTGGACCTGGATTGTGCAGACGCTTTAGGTTGTGGCAGACTATCGTATTTGCAGCAGGTTACGTGGGGTCATTTAACCAAATTAGCTGATTAACTGCTAGCAAAATTGATGTTAATTTTATTTCTTGAAGGTTAACTGATTGATCCCTTTAATAGTGCCAACCTCTGACTTTAGGAAACTTACAAAATTTTCCTTTTCTGTTATTTTTTAATGTAACATTTAATGTTTTAGCAACCTGACAATCACACGGTAACCATTTGTGCTCCAGATTAGACCAAAGTACTCAAAACTTTGATGAAGAAAACTTGAACCAAAGATACAGGTTAATGCTTCACAGCTTGGATCCACAGGCTCCGTCTACTTCTTATATTTAGTCTGTTTTAATTGGATTCATCACTGCAGGTGAATCTTGAAGTGGGACAGAGAGGAACGCGCAGAGACAGACAGAAACACAAAAACAACCCCAGACGAAGAGAGTGAAAGCAGGGGTCGATTTCTCTTGATGAATCATTGATGATCAATACAGCTCTGCCCTTATGCACACACACAAACATACACAGCTGTGTGTGAAGTCACATCTGAAGCCACATTTTTTTCTCAGATCTATTTTCAGATTCAGTAAAATAAGCGCGTGTGTTTCACCACAAAGGAGATTTTTGTTAACAGAGGAGAAAAGGAGTGGAGAAGAAGATCACGTAACAAACCCTCAAATGCCACATTAGGACATTCTGATCTCAGGTTCAGTGAAGGGCTCACAGAGTTATGAACACACACACACACACACACACACACACACACACAGGAAACCAGCACACGCTTGAAAAGGCAGTTAACACTATCTGTGGGAATGGGCTAAGTGGCTGTTCTGATTGACTACGCACTCCGAATTCCTGCCTGAGAGAGGCTCCCGTTACCTTTCTGAGGCCTGAGAAACACAACCACCCACTCACCCCCCACACACAAACACTGATACATGCCCCGGTGACAAACATAAGACTGGATAACTCTGCACTGACAGACCAAAGAGTGGATCTGATGGTCCTTAACTGTTTAAAAGCTTGACAGCAATACAGACGAGATTTTGCCTGATTCAGAGCAGGTCCTGTGAAAATAGACCCCTTGACTCTGGACCCCACATCCCAGTATCTTACTTGCAGGAGGCGCAGACGAAGCAGCGGGGGTGGTAGGTCTTGCCCAGGGCAGACACGACTTCCCCTTCAATGAAGTCCTGGCAGCTAAAGCAGCGAGTGCCGTACAGTCGCTGATAGTCTTGAGTACAGATGTATTCGCCCTGCCGCACGAAGAAGCCTCCCTGGGCCAGTTCGACTCCACATACTGCAGGAGAGGAGGGAAGGAAAGGGTGGACAAAAGAGAGGAGACAAGAAGAGGCAATTAGATGAGGCTGATCACGAAAAAGACCTTTACATGATAAAATCACCCAGCTGGCAATTGCACATTTATCAGAACCAGAATCAGACCAGAACTGACCCACAGTAATTAAAGATTACTGAGCAACAGCAGAGATGGGGAATCTACAGTTATAATAGGCTCATTAACAGACTAACTAAAATTACAAGTGACTCTGTAGTGGGAATCACTGCATGCAGATTAACAATGTACCATCCAAAGAAGTCAAGTCAAGTTTATAAGCACCTTTAAGAAGACAGCAGTCAATCAAAGTGCTGTACATAGGATAAATAACATGAGTAAATAAATAGATAGATAACAATAAAATCAAAAACAGTGGGACAAAATACAGACAGTAAAAGAATAACAGCTACAGTGCCTATGATTTGTGTGAGTTTATTTATGTTTAAACACAAGGGAAAAAAGGTGGGTCCTCAAGGAGGATTTTAAAGTCTCTAGGGTCTGTGAGGCTCTAAGACGGCCAGGTAGACTGTTCCAGAGTCTCAGGGCGACCGCTAAAAAAGCCCTGTCACCTCCAGACTTAATTCTGGTTTTGGGGATGTCCAAAAGCAACTGGTCAGAGGACCTTAATGCTCTGGCTGGGGAGTGGTGATGCAGGAGCTCTGACAGGTACAGGGGGGCAGTTGACGTTGCAAAGTCGGCAGAAATCTTTTAGATTCGCAGAAGACGTCGGATCTAAACGATTTCCGCCGACTTTGCAAAGTCAACTGCAGAATTAACGGCGTTCTGAATGAACGGCGCTTTGAAAAGTCCCGCAGCATGTGTTAGACGTCACCATCTACACATGGACCAATCAGGGGCTGCCTTTCCCTGTTGTCCGGGAACGGGTGATTGATTGGCCCGGTTATTTTCTGATTGGGAATGCACACTCCCAATAGGAAGGAACGGCAAGTGATTCACGCAACAGGATGGCCCAGCCAGGCTACATTTTAGGTAGAGTGAGGTGGAGTGAAAACTGTCCCGTGGTCTGATAAATCAAAATGTGAACATTCTTTTTGGAAATTATGGACGCTGCTTCATCCACTCTGAAAAGGAAAGGGGCCACCTGGCTTGTTATAAGCATCCCTGATGGTATATAGATCATCAGTGTCCACATCTGTGAAGACTCCATTAATGCTGAACAATTTCTACAGGTTTACAGTAAGAGCAACATCTGCTGCCATCCAGACAAAGACTTTTTCAGGGAAGACCTTCATATTTCAGCAAGACAATGACAAACCACATTCTGACAACAGGGATTACAACAGCATGGCTCTGTAGTAGAAGAGTCCTGCTGATAAACTGGACTGCCTGCAGTCCTGAACTGTTGAGCAGCTGTCCATAAATCAAAGTTGTTTAAGTTCGACCTTTTACAAAGCAACCCTTCTGTTGTGGAGCTTGGTTTGTACATGATATTATAAATAGATGCCCTTTTGTATCGTACACTCCACTGGTGAATGTTATACTTATATAAAACAGGAGTAATATGCAGCAGACATGAACTTATTGCACCATAGTGTGACAGGCACTTACTAAAATAAACATCACAGGCACCCACACAACTATTTATAGAGGTTTGTTTGAGACGTAGTAAAAAGAAGAGGAGTTTTTGTTTTGAGCAGAGCCAGTCGGACTTGTCTGGATGTTTTACTGAACCTGCTTTAAGAGCAAATAACATCACACTGTATCACAGCCGGTGTGTTATTAACTCACGTATGTGGACTCTGTCTATTTGTCTGGCTCTTAACAATACATGACAGGAACTCAAAATCACCCTCTCCTCCAATACACACACACAATGATTACACTGTAACCAAAGCAACAGCATGACATCACTGACCAGCCACACCCTCGAGGGGAAAAACTTCCTCTATTTTTCCAGCCCTTTAGCAGAAACAATACCCCTCTATTCTTTCTTTTTTCGAGGAAACGTCAGGAAAGATAAATGAGGGAATGTTTTCACTGGTTGGTGTTATACCCTGGGACTGCACAGTGAACTTTCAGGCACACACACACACATCTACAGTGTCTCGATACTGCAGCCGGGTGTGAAAGCATGAGGTAAGACACACTGTCGTGATTTAGGTGAGATCACACAGACATAATATATTCTTTCTGGACACACAGACAAATCTGCACCAGGGTGAGAAGGAATGAGGGCACACATGCACAAAGCATGGGTGAAGTCACGCACATACAGTAAAGACAATACAATACACTCAGACACACACAGCCGCAGACAGAGTACCACACAGTTCCCCTTATTGGAGATTGGATCGAGATTTGAGAGGTCAAACAATTGAACACAAAGTTCCAGCTTTCAGGACCACCCAGGCCAACCCTCAGCCTGCTAAAACCAGCACAAGGCCAAAGGAGACTCCCAGGCTTTGTTTTATTTTAGCGCTGATGATGGCATGTAAATAAAGTATATTAACGACACAAATACAGAAAAGGTTTACTTGACTTCCAAACATTTGTTCTTGCTTACAGCTATCCATCCCCAGATGTGCAAAAACCAAGCCACTGCTTACACACACCTCGTATACCAGTCAGCCTAGGGCTGGACAATATGGCCTCGAATCAATACCATGATAAATTGAGCAGTTCACCTCGATAACGATAAATGGATGATAACTACTCCACACGCTGCTCACCCCCTCCCACATTCACTTTGTCTATCTCAGCCACCACTCCAGCAGCTACAACTTTGGCTCTGATACATCTGGTAAAGAAAACTATGACCCAAGGATTAGTTTTTTTGATTTGGGGTTTATAGACTGCAAATGGAGGTTGAGGGGATGATAAGCACTGTTTGGCAACGCGTTTGCAGCTTAACTTGTGTAACTAAAAAGAAAGCAGAAAGTGTGCACTTATTTGTTATCCAGCTGCAGAGGCAATGTCTTACTGTGCAGTTACACAACCACTGAACACCCATGAGGGATCAAGCTTATATATTCAGGGATGAAAGGACTTTGAAAGGGAGTGTGAACATCAACTGAGGTGTAGTACACTAATGTAGAAGATATGACATTTTACAACACTGAGATACTTTCCCTTCGTCTGAATTCCCCTGAACTAAAACTGAAAGTTCAAGATGTTCCTACCAGCAAAAAAAACTCTCCCGGTCTGTAATCCTTCTCCTTCAAACTCTGACAGATACCTCGAACAGCCTTTGTGCAGTGTTTGCACAGTTTCACTTTTTTATCAACCACTCACAGCAGTTACACTGTGATAATAAATCGACCACAACAACACGAGCGGGAATGTTTTCTCAGGAAGTGGACGACATACTTTCCAGCAGCTGCTACCGGCTCTTTAACATCCAGTCCAGAAGGCTGGAAACCTGACCACCATGAGATAATATACCCTGAGAGGATGGAATACATACCTGCAGGGCGCTGACATGGATGGATGGATGGATGGATGGATGGATGGATGGATGGATGGTAGGTAGGTAGATAGATAGATAGATAGCTAGATAGATAGATAGATAGATAGATAGATAGATAGATAGATAGATAGATAGATAGATAGATAGATAGATAGATAGATAGATAGATAGATCAGTGGGTGGGTGGTTGGATGGATTGATGGCAACAGTCCTAAACCTTTAAAGAACAAATTGTTCTTTAATCTCACAACAATGTGGATTTTAGGCTCAGTGTTGACTAGATGGCCTGAACTCAACTTAGCAATAATAAAATGTCAGTTCAATCCGACAAAACATGAACAGGCAAGTATATGAATCTTAGACTCTATCAAAAGACTTTAAACTTGTCTTCACATTAACAACCTCTGCCCTCGGTGGCTTGACAATATCAATTTGCTTAACCAGTCCTCCAAATCTACTTGAATTTCTCTAAAAAAACTCGAAACTCTGGTTTAGGCCAGTCTTTGCTTACCCCCAAATGGTTTGAAATTTCTTCAACTTGTTTTGCAAAGATCCTAAATGTCACTTTGGACTTGTTTTTGATTACTCTGGAACTAATCCTAGGGCGCTCTTTACCCTCTAAGCCTTGACTTCAGACTCTCACATATTTAAAATAGACCCACAGCTATCAGCCAGTCTTGAAAGACTGACTTGGCTAAAAAGGACTTGTCTGAACCTGTTTCTGATGACTTGAGACTGAGCTAAATTTTGTCTGGTAGAATTTAAAAGCTCGGTTTCTTAGAAAGTGATACAGAGACCTGTAAGCGATGGAGACGGTAATCCTCGCCGATGTGGGTGAGTGCTGCTTACTGTCAGTTCATTTTACAATCCCTGTATATTTATACCTGTGCTGCCAGACGCCGTGTAGACTCCTCTCCTTACTGTAGTATAACTCAGTCGCTTAAGCAGCTCAGTAGCAGAGACAGTATGAGCCCATACATCATTTATAAAGCTAACGCTACCAGAACACATTACAGCCTTTTAACAGTGATAGCAAACCCAAGCATCTCATATTATTTTTTCATCTACAGCACAGCAGCAGGATGCAAATGGTGCAGAGAAGGGAAAGCTACAGAAAAACTAACCTCAAAAACAGATCAAGCTAATTGTCTCAATGCAAGAGGAACGATGCTCCTTCAGTACTGATGGAAACCGTCAAAGCTGCCTCCTCTAATCCTTTACTTTTTGCTGTTATCCATCCTGACTCCTCACTCATGTGGGATGTGTAAAAAGGCAGGGAGAGGTTGATGAAACGAAGCAGAGACAAATGCATGAGTCTGTTAATGGAGGGGAATTGAACTGGGGCTGGGGTTGATAGGAAAAAAGGAGGTCAAGACACACCTGCAATTTACAGAAAATTCCCCCAACTTAATCTAAGTCGTACTGACACTGCAGGGTTTATGTCAAGAAACGTTTCTAGCTTAAGTGCTCGTCATGACTTATAAAGTCAAAGCTGTACTACGACTACTTGTGCTACTACTTATGAAGAATCACAAAAAGGCCCATCACTGGCAGAGATACTGAACAATTTCTCAATTGCTGAGATATCCTTGTAACTAGATGATTCAAGTACAAAGGTGCAGAAACTTAAACACTAAATCACTAAATCCAAACAGAAAAAGTTTGACCGAAAGGGGAGAAGAAGAGGAGGTCCAGACTCTTGGGTGCACTTTTTTTAAATAGAGATCAAATAGTGGTCCACCATGAGCATGGCTTTGTCAATTTTGACAAATGACAAGAGAAAACATTGAGTTCACTAAATAGTAATCCGTTACGATTGTAAGCCATAAAATTTGATGAACGGGGATAAAGAAAGAGAGGGATGGATTGAGAACGTTAGAGTGGATTTGTCCATTATTTGAAGACTCTTGTCATCTCGCTCTTCTTACTTTATGCACATCTTCAAATCAGTGCTGAAGCTACAGGACTGTCTGATGCAGTGACTTTTACATATCAGGTCTAACTCCACCTCTGTCTGGCAAAAAGTCATACTTTAGCCTTCAGCCTCTTCTTAGCTGGTTAAATGAGGATTCTAGTCTCTCTGTTGCACTGACTGTCTCCACACACCAAGTGTGAGTAAAATCATTCGCGCGAATGAGTTACATGTTGAATCAATGCGGAATTGGCAGGTATTACTGTTAAAATTACCGTTGTTGCATGAATGAAGCGAGGAAATACTATTCATTCACACATCCAGATTTGTGCCAATTAAGCAAGTTGATGGTCTTACTCGCGCTTGTTGTGAGCGCCCCCTTAAAGTCTTTTCAGTCACCATAACAACAAGTCCACCCATCTATGACCAGTCAAATTCATATAATTGGGCATTATAGTTGAACCACTTTAAGATACCTTCTCCTGCTACTTTTAGTGCAAACTGCTCTGCTCCTCCTTTTTTATGCTGAGTCTGGTTTTACCACGGTCATATGTACCGTCGCTGATGCTGCTTTGTGCTGTACCAGGTCTTTGCTACTGCACTCCCTGCTTTGGCTTTTCATGCATGCACATAAAACAGAAGGTGGTTTGCTTCTCCATTCCATGAGTGCAAGTGGAAGCACTGGGAGTTCTCAGAACAAACAGTCAGTTAAACAATGATAAATATGGTAATGAAAAATAAACAAAATTTATGTGTGGGTCTGGAAGGGAAGTATGACGCATGAAAACTTAAGCAATCCAGTACAGAAACTGTCAAATGACTTTCTCAGAAAGTCCAAGAATCAACCTTGAACCTCTCGTTTCAATTGACTGTTGTGCTCAAACAGATTCCATCATTTGGAAACCATCCTGTCTCCATGGTGACAGAGGGTGTGTGTGTGGATGAGTGAGTGTCCTCACTCTGCACAGGGGTCTTTGGTTGGTGGGTGAGGTCATGATGCAGCTTATTAGTCATTTTGTCCTGAGATTCAGCAGGAGAACAGAATGTGTCGGTGGATCCACGCCTGGGGGAAGATAAAACTTCCAGGAATCATGAGGGAGTTTGAACTTTTCAACTCTGGGTGTGTGGTTATCAGACGTATGAGTGTAAATATGTTGTTGTGTGTTCTCCTTGGTTCTTCGAGGGAGCGGTAAAACTTCGAATGTCCTGCAACAGCATGAAGACGTGGCACCAGACCCAAGATCATCTTGATCACTTTGACTCTACTTCTACATAATAACAGTGCTAATAGCAGTAAAAGCATCTCAGGTTGCCAATATAAAGAAAGTGTAAAGGTTACACAGCAGTAGGAACTTGATTACAACATTTTCCAAAGGCTGAGAGGCAGATTACCTCACAGGAAACTGATTACTCCCATCACTTAGGCCTTATCTGACGCACTGTGAACACACTTACATAACGTGAATGTACTCAAAAAGCTCTCTGAGGAATCCAGTGAGCTCTTGAATCTGCTTCCTCCACACTGCGGGATCACAGAGTCAAGTCAGATCTTCTTTTACTTCGGCTCAACATGAAGAGTATCCGAGGGAGTTACATGCTTGAATGGGTGGATGTTAAACAAATCTGCCCTTTTGTGAATTGTAAATAAAATATGGTGCGTCTGTTTTACTCTTGTAAAAACAAGGTCCGAGGGATGAAGGGAGTGAATTCAGCGGTTTGGACAAGATGCAAGTGATGTAGCTGTAACTCCCGCTGAAAACCTTAAAACAGCTGGTAGCAACTCTTCTGTGGTCCTGGCACCAAAACTAGCTTTGAGTGGATGGGCCAATTTCAAACCTTGGTTTCTGGCTTTAAGTTTTGCTTTTAATACCAAGCTTGACTGATCAATGAAGTCATCTGGAAATAGGGCTGTCCCGATGCGATATTGATACCGTATATCAGTCCGATATCAGCCAAAAAACAATTTTTGGATCATATCGACCTGCATCTAAAATCTCAGATATCAGCATTCCAATACAAGCAGTCCATTTCAGACTCCACTCCAGCACGTCTAGCTAACAGAGCCAGGATCCATCATGCAGAGCCCATATGATCACAACAACAGTGTGTATGACGGTACTAACAAAGTAGCAAGGGAAGGCATGTCCAAACTATTCCACAAAGAGCCGGTGTGGCTGCAGGTTTTTCTTCCAACCAATCAAGAGCATGCAGTCTGACCTATCAGCTGTCTGAAGACTGAGATCAGCTGATGAAATGAATCAAGTCTGGTGTGCTGCTGCTTGGTTGGAAGAAAAATCTGCAGCCACACCGGCTCTTCGTGGAATAGTTTGGACATGCCTGAGCTAGGGGTAGTAGTAATGTCGGCGGTGTGGCAGTATTTTTCGTAAAAGTTTAAAAAAGACATTGCAGCTGAGTGCAAAACTTGTCGTGCACAAGTTTGTGCCAATATCAGATCAACATTGGTATCAGTCAATATTGAAGGCTAAAATATCGGTATTGAAGTTAAAAAGTTGTATCGGGACGCTCCTATCTGGAAGCCAAAAGTCACATAGGATTTGTTTGTGAGGTATGTAGACAGTATCCCACAAAGGGGGAACCATGTAGGGCTGGTGGTGCAAGCTCTAAAACATCTAAAGACATATAAAGCCCTGTGTGACATATGGTTGCACTTATGAATTATGCATGCGTGTAAGCTTGTCAGTAAGCCTTCAAAGGTAACTAAAGGATACAGCATCCTGCAAGTGCATTGAATTTGCATGCCATGTCAGACTGATGCATTTTGGCCAAATCCAATTAAACAGCTCAGAGCTGGCTTTGTTGGATTGAATCTGCAGACACATCACACAGAGTGTCCACTGTCTTTGTGTACCAGTAACAGGAAAATGTGTCCATTCAATATACTAAACCTCCACCGTTATTATTTACTCTCCTGTCTTTGTTTCATATAAAATATATATGTATACTGTGCCCCACCATGTGTGTGACCTTGACTCTGCCTCGTGTTTCACAGTGACATCCACAGTGTATATATGTGTGTGTGTGTAAGGGTGTGAGCAGAGTTAAATATACATGTGCTATGTGCTTTATGCTGTGAATGTGGCACCTTGGCTTCACCTCATGTTTTACAATGACTCACCATTTGTGCATCCATAACCTTGACTGCTCGCTCTACAGCCTGCTGGTATCGATCCGAACAGCTATGGAGTGAGCTTGAAAGAGGAAAAATTCAAGGCTGGTCTATCTGATTGTCTCACAGAGGTCCAGTCGCCCTCTGCTCTGGCTTCTAATGAGGCAGCCAGGGAGGTCTGTCTCTGGTCTAAATAACAGGGCAACACTGTATCCTATGACTTGACATTATTTGAAAACAGCTCATCTGGGTGTGTCTGTTTTATTACAGACTGGATTGGAAACAGTCTGTTCTATAATCGAGCAAAACTGTTCTCAATTTTATAATGAAAAGACCAAAAAATAATAACATAGTAGACTTATTTTCACTCTCCTGGGAACTTGCCTCCAATTTAAAATTGCTTTATTCTTTTCTAGTCCGACCTGGAGCTTATCACCAGGTATCTGTGGATGACATAACCCCCCCTTGTTTAGCACTGCAGGTGTAGAAGGTGGATGATCAGAAAATGCTCTCCACATGTGCTCAAACAGGAAGCAAACTAGAGTTCATCTCACCAAGCATGTCTGCAAAGTAAACATGTTGATTTGTTTGCTTTATTACAATGCAATTGGTATGCCTCGTTCATCCGTTTCTAGTGAAAAAAAACAACAATTGTGTGGTGAATTATTTGCATTATATTGCACTTACTGTGAGAAGCACAAGACCACACTACAACCCCACAAACACAAGCTAGGAGCAACTGATGGTAGCAGAGTTAGTTCCACATTGTACTGTGTATGCCGAGAAAGGAAGGCTGTATTACCAAAGAAATAAAGTCAATATACATGGTGGAAAATTTGTCCACATGCATGAAACTGTCAACACCAGATATGTGCTACCTAGTTATAAGAGTTTAACAGACATGTACAAGAAAAAAGGGATGTGGTTTAATTCCACTATGACAGAAATATGGTCCAGTTTTCTGGTGCAGTATATTCCCTGTGATTGGGTTCTTCTTGTTAGAAGGAAAAACACGTCATTGAGATTGTAAATAAAGTTTAGTGCGAAAAAAAAGTGTTTTTCAACCTAATCATGACCTGACTAGAAAATCACATGCTTCTACAATTGATTGGAAAAGTCTTGGCCAGACTTGCAGCTATTACATCCTATTTAACATCTGCTGGCTTAGATGAGTCCAATACTTCTGATTCACTCCTCATTCTGGTTTTATTTTCTTATAAGACAGGGCCAAGGTTTAGTGATTAAGGGTAAGCATTAAAACTGAAGGTTTGTTCCACAAAACTCAGGTATATACAGACGGTTTTCCACCAGGTTTCATTTACCTTAAAACAAAATGAAACAAGAGCATGAAAGTTAACGCTACGTGTTTCAAAAACTATTCATCGCTCTTCACCTCCCTCAAAGTAAGCCCTGAGTTTCTTTTCCCGTGTTGGAGTTAAGCACCCTGAGGTTAATAACCAACACACACACACACTCTCTCCCTCCTGGCTCTGTTCGGGTGAGCCCGCTTCCAAGAATGAGACGGTCCAATAGCCAACACCCTGCTGAGAACATCACAACCATCTGCTATTATAACACCGACGATCCCAGCATCAGGGCTTCAACATGTGGCCGTGCAGCATCTATTTATTCAGCTAACTTCCAGGAAGAAACGCGCTCAGGCCGGGCAGCCGTGCAAAAACAATGCAATCTATAAATCTGCCAAAACCTCAAAGGCGGAGCGACTGTTTGCAAAAGCTGGAGTCAGAGCTGTGATTTCACACTGCACACAGTAAACATCGGTAAAACATTAAACTCACAGACTATTCCTGCTCTCTGTCTGCTTTCTACTATCATTGTCTTTTCGGCCAAGTTTCCACACTCCTCTAAACGCAAGAAACTATATCCAGTGAGGTCAATGAAAGGGCACAGCAGACTTTAAATACAGGAGTTGTGAAAACTTTCGTAAGTCAATTTTGATTATATTGACAGCTTTTAACCCTTTCATACACAATGGGATAAAAATTCAGTGAAAACCTTTGGGGTTAGGAGCTTTTACAAACTTCACCTGAGGAAGACTCAAACATATATTTAACCAGAATATCTAAAACTAAATTATGCACCAATGTCACTTTTTTGGGCTTGAATTTAGAGCCACTCCTAATCCAAGTGTGCTATCAATGTTTTTTACATGTTGTTTTAGAATTTAGTGTTACTGTTTAATGCTTTTACATAAGAAAGTCAAATTCCTTATTTGTCTGCTTATAGAGTTAAGAGTAAAATGCACAGAGCCATTAACCAAATGGTTCTAAGTTTCCCTTTCAAAATAAGTTTTGGAGTGACTCAAGTTGGCTTTGTGATCATAAAGAATTCCTAAAATCGTCTTAATCCGATCTCTGGATGATCCAAGTCTGACCTCTTGTCAACCATTGCTTGTGGTCAGATCAGCTAATGATCAACAGATGAGCTCTGGTGACAAGCAGCCAATCACAGAGTGTAATGTCAGCATATGTAACCTTATCCCGAACCCTGGTACATTTTGTTTCTGCTAGCTAATTTTCCCATGACAGGAAAAACTTAAATTTAAGTTAGGGTCAAAGACACCGTAACACCGAGTTAGACAACCCCTTGAGAGATGAATGTTGCAGACTGCTTGCTTCTCTAGTTATACCGAAATCAGCAATGACCGCACGATAGCAATACACAGCGGTCTACATCTCCACGTGCAAACCTCAACCAAAAGCCACTCTATAGCCTTAAATAATGCTCAGCTTGTTTGTCCATCACCAAGTGCAGCAGAGTTTCGCAGCTCAAGGTAGAACATTTATGAAAATTACTTCATAAAAATGCAATCAGACCGAGACGCTAATGCAGAAGTACTAGCGTGTCTGCAGTGCAAAATGATTATTATGATGACTATTACTTCATGGAAATGCTCCGCTGCACTTGCTGATCGACATGCATTCACTCACTGGTTTCAGTTTACTGTTAACCCTCCTTTCACCAGTACTGGAGTCGACTTCTTACAGTCTTCTCTGCACAGAGGTTAAAGTTCAGCTGTGATGTCATGCCTTTCTATTAATATTGACAGGGAGGTGGTGTCTTGCAGCAGCTGCTTTGTCAAACTTGACTCAGGTCCTACTGTTTCCCCATACCAACAATGTTTGAGTGTAAGCTAAACAATCAGAAAGAAAAAACGGTCATGGTCAGACCTATAAATTTATTATTTCTCAGGCAAGTAAAAGTGTTTGCATGTGACAGTGAAAGCATCTGAGCTCAATAACAATCACCACTCCTCTGTTTGAGAGGGCGTGAATGGGTGACATAAGAGCTCCTTAACCACTCCAGCTTTTACTTTATCTAATATTTTTCATGAGAGCTTGTCAACATGAGGGCGTGACCACATATTTCCAGATCTGAGTATTCCCCTCTGGATTCAGATACTGTTCTGATGACGTGACGGCAATTCATGAAAACAAAAACAGATTGGGGATGAAAGTCTTCCTCTCTTGTTTTTGTTCTTTTGTCTGCAGCTCAGAGGAATTGATGGTGTGTCAGTGATGGTGTGTCAGTGTCAGCTTAGAGGCGTCAAAGGAGCAGACAAAACAGGATACACACAGACAGTCCCAGTTGGTACCTAAATAAAACACACTTCCTCAACCACAAAGCCTGCTGTTGACGGAAGCTGCAGAGAAAACAGCAATTAGTGCTCTTCAGATGCTCTGAAACCAGAGGCTGCAGCTAGGAGTGTGATCTTCACCTCCACGAGAGGAGGGCCACGTGAAAAGATTTAGGTTTCAAAACAGCTGCAGATTTTGAAACATACGCTGAAAAACATTGATATGTATGTTGAAAAGCTGGATCCTGGATCCACACTGCAGCTTTAACAAGGATTTACTTCCTTCACAGATGCCTTTGCAAAAATTTCCCAATATGACCTACAGTGTGTCAAAACTTTGAGTAGTTTTTCAACTTTTTATTCTGTTTTTGATTCTGATAGCATGAGTGTATACACTTGGTCTGAATGGGTAAATGTGTTTGACGGGAGGTTGATGGCTGCCTCAGCCCCACCTCTTTACCTTTATCTCGGCTGAGTGAACGTAATGTTGGGTCAGCACTTCCAAAATGATGACCACCATTGTTTGGGTTGGTAACACCTCGCTAAGAACAAATGTGTGACGCCACTGGAATTACTTATATGATTGGTTGGGGTATGGTCACTGGATTTGTTGTTGAAAGACAACTCAACATCCTCAGGTATGAACGCTGAATGGCCTTTGGGTTTGCTTTCCCATACTAAGTTAATAAAATATGAAAACCCTGCTGTATTTATACCAAAACTCTGAGACTTTGTTTACCATCAGTAAAAGAGGCAAATGCTAACTCTCATTAATCTGTTGCTCCTCTCAGCTTGGTGTAAATTACACACATGGCGATCCGAGCGGTTCCTCACTTCAGGTCTGGCTCTGTTGGCCTGTTGGCTAGCACCCAAGCAGGGTGTAATTGGCACTAATACAGCCACGTCGTCGGGGGTTACGGGCTTGATTCTGTTCCAGGTTCATCTTAACAGCTTAGATAGAGAGCAGTTGGTCAGAGGTGAGGTGAGTTTATGTTATTTGGATCAACAGGGGGGAGATATTTCACCTGATTTTATTGTCAAATGATGTCAGGAATGAGTTCAAGCATAACACTAACCCCCCTGACGCTGTGTTGAAGTTGGCCGCTGACTCTGAGACTCTCTTTATCTCTATAATGAAGGTTTGAGCTGCTGATAGAGAAATCTGAGCCCTACTCAGGCTGTTTTTGCATGCAGAAAATGCACCCAGAATTCTTGCAATGTTGGGATAATCATCTAATTAATAACCCAGATTAACTGGGAATTCAATTAAAGCAGCAGCGATAGGATAAACATACGGGAAAAAAAAGGCAGGCATTTTCTGAGCAGCCCCCTTACATGACTCTTCTTACTGAGGCATCTGAATGGTATTAATACTCCCCTCTCTGAGTAGCTGATGTTTGGCGGCACCACACTTCCTAATTAAGTTATTCAGAAAAAACGCCAAACAACCTCGCTGGGTGGAGAAAACACGCTCTCTGTCCCTTTAATCAGAGCAACCAGTTACAGCAAAATAATGACCCTTAAGTATTAACATCTGATGATCTTTAAAGAGTAATTAATGAGTGCAATTCCAGGCATGTAATCATCATAATTCACTCTTTCTTTTAAACAGAAAAAACAAACCAAGCCCAATTAGGAGAGTAAGGCAGTCTCTATTTATAAGCTGCAAGACATCAATCCACACCAATTATTCATACTTAATTTCTCTATGAGTCAGGCCTCTTGGGTAAACAGTAAAGCAGCACTGCTATGGAAGGTTTCTGATAGCTTAACCCTTGTTTATCTATTTAAAGTGACTTCTAGGTGGACTGTTAATCAATTAAGAAAATAGAAACAGGTGGATCTGTATTCTGCAGCTCTTGATCATGGAAATTACACTAAACGGTTAGATTTTGGGCCGTTATCGTTCTGTTAAATTCCATGATTATTACCCAGATTGAAGCTTTTTATATATGGTAATATCATTCTATTAAATATCAATTATCACTCTTTTGCCCTATCATTATATCCTGTTATCATGTAAAATGCTACCAAGATAATGTTCCTCTAACTACACAAAAACTACAGGTATATGCCGGGGTGACGTGCATGTTTACATTCTGCGGTTAGCAAAGCGTGTAGCTCTCCTTGTGTTTAAGTGAAATATGATTTAAGTGATTAACGCTGCATGTCCTGTATTGTCATTGCATATGTCCCATTTGCAGGTTTGCAAGTGTAGAGATCCAGAGTGAAGCTAAAAGGATAGCTTATCTATTTCTGAGAGACTGAGAATCTTTGTGGCAAAATGTATGTTTTAAGTTTAATATTGGATAAGCACACCGTCTGCTGATTCCACCCTTTTGACAAGAATTTAAGACGGAGGGCGGAGAAGAGGAGGGGTGGGGGAGTATGGTGCAGGACACACAGACAGAGAGTCTGCTGGTCAGTGTGTGATAACAGGCGATAAACTCCAAGAAGCTGACAACACTTTGGCGACCCTGCCGGTAGCCTAGCAACCAGAGCGTGTTGACAACAACAGCAGCCTGACACGAGAGTCAGAGTTAGGAGGGGCGCTGACACACACTCCTCTGAAATAAAGTCACATGTTAAAATAAAAACCACAAACATACCCCACACCAAACCACAAGAACTCACATGTACACACACATTTCAAGTATGTAACACACACAGAGATTAAAATCACACACACACTCCTTTATCCACCATATCAAATACTTACATGTATGAGTTTGGTAAATAAGGACTTGACTGCACTTGGATATTATTGGAACCCTACAGGTGTGTTTCTGCCAACCTCGAATACAGCATTTTTTTGAGGACAGTTAAACGTACTGTGGCATGTGGAGTGACAGTGTAAAGGTCAAAGGTCATAGCTGGATGTGTTACATACCTTTGCAGACGAAGCACTTGATGTGGAAGTGTTTGTTCTGGACACGCAGCGCCTCTCCTTTGCAGGGCTTCCCACAGTTCTGACAGGGGATGGGTCCTCCTCCTCCCGACTTCTGCTTCTGCTTCTGCTGCTCCAGAGGGCTGTGGACAGCCTGCTGCTGAAACACTGCAGGAGACAGTGAGGAGAGGGTTTTACACAGTGTTTTAGTATTAAGTAAGTAAATGTCAGACTGATTTGCAGAGGCTAATTAAACAGGAACCTGCGGCGCTGGTTTCACAGACTGTATAAAACATGGATGTAAGTGACGTCACCCTTCAGTTTCTGAAGCAGAGATTTGAGGATTTTTGAGGCAGTTGCTAAATTTGAAATGCTGACTCAACCAACATTTGGCAGATAGTCAAAGACACAGAGTTGTTCGCTGGCAATGTGTATATGTTTTGAGCCCATGTGGTGATTTCCACTACAGAGTCCTTGCTTTAAACCCGCCTCAAATCGAGTCTTGTAGTCTTAAATTTGTCGTGGGGACCTATTACGAAGAGGGGCACTCATAAAGTAGATGAAACATCAATAACACCTACATGCATAACACTGAGCCTCATCTGTGTAGACTGATCCTGGATGAATATTTCCTCAAATTATTCTTTTTATTTCATTTAAGAGGACAGATTTTTGAGCCAAGAAAAATGATGTCAACACCAGCAATATATGAGCACAACAACATCCCTGAAGGCCTCTGCAATGACGCAACAAGAGCGAGACGGAGCGACACAACGAGAGCACCTCCATACTAACAGTAGCATCGGTCCAGGCTCTGGTTGACGTCATAACTCTGGCAGATTATACTCACACTCCGAGTGCAAACATGGATATCAGCTGGATAAAAGACCCTTTGTGCTCACAGGAAACATTTGAGTCGTCAGACCGGTTTCATCAAGCCTCCATGGTTACCCCTAATTGGACTTGGAGAGGGGACTTCATCGAATGAATTGATTTAGAGAAAGAAAGAGAGGAGGAGGAGGAGGGGCAGGATAATAGCTGTCAGCCTAACAGAGCTACTCTCTGAAAACTTCCCAGGAACTTTCATTATGGTGGATGTTAACCTTTTCCAGTCTGGGTTCATTCACTGACTGATTATTGGCTGTTTTATTGGGGCAATATCTGGACATGTATCACCTTAAAGCTTTACTTTTCTTTTCATTTAGTGGCACAAACCATACAATGAATTACAGAGGGCTTTTCACAAAAACAGATATTTTCAGCACAGGCTTCTTTTTAAGACTTCATTTACGTCCATAAACCCTGATATTCAGTGTAGAAACTACATGTTACATGGTGAGAATCAGAGTTTCTGCCAGCTGTTTCCCTTTTCTTGCAGTTTTATACAAACTCTGCTCATCTAGACTTAGGCATAGAGGTGTGTTGTTTCCAGAAAGATATAACCAACTAGGGCTGCCAAGCTCTGTCTACAATCCCATCTAAGTATTATCCCTTATTATTGGTAAATTTCAGAATTATACATAAGATTTTATTGTTAAAATGTCCTCTATTTTTTACTTTTTTTTTTTTTGATGAAAAAATTAATTTAAAAAAATGTCCTCTCAATACCTTATATGTTGGTATATGCACAGTAACTTGCTCTCTGTCTTCATTGTGATTCTGTATGACCCATCTAACAGGATTAATACTTAAAAAAAATTATTCAGGAACTTTTTATTTTTTAATTTCATGAACGCAAAATTTTCTGCAGCAGTAGTCACAAATATCGTTTATACGAGGTCAGTTTACAGTCTCTTTTGTACTGAGCAATGTATGCAACTTACAAGAAATGAAATGCTGTCTCAAATTTGGCCTAATGTGGTACAAGACTGGTCAGAGAGTACACTAAAACTCACTTATAAATCACACTTAAAAAACACATCTGTTGAGTGATAAAAAGTAGGACTACACAAATATTTTAAAGGTACAAAAGTGTCACAAATGTAAGACTGGAAAACTCACTAAAGGCTGAAGGATGAAATCAAAAGGTTGAGGTGCAGAAAAATAAGGACTTCAGTGTTACTGATCACAATGAAAGTGCTTCCTTGTGAACATGAAGCTTATTACTGAACTATAAAAACAGCATTACTTTTTATTAAACTGCACCCTTGGGGGATACTTGACACGAGAGTAAAAACAGCCACCGGTCCATCCAGACCTACAGGAGCTGCACATTCTTCACTCAGTTTTATGAGCACCTCTCACCCACTGGGGGAAACAAAGTGGTTTTATAGCTTTGTCAAGCGTGTTTCTGTGAGTCCAAGGCAAACAAAACCTTCAAAAAACTCCTTGGATCTCTCCAAAAAAACAAATTCACTTAAAGTTTTGGCAGTCTAACAGGCAAACAAGGTTGTGGTGTACAAAGACGAGGTAAAAATAAGGATGAAAGAGGGTTTAAAGGTCAGCGAGTACAATCAAGACGAAGAAAGCTGAGGTTTGTTTGGATGATACCAGACTGCAAAGAGCTGGTTTATTTCTAAACATCTGTCTGGATCAGGATCTGACCCTACTCTGACTTTCATACTGGATCAAGACTAAAACAGGGATTTTGGTCAGACTTTTCCAGATTTTATTGTCTGTAGGAGGTTTTATTGAAGCTACTTGTACTGAGCGTCCATGTGGGCACACTGGCCAATAAAGAGAAGAATTTAGAGGGAAAGTCTGAAGTTCTCGTAAAAACGGTCTGAGACGGACTTGATTGCTCCCATCTGGGAGGGACAACAGAACAAAAGCAGAGAGATCTCTGAGGAGGGTTTGTGGTAGTCAAAGTAGAGTCAGAGGAGGGGGTCTGCCTCCTGATCTGACCCAGCGTGCATACATTGCTGCACCCCTGCACCTGTTGGGGTGGATTCAGTGTCTCCACTTCCTCCTATAACAGCAAATAGAGGTGGAGGGCTGCTATGAGGAGGAGACTGGAGATGATCTTTGGGGTCAGATGTAAATCCAGCACGTTGTTCCAGACTTTCAGGCTGCCAGGGAGCGAGGCAGTGGTCTGTGATAAGTGTCCAATAATCTGTCAGAGGATGAGTAGGGAGCAGTTTTCTGTTTATAGTTAATGCTGCTGGTTGACAGGATGAATGATGTGTGGTCTGCTCAATCTACGTTCAACCACAGCTCCCTCCGGTCCTTTCCAGGGTGATTTGTGTTTAACCATCACAGGACACCAAAAAACTTGGGTTAGGATCTGCATTGATCTCAATATGTTTACCGTTGGCTTGCCAGACAAATTTCAAAGTACTGGATGTTACCTCAGTCCCTGCAACGACCTTCACTGTGATAGTTTGTATCATCTTGCTGGATCACATCATAGTCCCTCAGCTTTTGACTTATTTTCTGCTCAACTAGCGCAGAATTTATCTCCAAAGCTGCACTAAAATAAAATCACCTCCACCCAGCTGCTCAAAAGTGATCTGATCAGATTTAAGGACTGCAATAGATCTTAATATCTGTGCTTTTGCAGGAAGGAAATGCTTTTGTTTCTGTGGTTAGACCTACAGCTTGTGTTGGATTCAACCCAAAACAATATTTTTTTGCCTGTATCCCTGCCCTTGAACACAGTCACTCTTCACTAAGGCTGTAGCTCTGGTTAATGGTGACTTTCACAAGGCTATAATGCTCTACTACCCACATGTAAACAAGCACAGATGTGCCACTCTGCTCGCTCTGTCAAGCTTGGCACACAAGTTGACTTTGTTCACCTGCAGACTTTACAATCCAATGTGAAGTTCTGTTCAATAAACTAAGCTTAAATGTGACTGTTTCTGAGTGTTACTCTATATTGTTTTCCGTATAAAGTTGGTCACCTTTACTAAACTACTCCAACATATAAGAAGCTCTGAAATGGGGACTTCTAGAAAAGCCTTGTGCAGCTTTCAAACTTCTTGGTTGTAATTTACTGTGCACTCCCAGAACTGACACTATCTGAGTCCTATCAGTGAGCAAGTGTCCTTTCCTAATTGGTCTTATCCCTATCATGTAATTCTTCACAGACAGATAACAGCTTGATAGTGTCAGCTTTGACTCATGACTCCCACCTCAACATAAATAAATAATTACAGATGCTGCTGATCTTTATGTCCATCTTGTTTAGCAGTTTAGTTCTGATATTTATAATGTGACTCCTGCCTTTCTGCACAAGAGGGAAAATATTATTGTGAAGACTTTAATGTCTTGTAAATAGGCAATAGCTTTTTCACTTGCTGAGACTTCCTGTCATTGTGAGCAGCACTGATAATCAGGAGGTCGAAAGTTTAGATGTCATGCCCCAGCTCAGGAAGAAATCTGCTGAAAAGAGGCAAACGATAGAAAAAGAAAGTAGAGGAAGTAGCAAGTGGAAATAATTCAGATGGACATGGATGACATAAGGCAGCTCTGAGTTTCCTCTATGACAGTGAACAGAGAGTAGCTGTGTCCTGTTCCCAGCAGCATGTAGAATAAACCCCCCTCCCCTGCATCGCCCTGTCCTCTTCAGCCCCAGTTGTCCACATCATCAATCAGCCTTCCTGGGGTCTGTTCTCTGGCTGACAGCTACTACCGCGGCCGTTGTCCCAAAGGTCGCAGCCATGCAGGCAGCTATCTGAGCAATGCAGTGCTACATGTCTGCAGTACGTAGAGTCACACCACTGGAAGCCTCTAGGAGCACAAACTGACTGACAGCTTTCCACCTGCACACGTGTCCCAGACTAGTGCCCAAACATAGACATGCAGCCTGAAGGTATAGATACCACCACAACACACCAAGGCATACCCTTTCACATTACTTATTGTAAATGAGTGTTATGCATCCACTGGTTTAATTCAAAGATACTTCAACTCAATTAACTGAGAATTCCACCAGGACAAATTCCTGAAACAAAATTCTCCCGATGCTCTTAAAAAAAAAGAAGATAATCCATCAACATGGAAAAGCTTTTAAGGTGCATGTAATAGCAGAGCCCTTCAGGCAATACCCGTGAACACACACACACACACACAGAGCCCTATCAAATGCATTTTCAAGAAGCCAAGCTCCTGCACCTCCTAAAAATAGAGTGTTCCCTAAACTCCCCGGGATCCCGTGGTGCTCTGCAACATTCCTGCTGTGAACCATCTGCAGAGGCGGCAGGGGCGGGCAGGGGATCAAAATGCTCACATTACCACAGCAGGACTGTTTGTTAGTGGACGAGCTGTTGACCTTGGGGGCTTTCGTTGTTTTACAAAGAAACACATAAACACGCTGAAAATATTTAACATGTTATTATTCTGGAAGCTACAGACATGCCTTTAATGCAGGGGGTCCAATTACAGTACTTCTTTACGTTTGTGGTTCTGTTTCATACTGAAAGAGCAGATCCTGGTATACACCAATAAACAAGTATCACATTTTGACTTGTTTTAAATAGTTAGATTGTATTTTGTCATAACATGTGTATGATAGACCACCCAAGTACTGATGCAACAGAATTTAAGCTTTGTAATACCCAATGAATGTGATTTGTAGGGGTGGGAATCACTTGTGGCAATATACGATACAATATTAACATTATACTTGGGCCACTATATGATGCTATCACGATACTTGGGCCACTAGACAATATTATCAAGATACTTGGGTCATGATACGTTATCATTGCGATTTTTAACATTTTGCAATACAGTGAGTGTTGCGATGCAATATATTGCAATTTATACCATTGTTTCAACTGTTTAGCTAATTTAGCGTTTGTCTTTCCTTTATGTTTGTCTTATTAATGCTGTATTTTATTTTTATGTAGCACATCTTGCTTACCTTATATATATTTGTTGTACTAACTTTCTCCTGCTCTATGATGTCACCTCTGCCAATCTCACTGGACAAACAGTTGATTTTGTTTTTCTATTATCATAGATTTGACTTCATATTAGCAAGCAATTTGGAAAATTGATACTTGGTAAATGAGACGATACGATAAATCACCAGACAAAATATTGCAATACTATGTTGTTGTTTTTTTCTCCCACCCCTAATGATTTGTGTCATGAACCTGTTAGCAGCAAGGTTGAGCTGCAACCACTGACATCTAGAACATTATCTGGAGACAACTGATGAAAAACTGGCAGTTGGTGGGCTTTTGAGCTGCTTTTCTATCAAGCGGTTTGTTGAAGTATGGTACAGGGAACAGTTACCTGCATTTCCAAAGTCAAAAGTTGGAAAAGGTACCCAAATACTTGACCCATACCAACCTACTTTCTTGGTACCCTTTCTGCAGGGCACCAAGTGTACCAAACCATCCCTAAAATTTGGAGCTTCTTTCCAAGCTGAGCGGAGAGAGGGGTACAGAGATGAAAATAAATGGAGAGGGAAAGTGCAAAAGATAAACTCTGTACTCAAATCTACTTTTATCAAATCATTAACATAGAAAATCTGCAGTTAACATGACAAAGACCAACTTTTTTACAAGAAGCTTACCACAGGCTCAACTGACAGGCCATTACAACTTCCACTATCCAGCTGTCCCGTACAAAACTTAGGAAGAAAAGCATTATATAGAAGGGGATTTATAACATCTGTTACAAACCCGAAACAGCTCATGATTTCTGTGTATTTTTGGTAAAGATCTGCTGGGCTTGCAGAAAAAGATGACACTGGCACTTTGAACAGCCTGACACGTTAACATGCACGCCAAAAATCACATCATTCTGAGGCTGTGACACTGTCGACACTCTAGGACTGAATGTTTATCAGCTTTGGAAAATTAGCTCAGCCAGTACTCGACATAAAGCCAATTATCTGATTCAATGTTTGTTTGATTATTTGCCAATGAAATGACTGAATTCAATTGTGTGCCACTTTGGCTCCAGTGCTGGTGTGTCTTTTGATCTTGATCTGTTTTACTGTACCACTCTGCCCCACCAAATGTCGCACCCACATCACTGTCTGGTTGGCTAGACATCACATCACTGTGACATCACTGTACTGTTTAATATAACTTAATAAAACTCTTTATGCTGTAAAAAGTTTCAGTCTTAATTAAACATTTTCTAAAGGTATTCAAAGACATGTTTGACGCTCTGAACTCTAAATTTTGACCGAAAGAGTGCTAGTTCGGGTACAGGTATCAGCCTCATGTACCACCAACAACCTGTGTCAGTACCCGTCTGAAAAATCAGTATCAGTGGACTCTGCAGAACCGATCTGAACTGCTTGGTGGAAACACACCATTTATAAGTTTTTGATGGGTATCAAATGAGTATACATGGTATCACTTTAGAAAACAAACCTATATAAAGAGTGGGTCATCAGTGGGTTATATTCCACCCATGTTGGCACAGTTTGGCCCCATTCATGGCTCTACATAAACCCAACCAGGCTAACCAATGACAGGCCTCTATCGACAGTGAGGACAAAATTAGCTATAGCTCCAGTTAGGTGTCCCACTAGGGCCCTACATGGGTGTGCTTTCTGGGCTTTATACAGACCACACCAAAACCCATAAGTATCAGGCCATATCTGAAGTTGTAAAAGCAACATCAGAACACAGCTGATTCTGATATAAGGTGCTCCTGTACTGAATGTGAGTCATCTACTTCTGTCTAACTTTTAAACACAGAAATGTCTTTAGTGATTATCCTTATCCATATTTATATTCTGTCTGCGATTTCCATACAGGCTTGTTCAACACCAGTTCCCAAAGTTTTAAATTGATGGATAAAAATTTAATTTAATAACTTACTCTGACAAAGTAAGCTATTGACAGATTTGAGCCAAGAAACCTTCACAGAAACAATATGCAACCTATTACAGACCCATTAAACTGCAATCCAGACTCTAAAGTATTTTATTGGCTGTGTTAACATTCTCCTAAGGTGTTTCAGCCTTGATAAAACTCTAAACAACATGTGAAGAATGTTTAAAAGCCTGCAAACACCTGGCTCTACCTTCGTGTAGCCATTACTTCACTGCCTAAGAGTTTCCTGTCAGAAAACTCCCTCCATTATCTCACCCTCTGCGGGTGCCAAGAAAAAGACCTGAATGGAGTCTTTTGGCCCAACTGACTGACTTCAAGTCCAGTGTCTGAAACCACTGAGAGTTTGAGACTTAACTAACACATACTCTGAGTTATATCCCTGCTCTGCCCTAAAGCTCTGACGTCCACCTGTGCAGTCACACCAGCAACCTGACCCCACCAGCATTTAAACTTTGACCCTGAAGGTCAACTACTACAGAAAGCTGGCCTCTGACCTCTCCCATGCACCCTTGTTGGCTCAGTCCTTATAAAGACAGGGGCCTGTCATCCAAACACATATGTGCAGGAATAAAAGTTAGCATATGGTGTGTGAGTGAAAGTTCAACTGCTGGCACTACTGCGACAGAAACTACAACAAAAGTATCCACAATACAACTGAGTCTTATCAGTGGTGATCTCGTACAGAAGCCACTCGTGTGCTTCTGAGTCAATATGGTCTTTGTGTGGAAACATATGATCCCCACCATTCCTGTGGCAGATTCCTCAGTGAATATTTCCTCCACGTGGACACAAACACTGCCTACAGAGATGAACCCACATGCTGCTGCAGCTGGCTGGACGGGCGCGTTTCTATTAGCCTCAAGCTAAAACACTTTGAGATCCAATCAGTGCAAACATCATATGATTCCCTCTTGGTTTTGGCCAAATATTCGATTAAACCAGCATCTGTGCAACACCAGAACTTCAGTACGATCCTACTATAAAACCTGAATTGTGTGCATGCTGCTTGTTGACATGGTTTAATTACTTCTGGACATCAGTTTATCATGGTTTGTGTTACAAGGGGTGACATTTGATCTCTGCCTTTCCAGTTTGTTCTATTTTTGATTGATTTACCAACTCCGCCATAATCTCAGGAAACACAGGATTTCTTTTTCAGTATGAAGAGGAAACACCTGACTGTATGGGACAGCAAGCTGCAAGACAGGCCTGATGCTGTTCTGTATCATTAGTGGCTAGCCCTGCTTGAATTATAACTGAATGAGTTATATATACATATTCATATTTATTTATTTATTTATTCACAGTCAGATTTGTTGTAATTTTTAAAAATTCCTCAATATACACTACAGGCCAAAAGTTTGGAAGCAAGGCCATTACAGGCCAAACATGATAAGTTACTCTTTAAATAATAGTCATGTTTATTGTGTTGCAAACACTATGAAACTATGATCTTTTTTTGTACAAATCTGATCTTGCTTCCAAACTTTTGGCCTGTAGTGTATATATTGAGGAATTTTAGTCAGGCACCTTTATATGCCTGACTAATCTGTGTAATTTAGCGTACAGGAAATGCAGAGTAACTCATGATATGATAGGATATGAAGTGGTCCAAAACAATGAGATAAAATGTGACTGGATTGGACATGGCAGGACACTAGGTAACATTTGGATAGGACGCCAATGGATACAATGTGATAGGATAAGGGTGCATGGGAGAGGTCATAGGTCAAAAAATGAGGTAGGACGATCATAGGTTATTATTGGTATATTTGTATATTTTGTTTCACCCTTATTTTTACCAATTCCATGACTTGGCTTAACAATGAAGTTAAAGACGTCCTTTTCTTCATGGCAGAGGAAGGGATTAGCTGTCATAAGTAGGGCAGTGTTAAAGTTCAACAGGCACAAAGATGCCAACACAGTAAATTGTCATCCATTCGCTTTGGGTATGACTCCAAATTATACACTAAAACAGCAATACATTAGCAGCATTAAGCAAAAGCAACACAAGAGCAAGATAAACAAAGAGGTAACAACCATGGGGACTGGGGTGATTTCTGGAAAGATGAAGACTGAAACAGCAAACATTCAAAGAAGAAGAGAGATTTGCAGTGAGGCTTTGATCAATAGTCTGTCTGCGTTAAAGTGCTGTCTAATAGTGGAGCTCATGTAGCTGAGGCAAACACAGTGACGCAGCAGAAAACCGCTGAACAGCTGAGCATGTGTGTGTCTCCACGTGTGTGCTAATATACGTGTGAAGATGCTAATCTAATAAGTGTTTATGATCAGGAGCGCTGATTGTAAGAGAATGAAAGAGCAGAAAGACAGTGAGGGACTGAAGCTGCGTGTGCTGCAGGCCATTCATTTGAACCCACAGAGGAACAGCATGACTCATGAATAGAGGCTCTGTGGAAACCAGTGTGTCAGCTGTTTGAGCTGGGCTGCTGCACAAACGCTGGCTGAGGCCAAGCAGGTTTTATCACCTAGAGGAGAGAGGCTGCTACAACAGCAACAATGACCATTTTTAATGTCCACAGGAGTTCGCCCTGCTCCGACATGAACAAAGACACATTATGAAGCCACTAAGTGAGGACAGGGTGACCCCATTTACTCAGACTGCTGGATGATTCAAGCACTAAAGGAGAAATAGTATAAGGATGATGTAATGGAGATGCATTAACTGCCATAAAAAGCAGGATTGTTTTAATAACTGTGTGTGATGCAGAAGGAGGCACTCATACGGGGAGAATCACGACCATCCTTGTGGCCCCTGTGAGTCTCTGCTTCAGCACTTGGGACCTACATACATTACCCCACAATACAACAGCAAAGTGCATTCTAGCCTATCTTATTGTATCATATCTAATCCCACTGCATCATGCATTAAATCCAACTAAACCATATAGTAATGTGTCGTGGTGGACTGATATCAGTCTTTCTATGGCTTATGTCGATACCAATGAGAGATCAGGTTGGCCAATAGCTAAAACAAAATGCTGATAAAACATTTTATTATGTTTTGTATTTGTATTATTTTTGCATTTGACAAATGTATTTCCAATGCATCTTATGTATGGTATTGTATGGTGGCATATGGAATTGTATTATATGATATGGTGTAGTATGAAATGGTAAGGTATCATACTGTACTGTGTCTTATCCTTTCATATAGTATTGCATCCTATCATATTGTAATGTACTCTATCATATCATATAATTTCCTATCATATCATACAATATCATATCATATATTATTTTGTACTGATGGTAGTTTTGTACCACACTGTAGTATTGTATCATATTATGTTGTATCCAAACACACTGTTCTCACTCCATGGCTCTCATCATGCTGTATCATATATAATCACAAAGTATCATGCATGTTGTATTGAACTGTATCCTGTCTCATTGTATCATAACTTCTTACTTTAATCAAATGTGTAACTCTGACTTTAAGGTTTATGTCTTTTGTATGAACCAGTAGACTTTGGGTGGAGTTCAGCCCATGGGATAGAAAGTCAGAGAGCGTAACAAGACAGACTTTACAGTGTTGATTTTGGTCTTAAAATGAGATTTACTGTGAGAGTCAACTTAATAGAGGTTCAAGGTTCATCTGAGGATACTCTGAAGGTATCCAGCATGTGGAAATAATACAAAAATATATTTTATAGCTTTGTCATTAAAACGACCAAGAAACAATAAAGGAGCTTATGATTTTGAAACGTGACCGAAGGTTATGGCAGTGAAATGACACAGAGATAGTTTGTTTACTGGCAGGTCCAGAATAGTGACGGGCGTCGCTGTGACTGCTGACAACACGCCAGCCATTACATCACACACACTCAGGATACACCGTCCTTGGCTGAGACTGAGGCGCGGTATAAAGTGATGTGTGTTTGTGTGTGCATGACTCCAAGCATGTGTTTCTTGTTTTAATGTGTAAACTGCATCCCTGTGAGTGCAAAATAACGCACATTTAATACACTTTCACTGCTGGTTGTCCCTCGGTTTAATCACGGGGTTACATGTTTACGAATCATAACAAACCACCAGCCCTCATACGTGAAGCATATTTCTGTCCCAGACCTCAATGTACAGTATGTGTGAGTTAGTATGTGGCCTGTGTATGTTTGTTTGTGTGTTTGTTTGTGTGTATCCCTCCCAACCAAACCTCACAGACTTCATCACACTGTGGTAGCTGCGTACACGCCTCCCTGCTGCTCTGTTCAAAACACAGTCATAGCCTTACATTCAGACGCCACACACTCCTGTTAACTTCACACTGGATCGGCTTTAACAAGGCTGTACAGGCCGAGACACTGGAGAGGAGAGAGAGGAAATACTTGTGGTGTGTTTATGAGGACAAACACTGAAGCTACTTTTTATGAGCGAGCGTGCAGGGCCGAGCGGTGGAAACTTTGTAGCCTGCATGCAGTCAGGCGATTAGGCCTGATTTCAAGCTCGCAGCTATGGCTACTGAGTTAGCATCCTGGAGACAAGAAGTGCAATCATCAGTCGAGAAAACTTCTATTGTTTGCTTATGTACTTTTGAAGAGGACATCAGTTTTTAGCTTTCACTGAATGAAAGCTAAAAACCAAGGTTTTAGCCTCGCTTTGGGGGCTGTGCTTATTTCTCCAAACACCTTCTAACTGGACAGTTAGAAAGAATTTCCAGGTGTTTGGTCCCAAACTTTTTTAAACTAACTTCCTGAAACAGACTAACATACCATTTGTTGATGAATAAATTTTCTTTATGCATATACCTCAACAGACCCTAAACTTGCCTGGGAGTTCTGCACATGCTCCACAGTTAGCATAAAAACTTAAACAGCATGTTATCATCTTGCAAACCTGATTGTCATTTGTTTTTGCAGTGAAGTTAGTCTGAAGCAGGTCCGACAGTTACAGACCTGAATTGATTCTCTACTGCTGCTTGTACACTGAGACAAGGATGGTTATGTATTTAATTTGCCTGCTTGAGCGAGACTTGCAGCTCAACTTAACTGTGCACATGAACAAACTGAATGAAAATAGAGTCTTTTGCAGCCCTCATAGTATTCTTCCTTGTTCTGATATCCATATCCAGTTATCTGCAGAGTCTTCCTTCCTTTAAAATTAAACAAAAACTGTAGATTAAAACAAAAACACTGTAAAAGGCAAAAACTCTGTGGTCTCATGTGGTCTTTGGCTTGGCCTCATGGCCAGGTGCGCTGCGAGCTGAGCTGCTGCTCCCCCATGTTCGAAACTTTTAACATGGTTACTCATAACACTTATGCGCATGTCTCCTTCTCTTGAAATTAATCTGAAATTGCAGATTAAAATAGTAATAACATTTGCTAAGGCAGTTCAGTTACAGTTCTCTGTTTTCTTGTGGTCTTTGGCAGGGCCGAGGGGGCTGCGAGCTGAGCTGCTGTTTGAAATTTTGAAAACATTTACTTATATTGCTGACATGCAGTTACTAAAACTTATTTTTGAGACCACAAAATCAATCAAGGTACAATACCAATTATTACCTACCTACCTATCTTTTTTTCTGGCATTTAAATTGTGTATATCGTGTATAGTTTTATTTTTCTTCTCCCTTTTTCCTTTTCCTAATATTTTTTCTCAATTATTACATTTATTTAAGTTCTTAATATTCCTATCCTTATTTTTATAACTGCATTTTTGCACTCTTTGTCTGTGATGCTGCTGTGACAAAAATTTCCCCCATGGGGGATCAATAAAGGAATATTCTATTCTATTAAAGTGATGAAATTATTTAGCTTTCCAGTAAAAGAAAAGTTTGGGGGTTTAGACAGCCAGTTTGGAAAAAGTTGAAATATGAAGTTGTGACTTGAAACTAAGATTTTAACTATTAACTGTAAAAATAATCTGCTGAAAACCTGTTATTATTTAGTCCAGCCCTTCATCGTTCAACAACTATTAGGGTCTAAGGATGAAAAATTGTCAAAAATTGTCAAAAGGTTTTGACAAAGTCTTAAGAGTGCCCAGGTATGTTTTTTCTCAGACTTTAAAACTCATGTTTCATGTGGAGATAAAAACATCTGATGTGAAACAAAATGAAATCTCTCTCTCATCTTTAAAATCGCCCCATATGAACATTTGTGCGAACACTTAATCCCTAAACAAAAAGTAAACACACTTTAAAAGATGCCACAGCCCCAAAAGGTCACCACTACCCTATTACGCAACAGCAAACACACTCTGTAAATCAGTGTAGTAATATCATCGGGATTTCTCCTCAGCAACTGCTCCTCACCCCTCTGTAAGCCGCCCAAATGGCTCAGCTCCCAGTGTGAGGGAGGCAGGCAGGGGACCAACACAACACTGCTGTTGCCAGGGATGAGGCAGGCAGGCAAGCAGGCAGGCAGGCAGGCAGGCAGGCAGCACGTCAACCTGCAGCCTTCAGCCCTCTAACACACTCGCTTGTTGTTGTCATTCACAATCGCTCACCACAATCAAACAGAACATGCTCTCTGCTTCTGTTCTGATGGCGGTTACATAATAGGAGGCCTGTAGGTAAACTACAACCTACAAAAACACACTCACTCTGCATCAGCTGGGACTCCTGAATAAGCTCCAAATCTCTCATCTTCGTTTGTAGTGAATGAGTGATTAAAGCCTCTGAAAGGTTTGGGTGAAAGAGTTAAAGGTTCATTCACCAATCATTACCTGCAGCCTCTCTACTCAATGGCAGGTGAATATGCCAGAAATAGCGCAGTAGAGGTCATAAAAGTTCAGTGTTTACCTTTCTCCTCTGGCATTGTGGCTCAGCTGATTTCCAAACCGTGAAATATCTTTATGTCCTTCAACAAAAGAAAGAAAAGAAACGTCCAAAAAAAGGTCTTTTCAGAGTCCTCTAACGGTGTTGCAACACATCCTCTGCACACGATGGTGTAATGATAGTGGTGAGCACAGAGTGAGCGCTCTGTCTGTCACTATCTCTGGAATGAGCAGGAGAGGTCATATGACTCCCTATGTCTCTCTCTCTCTCTCTCTCTCTCTCTCTCCTCAGTGAGTTATTGCAGCGATCTGTTATAAATAGAAGCATGTGCAGCTCAAAGAGAATGACACCTCCTCCTGGTGATTACTGGGCGTGTCCCGGTCTCACCAGTGCTCACACACTCTCAGCTTTGACAGCTCAGTGATAAACAAACTAGACTTTATTAAGGACGCTTAAAAATTTGCTTCCGGTATTTATTTTTAAGCACTAGGGGGCATGATAGTTCGATCTCCATACGTGTCCAAAATGACTTTATAAAACTCCAAACTTCAGCATTTTCAATGACGATCGAATTCAGATGTATATGAGTAAAAGTTTATGTGTTTTGAAATAAGTTCATTTTTTGGACATGTGCGTGGTCTCAAATATCTGTTTTTTAATGTAGGAAGTCACTTCTATGATTCTCTCTATCTCAAGGTCTAGCTAGGACACTACAGGACACTACAGGGATTTGTAGTCCTATTATGTAGCACCCCAGCTATCAGCAGCCTACAGAGTCTCTAACATTAGAAATAGAGCGACAGCAATGACTCTAATGAGCTTAGAGAAATAACAATTAAAGTTTGTACTATAGTAGGAAAGTCATGTGGACTTTAGGATAATGAGAGCCAGCGTTGAATATGAATCCTGATTTTCTGCTGACTTTTCAGAGATGACCTTCACAGTGGGACTCACAGAATCTCAGATGGATCTGTACACCCCCTCTGCAGAGCCACACAGATTCACTGTCACTGTAATGTCAAATGAAGAGCTGCATTCTTTCACTTTTTTCACTGCTTTCTGCCTCTGACGGTTTGTAACACAGATCTCTAAAGTTAAATCAATTTCAGCTTCTGTCTGTGTCACCAAAAACACAGACTTTAAGCTGATAATTTTGTACCTTTTCAGTCTCTCACACTCTGCCATCACAGATCTTATCACTCCTGTCATGCTGAATATGACACATGGACTGTAGATTGCTCCATTATCCGCCTCCTGCATTAGCTTCACTGCCCTATAGCTATTACACGTGTATCTATAGTACATCAACATGCAGATCAATAGCAGCTCATCCAGATACCTGATTAATGTTCAAGGTGACTTCACATTGAGCTGCTGCATGTTTGTTTGTTTGTTGGTACTTGGAGGCTGGCTTTGACTCCCATTACTGATCTGAGCTGATAAGTAATCAATAGTAGGAGCAGCCCTTAGCCCCAGAGATTTATCACTGCCTATAATCAACCAGCTTTGAACTCACAGAGGGGAGTGGATATACCGAAATACATGAAGTACATGATATAATAGGGCTGGGCGATAAACTGAAAATTTACCAATACCGAAATTTACGACAATAACCGACGTCATTTTGCCCGTGTCAATATATTCAGTGTCAAAATAAATAGAAGTTGGTTTTGGATGTGTGTAGATAGGCTATAGTCTCATGTCCCTTTAAGATGCTGTCCTACATCAGAGATGTGACTCCACCCCATCCAGTCTGTAACAAAGAGGAAAAGACAGTTGAAGAGATGGAGGATGGTTCAAAAGTTGGAGTGGCTGAAGTAGACAAAGTTAATGTGGGAGGGGGTGAGCAGCTTGTGGAGTAGTTATCGTCCATTTATCGTTATCAAGGTAAACTGCTTCATATATCGTGATATTGATTTGAGGCCATATCGCCCAGCCCTATAGTATAATACATTTAACATTTTGCCTTGTAAAACCATGTAAAACCTTGTAAAAACAGACCATGCATGCATTTTTGCGTATGCACGAACTGCTGAAAGTGATGCTATTTGCAGACTGGCAACAACATTCATGCCTTATTATTAGCCACTGGATGCAAATAGGACCATCAGTGACAAGACGTGTAATTTTTACATGATTATTTGTGATGTCTTAAAGTGCTGGCAGGGTTAGGTCTCTAAAAACCGATGAACTGCACCCTCCCAGAGGCTCTTTTTTATGTATACTTTCTATGGCAGAAATTTATATTGAGAGTTGAAACACTGCCTACAAATGTAACAGGACAAAATCAGCAAAAGGAAGAGCGACACACTTTTGTCCATAGGTGGCGCCAAAATCAACACAACCAAAATTTCCTTGTAGAATCTTTAAAATTGGTCCAAATAAGAAACTATGATGCCCAGAGATTTTAGGTTGTCCATACTGAGAGATGTTAAAGCTGCTGTGAAGAACTTTTGATTGTGTCGATTTTGGTGCCCCCTGTGGACAAAGTCTTAAAAAGTCAAATTATTTTTCAGCATGATGTAAATCACCTGGTTTCTCTGGTGGTTTCAGGCATCAAAAAGACAACAGAGAAATTATTGACCTTGATGCTGACTGTTTCGTATGAGTTTGAAGGTCCTAAAAGGGAATCAGTACTAGTTAAAAACTCCTTACAGAGCCTTTAATTATTAGAAACACACCAAGCTTTGGCATCAGGATATGTAAAAATGGAGAAATGCCTCTAAACTACTTTAGTCTGAGCACATTTTCATACTTAACATGAACCTGACCTGCCTGTACTCTGCCTCTGCTGCCTTGCACCTGTGCTGCACAAGAATGGTCTATACATTATGAGATGTCTGACTAAAAACCTGCACATGTATTGATGCCTATTTGTTGCTTTAATGGTGTCAATAAAAAATGACATAATGTGGCGTGACCTGACTTCCTACCGAACAGCTGAGTGTTTCATGACAAATTTCTGCTCCAACAGTTTTCACAGCCAAAGCATGCAGCACGTGGTCGCGTGACGTATGTTCAGAGTAGACAAACAATGAGGTGATTCTTCTTTTAGCGAGCGTAGGGTCACCTTAGGTTAACGGTAATGATGCTGGAGCGCTTCCATCATCAGGGCCTCAGTAAAACAATGACCATTTCCACCGCAGAGACGTGAACATGCAGATTCATTAGGCGCCAAGCCAAATATTCAGAACATGGCCGAACCAGGTGACCTGAGGAGGAAATCTGCCATAATGATAAGGTAACCAAATACTTCTACGGTGGATTGGTGTAAATGTCACTGAGTTTGAAGATTGCAATGCTGGTTGTTCTGTCAAACTTAAATCAATATTCATGGTCCCAGAAGTACCAAGTTTTATTTGGTATATCGAGTAAAATCAACATCCACCTTCATATTTAAGGTTAGCAGTTCAATGGAAGGATTGAGATGGATTTTTATGCAGACATTCGTGGTTCTCAGAGGATGAATCTTACTGACGATGATAACCTGTTACAGCTGACTGAGGGTGACCAGCTGGGTAAAGCTCTTACTAATCAAAAGTGATGTTTTAACTTGGTGTTAAGGTGTGAAATGTGAATATTCATGGTCCCCTCAGTAGACATCCTGATAAACAAATCCTAGGCTTTTCAACTCTATTAGTAGAAGGGCCAAATTTTTGGTTAATTGCTGTGAGGTTTGGGGACCAAATACACTACAAATCACTCCTTTATTAATGTTAAAATATCCAGAGATCTACACTATAATGTTATATACTCATCATGTGTTCTTTTTCTTTCATTTAAATCATGTATTTAAGCTATTACCATTGTGGGTTAACATTGCCACTAGCATGTTGGAGTTTCAGGAGCGGTCATGGACTATGAAGAAGATGTACCCACATTTAAGTATAGGTCACTGATTTTATTTGCACCTTCAATAAAAGGCACAAATGGTCTCCTTGCTCCAGGGGGTTTATCCCAAACTTCCTGACCGCTTTAGTTTAGCAACTCTGAGGTCATTTGAAGTCAAACCCAGCTCTCTCTCTCTCTCACACACACACACACACACACACACTCCGCATACATGTTGTAGAGATGATCTAGAATGTTTATGCAAATGGACCTTAAGTGTGTGCGTAATCGGAACAAACTACTCATGCTGACTTATTTTAGAGGAAAGCTTTGTTATAAACAATGAGGACATCTTTTATAGTTTTCCTTTCACTGATAGGAAGTCTGCTCTTGTAATCCTGAGAGTGAGAGTGGAGATGTCTGCAGTTCGTCTTCACCATCAGACACCAAAAAAGACCAAACTGTGCTGCTAAATTTTGTGTCATAATTGCTGTAGAGTAACAGGTCTGCTGCTGTAATGCACTTTGTAAACTGATAGTTGAAATTGAGTAAATAAGGTGCAATCTTAAGTGTCCAGAAACCATTAAACCCTCATGATTTCAGCACTTTTACTCTACAACTACTTTCATTTTTTGGATTATAATCTGTCTAATATGCACATCAGCAGTCTTTTGGGGGTTTCCATTTCTTCCTGTAGATATAGCTGTCACTTTTTTCTGTATTTTGAGTGATTACTTGGGCGAAAAATTCCTATTTAAATCGTAATGAGTCATTGGAATCCAAATTACAAGATTCAGAACTCAAGTAGCTTGCTGTTTGATCCAGCAGAAGGTGCTCTTGCCATTACCTGACCATTGAATGGCAACCTCGACCTCAGTGAATTAACAGTCTAAGTGAAAGTCAAAAAGCCGTAAAATTATGTAATCTAATGTTTGCTGTCTGCAAAAGTAAAGCTTGAATGATACTCATTCACACTTTATTTTTGTGGAAGAAGTAACCTGCAGACACTAGCCATGTTTACATGTGCAAAATTTCTTGATTAAAAATTTGAGGGATCGGAAAATCTGAATCCACTGTTTATATGGGTGCAAAATCTAATGAACCGATCATGACGTGCGATCCATGCACCAAGTTTTATTCAGATTAGAAGCATTTTGACGTGCGCTGAGTTGTCTGATTTTACTAAAACAATGGCAGAAAAAGAGTTGTATTTACGCCTGTGCTGTCAACAAACCAACAAACGCGGTAGTGGCTCATTCCATCCAATTCAGGATGTTCCCCCTGTTAAATGATGTCACTAGATGGTGCCCTTGCTTACTTATATTACTGTCCTGTCAAATGTTGCACTTTGCGTGCAGATGTGACATCATTAGACTGTATGTACATCTTGTTATGGTATTGGAGGAGCAGACACGGCACCTGTGGTTGTGTTTTATGCCAGAGTATTAATAATGAAACCTCCTGCACTGCCCTCAGAAAATTAGCCAAAGTCTAGAGAGTGAAGATCGAGTCAAGTTAGAGAATCACGATCGTAGTAAGTGTTTACATGGACGTGTTACGGAATAATGATCGCCATAAACCACCACTCTCAATCGGAATACAATTTCTTTTCGATTGAGCAGAACTAGATCTGAATCTTCCGATCAACATGTTTACACAACATTTTTTATTTTTCCGATCTGGCATTTATTCTGTTTATTGTAATGTAAAGATTGCTAGTGTAATACTACCCCAGAGGTTTCTACTGAGAAAAGGGACTGTAGGTTTTTTGTAAGTCTCTGGTTTTGGGTTTTTCTGAAATTCCAGCGCAGACTACTAGTGTACACATAGTTTTGCTTTTTCAAGTCCTGTTGTAGCATAAGTACAGCTTTGAAGAAACGCTGCTGTGTAACCACTAATATTGACATAATTCAGTTTTTACAGCTTCCAGGTTTGGCTCATAAACAAAGGATGTCACCTGAACCCTGCTGGATGGAGGGCAGGCCCAGCATGAGCTGCTTTGAGAGGTGAATGTTATCTACCCAGTCAGGCCAGACCAGCAGGAGCCGTAGAGGAGGTTATTAAAAAATGACCAAAAATAGCAGACAGGATGTACCAGAGGACCGGGCGGCGGGCATGGCCTCGTTTCATCTCTGACACTGTCCCCATCTTCCTCACAGGCCCTCATTTCCTTTTCTCTCCCTGTCTTCTGAAGCTGTGACGGATCATCGCTGGAACACAAACCAAAGGAAGTGCTCAGTAAATGGTAGGAAGCTGCAGGGGGAACGGCGTGCACGGTGGAGGACCCTGCCATGTGACTCAGCAGCAGGCACCGCTCCTGTTTGTGTGTGTGTGTGTGAAAGAAAGACACAAGATCTGCATTGCAAATCATCCAACGCCAGAGCTGCCAAGCGGCATCCACAGCAGACCCAGAGCCCCGCTGCCTCCAGTTCAGCCAAAATGATGAAGCAACAATAGATTCACAGCAGCTTAGGCGACATTTGAGAGGACCAAAATGCCAAAAATGAGAATACACTGACACTTCAGGCTTTGGTTACAGGAGACTGTGGCAGCTTTTTGGCACATATGAAATAAAAACTACCAGTCTCATGAAAGGCAATGACTCAGCTGCTTTCCCCAGCTGAGTGCAGTCAATCATAATCTGGATTTAACTTAGCAATAATACGGCAATAACTTTACTTAACCATCCTGAGAGGAGAAAGTCCTGCATGACACTGAAATAAAAGCAGAGAACGAACCACAGCTCAGCTTACAGCATCTATTTCAGCTTTGGCAAAGTAAAAAGGCTAAAAGACGGATATCTCCTCGAGTTTAAAGAAGCAGGAAACATCTTCACAGTTGCAGAGTGAACAAGATTCCCTCCCTTTCCTTCTTTCTTTGGCTGTAGAGTGGAGGTTTGTGCAGATTTGTGCACACCGCAGGATTTTGTTGTCAGCTCAATCCGTCATCCTGCACATGCTTTATATGCTTCCTCAAGTGGGAAGGGTAGACAGGGGAGAGAAGGACAGAGCGTGCATTTCCTCCAATCAGGTGCTTTCAATGATTTATTATCCTGCAGCATCTTGACCTTTCTCCCACATTTTAACACAATCTAACAGCTAGTTTGATTTCACACATTTGAGAGGCAGCAACCTCTCAAAAGATTTTAGCTCTGAGCTAAATCTTTATTTTTGCACAGAGACAAACTCTCTCTTGTGCACAGAGCAGCTAATATGAAAGCCTGAATCATGAGAGGTATTTTTAAACAACCAGTGAATCAGAGCTCTGTTCTGAACAAAAACTGGTTATAATATCTCATTATGAATCAGCATTTTCTCTCAGCCAAAACCTGGTGTTTCCTCAACAGGTCCTTACAGGGGCAGCTCTGAACGCTGAACTGAAGGACAGGGAAACTCAATTGTTTAGTTAGTATTTTTATTTATTTTTTGTTAAGCAAAGCATCTCCGTTTAAAGGGATATTCAGGCATAAAATTAAGTTAGGGTCAAACACACCATAACATCGAGTTAGACTCACCCCACCCCCATGCAAATCCATGAGGTAATAATCATAAATGTTCTTCCTTGAGCTGCGAAACTCCGCTGCACTCGGTGATTGACTTGTCAGGGCGTCCCCACAAACAAACGATTGTTACTAAAGTTGGTATATCTACAGAAGAAAGCAGTCTGCAACATTGATCTCTTGCAGGGGTGTCTAACTGTGTTACGGTGTGTTTGACTCTAACTTAATTTAATGCCGAAATATCCCTTTAAGAGTGTCGTTAAATGGTCAGGTAATGGTAAGAGCTCCTTCTGCTGGTAAACTGTAGATTTTGCATTTGAACAGCTCATTACAAGTTCGGACAAAAACCGTAAGCACGATTGGTCATCTCTGAGAACATTATCCTAAATTTTGTGAATGTTGTACATGCTCCTGTTCTGTTGCTATATTCAAATCAGTGTTTTCCACCAGGAGGACTAAGAGGAGCTTTACTGCTATATAAACTACTATCAGATAATTCTGCTCCTAATCTTGATTTATCTATACAGTTATTTTTTTGGAGTGAAGAAAGCCTGTTAAGAAGAAGAAATAAGCACTCCATCAAGGTTTGAGACACTTAAAGTGACAAGCAGAAACCAAGATAAGAAGGCATCTTTATTACATTTCCATGTATTTATCAAGTTGAGTGTCTTGTCCCAGCAACACTGGATAAAGCAAAAATATGACCCTTCAGATGATCAGATAAGTTAAGACAGATAGTCTAAATCCTCTTCATCTCAACACCAGATAAAGATAAAGGGAGAAGGGAAAGAAATGATCTACCTTCTCTGGATCTTTTGGCTTATCAATACTACCCACCACTTGCCAAGTTTCCATCACCAACCAGGTCCCGTCTTCAGAAACATCCAGGACTTAATCAAACCCCCTCTTCACTCTAATACGAAACCTCAGGGTCATTATACAGGGGGTTAATGCATGACTGGCCCTGCAGCTCTGAAGCGAGGCAGACTATCATAAAGAGCTTCACTTCAAAGGCTCAGGTGACCATATCAGTGCTGGGAACACTGGTGGGCTGGGTAATGGATAACACAGGGTCCTGAAAGACCACTGAGGGATCAGTGAGGCAGAGATGAGGGTCTCTATCTCAATCTCTGAAAGTGTGTACGAACATGTGTGAGTGACTCTGCAATACACCATCGACCCCAATCCCAAGTCCATCTGCTGGTCATAAAGCCGGGTTAAAAACTGGACATCAAGCCAGGGGTGGGATCGTGTGAGAGAGAGTGTTAAAACATAAAACAGCAAGTAGACAGTTCTTTAACTCAAACCTCTGTGAAGGAGGCTTGAAAGGGAATGAATACCTGACCTAAAAATGTGTACAGTTCCTTTATTACTGCACTTCTGGGCAAAAACAGTGATCACTGTCATTATTCAATGGTCAGGTTACGGTGTGAGCTCCTCCCGCTGGATCAAACAGCAAACTATTTCAGAAACCAGCAATGGTTCCTCACAGGACCTTTGATCTTTACTGTTTACGTAACTTGACTCAAGCGCCTGTGATGCATGAGAACTTCTACTACCACCAAAAACATCTATATACAGAATATTTTTGCACCGAACAATCACACTCTTCTTCTTAAATGTTTACAGCTGTTACAAGTTTGTCCATGGTGTGTCATTGTAGAAATATGACAGTACAAACTGGCAACCTTCTTGGCAAGGTGACTGCTCTGATTTTGGTGTTCATGTTCATTATAAGTCAACAAAACAAGATCATTTTTAATATTCAGGTGACTTCTCACCACTCAAACATTGCACACTGTACCTTTAAAGAACCCATAGACTCTTTAGACTGTTAAGATCACCTTTAAGGATTATGTTTAGGCTATTTTGTGCAAATTTTCTCTACTATTGGTGTCTAACAAACTTTAAGATTTCCAGCAGAAAGCTGCCAAGCCCTTGATCATTATAAAAATTCAATTTGCAATCTTACCGCCTCCAGATGCAATCCAAACAATCTGCACCATGCTCCTCTTAACAGAAAACAAGTAAAATTTCATTATCTAAACACTCTAAGTGAAGCATATTTTGTCTAAATTTGGGGGAGAAACTGAGAAATAAGATGAAGATGAAATAGAGCTCAGGACATTTATTTTCCCCATTTCTGAGATTGCATCATAGTATGCTGGGTGGTCTGTGTGTGTGCAGATCAATGTGTGTGACCAATGGAGAAAGGGAGGGAGAGTGGGTGCAGTCATACATCAGGGTTATTTAGCTCCTTAGATAAAACATCTAGAAGTCAAATTAAAGCTGCAGTGTTGTAAAGCTGCTGTTTGTGGTGTCTGAGTGTGTGTCTGTGAGCCGTTGTGGGTTGTTGTGGGTGTAAACATGAGGAAACACCCTCCAGATTATAGACGGGAGATAACTCACACTCTAATACAAACACACACACACACACACACACTGTCATCTCAGGTCCTCGTCTAAGGGAGGAGGAGGGAGGATGAGGCTGTAACCATGGGCAACCACTGAAGGAGGGGACATGGATGAGTGCCAAGTATGAAGAATGAATTAGCTCACTGAAATAACTGAATTTGACCTGAAATGACTCTTTGAAACTTTCTAAGGTCCTTAACTTATTACACTGCAGTTTTATCAGTAAAAATGGACCAAACTTCAGTAAAGATGCAGAAAAATCTGGCCTTGTGTATTAACTGGAGGACTTTTAACTCTTCACTGAATATCTGGTTTAGATACAGGAACATACAACTGCAGAGACAAACGTCTGGATCAAAGTCACAACACTGTGTCTGATTTCCCTAACAATGGGTTTGGGTTCAGCTCAGCGGTAAAATGTACAGAGGCTTTAGTCCCCACAGTCTGGGTTCAGCTCCAGCCCTTGGCTCTTTGTCTTGTCATCTCCCTCTCTCTCCTCTATGCCACTGTCTAATCCTCTCAGTGAAGGTCTGAAAATATACCCTCAAAGAGAGAATTCATCAACTCTGTGTGCAAATTAATCATGACTGCACATGCACAGATTTTAGCAGTGCAACAATACAGGAACTCTGTTATCCCTTAGAAATGGATTTCTTTTTTCTTTTATCTCAGACATGGAATCTTTTTCACATACCTTGACATGTTTTGGCATATCAACACCAGCTGATATGACGTGTCACACCTACCATCAAGTGACACTTCTGAGGAAGGCGGAAGTTTCAGCCGAAACATGTCAAGGTAAGTGAAAAGAGACAAAAGGAAAAAAGAAAACCATTTCTAAGTAACTGAAGACATAATGAAAATAATTCAACTGTTATCCCTTGCACAAATGGCTTGATTTTGCATGTTTTGGTAATTCCATGCTGACTGCACCATTTTTACTAATTAAAAAGTGGCTTTTTACCAAATTTTGTGCGTGATGAGCTGTTTTTTTTTTTTACCTCAAAATCACATTGCAATTTCTTGCAAAGTAAGAATCTTGTTTTTTAAAATAAGAACATCCATAATGTTGCAAAAAGAAACACTTAGGAAAGAGGATTAGAGCCACAAGAAGAGAAAAAAATAATTTCAGGAGGGAGATCTTTTTAATTTCCATTTCGAGATTAAAATTGAAATGAAAAAAGTCTAAATTTCAACTGTATTCATATCAACTTTAATCTCAAAATTTCAACTTTGGTCTTGAAATTTTATTTTTTTTATCTTGAAATTATTCATGACATTTCAACATTTTGTTATCTTGAAATTTTGACTTTTAATATTGAAATTTCAACTTTAATCTCCTTCCTGTGATTATTTTTTTGTCTTCATGGGGCCCTTATCCTCTTCTGTAAACAATTTTTTTTGTGTCTTGTTTTTACTTCGGCTCGTAATGTAATTCAAGTCATATGAAAAATGAGCTGCATCTTAGCTCCCTGTTATTATTCTCTCCTGGCCCCCAGTTAAACAAGGCTTTGTTGTGGCTGTGCATGAAGGTGATTATGCACAAAAGAGGGGGAACACCTCGCAGTCATGCAGCACGTAATACAGCATGCAATTTTTTGGCATATAGAATGGGAGGAAAAACAACGCCACCCTTTCTCTCTCAAAAAAAAAAACAAAAGAAACCCTACTATTGTTTCCACCCTGAATGTAAACTGAAGATATATCATCCTAAAATAGCATCTTATCAGTCTCTCTGGTCCTCATGAGTGTACACAAACACACACTGTATTCACACAGCGAGGCAGGAGCTCCACTAAAGCTCATGTTCAGGATTAGTGATCCTCAGGGAGACGCAACATGAAGCTAATCTGAGTCTACACAACATTTTCCTCCAGTCCTCAGAAGAGCATTAACAACAAAGAGAAATACTGATGTGACCCACATTTAGGCTCCTTCTTTAAACCTCCTTCAACACACGGCACATGCACTGATTTGGTGTGTTAATCTGGTTAATTGGTTCATTTACGCCGGGGATGTGCGGAGGCTACAAGAGACTCAAGGAATGACAAAAAAAACACACAGTAGGAAGGGAAGAAAAGGAAAGAAGGAGAGGAAATAAGGGTACAAGGAAGAGAAAGAGGAAGAAGAATGTTGTTGCAGAGAAGGAGCAAAACTGTTAAAAGCTTTACTTCGACCAGCATCTGCAGACAACCCAGTCTACGAGAACAATCAATCACATTACAACACACACACACACACATACACGATCAAGAGAGAGTGAACTAATGAATAATTAAATAAAGCTGATCGATCCCTCTTCTCTCCACATAGCAGGAATCCGATCCAGGTTTTAAGTGCACAGTTAGCCCTGAAGTCAGCTGCACGCGTTCCCATGATGCACCTGAAAACAGTCCTCGTGTGTAGGCCCCGGATTTCAAATAAACTAAATCATTTATTGCACTGCCACAACATAACAGAGGGACCTGGAAGCTTTTACATCCAATTACTAAACAGGAAAGTTAAATCCGGTCATTTCAAACTTTATTTTCGGATTCAGCATGTACAGGTGAGCTGAAGCACCAGAGTAGATCATACTATTGATATTAAAATTTATTTTGGGTCACATGTTTCTATTTTCGAGCAAAAATATCAAACTTCCAGCTCCTCAAATAAAATTTTACTATTGTCTTTTTTATATTTTCTCATGTTTTTAAAGCAGGAAACTTTTCCCTTTTCCTTTCTGATAAATCCTCAAATATGACAGTGATCAAGGTTTGAGTAAGAAAATCAATAGCACCTCATTTTCCTGTCCTTTAAATGGACATTTAAATTTAAAACTTGTTTCTTTCAGTTTTCTATTTTCTCTTTGTTTGTTCATTTGTTGTAATCTTTTTGTGAAGCCCTTCAGCTCCAGCCTTCACTCCTCCTTAAATGTTAACACCCACATTTTCATGCTAGTTTCTCCAAATTAATCAGAAATAGCCCACATTCAACTTAATCTCCATTTTCTGGATCAAAACACCAACAAACCATAATATGCTCGGAGATGCCATCCATCATCTGTGTTTGTTTACATCCAGATAGTAGAGCATTATAGCAGCAGCCATTCACTGAGTATATCAACAACTAGTGGCAGAAGGCTGAACTACAGCTTAGACACAGTATTAGAGCAGGCCTACAGTAACAAATCTACTAAGAACAAGCTTAAACAAACCAGTAACTCTGGTGACAACTAGCATAGGAGATAACAGGGGTGGGAATCACCAGTGGCCCCACAATATGATATTATCATGGTACTTGGGCCACAATTTGATATTATCGCGATACTTGACTATGCTGTATCTGTTTTTTCTCCCACCCCTAGGAGATAATGTTCCATACTGTCCCACATTTCTATCCAATATACTGTAATTGATGTTTTGGTCTGCTCGTGACTCTTATCTCTCACTATTTCTTAATGTGCGATTTTGCGGGGTAATTGTCTTAAAATAAAAGACCTAAACTCCATTCTATCATCTTAAGTCAGATTTTAATTGTACCAGACAACCGCCTCTGTTGCACCTCTTCTACACTGCAGCTGAGAGTTCTTACTTTTAGCAATACTGAGAAATACTGCCAGAGGTTTTAGTATCTGTCAGATCAAACACAAATTGTGACTGCTCAGGTTTTTGTCAGCTGAGTTCACGCAGCGCCCCGAGGGAGAGAATAGATTCATTTGATCTATTAGTAAAGGGAGCACTGTGAGTTATTTATAAATCTGTCAAATGAGGAGCTTGGTGATCTGAGTAAGTCATTGTTTCTCTATATCGTGCATATGTGAGAGTCTGCAAAGTTCTGTATAAAGATGTATCTAGGTCACATCCAGAGGAGATGAAGAAAGCTGCGCTCAAAGCTCTGAAACAGTGTAAGTGTACAGTAAAGCTGGTACTAGAGGTAACAGACGAGGCAGTCAGAGGAGACAAACTTAAGAAAAAACAGGATAATGAAGGAGAAGCAGAAAAAATCCTGGTACCCACCATTTAACCAACTTTTTGAAGCTTCCTTTACTCTATAAACCGACGATAAAGAAGGACTGAGGATGTTTTGGGTGGTGGTTAAACATCCACCAGAGTTCAGCTCATGCGGACACCTGAACAAACAGTCACGTTGCCTCTATAATGGGTTTAAACCATGTCAGTGATTTTCTGTGATTAGAGATAATTGAGACAGACGAGACATCCATGTTTGAGTGGGATTGTACAGGTTTCAAGTCTGGTGTCCTCACGAAACATCTGTCAAACACAAAAGTACATCCTCTTTCCAGCTTTTGAGGGGAGCCATACAGTTTATTATTGGAACTTTTAAGGTAGATAAAAAGTTGATTTTTTAGAGTTTCATGTATCAAAAAAGAGTGTATTTTACCTTTTTACTGATTAAAAATCACATTTGGTGCATGCACAGGCACATAAATCTACATAATAAGGGTTAAGGGTTGTGACTATTAGTTTGTATATTAAATTAACAGACATGACAGCTCGCCAAAAGTAAAGCCAAAACATCAAGATCTCTTTAAACTTCGTGACTACAGTAAAGGATTTAAAATCTGCCTCCTCTTTGTAAACAGGCGAGACATGAGCCAAACTACAAAATCTAATAACATATCTGATACGCTTTCCTGAAATGTGGTTTCTGCTTTTATTTTAGTACTTATCATGCTGTTTGATGTCAGTGTGTTTTTATTTCTGAAACGTTAAGTTTCATTTTACTATTTGATGCTCTAAAACGAGCTATGACTGACAGCCCTGTCGACCAATGGGGCTCCTGAAACTCTGCACCATAGAGATGCAGCACTAAACGATTTTCTTTATCAATCAGACTTTCAAATGTCGGGTTATAAAGTGTTTCTGTTTTCATCCACAAAAAGGTGTTGGTCCATTAGACTCATTCAACCTGCACAGAATGTAAACAAAGTGACACCCGGGGTGCAGTAAAGTCTTCTCAAGGGTTTTGATGAGTGAAATTCAAATCAAAGTCATGACTTGAATGCATGCATAATAATCTTGATAACCTGGAAACCATGATTATTATTCCAACACTAATCACGCTGCTAGGATAGTTGCATCCTCGGTGCAGTTGATCATCAGAGTATTAGATAAACAATCACTAACTTCCAGTAACCATAAGTGTCTGCTCCAGAAACGGTTCTGCTAAAGACGGTCTGAGGGATCTATGAGGCTTCATCTCTGAGTTAAAAGTGTGTTTTCAGGACATCAACACTGCAGAACCATTAGCCCAGCCCCCTCTGCTCAGACTATTAATGCTCAATGTCAGCAATTGTTCTTGGAGTTATTTCGGCTTCACTTTTATACAATGTGAGGAAATGCACGTTAGCTCCCTCTTCAAACTCACAATAGCCAACTTTTATCTAAGAAACCACCTTTGTTTGCTTTCTTTTCTATTTATCTGCCCCTAACTGCTACACCCAACTGCCCCTTTATTGCTTAAAAACCATCTTTAAAAATACTCCAGAGTTCATCTTAAATACGATATCAGTATTTATTCAGAGTTGCAGTGTAGGACTGAGACTTTTTGTGTTGGTTCTTTCCATCTATTACATAAAAAGTAGGCTGAAACAGTTGTAGCTGTGACTAGACCAAACTCTAGAGGAAAATCACTCCTTTGAATTCACTCAAGATCTCGTGTTTTCTGCAGGGAGCCTTGTGGAGAACAGTTCCTTCATCATAAAACGAATGTGTTTACCATTGCATGCATAACAAACAGGAAGTTAGTTATACAGTCCCAGAAAGACCGGGTTTCCAAATATTTACTTAAACTAATCATCTGAATTATTTCCACATAAAACCAGGATGAATGACTTGACAAAAACAACATATGTTATAATCTAACCCAATAAAGAAATGCATGTTTATTCCCCTTCAGTAAATTAATCTACATGGTTGCAGAGATTTGATGCAGCTGCTTGAATCCAGCCTGTAACATTACTCTGTATACTGTATATTACAGCTTGCTGTAAAATGCATGGCTGACCTTGACGGCTGCTGACACACCTAAATGTCACACACTCAGCATGTTCAACAGCGAGAACTCAATTAATACTCTGCGCTGCATGCAGGAGCTGTGAGGCATGAATAAAGCATGTCCCAGTGAAGACATGGTGGCAGGTCTGCAGGCGGACAGCCGGAGGGTGCTCGCTTCATTTTGATTTTAGAGTATTTTACATCTGTGAGGACAACTCTTCCTGTACATCACTTATTATTCACACACATTAAGATTTCCTTTCCTTTTTGATGAGGTAATGCAGTTTCCCTTCATTCAATTTTAGGTTGGACTGAAATACACATAAACATGCTCTAGGGCTGGGCGATAAACCAAAAATTTACTGATATCGAAATTCACGACAATAACCAATGTCATTTTGCCCATGTCAATATATTCTGTGTCAAAAACAACAAATAGATAAAAGTTGTTTTTGGATGTGTGTAGGTAGGCTATGGTCTTATGTCCCTTTAAGATGCTGTCCTACGTTGGAGACGTGACTCCACCCTATCCAGTCCATAACAAAGAAGGAAAGACAGATGAGGAGATGGAGGACGGTTCAAAAGTTGTAGCGGCTGGAGTGGCGGCTGAAGTAAATGTGGGAGGGGGTGAGCAGCTTGTGGAGCAGTTATCATCCATTTATCTTTTTCGAGGTGAACTGATCAATATATTGTGATACTGATTTGAGGCCATATCGCCCAGCCCTAACATGCACACACTTTTCTTTCTCTTGGCTCCTATAAATGAAAATAAGAAATTGGTATAAAAAGGGTAAATTTCTGTCATTTTGATCATTAGCTGTGATTTTTACCTAATTAGGAGCATTAGCAACTGATTCATTGGCAGCTTCATAAATTGCAGTATTGGTTGCAACAAAATTCTCAAAGTCGGTCCACTAAAAGGCTTGTTTTTGGGTCTAAAATGCTTTTAAGTAACTACAGAAATAGACCTCTTAAATGACTTTTTAAACACAAGCAGCTATGATGTTACACTCTTAAACGCCACCAAACTCCTTGCACAAAACAAGGGGTTTTACCCTGCAGAATATGAGATACAGCTCATTGTTGCTTTTTTGTGTTTTTTGGACTTCTGGTGTGTTTGAAAATAGTTGCTGTGGATCTGTTTCAAAATTTGTGCGACTATTATCCATTGCAACTGATTCCTAAAATATCCTTTGCCCTGGGGGTCTTTGCTGATGTTCTCCCTGCCTTGGCTTTTCATGTACGCATTAGGGCTGCCACTTTTTTTAGAGATTGAAAGAGATCAGTGTTGTAGCCTTTCATATGTTTTTCTGTGTTTGTTTTAAACAGGCTGACAGTGTAAACTGCAAACAATATTTAAGCTGAGCTCTTAAATAAAGCCATAAGCTCAGCAGTACATACTTCTGCAAGCCTGAAAGAGAACCGTCACATCGCACCAACAACTCAGCAAACCAGCATTTCAACCATCGTGGCATTCAACAAGCTTTGACAAGATTAAAATCTGAAAAGTAAACTCTGCTCGTCCCAAACTGTGATGCGGACAAACTCCTCAGTCCGTGCAGTCAAAGAGGACGAACAAACTGCCATTCTTCTCCCCATCAAAGGCCCATGTAGCATCACAGGCAGCAGGGAAATGTCACAAGCCCCCACCACATTGTGGGCTTAATTACTGCTGTGTGAGTGTGTGTGTGTCTGTGCAGTCCCAGTGCAGAGGCTTAGCACTGGTGAGATCAGCCAGTATTTATCCCAGTAAGAAGAGCTGTGGTGTCAGCCTGACTGCAGCCTGGATCTGCCCAACACTCTTCTGCACTGTTATTTCATTCAGACGCTGCAGCAGTGAGGGCATGACTTCAACAGCCAGAGAAAGTGTGAAAAAGCATTATGTAATTAAGTACAGAGAACACACAGAGAGCAGGGGGTTATGGAAGTTTACTGTTAGAAATACTAACAGAGACCCCTCTGTTTTCGACAGCTTCAGGGCAGAATTATAAGAACTGCAGCTTAAAGAAATGAAAAAAAATCCACTGAAAATCCTGGACCAAAAACTAAATTATTAATGGAGTTGTCAACCCCATTATTTGATTGATCAATAACTTGACATCCTTTGGTCTTATTTAACAACAGTGTTAAAGATTAAATATGTCCAGCAAAGCCCACTTTGATATCCTTGCCTCCACTCCAAACTGTCTTCAGGCTCAGCAGACAGTGATCTGAACCAAAAACACCAGTCAGAATACCCGATCCTGATTGGTCGAAACACCCTGAACAAAAGTATTTGATGCTCAAAAGCGAAAGAAAAACAAGAGATGATCTGCTCACACGTCACATCAAATCAATCTGTAGAGAGACATCAGGTTTTACTACTACCTGTTGTGTTGACACTGTGGCAAAGATGCAATTAAGTAAAAATAGCTGAGCCACCTATTACGTAATACGAAACAGTACAACACAATATGATACAGTCCAATATGGTATAATATCAAAGGATCTGCAACAGTAAAATATATTACATGATGTGATGCAACATGATGCTTTACAATTCAATATGATGCGATGAAACACAACAGGACATGACAAAATCTGAGACAATATGATATGAGACGATAGAACACAATGCAGTACAATGGGAGGATACGAAATGAGAGGAAACAATCCGATGTAAAGGGTAACCAACTAATAAGATACAGCACAATATGATACAACCCAATACAATGCTTGGGGATACAACACAACACACTATGATAAAATATGAAAAGATAAGATGTGATATGATACGATGAGACCAAGTAGGGCTGGGGGATAAACTGAAAATTTACCGATACCGAAATTTACGTCAATACCCGATGTCATTTCGCCCATGTCAAGATATTCGGTGTCAAAAAAATAAGTAAATAAAAGTTGGTTTTGGATGTGTGTCGGTGGGCTATGGTCTGATGTCCCTTTAAGACGCTGTCCTACATTGGAGACGTGACTCCACCCCATCCAGTCTGTAACAAAGAGGGAAAGACAGGTGAAGAGAGGGAGGACGGTTCAAAAGTTGTAGTGGCTGGAGCGGTGGCTGAAGTAAATGTGGGAGGGGGTGAGCAGCTTATGGAGTAGTTATCGTCCATTTATTGTTATCGAGGTGAACTGCTCAATATATCGTGATATTGATTTGAGGCCATATTGCCCAGCCCTAGGCTTCAGACAAGTATATGAGGAGTATGTCAGCAGTGACTTGGTTTTTGCACATCTGGGGATGAATAGCTGTAAGCCACATCGCCCGGCTCTAAGACCAATACAATTCTATACATATAAGTGATAAAAACCTACTGCATGTGATACCTTACAACACAATAGAGAGTAGAGAGAAATGGTGGATAGAGTGGAGTGACTGATGTAAACAGACACTAAAACATCCTCATGTTTAGTGCCCAGAACATGCAAATCCACACAGACTCACCAGTACCTGACCTTTCTCTTCTCCACCTTAACAAACATTTTATACAAACTGCCTGAGTAAACACACGTATCCTCATACCTGACATAGTGCACACACCCTGGAGGAACGCACACTTCGACACAGACTCCTGCACTCAGCTACATCTCCACACGGGACACACTGTCACACATGATTTAGATCCAAAGGGAACCAGCCTGACTGCAACTGTGTCACAACTGCCACAATTAATGACAACTGTGTGTGTTTGTGGGTGTAATCGCTCACTGGTAAAAGCTTCACCAGAAGCTGCTGAGTCATAGCTGGCACCAGTATTTGTTGTTGTTGTCTTACAGTGACGCAGATGTATGCCAAAGAAGCTCTGAGGAAGAAGATGATGCAGCCAGTTTTCCATGAAGGGGATGATATCTAATGTAGCCTGTTACAGTTGTGCAGAAGAGACAAAAAGACCATCAAATTTCCACCATTTCAATCAGCTGGTATGGGTTCATTTCTAAAAAAGAGACAGGAATTCACTAAAGCAGACACTAACAAGTGAAATTAAACAAGGAAAAACACATTCATAACACTCATAAACAGTATTTCCACTCCATCCATACTGCTGAGATTGGAGATGCTAACAGCACTCCTCCACGAGCAAGAGCAAACTGCACAGAGCTGCAAACTTTGTCAGCATGTTTCCCCTTGGATACTTATGACTTATGCTTGTAAATGAGACCTTTGAATGGAGCAGACAGCAGGGAAAATGATGCCCAACGCTTGGTGCTGTTGGCAACTGCATCCATTACTGTGAGCTCTCCCCCCATGGACTCCAATATTACTGAACTCATTACTGAGTGACTTAAAATGAGGAAACTCAACATGTTTGAGGAAAATATCTGAATGAGTTGCAGTATTTTGCGATAGCACAGCCATCAAGGGTAATCAGAGCCAAATTTTGTGTTTTTGAGCAAAAGATGTCTTTATTTTTTAATCATTAAATTAAGTCCCTGCATGTAATAATTTTTAAAGCTGCAGGATTTTGGAGCATCTACATGGCAATGATTTTCTCGCACTCCTACTGCTACAACTACTTGACATCAGTTGAAAGCACTCAGGATTATAATACAAACCTAATAGTTTTTCACATCTTGAGCCATGACTGAGAAGCTTCTTTTATCGAAGAACGCCGTACCGCTACTTGAAAAGAAACAAGTCTGACAAAGAATCAGATTTGGTGTCTTTGAAATGTGAACATAGACACAGTTTCAGTTATCATTTCTCACCACAGTCTTTGCTCTGGATGAACATCTGTGATGTGAGGGAAAACTTATAAAACCCTTCTCTGCAGGGCAAAGATGGTCAGCTATGAAACAGCTGATTATTTGGCATTCAGCCTCCATTTCAGAGATGGATCGGTACTTTACAATTCTGCTTAAATCCAGTCCGACTTGATAGAGTCAGTGATAGAGCAGTATTACCTGCCGTCCTTGGGTAATGAGGGATGTTTTTAGGATATTTTAAGGTTTTCCATATCTGGGTGCATTTTCTATAGTAGATTATATTACTGAGGAGTCAGCAGATTCACCTGAGATGTACCCAAACAAAGAGTAAAGAGCCAGGTATTGATCAGGACCCTCCTTATGTGGTAATCCCTGCAGGAATAAACAGCTGATCTACAATCATCCAGCTCAGCCGCTGTGTCTCAAATAGTTAAAGCCAAACCAAACTGACCAGCTTAGAAAAAGAGCAAACAAAACGATAATTAAAACAAAGAACATGAAGATGATTGTTAGGAATTAAAGGAATGCAGAGAAACATGCAGATTGATTTTACAGCTGTATTTTCTGTGAGGGCGTGTTCACACTGAGCTTGTTCTTGTTTATTTAAACTTGAGTGCACCACTCCTGCGGCTTTGACTAGATAAACACTATTGAACAGTGGTGGCACTTAACAACCACACTCATCTGGGCGCCTGCAAAAACAAATGTCACTAATGAGATCTGCATGAATCCAAATTAAGGAAACACTCAGATTTGATCTGATCACTCCCACAAGACTCTGAAATAGTAGTGGTGCTATGATGATCTGGGGTGATAATGGACTATAATGGTGAGTGGATAATTTATAGTGAACAGGTGGTTATGTGAATTAGAGCCCAGATAGTGCGATCAAAATCCTGATGCGACACCTTGGTCATCATTAGTCAGTCTGCATGGATATATCCCTTTAATCATCAACAATGGAGGTTCATTCATTTGGAAAATGAACACCAACTGATGATGATAGTCCACAACTGCCTGAGCTACCCAATACAGCATGGTATACAGGAAACCCCTCCTCATAAAATAAAGCAGGTATCCTCATACATAAAGCAAGTAAACTCAAAACATTCAGGCATTCAAGTTCGTGCAAATTAAATAGTTTCATTCTTGTCTGGTATGAACACAACTTCTTTAGTGATGGACTCATCAACTCTGGTGTCCTTGCATAGATTGTAGGACAAGATCCAACACAGATGACATGTCTAATACATCCAATCATTAACTGCCTATTAACTTGTTTGCATTCATGCGTTGTTGGACATGTCAGTATGTTGGCACCTTTTTAAAACTGCTGAAGTGACCATGCGCTCCAGGATTTCTTCAGTTTTGCTGAATTTATGCAACATTGACAAATGCTACTCAAGTCAGTTATTTACAGTCTACATATGTGCAGTTATTCAGAAATCTTTTCCAGGTTTTTCATGAACACATGGAGTTCTCTTTGTTTTTCACACAGTCAACTTTTGCACATCCCCTTGGTAAAATCTGCGTAATGCATAAAAACTGCACAGCTCTTTCTTCTTAGGTATAAAAATAAATATTGTGCTCTTTTTATAATATATTCTTTTATATCATTATGGTTTATTTTGTGCTTTTGAAATTTCTCAGCAGAAGAGTACTGTTTACTTTTACCACCATGAGAAGACAAATCCTGCATTTCTGCAAACCTTGTGGGAAAGATCCCCAATTCTGATTCTGCGCCTCTCTTTTCTGAACCCCTTAAAAAGAAAGACACAAAAAAAGACTTAATCACCAAAACAGATTGCAAAAGTGCCTCTAAGTACAGCTCTTTCCTGGGCCTCTATCTCCTATTATTGAACAATCATCCCAGTGCAGAAAGACGTGATTTTCTACATGTGAACCGCAGCTGCAAAAGATGCTCCATCTGCTAAGTCTGACACCCAAATGATCGTCAAAATTACATTCTGGCCAGATATAGCCTCCCTGAAACCCAACCAGCTCTCTCACACACACCCTGACAGTGTTTATCATTGCTGCATGTGGAGCCCAGCTGTCATCACACACAGGTACAGATCTGAGATGAATTTCAGGCGAAAGTCTGCTCACACGTCCAGCCAACATTCTTCAAAAGTTCAAGGGTCAAACATTAAAAAAGGCATCAGAAAGAAGAAGTGGAAAAGCTGTTTGTTGCTTTAGTTTGCACTTTACAGAGGCCTGTTGATGACTTTCCTCGTCTGCTCTCGGAGACGAACTGCAGCTCTCTCATTAAGAGCTCCAGCAGAGCATCCACAGGTCTCCTCATTAAATCAGGGTCATCTATGCTTTCTCTTTGCAAGAGCTGCATTCATTAATGGGCTTGAATCTCTTTTCCCACTTATATCTGAACTTGACTCATGGCAAAAGATGATAGAGGGTGTCTGTAAAACTAATCTAAAGCTATAAGGAGCCTAAAACTATGGTGAGACACTTGAGCGTTCTGGCCTTAAGACTGAGACTAGGTCTAAATCTAAAATCACTGCAGAAATTAACACTTATATTAGGGCTGGGCGATCAATATCACGATATATTAAGCAGTTCACCTCAATAACAATAAATGGACGATAACTAATCCACAAGCTGCTCACCCCCTCCCACATTAACTTTGTCTACTTCAGCCGATGAGGGACATGAGATCATAGCCCACCTACACACATCCAAAACCGACTTTTATTGATTTATTTTTTTGACACCAAATATACTGCTATGGCCAAAATGACGTTGGTTACTGTCAGAAATTTCGGTATTGGTAAATTTTCAGTTTATCGTCCAGCCCTAACTAATACAGACATATGCTTATGTACTGATGTGTATAGTGAGGACAGTCTTTCAGTCAAAGTCCAGAGACCACTGACATACAGGCACATCAGACTGGCAGGATAACTGTGATTAACTTTATATCTTAAGGCTGTGCCCCCCAAAAATGAAAAGAAAACTAGTTTGCTAAGCCCTAACAGGTTCTTGTTAGCTCAACATCCTGGTGACTTGGTCTTTAAGTTGATCTGCAGGTGAAGGAAATAGTGCAAAAACAAAAGAGTGGATGGCACAGTCAAGTGTTGACATTTACAAAATAAAGCGCACTCTCTAAGAGTTGCGCTTTGGTCTGAGTTTTTCCAAAACTTTGCTGAATTATGAGTCAAACTTGACCCCTATACCGCCATTACGACATCCCCTGTATGTCATACACCTACCGCTGACATGCACCTCATACAATCTCACTCTAAAAAAAACAACTAACCCTTTAAAAGAGTGAAATAGTAAAGGGTTCCCAACCTCAGATACTAACTCAGAGTTACAAACCTTGTGATTTCTCCCATGATTAACCTATTTTTCCTTATCCTTACGCCTCAAAAATATGGTCTATTATCTTCTCTCATTCTCGACTTGGTGTCCCCTAAAGGTCCTTGAAAGAACCATGTGAGTGTCCTGTGCAAAAAATATGCAACTGCAAAGACCCTACAATAAAAGATTATTGCTCCCCAGTAGTACGACCCTGCAGTTTTACCCGAAACCACCATTTATTTGCTTTTACACACTAAGGACTGATTGTCCCAGTTTTTAACAAGTTGTTCAACATTGCCCCGTGCTGCATTCCTCTCATTTATTTGCATAATGTAAAACAAACAGCACAGCACTGCTGCTGCAGGACTTGACAGCAAACAGACATTAAATTAAGACCAGCTCTGTGTTAAATTTCGCAGATCCTCCTCAGGGACAAAGCCAGATGTGACAGCAGCCTACCAAGAGTCTGGGCCTGCTGCACACACAAGAGCCATGCGTCTTTAAAGCAGGAGTGACTGCATAGCCACCAATCCCTTTGTGGGCGTTTCTTCATCCTGTCTCATTAGCCCACATGACTTAAAGAACCATAGAGATGCGTTTGAAACTGTGTCAAAACACCAGACAGCCTTCATGTTTACTGTAGCATCACATATTTGCATACAGGTAAACACTTCATCTGCAGTCTTAGCAAAAAAATAAAAATAAAGAAAAAATACACTCATAGTTCTCTGTTTTACCACGCTTTTTACGCATTTTATGCACGTTTTACACAAAAGGACGTTACAGTGCGGCAAAATCTGGATAGAATTTACATTAATGTGGGAAAGAGAAGAAACACCATGTTTATTCATCGGCAGAAGTACTAAAGGAGCAACTAAATTATGTTGGTGGTAGGTATTCTTCACAGACCCAGTTCAATAATAAGGTCTTACCAGTACTGCTCATGGTGCCACTCAGATGTCTCCTCCAGTCAGATGATGCTCTGTAAATAAGCCACTATCCACATTGACAGTACATGGATGATGCCTGCAGTCAGCAGCAGGGAGGTGTTTACACCGGTGTGCCGCGGAGGTCCAGGCCGGTCCGGAGTGCCGCTGAGGCTGCAGAGAGGCAGAGGAGAAGACGATGTCCCGCAGACACTGCAGGGCTGCGGAGCCTCACTGTACGGAGGACACAGTGCAGGTTGGGTGTGGGCGCACAGTGGAGAAACGGGACTAAGGTCAAGACAGAAACTGGAATAAGAACAGCTTCCGGTGAGACTTTTCAAAGTAAAAGTCTGCCTCGATATGCGGTCTATTGTCGGTAATCAAGGCGGTCTTTAAAGATACACGGAATTGAAGGCAGAGAAATCAAAACTTTTGTTTCGCCTCATATCATCGTCGGTGAATAAAATAACCTGGCCTAACCAGTCTGCAGGCCCGGCGGCATGGGCGGGCATTAGAGGGACGTGCCCACCCACCAGGTCAACTGTGCCCACCCTGGACTAAAAGCAAATTTTTCTATTAATTTGATTTGGGGTTTGTTTTTTTTCTGTCAGAGTAGTCATCTTCAGTTAATCCCATCTATCTTGACACGTCAATCAATCCAACCAATCCAATCGTTTGAAGGCACCATGTTAGCCGATTACAGGTAAAGGGGGTCAGGCTGCTTACCAAGTCAAAGGTCAAATATTCATAGATGGACTCAGTGCGGCAGGAGATGCATCAGTGTTCTATGAAAAACGGATATAAGAGTTTTTTTGTTTGCCAAAAAAGGACAACAACCACAGACGAAAGCAAGCAGGAAGCAGCACTAGCGCCACACAGCTCCAGTTATAGGAAGTTAAGCACCGAAGCCAACTGTCACACCGGAGTAAACATTCATGCCAGCGGAGGGAGCAACAGCAGCTAGGGAGCACTAGGAGCAGCAGCGAGCAGCGAGACCCTCCTACCTGAAAATGCGTGTGATGATGTTGACGTGAATAACAATACATTGCCGCAGCCATGAGGAACAGCAGCAAGCCATTACCACCAAGTGACCTTGGCACAGAAAGGTCCCAAACACAGCACTACAGTCACTACTGTATTGAGTTTGTTTTATTTCTATGTATTTAAAGATGAAATACCAAATACCAAATGAAACAAGCTTTTTTTTTTTTACTCCATAAACTTTATTTATTTATTTATTTCAATCACAAACTTATCAAGGATGAGACTGGACCTAAATTTATGGTTTTGACATTACTGCAGAGGTGTTAAGGCTAGCCCTTTGCCTTAATTTGTGAAAAATCCTAAATGTAGCCCATGAATCAGCTTTCAGGCTGTCGCCATATGTTTGGAATTAAAAATACATGGAAATATATTCATAAATTTTAGTCTACCTTTAATATATTCGTTGTCCAGGATGTTATTGCAATATTTCTTCTTTCATTTTGAAGGGGCACTTCTCCACTTTCCTGTCTTGTGTCAATTCTCGTCGTCTTGTCCGTTCTCCGCCTCAGCATCCAGCAGCCTGCGTCTGCACGCGCAGCATCCTCGAGCTCATAGCGCCACTGCAGGCGCAGGCGCAGCAGAAAAGGGAAATGTAGTATTTAAGAAAGAAAACATCCATTCTGATTAACAGCGTGCTTCTTATAGTGGACTACAAGTCTGTCCAATGTAAACAAGCCACGCTGTGAGAGGAATGAGCAGCTGAAATAAGCAGTATTTTGATGAACAAGTTCACAGTTGCTCAGGTTTTTCCCTTTTAGTCAAGGTTATAGAAATGATACCAGCAACCTTCAAAATATAGGAGATGCAAATAAACTAACCTGATTATTTTGGATCGGTGTCCTCTTTGTGCAGTGAAATATTGAAGCTAAGTGGGTCAATGGTTTTTAAAAACAGCCCTAGGAAAAAAACATGGTGGGGGAAGATAACTACCTACTCATTATTTATTTATTTGTAGATTATATTGTGAGTCTAGAAAAATGACATTACTGTACTGTGCCTATGCAAGGAAATGTTGTTCCAACAGTTACTTTTTGGGCTATTTTTTTCCAGTTATAAATCACCAAAAACATATACTAGGCCTATTTAGGAGTAGAATTATTTCACATCAAATATTAATTTTAAAAAAATATGTACAGATGTTAAACATCCTTTTCAAGACTTAAGCCCCCTGAAAACTACTTGAAAACTACACTTACAGGTTGTTCTTTCCTCAACAATATAACTGACCAACTTGTTTCTAATATAATAAATTGCTCATGAAGATATGTATTTGCATGCTTAAGAAAATAACTCGTATGCAAAAGATTTTTAAAAAATCCCCCAAGATTTTGACTCATTCCCACAGCACAGTAACTGTTAACCACCAAGCAAGAGGTAAAAGCTTGTTCCTGCAAGATAACTGTTGATTCCTGCAACATTTTTTTGAAATTTATCAATATGTCTGTTTTACTTTGCCTGACATCAGAGGGTTTATATAACAAAGTTTGTCATAATTTCAATAAGTTTACTTTTTTTAACCTCTCACAGTCGGTTTGTACATCATCACATTTAGGAAAATGAAGCTCCTCCATCAAACAGCTCCGCATTTACTGAGATGTCTATGAATACAGCCATTTTAATTAGACAGCGAGAGATATTTGTGTAGTAGGTTAATCCTTTAAAACCCGAAACCTGTAATAAAATACAGAATATTTGCGCATTTGAAAACTGCTTTTATGTCATTATCTCCAAATACAACATAATGCCCAATAATATCAGAATAATCCTCGGATAAATACAGAACAGATTGTGGCTCCGTTTGAGCCATGATTGACGTAATACATCTGCGACGCCGTGCGTGTGACGTCTAATCTGCTCGACCAAAAAACGGCATGGCTTCCATTTGACAGGAAAGTACCTCATGTTTCAGCCCTGCCACCATTATTCAACATTATAACGATACGAGCATGGATGTAACCGAGGCAAACGGCGAAAGTTTCGGAGTAGAGGTTGTTCTACAAGAGGGCAATAAAACAGCGCCGTGTTGTCCGCATGGTGAGTTTATAAATAATAGGAAACACAAACTCCAGTCAGATGTCGTATCCAAATAGCGTTAATTGACATATTTTTGTCATACTACGACTCATACGGTATATAATCTGACTTATTCTTAATAAGTGTTATCTTTTAATGAATTCGGCATAGGTTTAAATAGTTGTAGCCGGATTTGTCGAGTCAAAATCGTGGAAATGATCCTTTATTTTGCTATCTTTGTTTTTATCAGGAAACGTACAAGGATATAAACGTTATTTTGGATGGGGTTTGGCTTTTATCTCAGGTTCTAACCCTCTAAATTAACCAAATGTCTCGTTGTTTTTCCAGGGCCAACCCTGCTGTTTGAGAAAGTCAGTAAAGAAGGTGAGACTGGCAGGAGGTTTTACGCCTGTTCAGCCTGCAGAGATCGAAAAGACTGCAAGTTTTTCCAGTGGGAGGATGACAAAGTAGGCTTGTAAAAGTGAAAACAGTCACTGTAAGTAATAAGCCTGATGCTTGATCTTTATTGACCTCCTTGCATGTTTCCTACAGGTGTCTGAAGCCAGGCTTTTGGCCAGAGAAGCAGAGAATAAGTCAAAGAGACCTCCGTACACTCAGAAGGAGTACTGCAGCAGGTAAGAGGTCTACAGCAACCTGTTGTTGTCTCTCCTGAATATTAAGCTCAAAGTTGCTTTCATGGATTATACTGCCACATATAAAAAGTTTGTGTTTTGTTCCTCAGGTTCAGAAAGTTCGACTCCCTCAGTGTGGTTGAGAAGAAGTTCTGTCAGGATTGTCAGATTTTGCTTCTGCCATCAGAGCACCAGGCTCACTCCTCACATAGAATCACAGGGGTCTCCGCGGGTCAGCTGAGGAGGCCCAGTGTGCTGCTGCGTCCTCTGGAAAACAAGAAGAGTAACGCCCAGTACCTGTTCACCGACCGCAGCGCTCACTTCCTGCTGGACACACTGGCTGCTCTGGGCTTCAAGAAGGTGCTGTGTGTGGGGACACCAAGGTTAGTCTGACGAATTAAAGTTTGTTTTCTTATTTAAGACGAATTCTTGCATTTTTGAGACCTGGACCCATTTTAGAATGTTTGAAATGGGGATATGTGGCGAATATGTAGGATGCAAATTTTTTTTAATTCTTCCTGATATTTTAGAACTGATTTTGGCTGATGTTAGTACTGATACTTAAGCACCTTTCTTTCATTGCAAAAGTACAAACTGTCTCTTTGAAGCTGTCATCATTTGAGGTAGTTTCATAACAAACCAGGACTGATCCCATCTGACTTAGATTGGAACTTTATTCACTTTGTGTTCAGTGTTTCTTTACCTCAGGCCTTTTTATTTTACAAGATGTGAAAACCATCTCTCACATCATCAATTAAGAAACAAATATTTAAAGTATATTTGGGTCCAAAGTTGGAACCTCAAATCAAACTTTCTTCCGACATATAAAAATGGTTCCCAGCTTTTCAGAACTGCTGATTTCTTTCCCATGCTTGATTAGTAAAACACTCTGAAATGTTTTGGGTTTTTTTCTTTGCTTTTGAACTAAATATCTGTCTGTGATTCTACTGTAGAACTGTATAATCTTTCCAGTTAAGTAGATGCCAGTGATTGTGGATAAGGAATTGAAGTCTAGGAGGATAATTTTAGGATGGGGGATTTTGGTAATTTATTTGGTAATTAAATGTGGACTGGTTCATATTTTTGGTCAACCTAAAGATAGCAAGATGGACATACATTTGGCGAGCAGCACAGTCATGGTAGTACATTTTTGCACCCTGTTGTTGTATTTGTCAAAGTTTTGTCTTTAATTTTAATGGATTTGGTTTCTGTTCTTGTGCCATTAGCTACGAAAAAAAGCACATAATGTGACCTAAAATACTGCTGTTTTTTGTTCCAGTGTTTAATGTTTGCTTACTTGCATGCCAAATATAGATAAAAGGTGCCAAAATGTGCAGTATAAGGCCACTGCTGGCTGTCACCGGGGCTTGTTTGAAGTTTGAACACCAAATTCCTAATGACTGCTACTCTGTTCTTGTAAAATGAGTGGTCAGGAAACACCAAATATCGGAGTTGTAAACACTGTCAGACATTTTTATTACTGAATATAAAGAATAATGATATTTTTACTGTTTCTAACAGGCTGCAGGAGTTGATCAAGTTGAGGAACCTGGAGCACAAAGACAAGCCAATGAAGAGTCTGCTGCTGGATATCGACTTCAGGTCTGTTTTTAAGTTTGATGTTTTCTTAGTAAAGCTGAATTACAGGTTGCATAGGTTCTTGTTGGTTAGACCATTATAGTCCGTGACAGAGCTCCAAGTGGTTTGGCCAGATCTGGTTCTCTGGTGTTTTCAGGAAGCGTACACAGGGGTACAACAGCTCAGTAAACTGGTGGTGAGCTCGGTCAAACACAGGCGTCACAGCGGCAGAAAACCTCTGCAGGACCGTCATGTTGTCTGCATCATAAAACACCAGCTGACCTTTCTCGTAATTCACCCACACGCCCACCTTCATTAGTGGCGTCTGCCCCACTCCCTGGCAGGCCACATGCCGGTCATTGTGCCAGGCTTTAAGATGACCGTTACGGAGCTCCACACACCATGAGTTCCTGTTCCGGCCTAGTTTGGCGCCCTTGTCCCGCCCCTTCCTCTCCAAACAGGCATAGGCCACGCCCACAGCCCAGGCTGAACTGCAGCGCACGTCGACCTCCCAGTAGCTCTGAGGGGCTGGGAGAGGGTAGCCCCCCAGGGCACTCCAGACTTTATCAAACTGAAGAGGGTGCTCTGGAGAGGAATGGGCAGAGCCCGGGAAAATCATGCCCCGCCCATTTGGGGTAACCGTGATCTCACTGTGGCAGGTCTGCCTGTCAATCACCATGAGAGATGTCTCTGAAATTAACAAGAGGAGAGAGTTTTTTAATGAATCTTTGAGTTTTGCTCGTTTATAGGAGACAGAGAGGGACTGATGGACTGTTGTGTAGAAATTTCTGCATGTTGTTCCATTGATAAAATATCTGTTACACTTTAAGAGTCTTTTAGTGAGAATTATCACCAGAATGAAGCCAAAGCTCTCGAAGTGAAGAATTTTGCATGGTCCCTTTAAAATAATGTGATGCAAAGGCTTAGATACCGATCAGAAGAGTCTTCCTCTGCAACTGAGCTTTCAGCTGTTTGGAGATGGTTGATAACGTCTTCAGCAGCTTCTCAAATCTCTCCTCATTCAGACGGATTTCAGTTTCAGAGGCGTCCGGTTTCTTAGGACTGAGACAGATCAATCAATCAAACATTATTTATCAAGCGCTTTCCCTACAGGAATGTAACTCAAAGTGCTTTACAGTCTTGTTAAAAACAAAAACAATCAGAGAGGGAGAAGTGAGACAGAGATCTGGTTTAGAGCTGGAACCTTGTTATGTTACCGTGCAGTGCTTTACCTCAAACTCTCACACTGACCCTGCAGATGAAACACAAACAGACGCTGATTAAAAAAAGTCAGTCACTGTTTTATTTGAGTGTATTACCCAGCAGCTTTTGAGTCAGACCTTCTCAGTGTCCTCGTCTTTCCCCGCACCCTCGCTCAGCGCTCTCTGTATGCTGTTGATGCTCTTGGAGACGTGGGCCTGGTGTTCTTTCCAGTTCTTCAGAACCTGCTCCAGTCTGGTTCTGGTCTGTCTCAGGTCCAGCTCTAGACAGTCAAGGACTGCCTGCTCATCCTGCTTCAGGATGGATTGCATGCTCTCAAAGCGCTCTCGAACTTGCTGCTTCATCATGTCTGTACTTCTCTGCAGAGTGAATCATGGAGAGAAAGATGTCATTATTTCTAATTAGGGGTGTCCCGATACGATATTGATATAAGATATTGGTCCAGTATCAGCAAAAAATCAAATATCAGATTATATCGGCCTAAGAGTCTGAGATGAAACCCTATATTTCATCTTGGACTCTCAGATCCTCTGACCTGTGCCTTCTGACTGTCCCTAGGTCAGTAGTTCTCAAGTCCAGTCCTCGTGCCCCCCTGTCCTGCATGTTTTGGATGTTTCTCTGCTCCAGCACACCTGATTCAAATGATTAGCTCGTTATTAAGCCATTTCAGAGCTTGATAACGAGCTGGTCATTTGAATCAGGTGTGTTAGAGCAGGGAAACATCCAAAACATGCAGGACAGTGGGGGCTCGAGGACTGGACTTGAGAACCACTGCCCTAGGTCAAGATTAAAGTTCAGGGGTGACCGGGCTTTTTCCATTGCTGCGTCTAAGCTCTGGAATGCGCTTCCTCTTCATGTCCGACTGTCCCCCTCACTGTCTGTTTTTAAATCAAATTTGAAAAAACACTTTTACTTCTTGGATATTAACTCCTTTTAACTTGGCCTTTTAATCATTTTTTTACCATCTATGTCCCCCTGTTTTTAATGGGTTCCTGAGTCTTTGTTTTATTGTTCTTGTAAATTGTCTGTTTTTTAATTTTTTACTGTACAGAACTTTGGTCAGCATTTTGTTGTTTTTAAATATGCTTTATAAATAAACCTGGATTGGATTGGATGCATCTTAAATCTCACAAGCAGTCCATTCCAGACCCCACGCCAGCACCACTATCTAGCAGCACCCAGATCCAGCATGTATCTGTAGTAATAAGGTACCAACAAAGTAGGAAGGAGTAAGAGTGTTGTCGGCTGTGTGGCAGTATTTTTTGTTGAAGTCCAAAATGTTGCAGCTGAGTGCATGAATTGTCATGCACAAGTTTGTGCCATTATCAGATCAATATCGGTATCGGCCAGTATTGAAGGCTACAATATCTGTATCGTATCGGAGGTAAAAAAAACAGTTGTATCAGGATATCGCTATTTCTAATGTCACCAAAGACTTAATACACTTAAATACAGTGAAAGAGATCAGGTCCAGGTCTCACACTCACAGAAAGGTTTGCCTTGCGTTTCTTTAGAGACTGGATGTGAGCTTCTGTTTTTGACCTCTCTGCCTGCAGGTCCTCCAGTTGTTTGGTGAGCTGCTCCTGCAGAGTTTACAGCAGAGTTACAATATTTATTAAACTTACCTTTACACTTGTCTAAAGTCTAGAATCTTCGACTAGTTTGGCTCCAGTTTTTACCTGAGAAGGCTGTCCGGCGCTGGCCGCATTTTTCTTTAGTTTTGGAGAACGAGGAAAAGGTTGAACGCTTCTGTCATCATTTGAGTCCAGAGGAGAGAAAGTGAATTTATCTTGTAATATACTGTGTGAGTCTGCAGAGGGCACCGCAAGACCACACTGTGTTGACTGTTCAAGTTCAGCGTCGGATATGTCTTTTTCTGCCATTTCTGCTGACTGGAAAAGCAGAGACAAACAAGTCAAACATAAAGCCTCATTCACAGTTATTTTATTCCTTTTTATTGTCCAAAGTTTTACTTTGTCTTTACTTTGCCTGCAGGAAAACCTGTTCCTCAGGAAAGCCAGAAAAAAACATGTCTGTCCTGATTCTGTGCGAAGATTTTTTCTTTTTTTTTTTCCTTTTAGACAAACTGAAACAAAAGAGTGTTACAGCTTTTTCTAAGTTAGGCATTTAAATTAGCATACTCTGCATATAAACAGCTGCAAAATATTGAGTTTTTGAGCAGCATGGCTCCCTGTTAAGAGTGGAATCAAAGTTGTACCTCGATAGTAAAAGGAAGGGTATGCATGCATGAAATAAAAGTGCATATTCAAATGTAGACTCTGTCTTCAGAGCAGTTTTTAATCATGTTTAGAAGTCCTTACCTGAGGTCTTTCTTTAGCGTGTCTGCTGTGTGTTTCTGTGAAGAATGTGCAGAGGTGCACAGAGGGTGTGTTCTCTTGTTACAAGAACCAGCCTGCCACACACATACACACACACTCTCACACAGCTTATCGTTTCCTGGATACACACTTGAGGATTTACTGTGTGTTTGCTTAGTGTGTGTGTGCACAGTTGATGAGTTCAGACTTGCTCTTATTTTCCAGCCTCCAGTCTGTGCAGAAGGAAAGGTGATTTGTCCCAATTTGTTTCAACTAGAACTGGTAAAATCTTTGGAGGCTGATTCCAAGATTTTATTTTTAAAGATACAAGACTGCAGAGAGAGTTAGCGATGGTGAGAAAAAAAAACTGCCAAGTTTTGTCAAGGTGGATTTGGTCCCAATGAGGTGAATCTCTCTTGTTTAGTTTCAGGAAGTTGCAGGAGAATCAGGGTTTGATTTTCTTTGGGCAGTCAGAGAGAAAAGTGGGTGGCAAGAAGGAGACAGGTTTGGTGAGCAGGTCGAGCTGAGTATAATCTCTTTACCCTTAGATGACAAAACAGCTCAGCCCCTTAACAGATTTAATCAGGCATTATTAAAACGAGTTGAGCCTGATCATTTCTGACCTTCTTACATTGCTTTTATGGTGTTTATATCACTATTTATGTGTTTTAGTGTCTTTTTACCAATATTTGTCTTTGATAGTATGTTTTAGTCTTGTACAACACTAAAAATTTGCTATGAAAATAAACGCTGACTTGACCACATGAATTGTTTCTGTTTCAGATACGCTCAGTTCTACAGCCAGAATGAGTTCTGTCACTACAACATGTTCAATCATCACTTTTTTGATGGAGAGGTAAGAGTTCAAACTCTGATCTGTTTCATGTGTGTAGTAACCAACTCAGTATAGTCACGTTTCGGTGTCTTTCCTCAGGCTTCCAGGGCCGTCCTGCAGTCCTTCCTCTCAGAGGCGGATGGGGAGAAGGTGGTGATGGTGGCCGATCCTCCATTTGGTGGTCTGGTGAAGCCTTTAGCCAACAGTTTCTCTCTGATCTCACAGATGTGGAGGAAACAGCAGAGTCCTGGTCGGTGTTAATGTGCTGTTTATTATCCATTTTTTATGAGGCTTTTCTGTATAAATCAGTTTGAATTAAAGCAAACATCCATATCTTTGTTGCTGCAGACAGCAGCATCACTGAGCTGCTCATGATGTGGATCTTTCCGTACTTCTTTGAGCCTCGCATCCTGGAGTGTCTCCCCTCGCTGACCATGCTGGACTACCAGGTACCACTGATGTTGAATAACATTTGGTGGACGTAATTAACATATAAAGAATAACTGATACATATTTAAGGCTCTCAGAACATTATGGTATTTTTCTTGGATGATCCAGGTGGACTATGACAACCATCCTCTGTACAAACACGGGAAGACGGGCAGGAAGCAGTCTCCTGTCAGACTCTTCACCAATATTTCACCAAAAAGTGTCGTCCTACCTAAAGAGGAGGGTTACAGGTACAAACACACTCACAAATACAATCAGGTCAGCACATAGGGGAGTCTGTCAGGAACACATAATGACCTGTGGGTGTTCTGCATGTTTAGGTCCACTCTATAAGGAAGGAAGCTAAACCTGCAGGTTTATTTATATTGAAAGGTTGGTTTGGCTGTGTTAAAAGTAACACCCCTGGCTCTTAAAGAAAATAGGAATAGACTCATTGGTTTGGATTGTATAACACCCAGATTGTGCGCTGTTCAACTAGCAAAACACAACCCAAAAATGGCCGCCTTTCTTAGCAGCATTTACTGTTTAGACTTTATGCTTTAATCCCCAAAAATGGGACATTTAAGCCTCATTTTAACAACTTTTTTTCACTTGTTCAACCTGCTTATTCAGCCCTTTTCTAACTAAACATACAACCAATATAAACACAAACAATAATGTTTGTTTTTCAACATGTAGTGTTGACAGATTTAGGAGCTGATACTTGAATCTTATGTTTTGTGTTAAAGCTCTTGTATCTCTTTCTCCTGACAGATTTTGCTCCGTGTGTCAGAGATTTGTCTGGTCTCTGAACAAACACTGCTCTAAATGCAACGTCTGCCCATCAAAAGTAAGAAACCACCACCAAAGGCGTTTATCTCTGTAAAATAACAGGATATGACGCTCCTTTTTTTCTCTCTTATTGTGTTCAGGACGGCAGAGAGTGGAAGCACTGCTCGACGTGTGAGAAATGTGTCAAACCATGTACGTAAATATGCAAACAGATACAGGGGAAGGATGTAGATCTGCATGTGGATGTTTGCACTCATTACGGTTATCTTTCTCCTTTAAGCCTGGAGACACTGTCAGTCCTGTAGCCGCTGCGCCCTCCCAGATCATCCTTGTGGGCAGAGTCAGGGGAAGCAGGGCTGCTTTAACTGCGGCAGCCTGGAGCACAAACGGAAAGCCTGTCCCGTCAAAGACCAACACAGGAGCAGCAGGTGAGCTCAGAGAGCGAGCTCTGCCTCGGGTTCAGTCTTTATTCACCTCATTAACATGCCTTAATGAGTCACGATTTACATGCCTGGACTTTTTTTTCTGCTCTCTGTCTCTCCTCAGTCAAAGATTTAAAGGCAAAAAAGGAGGAAAAAATGTTCCCCAGCGCCCTGCCTTCAAACCGAAATCCAAGAGGAAGTCTGGAGCAGCTCGCAGGGCCAAGAAGATGGCCGCTCAGTCTGTGTGACCTCTCAATCACCCTGAATCTGGTTAGAGCTCCAAACATAATCACTGGGTTTGGATTTTTAAGTATCTGTTGCAGTGGAATAAAATAAGAAAATGGGAAAGTTTTCTTCATTTCTTTTCTGTGAAATACAAGAAACTTTATCAACCTGAAGAGAGCAGGAAAACAGTTATCGTAAACTCACCTGAGCAGCAGCGAAGAGTAGATAAAAAAGATAAGAGAAGATAGTGTTGTAAAACTAAAAACATGGCTCTCAGACTTTAAGTTGTTTTGGGAGATTTTAACTGGCTGAGAAAATGTACTTTAGAGTAAATTAACATTCTCAAAAATCCTCTAAAATCCTGCAAGAAGCTGAGGGACAATCTATGAAAGTTAAAGGTAATTAATGGTTCTTATAGGTGATGTCCCATTCTGCCAATTGTTTCTCCGAAAGACTATTAACTGAAATGAAACCTGATTGTTTTTATGAGTCATGTCTTGAGACTGGAGTTCCTTGTGAAAAAACACACCCAGAAACACTCTGCACATGCAGAAAATAGAGATAATAGAGACCACACGCTCTGAGAGGGTCATAAAAGATGATAATAAGTAATACACTTCTTTTCTCTGCTCTGTTTTTCAGGCATTTTTACAAAGAATTCAGTCCAGTGTGGGTCAACAGTTTTTCATGAACTCTAAGCTCAATTTATGAGGTTAATTTAAAAAAAAAAAAATACAGTACCTATCAGAAATTAGAGGAATAATAAAAGCTTGGCCTTGGTGAGAAAAACATCTAAATTATAAGGTAAAACATCATTCAGACAAAATAATTTCAAGACAAAAAAGTACTCCGTATGAAATGAAAAGTAATGTGAATTAAGCAAAAAGTAATGTAGAAATCATTAAAGTAACTCGGAAATATCAGTGTAAAGTCAGTAGTTTAGAAAACGTGAAAAAAAAGTCGTGGTGAGGAAAACAAACTCATTCATTATGATGATTTGATACGACTGATTGAACCAAATGAGACTGTCAACAAGGAGACAGATTATTTCCATACAGTCAGTATTAACCCTAATAAACTTGTGGTGTGTATATGTGTGTGTGCGGGGGGGCATAATGTAATCAATCATAATTATTTTTGTATTTGTGATAATTATGTGAATTAAAGTTGTAGCAACAGGATGAAACAGAATTCAGAAGTAAGTAATTTTTGTAAAACAACTCGATTACAACAAATAATTACACTATTATAGGTTCCAAAGTCAGTTTTATGAGATAAAAACGTCATATTCATTAAATAAGAGTGAAGTGTTGGAGACAGAAATCAAATTACTAGACAGCCAAATGTATAAAACAGTTCGATTTTATGTTAACGACTTCACAATGTTCAATTTAAATTCCATAACTCTGACAAATCATCACCTGATAATTTTTCATAAGGATTTTCCTCCTGGTGGATTTTCTTTTTATTTAACTTTTATTCTGATAGTTTTCCTTTGTTTTATCATTTCAACTTTCAATCTCATAGTAATGACAAAATCAAACATCTGCAGCGCTGCTCTCCCTGTTTTTGAATCTTGCGGAATTGAGCTTTCATGCACCTCATTGCAGCTTTAGCTGGAGCCACTAGATGGCAGCAATGGCACCTCTTTAGAGCCCCCTCACTTCTGGTCGACAAGAGTTTGTTTCTGCAGAGCTGTTACTGGAGTCTCAGTGTACATTCAGAGCAGATTTTGTTGTCAGGAAGGACAAACACGTCTGTGCTGAGAGTTTGACTCAACTCACATAAACACACAGAGTGGAGAATGGTTTCCAGTGAAACAGGCTGCCTTACAAAGCAGATTGATTTGTACACAGAACACCCTGCCAGAGCCACACACTGTATGTGTTTGATAAGAGAGAACAGTCATATTGAGACATACACACACACAGTTTTATTCATGTTTATCCAGGATGAAATGTGACAGCAGACCGACACAGACTGCAGGGAGGTGTTTACATCAAACCTCAACCTAAACCCAAGTTTGTGGGGTACTATACTGTCCACAGGAGGGCGCCAAAATGGACACAGACTGAGAGTTCCTTGCAGGAGCCTTGAGCTGCTATTGGACCAAAAGTATCCAGAACTTTTAGTGCCAGAGTCCAAACGGTTCCTTTGGCCTGTTGAGGTTAGCTTGCCTCCACCTGATTAACTCTCCCTGCTGAGCTGGACTCCAGCTGATATTGTAAAAAAGGTTGTTACCTGGTAAGACTAAGGTTTACATGATTTTTTTTTACATTTCCACACCTGTTGTTTTGTGTTGTTTTTCAACTTGTTTTGCAGCATTTTCACGACCAGAAAGAAATCCCATAGTCACGTTTTAACAATATAGACATAGACAAGTTTTTACCAAAGTCTTCTACTTGGAGGTCCTTTTTTATTTTGGGAGAAATAAAGTTAATATAGAGACACAAGAGAGACAGGAAAAGAACAAAGAAACCTTGAGGTGAGCTAAAGTAGAGGAATTCAGCAGACAGGAGCAGAGTTCAGCTGAGATTTTTAAGAAGCTGAGCTCTGAAGTGTGATTGAAATGCTAAGCAGGTAAGCAAAGATCCGTACCCGTCAGCCATCCTCTCTGTGAAGTGGAAATGAGCCAGATCAGATGGAAAATACAGGGGGGTGGGAAATACAGCTTTTTTCTGCTCTGATGATTTGATGTCACATCAAAACTTTGGACCAAAGTGTGAAGATGAAATGCAGGCAGGCAAAAAGTTACTCAGGGAGGAAAGACGAAGCAGGTGTGAAGTAAAAAGAGACAAAAAGAAGTGCTGCTTTAAGATGAAACCAATACAATTAATTCTCGCTTTCAAGAAAACTGCTGTTGGTAATAAACCTTATAAAGAGTGAGCTGACAGCTCTGTGAGGCTGTGTTTACATGCACAGCAAAGCGTGGAGCGACAGACATATCATTGTTTACATGTTTATCAGCATAAACCAATGAAACCAGAGGCAACATCATGATGTCAGAGTATACCATACATTATTTCTGCAGTGGGTTACCATGCCCTGTTCACAGAATGTCTATGTTGCACTGACTGCAACTCCTTACTGGCAGGCCTCCCAGCATGCAGATGATCCATTACACAGCAGCCTGTCTGGTCTTCAACCAACCTAAAACCGTCTTAATTACTAAATATGTCAGAGTCTCCCATCTATCAGGTTCTCGTGCTGCCAACACTGAGTGTAGATACAAGTCAGAGTCATCGCTGTGTGAGTCAAGCTGATTCAAGAGTCCTGAAATTCAGATTGAAGTTGGACTCGAATCTGAATCCTGGACTTTTCAAGTAGTGATGTGCATTTCGGCTTTTTTAGTGAGCCAGATCTTTCGGCTCAGCTCACCAAGAAGAGCCGGCTCTTTCAGCTCCCAAACGGCTCTTCATTTTACCGCTTTTACATTTCGTACTCTCCTTGTCGCTCCTTTCCCTCCTTAGCACATCCGTCTAGTGAGCACAAGCACATGGCACACCCCCTCTGCTTGGTGTATCCTTCCGTGATTCGTTGCAAACAGCATGCATTTGACAGTCATGCACTGCGACCGACGCATCACTATTTTCAAGCAAGAAGCAGCCAGTTCATTAAAAAATCATGTTGGATACATTGAAACAGGATTTTTGGAAATGTTTAAAAAAAGAGAGCCTTTGCTGAAGTTGATAAATCTTTCAGGCTACTGTGGTCCAAAACAAAGAAAGCACACCTGGACTAACTCCGCTTTATCAGCGTTTTGCCCTTTTTTTAAACGAGAAACAAACTTGGAAATAGTGATAAAGAGCATTCAAACTTGTTTCCTTTTTTTAACAGGAGTCTTATATTGGTATTTATGTTAATTTCAGTGTCTCTTTTATGCTGTTACATCTCATGTTTTGGGCATGCTCCATGTTCTGCAGATTCCTCTTAATCTAATCTCATGTTGTTAGTATGAAATAGCTCTCTTGCCTCAATCTGCTGATATCGCCGTCTACAAACGCACTTTAAATCTCAGACTCAACTATTCGACTGCTAATTAATTAACCCCTTTATCCTGGTGAGACAATTGTGATCGGGACAAATGAAAACAAGAGATCCAACACATCAAATAGCGAATCTTTGGTATCTGAAACAAGGCGACAATAGCCAAAAGAGACCAGCTGTTTCATCCCCCTCTGAAGTGAAGCTGGAATTTGTGAAGAGAGGCGAGCTGAAAGGGCCGGCTGTCACTTCTATCCCCGTCCCGTCTGAAAGCGTTTCCTGTCTGAACCCTCGCTGACCTTTGAAGCAGCTCTTTAATCTGCACAGAACAAAGACTGAGAGCACACTTACACTGCAGCAGGTGGCCACACACTCACACACCTGAGCACACACACACACACACACACACACACACATATGTACACTTGAAAGCCCAGAAAGATGTATTCAAGACACATCTGTGACATTTAAACATGGAGATTTATATTCCCAACACTCAAGTGAGTACAAGGAGAGAGCTGCAGATTCGAACACACCTCTGTTATTATTATAAAGAAACTGAGAACTCAGCACTCTGTCTGCTTTATGTCTCTTAAAGGACCTATTTGGTAGAACGGATAGTGTCAGCTGTACAGATAGTCCCTTCAGCTCTGAGCTAATGATATATTCTGTTAGCTCTATATTTTCACCAAACTCCCATTGTGGCCTGATGCTCCAAATGTTTTCATGTCAGGACTACAGGCAGACCAGTAGGACTCTTCTACTACAGAGCCATGCTGTTGTAATCCCTGTTGTCAGAATGTGGTTTGTCATTGTCTTGATGAAATTTGAAGGTCTTCCCTGAAAAAGTCTTTGTGTGGATGGCAGCAGATTTTGCTCCTAAACCTGTAAAAATTGTTCAGCATCAAAGGGGCCTTCACAGGTGTGGAAGCAACCCATGACATGGACTCTGATGATCCCCATACCACCAGGGATGCTGGCTTTGGACTGTATGTTCATAACAAGCTGAGGATACAGTGTCCATGATTTCCAAAGTGAATGTCAAATTTCAGTTCCTTGCTTTGGTTTGGTCCATCACGTGTTCATGTCTGGTTTCCTTTTTGCGTAGTTCAGTTTTAATCTGGATTTGTAGATGCTGTGACTATAGTGCAGTGCAGAACCCATGCAGTGATTTCCACTCCAGAGTCATGTCTGTTTTTAATGCAGTGCCGCCTAGGGGGTTTGTAGACCAGAACCCATCCAGTCCTGGTTTTTGGCCCTTTTCTCTTTTTTACAGAGATTTCTCCAGACTTTTTGAACTTTTTTCTGGAATTATTGAATTTGTCACGATCAAGGTCAAGTTATATTTATTTTGTTCATTTCATGTCTTACGTCTCCTGTGTGTGTTTTTTTTTTTTAACTCACTAACACTGGTTTCTCTGTTTCAGATGTGTTCCTGTCTGCCCTGCCCCAGTCTTGTCATGCTTGCTTCCTGATGGTTCCTCCCCACCTGTCTCCCATCACCCTTATTACCCCTTGTACTTAACCTCATGTCTCTTACAGTCTCGTCACCATTTTGTTGTACCTTTTGATGCGTTTCAGCACTCTTTCTAGTTATCACAGTCTACGTTATCGACCTTGTTAGTTTTTGACCCTGCCTTTAGCCCAGTGGTTCTCAAGTCCAGTCCTCGAGGCCCACTGTCCTGCATGTTTTGAATGTTTCCCTGCTCCAACACACCTGATTCAAATGATCAGCTCGTTATTAAGCCATTACAGAGCTTGATAACGAGCTGATCATTTGAATCAGGTGTGTTGGAGCAGGGAAACATTCAAAACATGCAGGACAGTGGGCCTTGAGGACTGGACTTGAGAACCGCTGCTTTAGCCTAACGTTTTGAACACCTCTGCCTGTTATTCTGCCTTATTGTGTACCAAACTTGGACTGCTAATTAACCGGGTTTTTTTGTTTTTACTGTTGGAACTGCAGGTTTGCATTTGAGTCTTTTGCCACAGTCAGTTCCTGAAAGAACGTGGTGAATCTCCTCCCAAAGGTCAGTTTCTCTGTAAAGTTTAGAAAAACTTTAGGTTCCTCTTTAGTGTGTTATTGCTGAGAGTTTGCCACCTGAGTCCCTTTTGTTTTCTGCTGAGTCATCTAATGAAAGGCTGTTAGACGCCTGGGATGTGAGTGATGCTCAGGTGTTGGCAGAGTTGGAGGATAAACCAGCCCCTGGGTTTTGCCGGCTCTACATCATCTCCTTATTATTGGGAATATAAAGGGAGTTCAACAGCAGGTCTGCAAGTGTTATAAATTTGGGGAAATAAAGATAACGAAGGGAAAGACAGTTGGGTTAAGAGGGATGTCCCTGTTTGGACAGGGTCCCTGAGGCCTGCACAATCTCCAAACCTGAGTGGGGAGGGATGGGGGGAGAAAGTAGGGATGATAGGAGGGAGAGTGTTGTATCATTTTGGGTTGGCAGGATCCCAAGAGAAAGATACTGGGAGCAATTATTATGAGCCCGTCTCTGCTTTCCCCTCTCACTTTCTAATACTGTTTTCTATTTTCTCTCTCTTGCTCCAGTTCCAAAAAAGGATACCGCTAAAACCAGAAGAGAGGAGAGGAGGGGTGGGGGAGACAAAGGGGGAGAAACCAGAGGAGGAAACCCCCTTGTTGGACTCCATCAGTGTGTGTGGATGAGCGTGGACGCTGAGGTCGCCCAGCAGAGCCAAAAGGACTAATTTCCACCACCGCCGCCATGGGGTGAGTACAAAACTTGAGCGAGAATGGGGGCTGTCGAAATAGACAGACCGCAACCGCAGCTATCCATGATGGAGTTTCCCATGTGTTTGTGTGAGTGTGTGAGGGAGTGAGTTTTAAGTTTCCAGAGAGTGTGAGGGAGAGTGACGAAGCGAAAAGTGCTCTTTCAGGGAGAGCCGGTGTGTGTTTTTGTTGCTGTAATTGGCTGCATAATGGAACAATCTAAGTGTAATTCCTTCTGAGCAAGACTTTTACACCACACAGAAAGTAAATTGCAGCTGGCGAATGTAAAAACCCACAACTTAAGGAGTACTGTTGGTGCAAAAAGTTCCACCAAAGCCTCTTTTTCCCTCCATTTATGTCTGAACGATTTATCCCCAGAGTGCCCCACTGAGCGTGTTAACTCTCACACGTCGACCCCTCCTCTGCGATGATTCCTCATGTGACGCCCACAGAGGAAGCATAAACAAACACAGGCCGAGATTAAAAAAAAGAAAAAAGTGGGCTTGGATCCCACTGTCCGGCTTCTAGCAGGACCAGTCCCATGGAGGTCATGGGACTTGAAGGCTGAATCTGGAGATTCCTCCTCACCTTTGACCTCCTGTTTCTGAGAGATAGGACTATTGGGACATGCCGGGTCAGCTGAGGGGAGCAGAGACTTTGGAGGGGTGCAGACTGGTCAGTTTTCTGTCATACCTGTTGTTCTGTCACATGTGCTTTAGGTTTCTTTTTCACCTGTTTGAGATCATTATTTTGCACAAAAAATGCAATCAATCAATCAACTTTGCATGCTTAAAAAGAGCAGGTTTGACATTTTTGTAGACATCTAAGACTCTCAAAACAGGCTTGCTACTTTATCCTTGTGCATGTAAGAAGAATAAGTAATTTCACCTTTACAGCACACTTAGATTTAAAAGTTTGTAACAGGCTCTGACAAATATCAAAACAGCCAACAGTAAGGAACGAAACATGGTGAAATGCTTTGAGACGTTCATATGTAAAGTCAAAAATAAAGTTCAGTCAAAAGGAATGAAGTAAGAAAAAAGCAGAGAAGACAAAAGTTCGAAGAGTTTGAGCGATTAAAAAGTACAACTTGTCTCATGTATTTGCAGAGCTGCCTGCTCCACTCCTCGCACACTCGCAGTCGAATCAGATGGGAAAGTAACTTGGGTGCATGGATTCTGATAATACGTGTTAGTCCACACCACATGCCATTGAGATATAATGACCAAAACGACGTCAAAATGTACTTAAAACAAATGAAAAGACAAGATTTAGAGTGAGGTCCAGACCTGAAGGCTAAAAAGCTGATTCTCCTGACGGCCTCAAAGCAGATTCAGAAGGATATGCTTCAGACACAATTAATCTGACTTTAAAAAAAAAGAAAAAAAAGAAAAAAGGTTTCTTTTCTTGAAGACAAACCCAACAAAGCTCGACTTTTTACAAATCTGCATTTAGTAGCTTTGCAGTGGCACACTCTAATGCCAAGATCATACTTGTGAATGAAAGGCGATGTAATGCTGTAAATGTTCCTGTTGATGCCTGTAACATAACCTGTGATGTGGCTGTGTGTTACAGAACCTTATAAGAAGGATTGCACCTATTTTTGCTGCGCTCACCTACACATTGATTCCTGCGTTCACCTCTGTCTGCATCTTAATGTTATTGTAGCAATGGCAATTAAATAACTTTTTCGTGGTTTGCACTGCTAAAACGACAGTAAAGCCTCTATGTTACTTAGTATTTGCAGTGAAACAGATGAACAGCTGACACAATGAGACATAATGAGCCAAGAAATAATAGCGTTACTTTTATGGACATCTGCAGAGGTAAATTTTGTTTCCGTTCAGACCGCACACTGCTAACTGGAGTGTAAACAATGCAGCACACAGCAAAAGTCGGCCGTCTTTACTGGAAGCATTTCTCGCTGTCAGTTGGCTCCAAGGTTGGCTTTGTGCAAAAGCAGGGGAAACTTTTTACTTCCATGCATCAAGTTTGTTTCAGAGTCTGTACTTTTCTGTTTTATTTCAGTGAAGCAGTCAGAGCTCCTCTTTTTCTGCAGACGCGTCTGTACCCCTGCTTGATTAAAGACTGTGTTTACTTCACCACTTTTGTTGATCAGCATCTCAAGTCGTCAGCCACCTGAGCTGAAGGATGAGTTCGTCCTGACTATATAAGGCCTCTTTCCCTCTCTTCTCCATCTGCGCTCTCGCTCCTCGTCTTGTAATCTGGCCCGCAGATCAGAACAGTGTAAATATCTTGAGGGGCCTTTTCGCTTTGTTTTTACCACAGAGGATCAGAGATGTTTATTTGCAGAGTTTTTTTAAAATGATGTGGGAAGTGGATGGCATGTAGCACCAAGGCCTGGTTTAGCTCAAGGTCTTGATGTGTGCTCAGTGGAGGAATTAGAGGTTTAGTGGGAAATGAGGCAGAGCTGTTAAATTTCTGGAAACTATTACGAGTAAATCCTCATTCTTACATCAAAAGTCCATCGGCTTAGTTTGAATTTAGCTTTGTTTGAAACAGACGGAAAGCTGCAATTACCAGTTTATGAGCGACAAAACTTCAGTCTGTGGTTGAAGGCTGCTGCAGCCAATATTTCAGTTATTCCTCATCGATTAAATGTTATATGACTTTCGTTGAGTGCAATGACAAATCCACAAAGAAATATCACCAAAAACTTCAGCTCTCTGACAGTTTTGAAGTTGTGGTTTGGAGGCTTTCAGCTCTTTGTTTTGGTTGAACAATCTGAAAAAGTACTGCTGAAGTTTACTGCTTTAAAAAGAACTATTTTAGGCGGCTTACTTTGGCTAAAAACATCCAAGAAATCCACCAAAGACTTCTTACTCAGAGCTGAGCAGCAGGAAGACAAAATTAGCAGCCAAGAACTGGAAAAAGGGAAAACCAATCTGTTAAACTGGGGAACAATGGTGGCCAGAAATAAGACTCTAAATGTGTGCTACTAATGCTCGCTGAAGGGCTGTGATTATGTTAAGGCTATATTCAGACGGAAAATAATGCAAAGAAAATATATTGGACTTTAAAAATGAACAAAAATGATGGTTTTATAAAACCCATCCCCATATGCCCATTTTATACAATCTTAACTTTATGGAACAAGAAATGACTGGAGAAAGGCAAGAGACCGGCCTGTTCTACAGTGTTGAGGTCTTTAGGCCCTATCTCCACTAGCAGCTTTGTGTGTGTGTGCAAACAGCAACACCTTAATTTCAAGACACTTCTTACAGACTTCATATCAATGATTACGTTGACTGGTTCCACATCCACCATAGTTGTTGACAAATGTTGCGTTCCAGTTACCTCGGAAGTCGGATGTCGGACACCTGAGTTTAAAGCGTTCCAGTAAACAAGTCGCAAAACCAAGATGAACACCGACTGTTAGCTGTGGTTAGCTGTTGTTTACAATTGTCAGCTGTTGTTAGTTGTTGTTAGCTATACCAGTTGTAAACAATGCATAAGACAGTATTTTACTCTTACAAGCACCATAGCACCGTGTTTACAATTAGACAATGGGCAAGTCAACATATACCACTCATTTAATTTCGCAAAAACAAAACAGAAGTTCTAATAAATAATACATTACGAGAGCGTTCACTGTTACTCTTTACTGATGATGCACGGCGCTGCCATCTTGGATTATGAAATTGTCGTCAAGCTGGGGTTGGCGAGGATCGTCCGACTATCCGAGTCCGAAGTCTGACTTCAGGGGAGCGTTCCAGATGAATTTCTGACTCGGAAATCCTGCAGCAAAAGTTCTTCAAAGAAGTCCCGCCCCTTCTTGATTTTGATTGGCTGGTGTAAGAGAAGCAAAATCAATGTATTCCAGCAGGTTAGGTATTTCCAACTGACTCAGTCATCAACTAGGTCCTGAGTGTAGCCTGCCCCTTACCCAATGACCCAGCCCCCCATGAATGAGATAGGTGGTATAGATGATAGATGGATGGAGCACTTTGTGGATGCAGAAAGGAAAGGAAACAAGTGATGCCATGTTGTTTTTTGCAGCAGGCACTGAGCCGCACTGAGAATAGGCCCTGACAGCACAAAATCGGTGAGAGAAGGAACAGGCCCTTGCACATGCGATGTAATGATGTAAACGAGTGAAATTGACCATATGAGCAAAGAAAGACTAAAAAATGTAATTTTACTGAGATATAATGTGTTTAGATCGACTCTATATTAAGGCTTTGTAACATGGGGGTCTGAAGGGACTGACTCACTTTTGCATTTGACCTCAAGTGGCCACTTGAAGTTTTGCACACTCTAGCAGGCTGATAATGTTTTGTTTGTTGCTTTATTAGTATTCATGTGAAACAAAAATCAATAAATGCTGCAAACAGTTTTACAGACCATCTCTTACTGCCGCAGTTCTAACCCCTGATTGGATATAAACACTGTGGCTGGTCACGTCTGTTTACACAGGGTTATATTTGCTCTTTCTGCAGCAGGAGAAAACCCTTCTGGGTGTAACGCTTTGATTAATGGCTGTGCTCCTCTGCAAGATTTGGATTAGGCCTGTGAGCCCCGCTTCAAAGTTATTGCTTTATAATGGGAACATGTAAGCAAAGGCCATATGCTTTTCATCACTCCACAAATAACAATTACATAATGAAATGAAGAAACAGAGCAGGATCAAAGATGTGAATGCAGAAGGGGATGTTTGGAGACGGGGGAGTGTGTTCATAAATCTGTGTGTTTGTTGTTCGGTTCACATTCCCTCTTTCTTCTTCGTCCTTTCCATGTTTTCTTGACATTTGATGTGTCTACTTGGTTTCTTTTGAGGTTTGTGAGTCACTTATTCCCTCTGGAGTGACAGTGATAAAGCCAAGTTACTATTGTGTTCATGTGAACATTTCTATTTCAGGATGCAAGTTACTCACAGCCATTCTTCAGATAAAAATAAAGCCCAAAAATTAGATAAGAAGTAGCAGAAAAAGTAGAAGAGTGGGCGTAATAAAGGGAACAGATGTGGAAACGCTCTTTTCTGCTTCATTTAGCTCTTAGAGATCCAGCAAATATGGCAGACTGACCTGGAAACCACTCTGAAAGTGCTGGTTTTTACTGCGTTTTGAGATCGATACTCAGAGGAACAAAGATTGCGTTTTCACGCCTGTCTAACACCTTCACACCTTTGCAAAACCTCATGTCTGAAACTCCCTCTTTCCTCCAAGGTGCCCGTCAGGAGCTTTAATATCACCAGCTGGCTAATGCGCTGAATCTAGGACACGTTTCCACCACAGAGGTGAAGAGTCAGCCAGCCGACCGGCGCCTCAGCGTTTATGTGAGCCAGGGAATCGACTCAATAAATCTGTGAATGGGAGAGAATAAACAGATTCAGGTCCACAGAGGGAAGCTGAGTTATTTGACCGTTTATTTTAGCCGAGGCCAGAGCTCGCTCACACCTGCTGTACATCACTGATAATAAGAGTTTTCCAGGCGTGTGTGCAGAGATCAGAAAGACAAGCCAGGCTGCTTAATAAGATCCTCCATCTCTCAGTTTGTATTCAAATCATCGAGCCATATCCAGCTGAAATCTGTCTCCATGAAAATTGTGATCAGTCAAAATCTGACTTTAAATGTTTGGATGAGATACAGTTTGATGGAGCTGAGAGTGACAACAGAGCATGGACTTAGTCTCAGTGGCTGGATCATTAACCAGCAGGGGGCGACGTGAAAAGAAACCCACTTGTAAAGAATCTAGATGAAAACAAGCCTACTTTTCACAGGATTTACTCCCTTATTAAATTGTTTACTGATGAATTTATGGTCTCTGTATATCTTGGACTAGCTTGGACTAGGTTCTGCTGTTTAGTCCTTCCAAGCTTTTCCTACTTGTTGTCCAGTTACAGTTGTTTCTGGATCTAAATGACGGAGAATATGACCACCAAATAAATGTCTCCTAATAAAAAGTGTGCGGATGGAGGAACAAGGGTGTCACCTCTAAATGTGGTTATATTATATTATCTTTATTAAAGGTGGGGTAGGCAGGATTCCATTAAAAGAAGCATCTTTTTTGTGGTGTATATACAAAAAAGCTTTAATATCAGTCAATAGCTATTAGTTATTGATGACATTTGGTAATATAACGATATCGCTGTGTTTTGCTTTGTCTGTGTAGTCAACATTTTAAATTTTTTGAGCGGCCCGCTCTTTCTGACTGTAAACAAAGCCATTCTCCACCTTCCCCTGACCTGATTGGTAGTGAGGCGGATGCTGCTCCTTAGTGCTGATTGGTTGTGAGGCAGATGCTGCTCCCTCGTGTTGTGAGGCATGCTCCACGCCTTCCAATAATGTGCACTAGCCCAAACAAAGTTAACGTGCTACAACATCGGACAGTAGAAACCAACCAGAAAGTACTGAAAACACAAGCAATAAAACAAAGTAAATACTGGAGACTGTGGCGGAATTAAGGGGGCACTTAAAACGGAGGTAGACCGAACAAGAGCTAAGAAGCCAGGTCAACATCAGCATAAACGATGGGTCTATGGATCTTACAGACTCTGTAACCTTTCTACTGGACAGGTAAACTGCTTTAACAAAGTAAGCCAATTGTCTGTATCAAAAGTGTTTCTTGTTAAACTGTTTACCTCGGGTCCTGGAGTATGTCACTTTATGCTAGTTTTAGAAGTCAAACATTGTGTTTGCTGGTAGTCTGTTGGCATCTACAGTAGCACCAATGCTTTTTACTTTCATGTTGACTGGGCCCCATTTGTAATTATCTGAAGTATTTATTTGCAGTATATCTGAATTTAATTGAAATGATACTCGAGCAAGCAGGAGCGTCTGTTTGTGGGAGGGGCTTTCTGGAGCAGAGAGGGAGGGGAGAGGAGGAGCTGAGGGGAAAACTGGTTGGGAGGGGTCGTGTTTACAGTCAAGATTTCTCCCCAAAAACTGGCACTTCCTCAGATCCTGCATACCCCACATTTAGCTTTAGAAATCATATAATAGCAACCACACGTCCTTCTTCCTATTTCACTATCCGAGTTTCGCCCGTCCACAGCTGCCTCCCCCGGCTGACCGTCAGCATCCAGAGCAGACCTCCCCGTGCAGGGATGACTCTGATTGATACACGCAGCCCCTGCCCTACCCCGAGACTGTTACCTAACACCTACTGCTGGCTATTCATCAGCAGGCTGCTACACAGCGGCTAATCCAGTTAGCACAGGAGCTCACTGAGGTAGCAGAGTGCAGGGGTGTTTATTTTCCTCTAATAAAATGCTGCAGTGATATATCCTCTCTGTGAACAGTTTTCTCAACAAAGCAGCTTTTTCATTTTAGGAACGAAGTTTGACTTCATTTCGTCAGCCTCATTTTGACACATTTTATACTCTGCGTGTTTTTGCTGAGTGGTGCAGTGCTGTAATTCCTCCTGTCCTCTGTGTAACTTCTCCTTTCATCAGACTTTTTTGTGCATTGTCCTTGAGTATTCCTCCACTTGAAGGATCTTAATGAAAAGAAGTGTTTGCATTTTAATGAGGTTGAATATGCAGGAATATTTGATGAAAATACGATAAAGGAGACGGAGGGTTTGAGCTAAAGACTGAGGGTTATTGTAAATGTCACATCAGTGACGCTGCTGTAACTCTAACCTCATTAGTAATCAGTGTGTCTGTCAAAGGTCTTTTCTTGCTCTCTGCTTTACAGACTGAAGTTCGCGTCTCCTCACAGTGATCTGACTGATTATCTGCCTGTTTCAGAGCTTAATAGAAGATAAAATTCACAGCTGCCAGATAGTAATTTACCCCTGACTTCCAGACTAACATTATGAACTATATGCTATGAATAAAAACCATCAATAGAGCTTTATATTAGACCAACAGATTTTTTCAACTGCTGGGTATTTTTGATATATATTCATAAACTGGAGATATGTAAAGCAGTTTGAAATTAAATTAATAAATAATCTTAAAAAAAACTTAAATTTCGAGTCTTCTCAATAACAAAGTGGCAGCCTCTATTGTTAGTAAATGAAGGCAAGGCTGAGGTGCGAAAAACTGTAGTTCCTTTATCGCCCACTAGTGGCTGTTTGCAAACGCAGCGATTCCAACTAAGCCTTATTTAATTAGTTAAGCTTAACTTTACAACAGAAATAAGAGACTGGCTCTGAAATATTGGATTAAGGTACAACTTTTTTGTTGACTCCAAGTTATATTTGCAAATTTATGAACAGGTTATTGCTTGTTAGCATCATTCAGTCAGCTAAAAGATAAATTCAGTCTACCCAAGTTGTATTTTTGTCACTTTTAAAAATTCAGCACTTAATACCCTCCCACTGGAGCGTCCCTTTCTCCATATTTTAAACAACATATCAGGCATCTTCTTTCTAAATTTATGTGTTTGGCAAAGTTCATTGTCCTTGTTCTACTGTCTTAACATTAAATAACGATAAATATTTTTCAGGAAGTGGTGAAAACTACAAAACAGGACAAAATTATATAATAATTAGAGGCAAATTTCGAAATGAAATGTTCTTAAAACAGTCAGAACAACGAGACAGACATTTGGCAAACTTGTCTACATATCAAAAAGTGGATCCTTGGGTTTGGTCCCCTAGTGGGTAGTGGAGGTACTGCAAATTGACAACAAGAAGTCATTACTAAAATCTAAAGTCAACTTTACAATTTTTCAAAAATGCACTTTTGCTCAGTTTTATATGTTATAAAACTATTAAAGAATATTAAAGGTCTAAAGATTCATTTGCACTCTGAATTAGATTTTTTTTTAATGCAATAAAATCATATTGAGGATTACTTAAACATGGTCACCAATGTTGATTAGTTGTATAATCTAAGGGTTGTGGTATGTCCTGCCCATAGTTGTGTCATGTCTGCAAACAGTGCAAAATAAACAGGCTTTCTTAATGTGAAACAAATGCTTGGGTCAGATTTTCTCAAAGTTAGACCTTTAGCATCAAAGGGGCTGAACTGACTGGCATCTTATTGGAGCTATTATACTTACTAGGGACATAAATTTAATAATAAAATAAAAAATAAAAAAACAGAAATACCCCTTCAATCTTGACTGTTCATGCATGAGTATTATTACAAAAACTGTTGATTAAATAGTATTTGAGTTTGTTTTACTAATTATCTGTAGAGTTAAACAAAACAGGAGAATCTGAGGCGTTTCATTTGCAGTTATTGATACTGTCACTAGGGGGTGCCAAAGCTCTGATTTTTTTTTTCTGAATATTTCTCAAATGGTAGCTTTAAACTCATCTTTTCATCACAAATCCAAGTTTTCCTGCAGTATTTATGTAGACCATAATTCTATAAGTAAAAAATGTGTTTGGGGGCTTACTGGACTAGGTACCTCTCACCTGCTCTGAGCCTCCTCTTGGTGACGTGACTTCTGTAATTATTGACCAGGGAACATGTGGCTGAGCTGTTTGTACGGATCAGACCTGCACGGACACAAGAGCATCATGGGACTTACACAGAGAGTGTGCAGTATGCATGTGTGTGGAGGTTAGAGAGCAAACACCATCTGAGCACAACCCTAGGGCATCACACACACACACACATACAAACAGCTTTAATGAGTGTGTTTCCACTCAACGCTGATTTTTCCCCCACAGTGTTTCCACAGGATTATTTTCCATGCACACACATTCGCCATGTTTCTGAGAAGCAGCACACCTGATAAAGGTAAAAGTCAGACTCAGAAAGAGGAAAATAAAGATATTAGAAAGGTGTCTTTGCCTGAGTTAGTTTGATGTTTGATGACTCATGTTTGGTTATGGTCTGCATTGATGTGAAATGAATCAGCACTTCTCTAACAATGTGACACAGTTAACCATTTCTTCATCTGAATGTTATGTCTGCTTTGTTTGCACCCAGACTTGTTTTTAAAACTAGGCAAAAGTACTTAAAATGCATTTTAAAGACAACTGAAAGAAATACTGTTTTGCAAATTACTGGAAGACCCGATTCCAGATCATCTGCAGAGGTTTGACTGTGCACGCAGGGAGGCCTGCCAGTAAGGAGTTGCAGTGGTCAATGTGAGTCTGTACCAGGAGCTGTGTTGTGTGCTCTGCCAGGTGGGGTCTGATCCTTCTGATGTTACAGACGGAAGGTGGTGATTGTTAATTTCCATCTTAGAGTGTTCTGATGAAATATCTCATACTGCTGTCTTTTAACAGTCAAATATATCATATATCACGAATATTCAAATGATTATAGAAAAAACAGGGCTGCCATATCAGCTGCTTAGCTGCTACCTGTCCCCTCAAACATTACCATTTAGTTTTGAAAACTACAATATGAAGATCTTCAATCTTGTTGCTGAGGATCTAGTTTTAGGGTGACCATATTCTGATTCCCCAAAAAGAGGACACTACCACACAGGGCGGAGTCGCACATAATATACTTTGAGGGTTTTTCGGGTCAAGTCTAGTGTTTTTTATGTGCTTCTAATTCAGTTAGTTCATGCTACACAAGCTCAAAACTTTCATACAAAACTCCAGACATTTGAAGGATTTTGTAAACTCCCTCGGACAAAGCTGGACAAGGCTGGACAGCCCCCCAAAAAGAGGACATGTCCGGGTAAAGGAGGACGTATGGTCACCCTACTAGTTTGCTTTGCAGATCATGAAATCTCATCACTGTTAATTTTAGGGAATTTTAGTGGTGAAAAATCTCTCCGAGAAGCTTCAGTAACTCGTGCATTTTGATGCCGTGAAAGCTGAGAGTTGTGCATAATCAGGCATAAGTGGGGGCGGGGTTAATTTGGCTGACAGGTGAGCCTAAAGTAGCCTGCCTCAACCCATGTTTTTAACAATAGTTCACACCAGCTCTGTTCAAAAAGTGGGCACAATGGTGGAGCATGAAGTTTTCCTAACATCTTAACACTGCTTGTTCGTACCAAAATGCCATTAAAAATTGGATCAAACTGGAGACGGTTTTCATTTTTCCAGAGCAGTCTGGTCTGTATGTCAGCTTCGTCATCCTTTCACGGATTAAAGTCCGTCATTGTTTTTGTAGGAGTGTTTCTAAGGACTACAGACACAGCAAACCTCAGCGTCTGGCAGGTACAGCTACAGTACATGCTTAGTTTAATAATCACATCTGTCTAAGTTCCTTACCTCATATTCCTCTAGGAATTTACTTCATCATATTTCCACATTATCCACAGAAGAAGAAACATCATTTCCCTTCCAAATTAGGAAAAAAGATGGCTGTGACGGCTCCTTTCTCAGATTACCTGACAGAATGCAGAGTTATAAATGAGATCACTGACAAACAACGCAGTGAAACGAGAGAGGAAATCTCTGCACATCACCATGCAGGCAGATAGATGCATCCCAGATGGGCCCAACAAATGTGAGTCTATCTGAGCTGAATAATACAGTCCTTTATGACTGTGGAAACTGCCATAAATCTGTTCGGTTATTGAGGGGAGCATCTGTCATATGAGATAGATAAACAGAGAACTGAGAGCATTTCTGGAGCCAAAGACCTCTCAGAGACTCATGGTTGCTAGGATGGCATTGTTTTCTGACATATTTGAGGCAGTTGGAAATCACGCTGAACATCCAACAATGTCAAAGCAAACAATAGACTCCCTAAACTTTAAATGGAATGGTTTAATTCAAGATGAGCCTCGAAATTAACAGGAATGCACAAACAAGTTTACTCACTGAATGGTTTCAGGCTAAAAATCATTCGAATTTTTCGAAAAGAGGCCAGGAAAGAAAAATTGCAACCCACCCTGACCCTTCAAAGTTGTAGAGCTGAATTTTCCCTGCAACTTGGATTTCACAACAAAAAGCATTCAAGTTTTGAATTTGATGCAAACTTTGTCTGATTTTGCTGAAAGTATATTAGAAATATTGTTTTCTGACACCAGGCTGCAGGTTTGTCTCCGAACAGAATCTGCTCAGCCCTAAATCAAATCATGGTGTCTTTAATTCACAATAAATCCCACTTATCAAGATTGAACCTGAATCATGATGTTCTTGCTCAAAACTCCATGATTACAGCAGGTGGATCTGTTGACAAAGCTTGAAATATCATGACTAAATCCCTACCTGAGACAAATACTGTTAAAAGACTCGGCTATGATAAATATGCAAACTCCTAAAAGCTGAGAAAAGAAAGTTTGCTCATCAACATTTCTCAGTTTGTAACTTTTGGACATGCAACAAAAATAAACGTCATAAAAGTGTCACAAAGCAGATGTTTTTTCTTGATTTAACTTTAGCTGCATTGGGTTTAAAGCTACTGTGGGGAGTTTTTCATATGTACAAAATAGACTGAAATTAATTCTGATGCCTTTTTATGATATCGAAAAACAATGCAGACCATCAGGGGAAAGAGTGATGACTTGTATTCTATTATTTTTAATGCTTGAAACTGGTGTGAGGAGGTAGTCGCCAGCCAAACTGCCGAATAAAACATCCTGTTTTAACAATTTTCAGGTTAAATATTCACAATACATGAAAAATTTGACAATCATAAACCAGTAGGACCAGTTTTTTTTTTGTCAAAACACTCCACTTCAGCTTTTACAGATAAGGAAAGACTGTGTTGAGCCAAAATGAACATAAACTAAAAGTTACTTACAGGAGCTTTGATTGACTTCTTATCTTCAACATAAAACTTGACCGTAATATTTGGAATAATAACACCTTATTTTCTTTTAATAGGTCATGTGGAGATCAGGGACTTTGTGTTGAACTACCCCTAACTAAACATAGCTCTGCTTGTACTTAACTTCCAGCTAAAAATACAAACAAACAGCTAATTTTTTAATATGATTTTAATTCAAAAATTATTAATTTGTGCAACACTCCTAAACAGTTGGTAGCAATGGAGCTCTTATCAGCATATTTAAGGGTCAAATTAACATTAAACTTCACATTTTTATTCACTACAGAGTCTTAACATTGATCTAATCTAGCAGATAATAACAAAGGCACCTGTAAATTTTTTCTAATTCAGTCTGTTCTGTAACTCTGCCAGAGTTCATACAGTTACCTTGTTTATGGTGGCTTTGTGTCTGTCTGTTCTCTTCAGTGCAAAACTGCCAAACTATTTGAACAAGTACTGAATTACCTTTATGATAACACAAGATATCAAACTTAGCAGGAATTTGTCAACAGGAAGCGGACACATTAACTGTATCAGAGAGTGTGACGTGATGTCTGGTTGTCCCTGGTGTTGCTCTTGCTATACAGAATCAATTAACATTATAATGGGGATTTTGACCAATCAGAATCAAGTATTTCACACACACTCAGAGATCTTTTATGGATTGACAATGAATATTTAGGTGCTTAGTCCTGCTGGTAAACAATTGCATGGTAAAAGATTTCAGCCATAGTACATGAAGCATAAAGTAGGTTTTATCTCTGCATGTAAAAAAACACGTGCCTTTATGAACAAATTCTTTTTAATTCAACCACAAAGATGAGGAGGCTGCAAATTCACCTCAGGGGAAATGTTCCTCACTGAGATTGCTTTGTAACTGAAGGTTGAGCTTTCATTTTATTATTAAGTTTTTCATTTATTTTCACTCTGCTGTGTCAAAGCTGTTCGAGTTGAAGAAGAATGAGAATGAAAGGGAATGATTCATATTTTCTATGAACAGATTTACTTTCTCTTGTCTTCTTTGAGGCGTTCAGGAAATTGCATTTCTCTCTCAGGGATTGGGAGCGTCAGCAGTGACCTCTTCTTTTTATCTGCTGCATTCAAACTCCCTCAAACTGCTTTGTGTGTTTGAAATAAACGAATTCAGTGTACTTTGTTTTTGGTAGTTTCAGTCAGCAGATTGGTGAGAGTTCTGCTTTCCAGCACAGACTGAAGGCTTCAGGACAGATTATGTCATTTAACTTGAATGCTGTTGAAGGCATTCAAACTATTTCATCGACAACAAACTTCCTTTTCAGCTGGCTCCTGCTCTCTCTTCCTCTGAGATTTATTCATGTTGTCCTCGCTCTGCGCTGACACTGTGCAGGCCGCTCGTCTGTTTCCCCTCAAACATTCGCAGGGATAGAATGAAGCTTTCAAACAAAACTGCTCAAAAACAGCTCTGTTTAGAGGAGGAATTTTATCTCCTAAAACTTCAGAGTTTTGGAGATGTAACGCTGCACAGCAAAGCTATGCCATATTGTGCTGCAGAGCATTTAGACTTGAAGCTTGTGCAAAGAAGACTCTTAAATTTCATCATCAGAGCAGGTTTTCTGTGGCAGCACTCTTCTTTAGGTGCAGCTGATGGTCGGCTCAGGGTTTATTTCCTCGCTCCGTGTTTCAGACTTGTTTGCAGAGCGGCTCCAGACGGAAAAGCCTGAGGGCAAAGTCCACTGACACAGCAAAGAATGAGCAGAAATATCCCCACATTAATGAGTTACATAATGCATGACTGTGCACATGTGTGTGTGGACAGTTTCTTGATGTGTGTGCATGTTTGGGACGTTTTATAAACCTTTAGTGACTTAAAGTACTTTTGCATAGAATTCAAATAAAGGCTTATATTGTGTTTAATTTTGCAGCGTAAACATGTATATTCTTACATTTTGTATTTCTTTGCATAGTTGTTCTTATTTCTTTGACAACTTTCTGAGTGTCTGTGAGACTTTGTTTGCATATTAGGCTATCAAAGGAGATGAACATGCACCATCCCATATTAGCTACAAAGGAGATGAACACGCACCATCTCATATTAGCTAACAAAGAAGATAAACACGCACCATCCTATATTAGCTAACAAAGGAGAGAGCGCATCATCCCATATAAGCTTACATAGGAGATAAACATGCACTATCCAATAACAGCTAACATAGGAGATAAACACACACCATCCTATATTATCTAACAAAGGAGATGAACGCGCACCATCCTATAATTAGCGACGAAGGAAATGCACACGCACCATCCAGTATTAGCTAATAAAGGAGATAAACGCACACCATTCTATATTACCTACAAAGAAAATGAACTCGCAGTATCCCATATTAGCTACATTTCCACAACAGAGTAAGGAACTATCAGACAAATCATGTCCATTGTAGGTGCAAAGACCAGTTTCTTAATATTATTGCAAGGAAATTCTTTCATCCAGTTCTTTCAAATTTGCTGCTCCTTTTTAAAATCTGAAGCCACATTTGTTCCTCTATCATGCAGAGATATTATTGTTTTATAATGTAAACAACCAGATTTCTCTGTATGCATGTAACCACCATATCCTGAATATGATCTTAACCAATATGAGGCTCATCATCAGGACCCTTAAGTCCAAGTCAACGCTCTCTGAATTATTATTGACAAATCAGGACAAAAGTGAGGTGAATTTCACGATTGTCTGGCTGCATCATTTGTCTGAGCTTTCCAAAAGTCAGTCCTGCAAACATTAAACCCCCTGATCTGACTCTGTTATTACTTTTTTACAGATAGGCACAATAAGGACTTGGCAAAGCATATGGAAAAACAGTGTCATGGTTTAAAAATGCTGATTATAGTTAGAAAAAGGAATGAGTAATCGTCTCTCAGTCTGATATTTTCTCACTCCTTATCAAAGTTATACTTTTTATTTCCACAATAACTTAAACATGTTAAGGCTTGTATTCAGACTTAAACCATAGTTTTTCTTTAATAACAGTCTCCAACTCCCTTCAGAAACGGACTGAGAGAAACTGGACAGAGAGCTTGTGGGGACACTGTCTCTCTCTTATCAAACAACACTCTGGATAACACAGACAGACGCTCCTCTTAAATCTGCAGGCAGCACTTCAAATTTCCACTAACAGTCTGAATGCAGATATTATACAGAAGTGCTGTCTGTGTTTGAGACGCTAAAAAGAATCTGTGAGCTAAAACCTAAGAGCAGAGCCGAAAACACTTTCATGCCCAAATATGCAAATATATAGTGTAATTTTGTCCGATAGTGCCTTGATGAATGCATTACAAAAAAATCATCCTTAAATGTGTAGGGATTAATGAATGAGTTACAGATCCAAACACTTTTTTGTACCAGGCTGTAAACCTGTTTAAGTTTGCTGAAAAAATAGACATTTTAACATAGGAGTTAGTGGAGATTCCATAGCTTTCATAGCCAGCCTCTAGTGGCCACTCGTGGTATTGTTTTTTTGTTTTTTTGTTTGTTTTTTTTTTTTTTGGGGTGGTTTTCAAACCCAGAAGTTGCTTCTTAGTTTTGACTTTTTGGGGGCCATAATTTCATTAATCTCTTTTAAAGTCTATGCTATTAATGATTTTGTACAATATGAGGCTTGGTGATATAACAAGGTTTTAAACAGGACTGTTCTAGACTGGGACTAGAGTCAATCTGGCTTTTAAACATTGTTGCTGAAGTCCCAAAACTTTTCACATTCTCACACAAATAAATACCGAGATACCTTCTTTGCTCATTTTCCTCACTGCTTGGTCAGTGTGACCTTGTTCGTCTGATAAATGAAGTCGTTCATTATGCCTCGGTCTGATAACAGCAGAGGGACAAACAGAAGAGGATCAGAGGGTCAGATACTTGCAGGAGCCTCTTTTAGAGTTTGCTTTCATGCAGCGCCTGCAGGCCCAGACTCTGCTGCAGCTCTCTTTCTGTAAACTCACATCTTTTATAACCTCACTAGAACATATCTGTTGTAGTTTATGTGTGTTTTATCCTGTGGGCTCATTGTTTAGACAGAGCACAGGGGGAAGCTGAGAGAAACAGACAAGTTGTGACCAGCTTGCTTTAGAAAACACGAACAGAAACTTCAGGAGTCAAAGAGCCTGAGGGGGGAGCTTCATGTGAGGGCAGCAGAGAGAGCAGATACCTGAACTGACCTTTAACCACCTTTTTATTCATTGAGGATGGTTTTTGTGGCACATCCTGAAAAAGCCTTTTAGTAGACAAAAGTGCACTTTTTTCTGTCTTTGTACAATCACAGGTATTGTGATACAAAGATGCAAAAGCATAAATCCATTTAAAACTGCAGGTGCAGCTCCAAAAAGCAAGAATATTATGGGATTTTTTAAACTAGATATTTGTATTTTAATCCCAAAAGATAAACTTCAAAAGGATCTAAACCAAATTGACCACATTTTGTTAATTTATCTAGTTGACTGACAACCGGTAACACAGTCACAAGTCTAATGCATCATTACAATATACAAGAGTCCCACTCTGGCATGATGTCACAAGGCCACCTTTGGAAGACAGACAGTTTCTGAATCTTCAGAATACTTCTTCTTACCGCTCAGAAAAGACTTAAAAATTCTGCATGAAGATTTTTTTTCCTTCAATTCAAAGAACATACAAAACCTCTTGTTATTTGGCTTGGTTGCAATAGTTTTGGCACTGTGGGCAGGTGCAGGATCTTGATGAAAAAGGAGGTCATTGTATGATGGTCAGCAAACCATTCCTGAAAGTTTTGGTGTTGTGGGCAGGCACTAGATCCTGATCATAGACTGTATATAGAATGGACAGAGTCTGCCTCCTCGCTGGGTGAAGCCACTCCGAGAACAGCACCCTCTATTGATGGGCTGCAGTATAGGTCATAAATCCCACCTTCGCCAGCAAAGCTTATGAGGCTGTGGACAAATTTTAGAAATTAATTATACAGAACATAAATTTTTTTCCCACCTGCTTGTGATGTTGACATGTAGTTATTGTAAGACAGGTTTGTGCTCAAGTCCTCTTTTTTTCTGTGAAGCTCCGTTTTTAAAAGTTATTAGGGGGTTCATGTTTTCTTTGATTGACACCTGATACAGCCTATGGGCGTTCAGGGATTGCATAGCTCTCCGGTGGGATATGCTCTTTGAGCCGAGCGTCATCACAGCGACTCTCGGTGGCTGTGCGCCCGAATGCACGCATCACTACTGCACAGCGCTGGTTTCAGGAATTGAAGAAAAATCCCGGAAATACCGAGAGCTTTTTGGCTTCAAATCTGTATACTGGTGGGAGGCAGAACCAAGTTGTCCATAGTATGTACAGTCTATGATCTTGATGGAGAAGGAAACAAAAAATGTGAAGGTCAGCAAATGATTTGATGGAAGTTTGGGCGCTTTGAGCAGATTCTCAGTCCTGCTGGAGAGGCAAATCAGTGAGATAATGGTCGCCTGGTAGCATTTATTTAGTTGTTGAAAAGTCGCTAACTCATCTGGACGACTGGAGCAAATCACAACTTCCATCAAACACACATACTTATTTTTGAGTCTATAGTATAAAAGATTGTACATAAAATACCGTTAGAAGAGACACTTAGTCTGTCATAAATAAAAACAGGGAAACTTGGCACAGTAGAAAACTGTGTCTTATACTGAGTTCTCCTCTTTCTCCATCCTACCATCAGTCTAGCTTGAGGCCTTCTTGTCTCTGATTGGCTGAGCTGTGCTGTTAGTGGGAGGCTTGGTGATGGGGGTGGGGGATTTGGGATGCTGCTGGAGGACTCCCCCCGGGACGACCCGCCACCATCTGCCGGTAAGGTAACACCACCGGTGGGGGACGGGTGTCCAGCTGGAGGGGGAACCACTGGAGACCAGCACAGAGAGGCTGAAAACCATTAGACATTATCAATACCAGCCTCCAGAGCTCCTCCAGCTCTCTGATTCACAGGACGGTGGAACATTTAATTACTGCTCGGGTTTGATATGAATTGTTTATTTTGAATTAGTGGTAATCACAGTTTACAGGCCAAACGCGGTCAAACTGGATGAATTATTGAATGATTTCTTGATGAGTTTTCATCAAAGTGGGTTTTGAATTTCAGTTTTCCTGCATGAAAACTGTTCAGCGCTCCTAAAAATACTCATCACTAAAACTGCCGTAGCATATTTCTCACAGATCAGATTGACTTTGTTTGTGTCTGCTGTGAGAAAATGGAGCCATCTGCTTCTTTTTTGTGGAATCATAACAGCAGAAAGAGGCAAAAAGGTCTGCTTTTCAGCTGCTGTAAATTGGCATTGTATAAACCAACTATCTGAGTGGAGATGAATGAAAACCCTCTGTGTGCTCTGGTGTTATTAAATGTGCATCGTGTTGTAAAAGCTGTGGTAAATCAGTATGCTGACTCTGTCAGTGGTGCTCAGCACAGGGTTTATTTTTAACTTCAGGGATGGTGCGCGTTCATCTCCTTTGTTATCCAACAAAAAAAGCTTTTTACTGCCGGAAATCTGCACTTCATCTGTTTCCAAGAGACTTCTGAGTTGGGCTCTGCTTTGGCATAAGTTTCCTCTACACTACACTCTAGATCAGGGTCAGTAACCTTTTAAGCTTCCCCCTCCTCTCCTCAAAATAAGCTGCAAAACATATTCAGTGAAGGTAAGGTAGACTTTGAGGTCTCAGTCTGCAGATATGGTAGATCTCAGTGATGATAAAGTTATGCCATCCTTAACTAGACTTATCTATCTACATCTTCAGCATCTGAACCTTTCCTGGTTTTTGGTCAGTCTTCCTTATTTCTCCCCTAGTTTGATTTACTTGTGGCCTTTTATTGAAATTCTCCAAAATGCAAGCTTGACCACGCATAGACATCCAAATCCAGTTCCATCACAACCAGTTCTAACCAGTTTGAACCATTGACACCATTCACCTTGGTGCTCAACTGTTCCCCTCATCGATGACTTTCAGTCAGTTCTGCTTGCCTTGCAAAACAGTCACATGACAGTCAGTGCAAAGGACAACCAAGGCTGTAATAACGGTGGACAGAGGACAGGGACAGTCCAGAATTATGTCCTATATGACATATTATTGTGTTGCATAGTATAGTTGCCCTAAAAATGGAATAAAATCCACTCGCTTTGTGAGACTGGTAGCTTTCCTGCAATGACCTCTGCTCTCTGAAACTAAATAATCTGAGATGCTTTATGAAGTAACTTTAGTGAAATACTGTCATTTCTGTTATGAGCTGACTATACCAATGGAAGGCTGCCATCTTTGTGTGGGTCTGACAGCCAACAAGAAGCTGTTTATGCAACCAGTTAAGGCCTCAGGAGAAGCCAGACTTCCTCATCTCAGCAGAGTGAAGGTAATAATGGTGTTGATGTCAAATCTACCAATTCCAAGAGACAGTAACCCTTTGAATGTTATTTTTTTAGTCTTCATGATTCAATAAGTCCCCCTTAAACCTTTAAATGATACAATAAGATGAATTACTACAAGAGTGGGTTTAGTGTTGGGTTGTGATGATTATGTTCCACAAAGCGCAAGGTCTGTGGTCAGCTCAGGTCTAAAATTTGGCAGAACAAATCATATTTTTGTAGGGTCAAGATTTTAAAACTCAGGTCTGAGCTTTAGGCCTGTAAAAACTCTGCACTTTGCTTTCCATAAGGGACCAAACCTTTATTATTAAGCTTCAAAGATCGTTCCAGAAACATGCAGCTTTGTTTCATTAGTCCCCCTGAACGTTCCCATGAGGTCTGTACAGTACACAACCTTCAGCCGGGGTTATGTAAACAACGTCAGAGAGCTAATGTTCCTCTGAAATACCTCTGAAGAGAATCATATAAGGTTCATGTAAAGCAGAAATCTTTTAAAAGCAGAGCAGTTCAGGGAAATACTTTATATCTGTTAACCGCAAAGAATCTCTCCTTGGGGAGTGTGTGGGAATGTTTCTTTGAACCATATGGGAACATCCTACCACACTTCAGAGAGTTCCCCTAGAGATGGTTAATGGCTGTTTTACAAGACTTTGAGTTGGATTTTCTTTTAAGGGGTGAAGACAGAGATAAGACAGACAACACTGACTGTCATGCTTCCTTTAAAAGTCTTGGATGTAAAGCTTTATATGACTGCTGTACAGAGTTGTCTCAATCATGAATGTGTTTGTATCATCAAGTGGTAGGATTGCCGAGGCAGAACAGGTCCAGTAAAGCAGCCAAATTCACGCCTTTGTGATGGACTACCATTAATAACTTATAAGTGAAGATTTTACCTCACCTAATTGTTTTTTCCGTGTCAAAAATTAATGAAAAATGCGGGGCAGCAAGATTAGCAATTATAACAGATACAAGATGCATCTGCACATTATTGTAATGGATGTAATTATTGGGGATATACATTGGCTTTAAATGAAAAACACCAGCATAAATGACACTAATGGTGCGCTCACACCAAGTGTGAGTGAATCACGAATCCAGATGCGTGATTGAATAGTATTTACTTACTTCATCTGCGTGTCAACAGTAATTTCAACTGTAATCCCTGCCAATTCAACCGGCTGGATTAAGTGATAGACATAAATTTTTTTTACAATTTACCAGGCAATCTGACCTCCTCCTAAACCAACCTTCGTGCTGATTGGTCATCACAACGCGAATATCCACTCAAGTTGAGACATTTTCAGCTTCTGCCCAGTTCACGTCATTCGCACCACCAAAGTAGTAGGAGCTTCTAATCACGTCTTTGCATTGACTTACTGCAACTGAGCACTTAAAAAGATCATTTTTGTTTGCTGAGATTGCAAATTGACAAAGTCAACAAGATCACAAAGCTGGCAGACCCTGTCTGTTATACTCTAAATGGGAGCATAATTTGTAGAAAATGACGACTTGGTCATTTAAGAAGATTTGAACAAAGCGATTAAGACCATGAAAACATCAGGGAAACTGTTTGCTTTGGTTTTTAATTTAACTCAATCCTCTATAAGGTTCTTACAACTTTTCAGTTTAAGCTAGTTATAGCTGCCATATAAGGGCTTTTTGCTCCTGCTTAAGTTGTCTATGATCCATCTTACCATGTAAAAGCAGGTTTGGATCCTTCTTTCTCACCTGGGACATTCACTGTGGGTAAGTCCAATATGTCTTCAGTGTTGCACCAACTCTGTGGTACGCTGGTGCCACATGAAATGACCATGTAGGAGAAAATAAAATAACTATTCTGTGATTTTGTGTCAATGTGTGATGACAGCAGCACTTTGTTGTCTGGTGTGTTGTAGTTGTAGATTGTAAACAGCCTTAGACTTCTATAGGATATGGGTTATTTTGCTGCCCCCTGCTGGTAACCTACAGGTGAGCCTAACAGTGAGAAGCATTTCTGACACGAACCACTTACTCCTCTACAGTGTGTTTGAGTAGAATAATGAGCTAATCAGGCTGAAACAGATTTTTAAATCAGTCTGTAAAGGTGGGCATTTTAACATGTGTGTCAGTGGGACTTCTTTAGTTGTAAGGACCAGCCTCAAGTGGAAACTGGAGGAACTGCACTCTTTGGTTTTTCAACACTCTAGGCTGCTGCTTGTGTACCACTTAAAATTAATCTTTTTCTCAGAGACTTAAAAACAATACAACTTCTTCCAACCAGTTTTTCCCTTATTGGCTGTTAAATAATACGATTAAAAAGTCCAAAAACTATCACAGTACAGTTTGATGATTTAGAAAAAGATTTATATTTTGTTGCTTTTATTCTGAGAATTTGTCAAAATGTCGAGTTTAATGTAGAAATACGGCCCCCAAAAAATTATATTTTCAAAAATTAAACTGAATCAGATTTTTTATACGTATATTACCAGAATATTTTGACGTTTGAATTTCTTTCCTACCATTTAATAAACAAACAATCCTACTCTTATGTCCATATGTCTGTGGTTTTGTTTATCGTCCTTTAACATTACGATGAGACAGGGGGATCTCTCTCTCTCTCTCTCTCTCTCTCTCTCTCCCTCTCTCTCTCTCTCTCTTATCCTAAACCAGTCGCTTCACCAACGAGGAAGCGCGCAGTCGCCACTTTATGATACGCGCGCACCGACCGACTGTCCGGCCGACCTGCACCGAGCAGCTCTCTCTCTCTCATTCTCATTCTCTCTCTCTCTGAGCCACTTTCCCCGGCTCTTCCCTCCTCTCCGTTCACGTTAATCGGTACCGGGCGTTGTGTGTAGATGTAGGCAGTAACCGGAGCTTAGTGTGCTGTCGCCTCTGCGCCATGGTGGACTGCTGCTCCCCGGAAAGCGAGAGGATGGAAGCGTGGCTGGACGACCACTTGGAGTTTACCCACTCCTACTTTATCAGGAAAGCGTCAAGGTAAAATAGAAAGAGTCTGCAGCTGACACGGCGTGGACACTGCAGCTGATTTATTGTGTTTACGTGCAGCCCGCTGAATGTGAGAGCAGTTTCCAGGACGCATAAACTCTGTTTGCTTTGTGTGCGGCTCCACAGCCAATCAGGGACAGTTTAATTTCCTCTGTTTTTATTACAGGGCTCCTAAATATAACCATGTTACAGTCATATCTAACTGTAAACACTTCTCATTTAGAGCCAGTGTGGGTCTCTCTGGTCTGGAACCTGTGTCCCTGCTCAGGTGGTCTACCTGCAGAGTAAATGCACTCGGAGCTGATTCACACCTTCCCTTCAGCTCCGTATTTTCCTCACCTTTCCTTCCACTGTCTGCGCAGCGGTTGCGCTTAGCCTTTCAATCATTAACTTTTACAGCTGCCATTGATTGAGTTTAATTCTCAGGCTGCTCTGCTGAAGAGGTCCAGGTGATAATTCTCCAAGACCAGAGCCATAAATGAGATGTCTTTTTCCTGCTGCACACTCCTGCTTTTGTGGACTTTACTGAGCGTGCTTCAGAGCTTATTTAACATTTAATAACTTTGGCAAACATGTTTTATAAACTACAGAAGAGAAGGAGAAAAAAAGGGGAAAAATTATTCATGTTCTGGGTTTGACTTCAGCTTTTTTTCCGCTCTCACTTCAGCTTCTAACTTCTTTAATTTTGAATACACTTTGTTTTTATAAACTTAATTTAACCAGAATTTGAATTTTATTTCGTAAATAATGTATGAATCTAAACTCAGAGTTCTGGATAAACACTAAGAAGGTGCTGCTGCAAAATGCTTTTTTGTTATTATTGGCATAATCATGAATTTATTTGCAAAATTTCTTCAAAACTCTGGCAGCTTTATTTTCTAAGTGTTTCTTCTTTTGCATAATAGTTCAAATATGTACAAATTTGAAGATAAATCTTTAATTCCTTTTGGTTCTGGAGTTCAAATCCTGCACAAGAACAAAAAAAGAAATTAATTGAAAATATTTTAGTTACTTATGGACTGTGCACATTGTTCTGTGTAGCACCTAAAGTCCCTTATGTGCACTATGACTTCATCTCATTGAGGCAAGTTGTCATCTTGCACACAAGTTAGTATGTTGCACACACAAGGCGAAAACTTACTCCCAAAAGACAACTTAAGTATGTGCACTAAAAACTATCTTGTGCACTTGATAAAGACCTCCAACAAGATAAAAATGCTGTGTGCAAAAGTAAATCTTATCCCTCTATATATAAAAGTGAGAAAATGAATCTTGTGCACATAAAAAAGTATCTTGCACAGCTGTAAAGAATTGTGCAAACATTATAACTACCCAAGTCTTTAACTTATGCCGTTAACAGCAATCATTTTTTTTGCAGAAGTTAATATCATGTACACAAGTAAGTGTCTCGTGCACGCAACATATTTTGTTTCCACAAGATAATTGAGGTGTCAAATTTACGGTAGATGCCCCTGGGCAAGTTTGATCATGAGGGAGGAAATTATCTTGAGTGCACAAGCAAATGTTTTTATTTTTTTTTGTGCCATACAAGATGACATATTCTTTCAACAAGATCATAACCTGCCTCCCAAAGATTACAATGCTGTGTGCCTCTGACTGATGAAAGAGATAAAAATGTATCTTGTGCACACAAGATATTTATCTTGCATGAACAGTAAGGTTATCTTGCGTGCATAACTTAATTATCTTACTGTACTGAACTTTATGCTTGTGTGCAAAAGTAGTGATCTTGTGCACACAAATTAATATCTCAGGGTTCCCACGTAAGTATGGAATGTATGGAAATAATTCTGATCAATTTCCAGGTCTTAAAAAATATGGAAAATGAAAAATAAAGTTTAGGAAAATATTTATGTTTCCAGCTCTAAAATACTGTTTTTTTTAAATAGGAAAGCAGGTATTTCCAAAAATAATTCGAAACAGTAGGGTATAGAAGTTCCAACTGTGTAGGAACCCTGATATCTTGTATGCACTAGTAAATATCTGGACTGCACAAGATAGTAAGCTCTTGCAACAAGATAATCGCTTGTTCCCACAGCACAATAATGTTGTTCACACAAGTATATCTATTTATAAAGTGAGGAAATGCATCTTGTCTGCAGATTATAGTGATCTTGTTGGAACAAGTGCTTTTGTGAACAACATATTTAACCAATAAAAAGAAGTTATTATGCTGTATGCACAAGTTAATATTTTGCGTGCACAATCTGTTCCCACAAGATGCATTTATTGTGAGTGCAAGTTCTAGTCTGGTGTGCACAAGCTGATTTTTCCCCTAAGTCTTGTGAAAAAGTGGAAAATTGATAAATCACAGAAGATTTAAACTTAGATCCGTAATAGCTGTTAGGATTGTGAGGTTGAGCCAAATAAAGATGACGTGGGCATGTTTCTACCTCTTCTTCTTCTTCTTTAGGCGACAGCAGCTAAATCAGTCATGGTTTACAGCGAACATGTTGTCAGCCTGGCAGCACTTCATCAGGACACTCTACGTCAGTATTTGTTTTAGTGACAAACCCCTTCAGAGCCATTTATCCACTTAAACCTCCATGGCAACTTCACTCTTTTCAGCTGCAGCACGCTCACTCCTTTTTCTATCTCCAAATACTCACCATAAAAGAATCCTCTTCTCCACTTTTTCCCTCCTCTCCTGATTTTTGTTTCTCGTCAAACTCAGAAAAGTTGATTGCCTCCAAGATTTACGTTTGCACACATCAGCTTTTCTGCCGTTCTGGTTGAGAGGCATTTCTTAGAGAGGTATTGATTCAGCCACACCTCCTCTGGATACATTAGGCTCGGCTCTGTGGGGAGGCCAGCGGCTCAGGGGAGACGGAGAGCTTGGCTCGATTCTCAGCCGTCAGATAACAGCGATTTTCTGTGACTCCGGTTTTATTCGCCTGGCTCGGGGCCAGAGATAGCATGGTTAATTTCATGGCCTGAGCTTGTTAACGTCTGACCCAGGTTTGGGGCTTCCACTCCGGTGAACAGAACCTTTGACTGGCCTGAAAACATCAGGATGAGTCGCATGACCTTTGGAAATTTGAGGCAAAGTGAAGAGAGTGAGCGTGCTTGGAGATCTGTGCGTGTGTGTGCTAGAGGAGTTGATTAAACAATGTGTTGGCTGATTAGAGTGGCTCTCTGTAATCACATCCAATTTACTGTCCACACATACACATGCACTCACACACACACACACACACAGGCAGACTCACATTAGATTTGTTCCAGCGAATATCCACATCAGACACTTTAAAGGCTTTCAGCAGTATTATTCAGTGAGCATCTGTGCTTTCTTTTATCGCCAGTGATAATTAGCATTTTATTCTTACCAAAACAATTGTCCTTCTTTGACATTTATCATGAAATGGTAATTTCAGGGATGAAAATGCCATCTGTCTGATCATCAGAGTCCACATGCGCTGCTGTCTTTCAGTCAGTTTCATATTATTGTGCAGCAGATCGTCTCAAAACTTTGTATGACCCCAGTTCCAAAAAAGTTTTGAGACATTGTGCAAAAGAAATAATTGCAACAGAATGAGTGCACAGACAAAATACCAAGTGTTGCATTGTTGGATCATGTTTATATCGTTTCTTTTGCATGAAACTGCATTTCTATCAGAAAACTCGTTAGGGCTCGGCAATAAACTGAAAATTTACCAATACCAAAATTTACAACAATAACTGACCTCATCTTGCCCATGTCAATATATTCGATGTCAAATAAATAAATAAATAAAAGTTGGTTTTGGATGTGTGTAGGTAGGCTATGGTTTTATGTCCCTTTTAAGATGCTGTCCTATGTCAGAGACGTGACTCCACCACATCCAGTCTGTAACAAAGAGGGAAAGACAGGTGAGGAGATGGAGGACGGTTCAAAAGTTGTAGCAGCTGGAGCAGCGGCTGAAGTAGACAAAGTTAATGTGAGAGGGGTTGAGCAGCTTGTGGAGTAGTTATCGTCTGTTTATCGTTATCGAGGTGAACTGATCAATATACTGGATATTGATTTGAGGCCATATCGCCCAGCATTACAACTTGTGCTTTCAATTATTGCAAAAAAAAAAAAAAGTTTGCTATGTTGTTTTTGCACTATTAACAGTTACCTTTGAATGATTTGCAACCCATCAAATTTAGCTGAACTGATCTAGTCATGTTGCTCTAACCGAAGATGAAGTTAAATTAAAAAAAAAAAGAAAACGTTTTCAAGTTATAGTTTTGGAAGTTAGTTCACAAATGCTAAAAAAGGCACATCACATATAAAGAAAAACTGGCATGTGAAATACAGTTTGTTTAAGGGAGTCAAGTATGATTATCCAACAGCAAATGGGCTCCATGCTCCAATCCACTACTTCTTGAACTCAGACTGCTCCTTTATTTTCTGTCTTACATTATTGGACAACGTGATTAATCCAGGTGTGACTGATCATTGTGACTAGTCAGACTCACCTGGTTTATTCAGTTTATCCAATAATGTAAGACAGGAAATAAAGGAGCAGTCTCCAGGTAAAGCTGCTGTCTCATGATCTTTATGTGTGATATCAACAATGGGACATATTTCTACCTAAAATATCACGTCTGTAACCTTGACAATATTTTCAGACTGTTCAAATACATTTTCTGTGTTAGACCTTGACAAAGCAGGATAGAAAATTTTTGTGTAAAAATCTGATAAAACCTGCTGTGTACGCCTTTGGAGTTGTATGAGTTGAAAACCATCACATGAGAGCTTTTTTTCTTGGGGGATCTGAGCTCCTCCTGATTAGAAATGCTCCTCTTGATCAAACCGTTGTGTTTTCGCAGAAAGAATGAAAGTCTGTGTGTGTGTTTGTGAGTGTTACACTTATAAAAGCTTGTCTTTTCTGTGATTATGTGGTTTTTGTCTCCTAAATGACACGTTTGATCTGGTATGAACACTCAATGCTACAGCGGCTCTGATCCGGTGTCCTTTTTCTCCGCAGGGAGATGGTGAACGCCTGGTTCGCTGAGCGTGTCCACTCAATCCAGCCGCCCATCTCTAAGGAAAACCCTCAGCAGCAGCAGCAGCGGGTCCACCAGTCCTCCACAGACCCCCCTTCCGCCTCCACCATCCTGCCACCCACGCTTAGCCTCCTGGACAACCGCTGCCCGTCCCCCGCCACAGTCTCCAGCCCGGCCCCCGGCACCCCGACTCGCAAGATCTCTGCATCAGAGTTCGACCGCCCACTCAGACCCATCGTGGTCAAAGACTCTGAGGGCTCTCTGACTTTCCTCAGTGACGCTGACCGTGAGACTCTCCCCCTGTGGGGCTCAGTGATGGGGGAGGGAGGGGGGAGTAACGGGGCGGGGAGTGGCAGTGAGGGTGACCGCTGTGCCCGGCTCCTGGAACTGGTGAAGGACGTGTCGAGTCATCTGGACGTGACAGCTCTCTGCCACAAGATCTTCCTCCACATCAACGAGCTCATCGCTGCAGACCGCTACTCCCTGTTCCTGGTAGGATGGCAGCGGGCTGTACTGGGGGTCTGATGGTTGATTTTACTGGTTTAACTGGGAAACTGATAGTGCTGGTTCTGCCCTCAGAGTATTTGAAAGCCATACAAAGACATTTTTTGTACCTCACAGGCTTTAGTGAATGTATGGCTGTAGAGGTGCAGTATTGGAGTAATTTGCACCAGAATGAAGGTTTTTTGCAGGTTTTTGTTTATCAGCAGGACTCTTCTACTACAGAGCCATGCTGCTGTAACCCCTGCAGAATGTGGTTTGTCATTGTCTTAGTGAAATATGAAGGATGTCAAGTTTTGATTTATCAGTATATTACCTCAACCTATATTAGGGTTTTACCGTTACAACTTTTTGACTTCTGATACGATATCAATATTGTAGCCTTCAATATTGACAGATACTGATATTGATCCGATATTGGCACAAAAATTGTGAATGACATGTTTTTCACTCAGCTTCAATGTCTTTTTTAGACTTTGACGAAGAATACTGCCACAAGGCCGACATCACTCCTACTCCTTGCTAATAGTTCGTACCTTAGAACACACTGTTGTTGTGATCATGTGGGCTTTACACGCTGGAACCGGGTGCAGACCCATATAATCCGATATTTGTTTTTTTGCTGATATCGGATCGATATAAATATCGTATCGGGACACCCCTAACCTATATGGTTACCTCTTAGCATTTTGACCTCATTTGTGGATGCAATGATGAACTGTGTTCACAGAAAATGGTTTTTAAAAGAAATTGTGAGTCCATGCAGTGATTTCCACTCCAGGGTCCTGTCTGTTTTTAATGCAGTGCTGCCCAAGGGCCTGAAGATCAGGATCACCCAGTCTTGATTTTGGTCCTTGTCTCTTTTTTAGAGAGATTTCTCCAAATCCTCTGAATCTTTTAATGATTATTTTGATAATGATAATTTTGTGTCCCCCTTTTCAACCTTTAGAAAATTCAAAATAAGGTTAATTTTTCTTAAAACAATGAAATGTTTAAGTTTTGGTTCAGATCAGTACAGCTTTTAGTGACTGGTCACTTCATTTAATTCATGTTTTCCATTTTTTCAGTTCCTCTAAAACCTGTGTTTGTGGTCTCAGGTGTGTGAGGACAGCTCCAACAGAAAGTTCCTGGTCAGCCGGCTCTTCGACGTGGCTGAGGGATCCACGCTAGAGGAGTCCTGCAGTAACTGCATCCGTCTGGAGTGGAACAAAGGCGTGGTGGGTCACGTCGCCTCCACGGGGCAGCCACTCAACATCAAGAACGCCTATGAGGTGAGGATTACCCACAATCCCTGTCTCCTGTTTCTCATCATTCGGGGCTTAGTTCAAGTAGAGGCTGCACGGAGGCGGGTTGTGTTTTGTGGGTTTGTGCTGAAACAGGCCGCTGTTTGCTCTGGACACATTTAATGCTTCTTGCTGACAGAGCACAGACTTTACAGGGGAGGAGGGGGATCAACGAAGGGCAAGTAGGTCAAAGTACTCCTCTGGAGAGTCCATCTTCACCACACTCACACACGTCTCTTCCTCTTCACTGAGTGGCTGCAGAGTGTTTGGTGACATTTCGACCTCTGACAGTCAGAGCGTGGTGATCTCCTGAGTGATCAGGTTTCAACACACTGCCGCTCTACAGCTTAAATCAATGATCAAACTGTTTAACTCAATAAAATGTGCTCTAATTATGTAGTTTATACTCTTCTTTTACACAGAGAGCTTTGTATTTTTTTTAATACCAGAAACAACTGTTAAAATGACACACATACACTCATACTCGAATTTATTCAGCAAGAAATCCTGCTAAGCTCTTCAGATGTGTAGATCATGTGTCCAGCTGTTTTAAGGTACCCTTAATTGTAACTTTGAAAATACTCTTAAGAGACAGATGTAGGATTTTCTTTGGAGCTTTTAATAGAGTCTTTGGCATCTGTTTCAAATGTTCCCGTAACTTTTCCTCCTTATTGAATCTTTGGCAGCAGTTTTAAGGAACCCTTTAGGCTGTGTATCAAGGTACCTTTTAGAGTAAGTTTACATGTTCGGTATCTGAACATGTTCAAAACAATATTATTATTTAATTGAAGTTGAATATTTAAACACTCCATAAAATGGTTTAAATAGTCCCCAAAGCATCTGTTTTTAGGTACCTTGAGCACGCTTTAGGGATCGCCCTAGCCACTACTTTTTGGTACCTTTGGGTACATTTAAGATTTTAACTTTCTCCACCTTTTTTGAAATTTTTTGGGCACATATCAGGTACTTTCTCTGTTTTTAGGTACCTTGAGGAACATTTTTGATTTGCCTTATCAGGACTGTTTGAAGGTACCAGGTGGCAGCAGTTTCAAGGTGTTTTAATGACTCATCTAATAAATCACCTGTTTCAAGGTGCCCTGTCTTTGGGGTACCTTTTGGTGTCATTAAGGAGGTTTCTTCTTTAAGAGCAGTATAAGGCATTTTAGTGTGTTTCCAGGTTCCTCAAGATTCTGGTTCAATTTACCCCTTGTGGTTTTAATGAGATCACTTAAACTGCTGTTTTAGGGAGTTATTTCGATTTACCTCCCACAGTCTTAGCAGACTTTTTGTTTGAGGTACCCTGTTATCATGATTTCAAGATTACCTTCAGACCCCTTAATGTCCAACTTAAGGTACCCTCTGGTGTCTTTAACCATGCATCTTTTTCTATCCGTTTATGGGTAACCTTCTGATGTAAGTCATAAGGTACAAGACTCGTAGCGTCTGATAATCCACATTTGTTTTAGAGTTTATTGGCTATTTCAAGTACCGTTGGCTGATGTTTTAAGGTACCCTTTGGCATTAATCAAGATTTTTTTGCAGGTCAAACCAAAAAAAAATATTATATTTCAACTATTAGGTTCAGAGTTTGATCTTTATGTCATTATTAGCACTTGTTTTACAAGCTTAAAAATAACTCTCATAATGAGAAAGCTTCAAGACTAACTCTGAAACATCACTGTCTTCAAACTCCAGGGACCGCAAACCGGCTCCATCAGCGTCTGACATCATGGGTTTCTGTGAGTGTGTGTCTGTGTGTGAGATATTTCCTGCTGTGTACCTTGTGTACTTCTGGTTGCTTCCCAACCATCAGATGATGATGATGATGATGATGATGATTTGGAGAGAGGAGGACAGGTTGAGAACACGACAAATAAAGAGCAGAAGGGCTGCTCCAATTAGCCCCGCTGTGGTTTGGAGTGTGTTTGTGTGCACAGGTGTGTGTCGTTAAATCTTTTAAGCATATATAGATAAGTGCAGTGAAATTAAATGCGTGTCTGTGAGTTTACATAGTGTTGTGTTTGCACAAAAATACGGATGACATTGAATCAATATGGAAGGCTCATGCAGAGGATGTTTTGCAGGACTCAATGTGTGCGTAGCGTTACTCTGGATTATCTGCATGTTTATGTGTTTGTATGAAACTGTGTATGTGTGTGTACTGATGCAGAACCCGATACTGCTGCCAGGAAATCCATCTGCGTCATCTGAGGGACTCCCCAGCTCTCTGATTGGATCTTTAACGTCCCATTAGTGCATCCAGGATTACATTGATTCCAGCAGTATGATGAGAAACAAACACCCCCCTCTGCCTGTTTACTTTAGTTCAGCCCTCTGTGGGCCAGACAAGCTAAGTGTCCAAAAGCGGCTCAGGCCAAACCAATCCACAGAGAGCCAGGGGGGAAGCCTGACCTGTGCCGCAGCCAGGATGCAATCTTAGAGAAAAAACTGCAGGACTTATCTGTCAGTTGCTGAGTCTTGTTTGGACTTGAGTTGATCCTGGCACATTTTCCTTGGATTTCTAAAGGTTATTGTGTGTTTAAACTTTGTGGCCAGATAGTTTTCTTGCTCTGGAGAGAGTTTTGCTGTGGTGAAAGTATGCTTTGGCTTGTTTCGGGGTGGATGTCATACTGAGACAGTGAGTAGTTTGGCTCTGAGGAGTCTGAAGTTGAGAGAACTGTGAAAAAAGTGACTCACTCAAAAGTGTGCTGTTAATTTGGGGGGACAACAAGAACCTGTGCAAACACTGGTGTAATTTATCAGGATTTGCAGGTTTTCTCCCTGATTTCAAACCCTGGTCTTTGCCTGAACCAGACAGACAGTTCAACTGTGACAGATAAAGAAAAACAAGGTTAAAGTTAAAGCTTCTGTGGGGAATCTGGTGCCCCTGGTGAACAAAGTGAAACCTCATGTCTAAATTGTGTTTTGCTGCAAAAAATCTCATCCTGTTTTATTTTAACAGGAGACATAAATAGTAATTTGAGCTTGTTTGATTACCTGCTAAAAAGTTCTTAAAGCAGCTGAATTAAAGGATTCCTACACAGTGGGAATTTCCATACTTTTCCATACTCTAATTTTTAGAACTATTTTTGGAAATACCTACTTTTCTATTTTAGAAAACAGTATTTTATAACTGTGGTAATAGAGTCTGTTAACATAAATATTTTTCCATACCTAATTTTTCATTTACCATACTTTTTAAGACCTGGAAATGTATCATATTACTTCCATACTTGCGTAGGAACCCTGGAATTAAATTGGTGGCAGATTATCGTACATAGGATTATGGATGTCTTTATGGTGCTGTGCATTCTGCCTGCTATTGCTCTCCTCACCAAAGCATACTAATATACAGTATGATTGATCAACAGTATCTGGACTACAAATTAATTTTCACCTTTCATTCTGTCAGTGTGATGAACTGAGGGAGTATCTGTGCATGCTTTGCAGCTAAGAAAATTCCTTATTTGTCTTATAAAGGTATCCATTTGGCCTCTTTTTGCTCAATTTTGGCTACTTTATTGCTGATAAAAAAAACTACACATGGCTTGGAAGCAAGGTTATAATAATTTTGGATTTTTCGTTACAGTTTAGTTTTTTTTTTCATTTGGACTTTTTTTTTTTCTCTAATTCAGTTAGTTTTAATTAGTTTTTAGGGCAGATTTGTTAGTTTTTTATTAGTTTTTATTTTTTATGAATGATTAGTAATCTATTAGTTTTCGTTTTTTGTTTTTCATTCTTGGTAATAAGGTTGTTCACTCATGCTATTAAAGTTTTCATTTATTTCAGTTAACGAAAATGTTTCTTCAATTCTAGTTTTTTCATTTTGTTAGTTTTAATTAACGATAATAACCCTGTTTGGGGGTGTTACTTTTTACACAGTTCTGCAGTTAAGAAGCAACCTGAGAGTTATGCATGTACAGGAAACGTCTGCAGCTCACCAATAGCACCTGTTTAGCTTTCCATTCAACCACATCAGTAAATGTCATATTGTCCGCTTTTTTATGTTACTTACAGCTTGTAGTTTTGAGCCTCAATGCTCAATGATTATCGGTGGAACCGGTCTGGGTTTTAGAAACACCTTGGAAGGCCTTTCCAGGTATTAGGTACCCCGTCTATTTCTATAATGTCTAAGCTTGACCGAGGCATTATCCCAACAGGACAAGACAGCCTGACATCAGGTCATGTCTTTAAATGAGCCATTTAGGGAAACTGCAAAACAAATCCGGGGTTAAAATGGGAACTTTCTGTGTTTCGATTGCATTAAAAGAGCCCCTCACACATTAAAGCCTGTTCTGTAGTCATCTGTATTGTATGACTCTGAAAAAAGAGAAACCCCTTCAGTCATCCATCAGTGAGTTTCAGAAACACAAAGAGCTGTTTCATCATACCAAATATGTTTTGTTTAGGATTGTGAAACTGGTGCAATGTTCACCTTCGTCAGGGTTTATACACACACACACACACACACACACACACACACACACACACACACTTATTCCCCTGGAGTTTAGAGGATGCCAGTGGACAGAGAGAGAGGCCGAGTGTTTCAAAGGTCAGCCAGTCCAGCAGGAGAGTATTCCTCCAAACAAAAACATCTCTCCGCCCACCAGCGCTCCCTTAATGCCTCCAGAAGCCTCTTCTCCCTCTGTTTGCCTCCTTCTGATTCAGAGACAGCTCTTAAAACTATGTATGCAAAGCTTTTGTTTCGGAGGGATGGAATTTAGAGTTACATAATGCCTGCAGCTGCATGAGCACAGCTATATAACTGAGAATCAGTTTCTTTATGCAAATAAATCCTGCATTTGACAACGGTGTATAAGGCTGCACGAGCTGTTAGGAATAATGAAGCACTCTTAAAGTTCGAACCCTCAAGTGTTTTGATCAAGACAGAGTGTGCTTGACAGGTCGACAAAAAACACAGTTTTGATTGTTCCTATATTATCACTGAATTAAGAGATATTGTCCAAATAAAACTACTTAAGTCTGGTGTTTTCACAAAGATTCATCTCTGTCTGATTAAAGTCTTTTTTTTTTCTCCAGGACCCGAGGTTTAACGCTGAAGTCGACCAGATCACAGGTTACAAAACCCAGAGCATCCTCTGCCTCCCCATCAAGAACCACAAAGATGAGGTAACATGAAACACACCGGAGCAGCACATACTGTCTTCATGACAGCCTGTGCTCATCTGCTAAATGTTGATATGATGTAATGCAGCAGACGGGGATGCAGGTCCTTGAGTGTCCACTAGAGGCTGGTTTCAAAGAGAGGAAACCCCATTAACATCATGAACAAAATGATAATTTCACCAGTTTTTTCATCCTGTCCATCACAGGTGGTTGGAGTTGCTCAGGCTATCAACAAAAAATGTGGAGAGGATGGTGTCTTCACTGACCAGGATGAAAAGGTGAGTTATAGTCAGAAGTTTCACCTGCCTGGGGGGGATTTGATAGATGGTTGTATTTACATAAATCCAGAGCAACTACATGAGCAAAAATCTTAATTTATTAAGTACACCTTAGACTTGGTAAAACTCACTTTTACAAACTAAGGCAACAACACTAAACAGGAGATGGAGATGTAAATGATGGATGGATGGATGGATGGATGGATGGATGGCTTAGTCTCTCAAAGCTCAGCCCATCTCTCTCCACTTGGACGTAAACTTCCCTTTTATTATAAACTGTCTCTTTTCTGCTCCGTCTTCAGTGATTTATCCTTTTTTCCATTAAACACTCCTGCACTCCTTCGTCTCTGCCTCTCACTCTTCTCTCTCTTTGACTCTCCTGCAGGATTTCTCCGCCTATCTGGCGTTTTCAGGCATTGTCCTGCACAACGCTCAGCTCTACGAGACGTCACAGCTGGAAAACAGGCGCAATCAGGTGGGTGTAAATGTGTGTCTGTGAGTATTTATGTGCATGGATGCGGCTCTGATCATGATACCAGTATGTGCGTGTGTGCGTGTGTGTGTGTGTGTAGGTGCTGCTGGACTTGGCCAGTCTGATCTTCGAGGAGCAGCAGTGTCTGGAGGTTTTACTGAGGAGGATCGCAGGAACCATCCTGTCCTTTATGCAGGCCCAGGCTTGTACCGTCTTCATCGCGGACGAAGACTCCATGGTCAGTACACACACAAGCATGCACATACACCCACAAACAAGCATGCAAGTGCGGAAACTCACATATATGTTTATATTGAACAACTTATAATCATAAAATGCAAAAAAAGGAAGTTCCTCAGTGGAGCTTTAAAATGAAATAAAATGATGTGTAACAGAAAAAGCAGTGTACAGAAGTGTTTTGAGTTATTGTGTGGGAAATGCAGAGTTTTATATAGAGAGCAGTGAACAGTATCTGGCTGTGTGTTCATATAAATACACCCTGAACTTAAACTGACTGTCTCTTTCACTTTATTCACTCTCACACACTCACAGAGTGCTGTTAGGCTCCTCTGTGGGCATTAACATTTGTTTTGGCTTGTCGTCCTCCTCCGGGGCGTTCAGCTGCTTAAAAACACACACTGACACACTTCACACTCACTGACAGAAAACACACACACTCGGGAAAAGGCAGCAAATTAACTGTCACACACTGAGCGAGACTGATAGAGCAGCTTGGTTACAGTTTTACCAAGTCTCCATTGGAGAAGGGCCTCTACAATCCCAACACACAAAGAAACTACAGTTAAAAATTGAGTTTATTTGATTCCACCTTTTCCATCAACTTTTGTTTTACATTATGTGGCTCGAGGCTTGTGTGAACCATAACTGCCAAAAGTCTGAGTTGCCAAAATCTGCTCCTGTTAGCGATTAAATGAGTCACACACAAATCAGGAAATAGATCCTAAAAAGATGCTTTACCCTAAAAACTATTCTGGTGATGAATGAGAGATGCTGACTGCTTATTTTGATAATTCAACACAAAACAAGAGCAAACTGCACAGAGCTGCAAAATTTGATTGAAATTTTTTGCTTGGATAACATATGCACACTTTGCTTTGAGAATAGGACCCTGAAAGGTAGATGATAATGAAGGGATATGACATGCAATTCAAGGGGCAAATCCTTTTGTAGTTACTTGTGCTTTATTTTATGCCTTATATATGCAGAATTCTTGTTTTCAGTGTTATGAATTAATGCTCAGTAAAGTGTGGGTACTTGATAACCAGGTGAAGCAAACAACTTGAAAATTTGCAGTATTGTGCACTAAAATACGTGCACAATTCTTCAAATATGTGATATGCAAATAGGACTAAAACATAAACAAAGGGTTAAAAGCTGCACAACAAATAGTGTCAATGTGTGCCGGTGTAGTTTGCATACATTTAAGTGAGCCATGATGCATTTGTTTGGAGCAAAGTATGCCACTGTCTTTGCAAATGAACCTCATTGTAAAAAAAAAAAAAAAGTTTTACCTTTGGCTTTCTGAGTGATCAAGACAATATTACCTCTGAATATATCTGTGCATGGAGTATGTTTTTAATTTGATACCATTTTCTGTAAATAATAGAGTTGGTTTATTTACTCTTAACAAGCTTCTCTTTGCTAGCTCGCTACAGAAAATAAGTAGGATAAAGTCTCGGAAATTTGTGACTCTTTGGAAGAAGAATCTCCTCCTTTTTTAGTTTGTTTTCTTTATATTGACAGCTGTTAGGATGAGAGTGCACAGGAAAGCTCTGCGCAGCAAACTGTGGAGATGCCAACAGCTCATCTTTAGAATTAGATGCAAAACAAGAGCAAACTGCAAAGAGCTGTAATATTTTTTGGCTGTGTTTGCATTTGAATGTGATTAATATAGCTCATCTCGTGAGTATGCTTTGAGTAGGATCAGATAGCCTGGGCAAATGACATGCAATTCTGCGGCAAACCATTCTTAGTCGCAGTATTTTCCTGGGTAGAGTTATAGTTGGGTTTGATCAGTTTTGACGCTGCTTTGAGGTATAAAATGAACTTTTCTAAACGAATAACCGGTGCAGTTTTATTACCATGAATGTCTCAAAGAGAACCTCTCTGTGTCTGTCTGTGCTTTTCTGTATTTATGGATTCGGTGCAGTGGGAGTGTGCAGCGGTCAACATGACGACAGCAGTTTAAGAGCTCGGCCATAATTTAAGACCACAAGCAGCAGAGCTCAGAGAGGAAGGTGGTGTTCGGGGTCATTTAGAGAGGAGAAAATGATGTTTAAAGGAACCGTACGCCCAGAAAATGAGATGAAGAGTTCCTTTGTGTCTTCGAGCTGGATCTGTCTGATGACACTGAAACCTTTACTACTGAGGAAAATTATCGTCTAAGATCTGTTTAATCGTTCAGTTTTCAGTGGGTCCCTCAGAAACATTCTACCCACAGCCATCACCATCTCTACAACTCACAACCACAAAATAAGAAGCATCTGACTGGTCTGTTGTTCTGAGTGTCAAACTGCTATAAATACTCCAGAAAACGCTGTTATTACTGCCATAAACATCAGCTTCAGTGCACATTATTGCCCATTTAGCAGCTGATGAGTGGTTGTTTGCAAAGCATGCTGTGTCATTAACTTTTCCAGCTATCTGGAAATAAATCTTTTTGTTTAACTTTCTTCATATCACTCCACAAACATGAAGACATTGTATTGCGCTTACCTACATCACGTTCTCCCCACCAGTCCTAACAGCGAGTTTTCCAAGCTATAATTCGCTCCACTGGACTGATGGCTCACATTACTGAGTGTCAAGTTATTCCAAATACTGGTTTCACAAAGTATCAGCTGCACGGCCAATTCAACTTTCAATATTTGTCTTAAAGCCTGGGTTAACTGGACGGGGAATGTGAAGCCGTTGAAGTGGTTTGTACTCAGTTACAAAACATTTGTGTTTGACTTTCTCTGGTATTTATTAGAACCAGGTTAGACCCACTCAGCTGTCGGCTCAGGTTTAAACAGGCCATGAAAGCAGCTTTCATATACTGTAAGTCTGACAGCAGCTTTTACAACCTGTTATAGTGAAATACTGTACATTTAAGGGATAATAAAGAAAAAATTTGGGCTTACAAATCAGATTACTCATTGAAGATTAATGGCTATAGAATGTATGTTGAGCAGGAGAATATATTCCCAGGCAGTTTTCACTGGAGTCTGAAAGTGAAATGTTATTCCATTCTTGTCTGATAGAGGATTTCAGCGGCTCAACAGTTCAGGGTCTCCTTTGTCCTGTTTTTGGTGCCATGATGCTCCAAATGTTTTCAATGGGGGCTTGTCAGTACTACATCAGACCAGTTTATCAGCAGGACTCTTCTACTACAGAGCCATGCTGTTGTAATCCCTGTTGTCAGAATGTGGTTTGTCATTTTTTTTTTGCTGAAATATGAAGATCTTCCCTGAAAAAGTCTTTGTCTGGATGTCAGCAGATGTTGCTCCTAAACCTGTAGATGTTGTTCAGCGTTAATAAAGCCCTCACAGATGTGGAAGATAACCATAACATGGACTCTGATGATTCCCATATCATGAGGGAGGCTGGCTCTGAACTGTGAGCTGTTAGCAACACAGATGGTTGATTCCCAAAACAGATGTCAGATTTTTAATTTGTCAGACCTCAAGACAGTTTTCTACTCTGCCACTTCAGTTATAACCTGTATTTATGGATCTGGAAAGGTACTGTGGTTACAGTCACTGGTTTTTGGGGGGGATTTTAAGACAATGTGGTGACTTCCACTTCAGAGTCCTGTCTGTTTTCAATGCAGTGCTGCCTGAGGGCATGAAAATTTGATCCAATTCTGTAAATCTGTTTTCATCAGCATTTTTGACCACACCAAATAGGGGTGGGAGAGAAAATCAATACAGCATAGTATCGCGATATTTTGTCTGGTGATATATCATATCGTCTCATTAACCAAGTATCGATTTTTCAAATTAAGTGCTAATATGAAGTCAAATCTATAATAATGGAAAAATAAAATCAACTGTTTGTCCAGTGAGGTTGGCAGAGGTGACATCATAGAGCAGGAAAAAGTTTGCAAGCTGCGTAAATAAGACAAACACAAAGGAAAGCAAAATGGGAAAATAGCTAAACAGTTGAAAAAATTCTATAAATCGCGATATATTGTATCACAATACTCACTGTATTGCAAAATGTTAAAAATCGCAATAATATCGTATCATGGCCAAAGTATCGTGATAAAATTGAATTGTGGGGCCACCTCTAGCGCCTAAGCTCTTTAGGTGTTTGGGTTGTACCTGCAGAGATCGTTTGTGCATGACTTATTTCTTCAGTTTGGGTTAGCCAGCCCCTCAGCATGATAAAGTCAGATTTATGATTGTGTGCACTGTATGTACAACAATCCGTAGGCTCTGTACCAGCCCACTTTGCAGACAGTATGTGTGTTTGTCCCTCATATGACCTCTAAGTTGTCAGACCAGCTGTCTCCTTTTCCTTTATCCTTCTGTCTCTGTTTCTCTTTCTTTCTGTCTCGTCCCTTCCCAAACATTTACTCAGAGATTAGGAGCTTTTACTGTCTTATCTGCCAGACTGCGCTCTGTATACAGGTGTCAAAGTTAGCTGCCTGTAGTTTCTCAAGCTAACCCACAGCTCTGTTTGTTTGAATCTAACCTCCCCTCAAAAATGACAGCAGGAAGTCCAGTAAAAGACAGAGCTGGTTTCTAACTGGACTGCACCAACAATTATACAAAGAGACACTAAAAACTCACTTTACTTCTCTGCATCAGTTCAGGAACATTAAACATGAGCGTGAATGTGTTTGCATGCTGTAATGATGCAATTTGTCTGCTGGTGTTTGTAAGCCGTGCGTACATGAATGTGTGTTAACGTTACATGATAGGGTTTGACATCTGGCTCACCGCTGAGAGTGTATGTTCTCTGAGTTGTTCACGTCTCCCCCTGAAGAAATGTTTCCTGAATTGGCTGCAGGTGTGTGTGTTTCAGTGTGTGCACATGTTGTACCATTTTCTACAGCTGTAAAACCACCTGCTGTTTTCTATTCTCTCCTCTTTTCTGCCTGTCTATCCAAAGACCAGCCGTGCAGTCAATCTTCATTTTCTTCCTCCTTGCCTACACAATAGACTCAGTATATTACAAATTATGATCTGCAGCTTCATGGTTTGGCAGTCTGCAAACACATGGTTGCAGTTTTGGTGGTAAAAACTGGAAAAATGGAGGGTCACACTCATCAAGTATCACTGGGGAGCTTCTTGTCCTCTAAGGCCCCCATCACTTTCCCAATGGCCAGGGTGCACAGGGGAGTGTCTCAGCATGATATCTGACCATTGGGGATCACCAAGTCGTCCCATTCCAGTACCTTTAAGTCCCACTCCGACCATTTTTTTTCACTACTTAAAGTGTTTGTTAAATTGTGATGATGAAGTTTTCAGCCAAAATCATGTAACCGCTGCCATTTTCAAGGGCTTTTCTTCTGCAAAGCTCCAGTAGTTCATTAGCAATTCACCTCTGAGTCGTAGGCGGAGACAGCGCTGCTCTGCACACTCCTCTTCATGCTAGCTTGTAGCCTAACATTGCGGGTGTAGTGGCAGGTAACATAGGAGCTATTCAGCTCTCTAACACTAATGTCTTTAGGGACATGATGAAAGCTAACATTTTCATCAGCTTTCTTGCTAGCATAGCAATCCACTAACACACACACTCATTCAGCAATCGTCCTCTCTATTTCCCTGAGCCTGGCTTGCATAGCAGGGCTCTAGGGGCGGAGCTTGATTTGTGATGTAGGAAATCTCACTGTGTCTGAGCCTGCTGTTTGGGTCTGCCAGAGATTCACAGCGATTTGAATGCATCAGAAAAATGCCATATGAACATGTAAAAAACGAGAAAAAAGTGATTATCAGTGGGTCTTTAAACATGAATGTGGTGTTGACCAAAACAGAAAAACTTTTGATATACAAAGTCAATGCAGGATCATGCCAGGCAGTCTATGTCTACTTGTAGGCTCATTAAAACTCTGTTGGCTGTTGCACAGGGCCTGATCAAGGTGGGATACTTATGCTCCTGTTTCAACTCCTCTGCAGTGTGTCAGTGTGGCAAAGTCAATCTGCCTCTGATCTGCTATCCGTTAGTAACAAAGGTGTGCATATGCATGTCAGAGTATGTGTATGTGAATCTCTCACTGTGCATTTACACATCATGGCTCTTTCACTTCTGTTCTAATATGAAATCGTACATCGAGATACTAATGTTACGCTACACTTGAACAGTGAATTCAAAAGCAAGACGATGGCAGCCCTTTGATTTGGCACTCTTGAAGAATTGAAATGTATAAACAGCTGTAGTTTAAAAAAAAAAAAGAAAGAAAGAACATAGTGCTACTTCAGGCAGGCTGTCAAATTTAATCCTTATCAGCTGAGAAGAAGGCTTTGGCCTACCTGCTTACAAACTCAGACTTTGCCATTCCTTATATGCACATGGTTGGGCTGGGAGCTCTCAGAACCAGTCATACCACCAAATATAAGTTATTACATGCAAATGACCTGATGTGAACTATTTTTATGAGGTTTTTATGACGAGGGAATGCGGGCATGTTCAGGAAAATGATGATGGAATGAATATTTCTTGTTTTCTATGTCTGCAGATCATAAGCGTTGTTGACTCACCCGCTCCTTTTAAAACCTTGCAATAATCCAAACATATTGAACCACTTTTCACTCCTTTAAACAACAAACAGTATACTATTACACTGATTCTGTTTCTGTATGACTGTCTGGGTTACTTTATAGGAAAGCGCTTTAAAAAAAAGCCAGTGTTCTCTTTTTCTTTGTTTTCGCTCCAACACTTGGGCCCTTTTCAAACCCATAAATCATGATGTTTTCTGTTATGGCTTTAGGTCCATCATATTATATGACCAGCCTGCAGGAGATTAATGTATCTGCCAGTAACAGTGATAACTAAATGTTTTTTTTCTTTGTCCTTTCCTGACATGAAGAATCTTGACTTTAGTTCAAACAAGTCAGATTTATGTCAATATTCCTACAGCTAAGAGAGAAAAAAACCTCCATTATCCCATGTCATCCTGTAATAAACCTTCCTGCCTGCCAGAGACCCCAATAAAAGTCCAAACACTGTCAGGGTTCCTTTCTGTTTAAAACAGCTTTATTGCTCTCACCTAGATGGACCAAGGGGAGCTGATACAACAGAGTGAAGGTGGGTAGGGGGCAACATTTTCCAAAACGAAGAAGCCTTGTCTGTCTTTAACATCCTGTCCCCACCCCTTAAAAATGGAAAAAAAAAAAAGATCCTTTGCGAGGGGTTGGGAAGTGCAGGAGGAGAGAAAGCAAGTCCCTATAAGGAAGAAAAAAACACCAGCTCTTGTTTTTGGCAGAGCTGTATTGATAAAATTTCAGTGCAGTACCTCTGCTTGGCTAACAGCATTAGGATGTTGGCTTTAGCATTTAATTGGAAAGGATGAGGAAGTGGATATGGGCTCAGAGCATCCTGTACGCTCTTGTGTTTTGTTACCTGATCTTAATTTCTTCATGCTAAGGACACGCCGGTTTCTTCCTATCCCTAGTCATGCCAGTCTGTAATAAACTCATGAAAACAAACCTCTTTATTCTTCTTGTAGAACTCCTTCTCCAGTGTCTTTCATATGGAATACGAGGAGCTGGGTGAAGTCCTGGACGCCCCCAAAAGGTAAGGTGATCGCCCTCAAATGAAGCCTGTTATTAAGTCTAAAGCCCTCATTGTTTTCTCCATCTGTTTTATCAGTTATAAGTAATAATTTATCCTCACAGTCACCCTTTTCTTCCCCCTTAGAGAGTCTTAGATGACTCTTTATCAGCAGGTATTTGCACAAGCTTTTATTTTCATCACAAACAGAAGGAGATGTAGAAATAGAGGGATTTGTTTTTGCTGTCGAGAAAGTCCATTTGGTCCCATTCAGTCACTTTGAATTGTAGGAAAAGGGGCAAGACAGCTCAGTCCGATACTCATGAGTCTGCAGAGCTGATTTGCAGCCTCCTGGGATCTCTTTGAGGTAATCCTGCCTCGTCACCTGCCAGTTTCTCAGACATCTATCACCGGCTCTGGCTCAGAGCTCTTGTTCTCATTAGTTGGGCTGATTTTGGCGGGACGCACCGCCTCAGGGGTTGATCCGACAGCTCCTCAATCACTATCTGTTTATCATCAAGAAGTTGGCCCTTTTATGGTCCTGGATGGAGCACAGACATGGATGTTTGTGAGGCCGACATGTAGGATTACAGCATAAGACATCTACCTTGGTTATACATAAACAGTCAGTGTATCTATGGTGGATATTGGCAGGATAGAAACATGGTGGGAGATGACAAAACTTACCACTATCACTTGAAAATAACGATGAATTGCCATTATCTTTGGGCCCTAAAGAACAGAGGTGGGGATCACCAGTGGCCTGACAATACGATATTATCACGATACTTGGGCCAGGATACAATATTATTGCGATTTTTAACATTTTTCAATACAGTGAGTATTGCGATTCAATATATCACGATTTATACAATTTTTTCAACTGTTAATTTATGCATCTTGCAAACCTTATATATATATATATATATATATATATATATATATATTTGTTGTACTACAGTGTTGGAAAAAGTTTGGAATATTTTCTTCAGTGTTTCGTGTAACGTGAATGATCCTCCAACAAACGTGGCTGAACTGACTCAGGCTGTGATCCAATGCTGGCGAGAAATCCCGGTTGAAACTCTTACCAACCTAGTGACCAGCATGCCTAGACGTGTACGCGCATTGTACAATGCTAGAGGCGGTCACACAAAGTACTGACTGTATTGTTGTTATCGTCTTGTTATGTTTAGTGTTGCTTTCAAAGATGGTCCACGTATTTTGTGGCAATTTAAAATTACAGCCGTTTATTTATTAAATACTGACTCATGATTTTATGCGTTATTGCTATGGCTTTTTATGAATCATGATGTGTCCGCCCTACAATTTTTTGAGAAACAAAATAGTTTGATGTGAATTTCAAAAACATATCACAGAGACCAGGGAACATTAAAAAGTCTTTGAATAATTCTACAGAAAGCAGCAGACCGCGTTAAACACGAGGCTGGGGTTGAATTGACAGATATTCCAAACTTTTTTCCAACACTGTAACTTTCTCCTGCTCTATGATGTCACTTCTGCCAACCTCACTGGACAAACAGTTGATTTGATTTTTCCATTATAATAGATTTGACTTCATATTGGCAATTCATTTTAAAAAATTGATACTTGGTCAATAATGATGTAATATATCACCAGACAAAACATTGCAATACTATGCTGTATTGATTTTTTCTTCCATCCCTATGAAAGAAGCTCTGTAAAAAAACTTTAAAAACAGATTAGTCTCTGTAGTGGAAGTCACCGCATGGGCTCACATCAGTTCCAAAAGCAGTAATTTCTGTGAAGCTGGTTTGTCTCTGCGTCCACAAATGGACTATGCAAAGAGGAAACCAGATACAAACATGATCCAGATATGCTAGGGACTTCTCAGGGCCCTGTCACACTCCTGGTGGTCTATGACAGGGACAGAAACCAATATTGGATAGCTTTGATCTTTTGGCCCTCTGTAGTGGAAATCAAAATGACTAAGAATAGAATACATTTATCATGTCTTAGGTCTGTTTTATTGACGCTTGTGCAGTCTTTAAACCAGGCATGTCCAAACTATTCCACAAAGGGCCGGTGTGGCTGCAGGTTTTTCCTCCAACCAATCAAGAGCACGCAGTCTGACCAATCAGCTGTCTGAAGACTGAGATCAGCTGATGAAATGAATCAAGTCTGGTGTGCTGCTGCTTGGCTGGAAGAAAAACCTGCAGCCACACTGGCTCTTAGTGGAATAGTTTGGACATGCCTGCTTTAAACTGTTTTCTGGCCTCAGTAAAGCAGAAATCATCAAGTGACCAAACTTACAAATAGCAGGATATCCTTTTTCCTGTTTATGCCTGAGAAATTACGCCTCATAAACTCCAATTATCATTTCCCAGATCAGAGAGAAGGGAGGAGAAAGTAAAAGTTTGACAGGCAGTCAAAGGACCAAGTGACTGAAGGATTCACAGTGAGGAGAGCAGCAGGTCGAGATCAGAGGGGAGGGTTTGGAGGAAGCTACAGTTGCAGCAATCAGCCCCTGCTCCAGCCAGGAGGACTGAATAAGCTATAATCTGATTTGAGACGCAATGAGATAGAAATCCCTCGTCTCCAGGGTAGCCTGGCCTCCCCAGTTGCTACGCAGCATCTCAAATTCAATCTTAATCTCAGTATGAGCTGCAGAATAGGACTGTGTGTGCAGAATTGCGTCAATCTACCAAACATGGAAAATAATAATGCACAGTCCAAAAATCACTCTCTAGTTCAGGATTTTGGACCTCTGTCAGCTCAAAGCTGCTGCAGAAAATGCTGCCATCCCAAAGGTAGAGTCATAAAGAAATGTTTTTTTAGTCTTCTGTAGAAGTTTTTTCCCTTTAACAAGGAGCTCAAAGGTTACCCAAAACACTTAATCTCCGTGTCTTGAAAACAAGGTCACAAGCATGACTGTCTGACAGGTTTTATTGACTCTTTCTTCGCACTTCTACCTGCTCAAGGCAGAGATAAAGCTGACAGATAGAAAATCGATAAAAGCTGGGAGGAAACACAGTCTGGGATTCTCTTTTTTTAACAGTGTACAGATGGCGCTGTCAGATCTCTACAGTTTTCAAGAATCCAAGCAAGACTGCATTAAAACCAAGTGGACTGATATCCTCAGAATTAAACCTTTTCAGAGCAGAGCAAAAACTGAGAAAATAAGCAGCTGTAGAAGTCCTAACACTGTCGGCCATGACACAAACCAGATGTCTTATCTTGTCCGGCGCTTCTGAACGTCTCATTCTTTTACGGCCTGCTCTCGTGGCTGTTTTCCGTCTGTTTAGATCTAATAACTGACTTTAAATGCCGTTGTGTGTATGTGCTTGATTTCCTCTGGGAGGGCGGAGGAACAGCAAACCGGGCCACTGCAGGAGGGAGGGTCTGCAGGATGTTAGCTTTGACCGTCTGGAACCGCAGGAGGCTTTTTATAGTGACATTAACCCCGAGCTGTGGCCTCCAAACGACATGGCGTCTGTTTCGCTGGAGTGAGCTGAACCGATGTCGAGCCGGCCCGCAGGAATTCGAGGCGGAGCAGTTTGACAAAGTGGGCTAATTAACTTTTCTGGATCTGGAGTTTGATTGTGGCTCTGAAATTGAACGTTAACACAGAGCTGTCATGGTTTTTAGTGGCCGTTGGCTGTTTTCTGTGGCCTCATTTCAGTCAATCACAGTGCAGAGGGAAGGAAACGTGGATTCTCGTGTGTTTTTGTAATTAAACTCGAGCATAAGTGCAGGCACTGTGCAGCATGTCAATCACAACTCTCTGCGTGTGTGTGTGTGTGTGTGTGTGTGTGTGTGTGTGCGTGTGTGTGTGTGTGTGTGTGTGTGTGTGTGTTGAAGTCAAAGGCAATCTGGACAGAACATATTGTTATAATTAGCCTCAAGTCTTGAAGTCATCCAAAATAAAACTCTATTCATGGGAATCTAAGCAACACACACACACACACAGACACACACACACACATACAGGCTTCTATTCTTATCTGCGGTAATGGAAGAAACATGCTAAATTGTTAGCTGAAGAGTCAAACTGATATTTTTCCTCCTGGACCCTATATCCCTATATTTTGTAGTCCACGTGACAACAGGCCAGGCAGATTCAGTTTGATGAAGTCAGCAGTTATGAAACAGGCTGCAAAGTAGGGCTGGGCGATATGGCCTCAGATCAATATCACAATGTATTGACCAGTTGACCTCGATAATGATAATCGGACGATAACTACTCCACAAGCTGCTCACCCCCTCCCACATTAACTTTGTCTATTTCAGCTGTCGCTCCAGCCTCTACAACTTTTGAACCGTCCTCCGTCTCCTCACCTGTTTTTCCCTCTTTGTTACAGACTGAATGGGGTGGAGTCATGTCTGTGACATAGAACAGCGTCTTAAAGGGACATGAGACCGTAGCCTACCTACACACATCCAAAACTAACTTTTATTTATTAATTTTTTTGATACAAAATATATTGACATCGGCAAAATGACGTTGGTTAATGACCTAAATTTTGGTATCGGTACATTTCGGTTTATTGCCCAGCTTTACTGCAAAGGTTGAAGTCTTATTCTTCACTATTCAGTTGCAGTGGGAGCATTGTTTGCATGTTATGAGGCATAAGCTGAATGAAGCTGCAGAACTAGGTAGCAAGATAACTAGAAAAAAAGTACAGCATTCCTGTCATGACCGACCTGTGCACATAAAATTGAGCTGCGCAAAATGTGTGCACCCCTTTTGGTCTGAATAAAATCTTCTAATCACAAGTTTTGCATGCTGCTCTTTGCATTTAATATTCCTCATAGGGTTATCATGCAATGCTTCAATATTTTATTATGTCATATGTATTATGTTATTTGTCTGTTGATTGTTGTAAATTTGCTTTTATGCTCTTGGTGTAATGCAAATGTCTCCACGGTCAATGAAGTTTTAACTTATTCAGTTTTGATTTCACACAAAGTTCCTGTTCTGTTTTTGTGTCTGTACCCTCAGTTTCAGAGTTTCAGAGCTCGTCCAGAATGATCTCCTCAGTGATTGTCACTCATAAAGGTGTTTGTGTTGTTGTTGTGTCTCCTCAGGGACTGTGATGTCAGTCAGATTAACTACATGTATGCCCAGTATGTCAAAAACACCATGCTGCCTCTGAACATCGCAGACGTCACCAAGGACCAACGATTCCCCTGGACAGTCAGTTCAACTACTTTGACTTTTTTTCCTAGTAAAGCATGGTGTTAGTCCACACAGGCCCCAAATCAAATTAGCCGATCTAACTCTGGGGTCTTTGCTGCTGCTCTCCCTGCCTTAGCTTTGCCGTTCCACATGTATAAGTGGAGGGGCAGGGGGCTTTCAGTACAGAGCCATACCACCTCTTATAACTTATTGCATGCTAATAAATCTTTAGATTCAAGTGGTCCTGACTGAACATGTATTTCATCCTTGTTTCTTGTTTTTAAATGAGTCAAAGTCTGTTTTTGCCTCTCAGGATGAAAACCCAGATCACACCAGCAACCAGATAAAGAGTTTGCTGTGCACTCCCATCAGAAATGGCAAGAAGGACAAAGTCATAGGTATGCTCTATGCTTTCATCTGGCCCACCCTCTCTTGTCCTTTAAACTTTAGGTTTGTATTGTTTTTGGTGCCCCCCAGTGGGCATGAATGCCCATCTGTTCATGCTAAGATTAGCAGAAGTTGAGCTGCAGCTAAAGCTTGATCAGGAAGCTTGATTGGACTGATGACCTTGTTCCAGTCACCAGTAAAAATTGCCCTGTTGACTGAAGTGTCTTATCTCCTCATCACTGGCTGTTACTGTGCCCTCTTTCAGCTTAATACAGTTGGGCCGTCTCCTGGTGGACCTTATACATCCTATACCAAAACAGTCGACAAACTTGTTGGCAGGATGCTGATGATTTTACAACCAGTTTAAAACTCCTGACAGGAGCTTTAAAGCATGTTTTTATTCCTGCCGAGACCAAAACCAGACCCACACTGACAACCCCAGAGAGAGGTGATCACTGTGAAAACTTACTGTAATTATTGTTATACATAAAATATTCGTTTGGTCACTTTTCAAGGCTGTGATGTTCATCAGCACCTGCAGCTAGAGGCTTCTCAACCTGAGAAAACATTAAACCAGCTTAGCGTCAGCACCTTCATTAGCCGCCCACAAATGGCCCTGCCGCTCCATCCATCCCAGTGATTATCAGCATAATTACCTGATAGCAGCTCCATTAGTTGGCAATGAAGATAACTTAATGAGTATGGATATCCTTCAATGATCAAACGAGATCTGGACCCTCCTGCTCCACTAAACTAGCTCAGACTGGCTCATTTAGCACCATTTAAGTACATTATTATCATTATTATAATAAGAGCAGCAATATCATCGTAATATTTCTCATTTCAGTGTCATCGATTGTTTAAAACAGTCTGTGCTCTACAGATGTGTGTCTGTGTGCGTCTGTGCAGGTGCCTGTCAGCTGGTGAATAAGATGGATGAGGCATCAGGCAGCGTGAAGGCCTTCAACAGGAATGACGAGCAGTTTCTGGAGGCGTTCGCCATCTTCTGCGGCCTCGGCATCCAGAACACGCAGATGTACGAGACAGTGGAGAGAGTGAGGGCCAAGCAGGAGGTCACCCTGGAGGTCAGCTTCACACTCAGACACAGTGTATTTCCCCTGAAAAACACACCCATGCTACTGTTTATTAAAGCAGCAATTATAATTAATTGTAATTATTCATTACCGGGGTTTGCGATCCACAAATGTACGAAGGAGGATTAGGGCCACAAGAAGAGAAAAAATCAGTACAGGGGGGAGATTTTTTTAATTTCCATTACGAGATTAAAGTTGAAATTTTGAGATTGAAGTCGAAGTTTAAGGAAGTCGAAATAAAAAAGTCAAAATTTTGACATTAAAGTAAAAAAAATCAAAATGACTTGAACAAAGTGGAAATTTCGAGATTTTACTCTTAAAATTTTGACATTATTTATGACATTTCGTAATCTCAAAATTTTAAGTTTAAACTCAAAATTTTGACTTTAATGACATAATTTCCATTTTTTTTTATCTCGAAATTTCAATTCTAATCTCAAAATTTTAACTTTAATCTCCTTCTGTAATTATTTTTTTTCTCTTCATGTGGCCCTAATCCTTTTTTGTACAAATAGGTTTTGGTTTAAATAGACTTTATAGAGACGATCGCCTCTGCAGAATCATTTTCCCCTTCAGAAAACACACATCCTGTCTCGATTGACTTTACAAATGTTTAAGGATTGGATCGTTTTTCAGTAAATTATGTCTTTTCACGAGCAGAACAAGAAAGAGATGATGTAATCTAAGGTAATATCAGGATATGAAGATAAAGTCAGAAAATGTGCTTCAAATATCAAAGCTTTGACAGTTCAATTTGCAGCAATAGATTTCATTATGATGGTGAAGGGTGTGAGGGTCCTCGGTAGTATAGGAAAGTACAGCTTGTGTGTAAGAGCATCTCCGGCTGAGCTACAATGTGGGTGCGTGAGTGACAGTGATGAGGAGATGCAGGACAATTTCAAGCTGCTTCTTGACACTTTTCCTGCCTTCAGCCTGTGTGACGCTGCAGCCGGAAAAGCATAAACTCATTATGATGAGCCCACACACACGCACATACACACACACACACACACACATGCACAAACACCGGACAATTTCAGCTTCTATTCAGCCTCCTGTACCTCCCCTCTCCTACATACAGTCACACACACATTACATACTCCATGATGGAGCTGTCAGCTTCAGGGTACCAGAGGTGACGACTCCTCTCGTCTGCAGCTGACGTCCTCCTCCTCTGCAGCCCAGCAGCCTCCACTTTCCCCAGTTCAGGCAGCGCTGAATCAACCTGCCTGTTGTTTGCTCTGCTGCTGTGGTTCGGTTTTCGAAGCATCAATCAAACAGGATATGTTTAAATTGGGATATCAGCTTCTTATTTCATCTGATTGGTTTTGTGTTAGCTCTGTTGCAAGACTTTAGCATGGCTGTCCTTCAGAGGGAGAGTGTGTCAGAAAACATCAACAGTATTTCAGTGACTTGCTCATGTTTGAAGCGCTTTCATCCCCCAGAGTAATCGTAGGAAGTGATTGAAGCATAGTCAAGTTTAAAATTACCCAAATTTTACTTTTAGCAGCCCAAAGGCATCAAAACACTGACTAATGTGGCTTTGAAGAAAGTGGGCCAGAGTACTTTAAGATGGAGTTGGAAACCAGAGATCATTGCAGCCATGAAAAGTCTTGTATGATAAGTGTAACTACAGCTCTCTGCAGGATGAAGATACTGTTTTTGTCTAATGATGCCTTAAGAGAATTATCAGGATTATACCTAGATCCTCTTTGCAAACAGGTCTGCTTTTGATGGGATCTTGTCAAAAATGTAGTCAGACCCTAAAACAACATCGGAGCCTGAGAGTGGCAAAAACAAGAAGTTTGAGCAAACATATTTGACTGAGCTTCGATCATTTTTATGTAAGGTTTACAGCAAGTGGAAGCTGTTTGATAATTTAGAATAATTATAGTCAACAGGGGCCATTACAAAACTTCTTAGGTCATCAGTTATGGAGGTTTATGTATAATATTTTTTTAAAAAGCACAAGGAGGATATGATCTTTATCAGTGGTTCTCAAGTCCAGTCCTCGAGGCCCACTGTCCTGCATGTTTTGGATGTTTCCCTGCTCCAACACACCTGATTCAAATGATCAGCTCGTTATCAAGCTCTGTAATGGCTCAATAACGAGCTGATCATTTGAATCAGGTGTGTTGGAGCAGGGAAACATTCAAAACATGCAGGACAGGGGGCCTCAAGGACTGGATTTGAGAACCACTGATCTATACGCTCCAGTTGGATATGATGGCCTACTGCAAGACTTTTTATGTCACAATACAGTGCAACAATATATGACACAATACGTAACAATAAAATATGATACGCTATGATAAAAAACGTAACAATACAATAAGTAATAACAATATGTACCGATACTATATGTAATGATACAATAAGTAACGATACAATAAGTAGCGATATGTAACGATACGTAACAATATGATATGATACGTAACGATACAATACAATATATGTTATAATATACCACAAAAAACCATACAGCATGACATTAAATGGCAGGATATGATACAGTATTAGACAATATGATATTGTAAGCATAATCCAAATTGTTAAAAGATAAACGGACTGTCCTTTGTTTTATATCATTTTTTCTTGAATTTGCAGACCACTTAATTCCTTTTACTTGTCACAGTCACCCATTCACACCACATCCACACTGCTGGGCTCAGCAAGCAGGGCCAGTTCGGGGGGTCTTGTGTCTTGGCCAAGGACACTTAGACTTGTGGACAGCAGGACTCCAGGATTGTACTATTTACCTTCCAACTAAAAGATGATTTATTTAACCTTTGAGCCACAAATGCCCCTGCAATCTTAAAAGAAAATATAATAAGCTGTAATACCATACTCTGAAATAGAATATAATATAAGTAATGATACTGCAAGATTTATTAAGATATGATACAAAACAGTACAGCATGAGAAGATACTATAGAGTAAAAATTCTTTTTTCCTTAACCTCAGGTCTGTTTGTCATAACTTCCCAGGTAGTTGAGTGTCATTTTATGTTACTCTTTCAACAACAAAAATATTGACACATCATACAATAAAATGTTTGAGTTCAATCAAATGATCACAAACTTTCCCCAAACAGCAGAAAGCTGTCCCACTGAGTATTAGAGTTGCAGCCACAGAGCATTTTTCATGGTCTGTATTTGTATCCTCTCTGCAGAAAACCTGATAGGACCAGGATGTGCTTAGCTCATGGTTTTGCGTGTCTTTGTGTGTTTCAGGTCTTGTCGTATCACGCCACCGCTGCAGAGGAAGAGTCTCGGGAACTCCAGGTAACCGCGGTAAATTAAAGTTTATTCATTCAATAATTCACACTCACATGACAACATGATCAGAAATTTTTGTTGATGCATGGATCATTTGATAAGCAGCTCTGATGACGCAGGTGAAAGTTGAAGGAAGCAGAGTTTGTGTGAATGAAGTGCAGACATGTAACACAACACCACACTGCTGAATCTGCACCAAAGCCTGACAACAGTAACTCTATAATGATGCTGTCTGCACATGTAAACAAGATCATTTTCTTAAAGCGAGTGGTTTTTGTGTTGGACTCACGGTTTGGATCGGGCATCACCATTTGGGCACAGAGGGATCTCCAGATTACAAGATTTAAAGCTCCTGTGGGGAATCTTTAAGGTGTTTTAAAACATACTGAAATCAACCCTAATATCTGTAAATGTCCTATCAGAGCAAATGCAGACACCTGGAAGAGGATTAATCATGTCTATGTGGTTGTTATTCAGGTTTTTATTATGCAAAAGCATTTTTGGTAGTAAAAACGTGACAAATGGAGGATCACACTTATCATACTTGAAAGGAGCGATTTGTTCTCAAAGGCCACCATCACTTTACCAACAAAAGGGTAGAGCAAGCAAGCTTTAAGCTGCAAACTGACTGCTAGATAGAAAGAAAACAGACAATTAGAAAATGAAATGAAACAGAACATTTGACATTTAAGAGAACGGCAAAGGGAAAACTATGGAGCCAGTGAGGTGACATTAACTTTTTTTTAAATTTAATTTCCACATGCAATTTAGCATCCTGAACGTGCATTTTATTTGTATCTTGCGCATGTGTTTTTGTAAATAATCTTTGGCGCACCTCATTTGTGAGAGAAGGACAGTGTCAGAGACAGAGAGCATATTATCAACATTTTCTTTCATTTAGTTATGACTCACAAAGAGATACTTCATAGCTTAGCCACATTTGGTATTGTTTTGAGAAGGAGACACCTTATCAGGATCCTTTTAATAGCAAACTCAAAACGTACCTTTTAAGTCTTGCTTTTAACTAAATTTTATATCATTAACTGATATGATGAGAGGAGATTATAAGTTCTGAACTGAAATATAATTTCTGAAAGTATGAATATTTAGAATGTTTTTCATTTTTAATGCTGAAAAATGTATGCTTTGACCTTTCCATAACTCCACATTCTGTGAAATATAATTCACGATGTGATAATACGATGCTGCCAGCTTGAAGTTCAAAGAAAGCGGAGGCAGGAAATAGATTTAATTGAACATAATAAAGATGTAACCGATGTATGCTGTGTTTCAAAGAGAGAGCAGACAGGCTGGTTTTTTGGTCTCTGATTTTGGAGGCCGCTTGTTGTGTTTATCAAACGCAGCGTCAAAGCTTTCTTTATGAACGAGCACTCTGCTGTTATTTTAAAGGAGCGTCTTAAACAGCAGTAAATAGTGAAGCCGTCAGAGCAGAGCAGACAGCCTTGCAGAGAAACAGTGAATAATGAAGAGGCTACTTACCTCACCATGTTTTAATGAGAGCGTTTTAATTTATTCCTCATGTAATTGTCCCTCAGACGTCTCCACACAGTCGACTCCTCCGCAGTTCAGACCGCTCATCACTCTTACTTTAAGACTCTGCTTTATCAAACTAATGTCTGTTTTCTAATCATAGCTTTTCAAAAAAATCCTTTATAAGATTGAACATGCGTACCTCATAAGATTAATAAGCCACATTAGTTTTTGGATAACTACCGCAGAGTGGGCAAAGAGATCCAGTGATCTGTAGCCGTTCTTATCATGCAAATCAAAAATTAAATAAAAGCTTTGAATTTCATTAAAAAATCTAGAAACAAAGCAGCAGAGTGATCATTGAAGCATTAACCTCCACAGGTTCAGAACTGCATAAGGGGACCTTCAAGTTTTACTGTAGGATACAACACCTGTGTCCTTTTATTGTGGCCAGTCTAAGGCACACCTGTGTAATAATCGTGCTGTCTAATCAGCATCTTGATATGCCACACCTGTGAGGTGGATGGATTATCTCAGCAAAGGAGAAGTGTTCACTAACACAGATTTAGACAAATTTGTCAACAATGTCTGAGAGAATTTGGTCTTTTGTGTACATAGAAAAAGTCTTTGATCTTTGAGTTCAGCTCATGAAAAATGGGAGCAAAAACAAAAGTGTTGAGTTTATATTTTTTGGTCAGTGTAGTTAAAGCACTGCAAGTACTGCTTTTAAGTTTGAGCTTATATAAATCAGTCATATTGAATACCTCTGATCTCTTCAGGAACACCCTAAAGCTCTCTGATGATAAAAGCATACAGTTTTCCTACCTTGACATGTACACTTTGTTAATTTTTTCATCCTGCAACCCTGAGAATGTGGAAGGATAAAAGCCTCTGCATTATTTCTGCAGCCCACTGCAAGCATCTGCAAAGATGCATGCAAAAACCAGTCCCACTCCTTAAGCAGTTTCTCTTATATGATATCAGACTGCTTCAATAAAAGGCTCACTGCATAAAGCTACAATCAGACTGCAAAACTTAAACAGTTCCCTCTTTCTGTTCCAGTTTTATGTATAGTGTATTAGGGCTGTCAAAATTGCTCCAAAATGATGTTTGAATATTCGTTCTTAAAGTAACACATAGGTTGGAACATATACGAATATCTAGCTTTCACAGCTTGCATATATAACTTTATGTCTCTCAGCATTTTTTCCATCTAATGTGTCTGCCTAAAATCTCAAGATTTTCCAAACGGAGCTTCTAAAGTTTATTGAAGTCCAGACCACTCTCTCAGAGTTTGGCTCCATATCCTGCCAGCTCCTGTGACCTGTCCCTGACCCGTCCTTACGGTGCGCTCACTCGCAAAGCAGCCACGTTTTTTTGTTTTTTTTTTCATTTTTCTTTTTTCCCCACTCAGTTTTTTCCCCCATGTTTATTTAATATTTGAATATTAATTTTCATATTCGAATCTCGTTTTTTTTTATATCCGAATACATACTCGGATTTAGAGTATTCGTTAACAACCCTAGTAGTGTATCAGCAAAGATTTGTTTTGGTGTTTTTCCACGTCTATCTGCACCAGTCTGCATTCATCCCTTTACGGCAACTTTCAGGCAGCCAATCAGCACAGCACCTCATTATCATATCATCCCCGCCCACTCAGATCACTGCATAGAGAATTATGTTTGAAACTGAGAGGCTGCAGATCCTCCACAGAGGCCGAATTTCTGTTATTTTTATATTAACCTTGCTTAAAGGGCTACAGGGACATGTTGTAAACAGCTAAAAGTATTGTTAAATGGGATTTTTGAGGAAATATATGAAACATATACATATATGTGAATATGTGTAACACCAAAATTTGACTGATTTGATGGTCAGAATCGTTTTTCAGAGAATATTTTTGGCCTCAAGTCATGAGTTTAGACACTTAAAGTGACACAGTTTCACACAAAATGAAGAAGCAATGCCATTTCCGCCCATAAGGACTTTGTGTCTTTTGAAGCATCTGGAAGGAAAATTCTCAAATTTGCAGGATAAATTACAGGGTAAAATAAAAGGATTGTATTTGGCAGAAGTTAAAGCCTTTGTACACAAATCCACCCTCTCTGTGCAGGGAGTAAATCTCAGGAACTCTTTGATAGACTTAAATTAAGGCCAAATATTCTGTTTGTTTCAAGGGCAGTATTTTCCCTTTAAAAGTCTTTATATGCAAACACCAACCTTACTTATGCTGTCTTTTTGTGGAAAACACTAAACCAGTCAAACTGTAACCAGTTTTCAGAGGTAAACAAAAGATCAGTAAGCAAAGCTCTCCTGATATTTTGCAGAGCCTCTCGTATTTGGCCTTTCTATGTACAAATTATTTAGGGCCCTCCTTGCACCCAGACCATCTCATAATTGTTTTAATTAGTTCACTTGTATTCAGCCGGTTCCTGACAGCACTCAGAGGCAGCCTCCAAACATAGAGCATTTGTGCAGCCGGGCTTTCACACCACTCACCGCCTTAACAATGACACCACCTGATGTCTCAAAAGGTCCTGCTCTCCTTTCCTCTCCTCTCCTTTGGCGAGGTGGCTGAACTAACAACATAACCTGATTAAGTGGTCTCCCTCGGGTGTCAGAGAGGGAGCGTATCACTGGGTATCTAGGACACAGCGCTTGATTTTTTTTTAGGTGCAATCCGCTCGAGTGGTGCTAAAGTGCATGACACATAAGAAGCTGAAACTGCGCTGTAATATTGGCTGATAAATATGATTGGAAATCTGTTTGATTGTGTCTGCAGGTGATCCATTTTCATATCTGTGGTGTTCTCACTGGATCCTGACCCTCCCTGAGTTTACTCATATTTGTTTTTGTGTGTTTGCAGATGGCCGCGGTGCCGTCAGCCCAGTCATTACGTCTCCTGGACTTCAGCTTCAGTGACTTTGACTTGTCAGACACTGAAACCACGCTGGGTACGATACGCATGTTCATAGACCTCAACCTGGTCCAGAACTTCCAGATGAAGTACACGGTAAGAACCAACAGAGGAACATGGTCTTTCCTCTGCAAACACTTGATCGGTGATGATGATGCATATTTTGGTTCTCAGAGAGTAGATTCAATGTTTTTTAATCGACTTCATGACATTTAATTAGATTTAGAGCAGCATTTTACCCTCGAACCTTCACTGTCCGTTTTCCATATTTAGTTACAGTGACAGTATGTGCTTTATTATTCTGTATTTGGTTGTGTTGTCAGTATTTGATCAAGTTCTGTTGGTACCTGGGTGGGATGTGTGCATTTGGTTATGTTTTCAAAATTAGGTTAGGTTGTTGGTATTTTAGTTGTCGGTATTTGGTTTTAATATGTTTTTGGTTTGGTAGTCTGTATTTGTTTGTGTTGTATGTACTCTGTTCAGGTATTGTTTTGATGAAGTTCAGATATCTGTATTGAAGTTAGGTAAGTGTATTTGGGTTCAGTGTGTATGACTTGTGTGGTCTTTTCCAATATGTGTTGTCCATATTTGGTAAAGTTGTGTGTATTTGACTTTGCTGTATTCGTGGTTAGTCTGAGTTTCCTGTATTTGGTTTGGTAGTCTGTATTTGTTTGTGTTGCCTGTACGTCTACAATTATTTTTTCTATTAAGTTCAGGTGTCTGCATTAAAGTTCAGTAACTGTATTTGGGTTCAGTGTCTGTGCAAGTTGTGTTGTCTTTCCCAGCATGTGTTGTGTGGATTTGACTTTGTGGTGGTATTGTTTGAGTTTTCTGCTTTCGGTTTGGTCATCTGCATTTGTTTGCCTTATCCATTAATTGCTCAGATATTGTGTCTATTAGTTCAGATGTCTGTTTTTGTTTATTTATTGGTTTAATAGTCTATATTTGGTTAATATCAGTATTTTGTCAGGGATTTTTTTATTTGAGTGTATTTTCAGTGTCTAGATTTGTTGTCTGTGTTACTACCACAACTGTTTGGTTTATTCTAAAAGGACCATGATCCCCTTCCTCTTTTGGTCCGGGTGGTATGAACGCCCAAGCGAACCAAGCTCTGGATCAAACAAACCGACCATGGTCCTCTTGAAAATGCTGGACTCTGTCCCCTTACAAACGAACCATAGTCCGGTCCGCGGTGGGTGTGAATGCAGCGCTGATGCAGCTGGACTTTTTATATGTCAATACAAACCAATAACATATTTACACTGTATTCAAGCCGGGTCATTATGCTCAGCTGGAGGCTGCAGCAGACAGAGAACAGCCAGTCAAAAAGACCAGACTGTCTGTAAAACTGGACAAATGGCAAAGGGGTTTGTGTTCTAATACAATAGTCTGGTGATATTAAATACCTGGATGTTCTTCTGTTCAACAAACACGCTGACACTGTGTTATCTAGGCATTCCTTTGCATTAATGCCTGGCGTCTCCTTGCACAATGTCTCCGCCACCTCCGGTGAATTGCGTGAAGCCAGACGAAGCCTCTTTTTTAACCATTTGGTTGGCTTAGCAATAGTCCCATGTGAACGCTAACCGGACCAAATGCAAAATCCAACAATGTAAACATTTGGTCCCTGATCTGGACCTTCTAAGCGGACCTTGGGTGAGAAAGGCCCCTTAGTTTACTTTCAGTTGAGATTTCTCTATCTGATTAGGTTTTCTGCACTTGCTTGTTTTGTCATTATTGGAGTTGTGTGGGGATTGTGGGTTTGGCTTCGTGATGGTACTGTCTCCTGTATTCATCGTCTCTTTTAGTGGTTTTTGTTAGTGTGTTACTGTTTTTTTTATATTCTATGTTTGTCTCTGCTCAGTAGTTTGTTTGTTTTGTGTTACTTTGGATGTTGTGATGTGTCATTTGCTGTTTATGAGTCCAAAATTGATGAGGATGTGTTCTCGGTATAATTTTGTTTATTCCACAGTGCGCTGAGCTCTCAGGGCTGCAGTACAGTATCAATCAAACTGATGTTGGTTTATTATTTTAAGTATGTTGTTTATCTGTCTTTGCAAATGGACTCTTTCGTCCACAAACACAAAGGAGACAAAGCCTGCATTACATCGCAACTGCGTAAATACACACAGCTTTATCATTGTAAAAGGTATCGTGGCAACACGGGGCCACAACAAAAGAAAACAGCAACATCATCGTCCTGATGTGACCTTTCTAGCTGTTGTTCACGGTGCATGTCAAGAGCAGATTCTTGTTTCATTAATCGATAACAATCTCCCTGTCAACGGCATCAGACTGCAGGTACATGTGTGTAAGTGTGTGTGTTGAAAAATGACTGGATGCAACGTAAGTGAGACCACACACAGCATCATACATCTTAAACTCTATCCCTCTGCTTCCATCACCACCGTCTGTTGGAGCCTCGCTCTTCATGTGCACCCTCCGCTTGGTTGTTGCCCTCCTCTGTGTGGCGCTCACATTGGTACACTGACCACCCCGGAGCATCACAGCCTGAGGGTGAAGTTTACAGCATGTCATGATTAATACTTCACTCTGATATATTAAATGCTGCAGAATCAGTCATTACAATCAAAGTGTAATGATCCTGTGGAGAAAATGAAACCTAGTTTGAGTTCACATTATCTCTGTGTGTAATCTTGCATGCACGCAGAGCAGTAGAGGATAATGCTGCAGAGAGCATTGATTAGTCAGCAGGGCGCTGAGTGTGCACTCTGAGAAAAGCTCAACATCCTGTGAGTTCAGCTCATCACTAATAGTTTTCTTGTTTATTGCTGTATTCAACTATGCACAAACTCTGAAAACTAACAAAAATGTTTAGGTAGGCTGCATGTGTGTACTTTAGCGTGAACTTGGCATGAGCTGCAGAAAAAGGCTGCAGGAAATAACTCAGAAATGTCTCTGCAAGCAAGAAGGGCTGCAGGTGTTAGTGCATCCAAAATCAGCATGCTAATTTCTTTGTTTGTTGCTTTTTTTGTCCCATTCAGCACACTATAGTGAAGTCTTCTTGCTGTAGCCTTTGTGGAAAACAACCTTATCACATGCTTTCTGCAGGCTTTAGTTTAGCCGAACATCTTCACGCTGCAGCTTTCCTGGAAATTAACAACATCACTGCCCTTTTGAATGACATATTTTGTTAGAAAAAAAAAAAAAAAACCTCCCAGATGGCTCGAGCCAAAAGTATTTCATTTCTAACTGAATTAAAATATCACCTTAGTTTTTTAAGTTTGAGCCACAGCCTTCAAGCTGAGCATGCAGTTGCAGCTTATTTATTTTATTTTATTTCATTTTATTTATTTATTTATCTGACTGATGTCAGCAGGTGACTGAAACACAATTTTTATGGAGCGTGGCCAATTGCTGCAAACCTGTGACTTGGAGAGAAGGAATGTGGGAGGTCAGCACTTTCTTATCAGTCATGTCTTACTATCACAGGAGCAGTAGTATCACAGGACCTGTCAGAAACAGAGAAGAGAACCAAAGTGGAGCTCCTGAAAAGTGTAAATGCTGTAGCATCAACCAGGAATCCCTGGACATCAAGGGAATAATTATCTAAGAATAGCTGCAGACTGTATTTGCACTGATTTACATGCATTTTTACATTCACCCATGCATATTTCTTGTTGTGCAACAGTCCCATCCTTAAAGCAAGAGCAAGAGAGAGAAAGAAAGGAAAGTTAAAGAAAGAAAGAAAGAAAGAAAGAAAGAAAGAAAGAAACAAACAAACAAAATTTAAAGAAAGAAAGAAATAAACAAAATTTAAAGAAAGAAAGAAAGAAAGAAAGAAAGAAGAAAAGGAAGAAAGAAACAAAATTCAAAAGAAAGAAAGAAAAGCTAAAGAAAAAAATGGAATTAAGTAAAGAAAACAGAAAGAAAAGTTATAGAAAGAAAGACATTTTAAAGAAAGAAAGAATAAAAAGTTTAAGAGACTGTTTTTTGCAGATTAGGCATCTTGAACTGTCCTAGCTTTAAATTAGAGTCTTTCTACTGTGAGTTACAGCAGCAATACTTTAAATTATTAACCCGAAATTTAAGATCAGAAAGTAGATTTAATTGCATTCATTTCATTAACTTATGAGTAAACTAGTAAGATCTTCTTCACCCAGTTCTTATCAACTTAAAACTGTTTAAAATGCTGAACAGTGGATTCTCAAATGTGATGAAAAACTGTGATTTATCAACTTATTTAGATTCATCAATTATTCATGTTTTCAAAAAGTCAAGCATGTGACGGCCCTGACAGCTTTTAATAATGTTTTTATGAGGGGGAAGTAAACCTTCTTTCTGCTGTGCTCTCTCCTGCAGAGTTTATGTCAGTGGGTTCTCAGCGTGAAGAAGAACTACAGGAAGCATGTGGCCTATCACAACTGGAGACACGCCTTCAACACGGCTCAGAGCATGTTCGCCCTGCTGAAGTCAGGACGCTTGCAGGTGTGTGCCGCCACCAGTCAGTTTTTAGGATTAGCTGGGTGGTTTGAATGAATTCAACCTGAATTTAGAGGAGGATATCGAAGCCATGTTGAAGCCCAGCTCTGAGATCTCAGCTGTGGGTGTGGAAACAGCTTTAGTGTCTTTGCACCAACAGTACCAACAACGTGCTTGCATGGCCATGATGCTTTTGTTTGTGGCAGCAGAATTCCGTCTGTTCACCAGCTGTTGTTATGTGAATGAAATTTCCTCAGCGTGTTTATTTGCCTCCATCTCTCCCTCTGTTTTCAGAGTTACCTGAGTGATCTGGAGGTGTTGGCTCTGATGATCGCCACATTGAGCCACGACCTGGACCACCGAGGAGTCAACAACTCCTACATACAGAGGTGAGCGGAAGTCTTATAACTATTCCGTCTGATTGTGTATGAATGTGTGGGAGAAGACTACATTTATTGTGTGTCCTGGTCTCCAGGAGCGACCACCCACTGGCTCAGCTCTACTGCCACTCCACCATGGAGCATCACCACTTCGACCACTGCCTCATGATCCTCAACAGCCCAGTATGTGCACTCAAACACACTCATACACACACTTTATGTTAAGGAGCTAATTCATCAGTCTTGTCTTGGCACCATCAGTCTACCTGCAGGATACTAAATCAGGGAAATATTAGTCTTAAATGGTTTTATATCAGATAGATTGTGCCACTGTTGTTCCAGATGCACTTGTCTGATGAAACATGGATCTAATCTCAGTGACGTCACCTTTTGGTTTCTAAGGATAAGAGAGATTTTGAGGTGGTGGCCATGTTCGATATGCAAACTGAACTATACTTTTGTAAGACGTGAAGCTGAGACAACTCAGTGACTTTGTAAAATCAATGCAATTTAATGCAACAGGCTCTGTAATTATAACTCTTGTCCTGGGAAAGAAACATTGTGGATGCCTAGCAGAAACCTATGAGGGGCCGTGTCACTTTTGATTTAGTTCAAGTCTTACAACTGAAATGCATTTTAGTTTTGGTCACATTTTACTCATTTTCAATAGTTGCTCTTGATAGTTTTAGTCTAGTCAAAACATTTTTATCAGGGACAGATTTGATTTATTGAGGGGTTCAGGCACAGCTCCAAATGTCTTAGAGTCCAAGAAATGCTCTTGGATAGACACTCACTCTACTGCTCTCTTAGCCGCATCTTCATTCTTACTGAAGTGTTACGATTTAGTGTCCTCAGTGGTCTTTAAATTGTGATTATTACGTTTTCATGCAAAATCACGTTACCTGTGCTGTTTTCAAGGGCTTTTGTTTTGCAGAGCTCCAGTAGCTCATTTGCAATTCACTTCTGAGTCGAGGGCGGAGACAGCACTGCTCTGCACACTCCTCTTCACGCTAGCTTGCAGCCTAACATTGCGGTGTACAAGTAGTACAAGTAGCAGGTAACATAGTAACTATTCAGCTCTCAGACACTAATATCTTTGGGGACATGATGAGAATTCATATCAAAATTAGCTTTCTTACGAACATTGCAATCCACTAATGCACACGCTTGTTCCACGATTGTTCTCTCTACTTCTCCAAGTCTGGCCTGCATAGCGGGGCTCTGGGGGTGGAGCTTGGATTTGTGACGTATGAAATCTGACTGAATCTGAGCCTGCCGTTTGGGTCTGACAGAGATTCACAGTGATTTGAATGCGGAAATACTCAGAAATTCATTTTCGTGCTTACTTTTCCCATGAAATGTCCTGTAGCATCAGAAACGTGCCCTATGAACATGTAAAAACCAAGAAAAACATGATTTATTTTATTAGTGTTGGTCTTAAAATTTGCTCTTATGTGTCTCTAAACTAGGATAAAATGAGGTTGACACCAAGACTGAGTCAAGAGTCAATGTTCAGTACTTTTCATTTTATTCATTTATTATTCTCACAGTCTTATTTTTTTTTATTTCCTTCTTAACCTGAATATTCCAATGTAGCTTTTTTTTGTCATGTTCTTATTTTCTTATTTACACCCTGATTTAATCTTCCCTGTACATCCACATTTATGTGAATATCTTAAACAGATTTATCCTCAATAGCTCTTCAGTGCCTGCATGGATCTGATCCTCCTCTTAGTCATGCTAATGATGACATTAGCTGGCCTTTCACAGCTGCAGCTCGTTCAGTATGCAGCAGCTGAGCTGTTGGCCAGCTCCACAAAGAGGTTTCATCTCCTCCTGTCCTGGTGTCCCTGCACAGCTCCCTGCCAGACTCAGAAACGTTTAAAATGTTCATGCTTCAAAGCTCATTTCTGTCCGACACTTGATACAGCAGGTCAGATCAGCTGAAGGTCTGTATCAGTGCTGGCCTGTGCGCTCTCTGGTATAGAAGCCAGAAACCATCATACTGCCATAATAGTTTAATTACTGCTTATAATGCAATAAACATTGATAAGAATAGGAGATTTAGTTGTGGGCGAAAGCCATAAACTGCTCTCCACCTAAAACAAGAACTTTTTGATGGATTTTGGCGCCCCCTGTGGACTCATAAATCCACAGAGGGAAGGTTCCCCTGAGTCTGGTCTGATAAAAGTAAACTTTCCTGCATTCTTGTACCTTCATAAACTAACTTTTTATGGTGTAAGACTCCTTTGATGGCTGAATTATGATGTTAACCTTTACGTTTGCTGTTATCAGTGACATGTATGTCACATAAAGCTGTCATCAGCACTTCTGAACTGGGTCACAACAAGTCAGGGTCGCTGGCTCTTCCTCCACAGACCCAACAGTGAGCTAATGTCTGTCCAAAGACCTTAATGCTGTTTCCTGCTCGCTGCAGCGTCCTGGATCTCTCTCCCTCTTATTTATTATGCCTATTTTGCTCATTTTCCAGCTGCTAACCTTTCAAAGAAGACTCTGATGGCTCCATAAAACAGAGTGACTTACAGCCCGCTCTGATCTTTATGGCCTTAAAACAAACTCTAAATACACTCCTGGCTCCTCGACACCACTTAACCCCTCTGCTGCTGCATCTTTATTCACAAACTGCTGTGCTGCAGCTCTTGTCATATGCAGGCTGATCAGCATTAATGCAAACACACACTCTGAGCAGCACTCGAAATGAAGGAAACATGGAATAATATGTCGGCGGACATGCTAATGAACACTCAGGGTGTGTGGGCAGGATTCAGTTTTTCATTTAAGGGTGTTCATGCTCACAGGGGCCTTTTCACAGACCCACTAACACCCTTTCTGCTCCTCTCTTCTGATCCTTTGTCTCTCCAGGGAAACCAGATTCTAAGCGGTCTCTCTCTGGACGAGTACAAGGCCACTCTGAAGATGATCGAGGGGGCTATTCTGGCCACAGACCTGGCACTGTACATGAAGTAAGTACCAAACGTCAAGCCCAGATGCTGATCTGAGTGGAGAGGAGAGACAGAGTATAGGAAGTCAGATAGGGCAAAAGGAAGAGAGTGAAGACTATTTTAGACACATGGGTTGTAAATATATTCATCAGGACCATATATAGTTTTTATCTTTCTGGAGAAAACAGTCAAACACTCGCATCTCATTCAATCAATGTTAATTTTTTTTTTCAAACAAATTCAGACACCCTGGAGAAGTTGTTCCAGATAAGTGGACCACAGAGCCTGATTGAAAACTGACTGGTTCTGTGGTATTGGCTGTGAAGAAGATCATCAGGTTGAGTGGAGTTACAGTGAAGCTGAGACCTTCATACAAAAAAAGCAGTTAAAGGAAATAGGAAGTAAATTATGAAGAAATTAAGAAACACAAAAGAGCCAGCTTTAATTGAATTAGCATCAAATATGTTTAATAACTGGAGACTTGGAAATAAGGGAAAGCTTTTTCAGCTGGAGTTAGTGATAATCCTGATGGATTTTTTTTTGGTAATAAAACATTGGACACATATGATCTTTGTTTTTTTTTCAGCTGAACTTGTCATCAATAATAACACTTAGGCATACAAGTGACATACAAGTACATTGTAAGTAATGACAATGCGCTGAATTTGACCTGAGAGAGTTTTGTTTTGGGGTTTAAAGATTATATAAGTGCTCTTTTGATGGTGAGAGATTGTTTATTGTGTTATCATGTCAAATTCTTTTACAGATATTAACTTGTGTTATCTTCATCTACAACAAAAACATGAGTATTATCTGCAAATACAATGAAAAGAGCTAAACCATTAACATATATATTTGATGAATAGAAGAGGGCTAAGTATTGAGCCCTGTTGTACACCTCAATGTATTTTAAACCAATCAGACTTGTTACCAGTGATACTGAACGTTCCGCAGAATCTGTATTGTTAATCATCGAGGAGGTTATTGTTCTTTTAGCAGTTAACTAAGTATTTCTGAAAAACAAGGCAATAACAAAATAGGCCTGCAGTTTGAAAACACTGACGTATCATCTGTTTTGGATACTGGTGTCTCTTTGGCCCGTTTCAGCTGGTCAGGTACCTGAGCTGGGGTGACTCCATTTCCAGATGTGTGGAAGCCTGATTATCACTGCTTGCAGCTTTAATTTCTGTGATGTTTTCAAACACTTCGGTAACTATCTGAGTTGCCAAATGAAGCTCTCTTGGTGGGCCTACTTGGTGGTATTACATTACAGAGAGTTTTACAGCTACCATCCTGAGAAATCTGCCGAAACAAGTTTTCCCAAATCAAAAAATAAGGATTTTTATTAAAAGATTTGATCAAACTTTTCACTTTTCACACAATTTACCTGGCTGTATTCTTCCAGTCTCTTTCTTGCATTCATCTCTAATTTTCCCCACCTCTCAAACTCCTCCATGTTTCCACTTATCTCCCTCACTGATTACAGCTGTTATCTCATCCCTCTTTCAGTCTAGACGGTGGGTGGCAGAGGAGGAGAGTCGGTTAAATATGAGGATCATTATCCGCTGTGTCATTATATGTGCCCGTGTGTTTTCAGGAGGCGGGGGGAGTTTTTTGAGCTCACCAAGAACAGCCAGTTCGTCTGGGAGGACGAGAATCACAGAGACCTGCTGAGGTAAGCAGCAATCCTCCATAATTTAACACTGACATACACAGTTACAGCAGGATCAATATTAGAGTCAGAGCTGAAGTCGGGACATTAAAGAGATCGATTTTCCTTCTTATACCTCTAACTTTAAAAATATTATCTTAATCTTTCCATAAACACACAGATATCTCTGTTGATTTGCTTAATTTGAGTCTATGTTGATGTTTCTCCTCCAGGTCAATGCTGATGACTGCATGTGACATCTCAGCCATCACCAAACCCTGGCCTGTGCAAAAAAGGGTAAAAAAAAAAAAAAAAAAACATTTCAGTGACTACTTTGTTCTAATTTCCGTTATTATGAGTGCATTTTTCCTTTTCTTGTTTCTTCATTTTGTCATTACATTCAGTGTTTTTTCCACTCAAACACTCTGTGACCTGGCGCCTGTTTACACCAGACCGTATTTAAACAGACCCAGTGTAAAGATGGGATCAGACTGAGCCCCATCCTATAAGATCAGACCCACTATCATCCCATCTTCAACCACATGACTGAAACACTTTATGGCATCTATCAAGTTACAGTGGAAAGGAAAAACTTAGGGCTGGGAGATAAACCGAAACTTAAGACAATAACCAACATTATTTTGCCCATATCCATATATTTGGTGTCAAAAAAATGAATAAAAGTTGGTTTTGGATATGTGTAGGTAGGCTATGGTCTCATGTCCCTTTAAGACGCTGTCCTACGTCAGAGACGTGACTCCACCCCATCCAGTCTGTAACGAAGAGGAAAAGACAGGTGAGGAGATGGAGGACGGTTCAAAAGTTGGAGTGGCTGGAGCGGCGGCTAAAGTAGGAAAAGTTAATGTGGGAGGGAGTGAGCAGTAGTTACTGTCCATTTATCCTTATCAAAGTGAACTGCTCAATATATTGTGATATTGATTTGAGGCCATATCGCCCAGCCCTAGGAGAACTCCCTTTAACAGGCAGAAACCTCGAGCAGAACCAGACTCATGTTAGACAGTCATCTGCTGAGACTCTGCTGGGTTTAGAGAGGGGATAAGAAAGCAGCTGGGAAGCAGGCAGGTCCACAGAAGCTAAACATCCGCAGCAGCGATCCAGAGGAACCTACAGCATGATGGAGCTTAGGGACTCCTAGAAAAGACTGTGTTCGTAATTCTAATGGGACATGATGGAATCATGACAAGGTCTATAATATACCTGCTGTGATCAGACCCCAGCTGCTCCAGCCTGTTTCATGGCTGCAAGCCGGAACAACCTATTAAATCAGTTTTAAAACTTTTTGTGATTTAACCTCCAAAATATACGAGCTGAACTAAACACAAACAGTTTCTCCTGAATGCTCTCCTTACCTGACCTCACCTGTCCCAGAGTGGTCCCTGCAGTTCTCCTCTTGACTCTGCACCTTGTTAAGAGCAACAGCTACAGTGAAAGTCAAGACAACACACACACACACGGACATAGACACACACACACACACACACACACACACATAAACTCTGTGCATGTGTGTGTTGACAGGTGAGAGCTCATTAATAAGAGCAGCTGTGCTCCTGTCCTCAGCTGACACCTCTGAAAACATTGTGCACCGTAAACACTCACATGCAAATATTTCCTATTAAAACACATACACACACACACACACACACACACACATACTTCATCCTGATCTAATGATCAAACTTTGGCTCTCCTCTGCAAACACCAAAGGAGAGATTGTTTCCTCTTTAAATCCTCCAGAAGTTACACAAGTTTTTAACCTTTCACCCTCCTTTAACAGTTTGGGACCAAAACGTCACTGTTAGATGAGCTGGTAGCCAACAAACAGTCCTTCATATAGTACCTCAGGTGACCAGTGAACCCGACCACATCGATCACAGAAACCTGGCTGGAGTTTGTGCATGCATGCATCCTCCAAAACCCTCAGTTTGAAGGCTTCCATAAACGCAGCAGCAGCAGGTCTCTCTGCTGTTGTTGGAAGTCTAATGAAGCGGTCCGAACCACTGAGGTTGTTTTGACTGCGAGCGAACCAGCTCCAGTGTGCAGACAGAAAAATCTCTGCTGTTTTGACAGACATGAGGGTAAGTAAATAAAGACAGAGCTAATTAGCCTCAGCCATGAACGCTGGCCTCATGCTAAGTGTTGGTTTTAGTCGGCTATAATAGACCCTCTCTCTGGCTGAGTCCCCCTGCAGCTCCAGAACACTGAGCCTTGATTACACACTCAATCAGAGAGCTGCAGATGGCTTCGACACACACACATACACATGCACACTCTTTCTCTCTGATGCAAGTTGGAGCTCCAGGCTGCAGTCAGATCTTATTCTACTCTATGTAAACAGACTGACTTCTCCCTCTTCTTGACATGTTCTTAAATTCCACACTTCCTGTTTCTTCAAAATGCTGCATGTTTGTCTCGCTGCTCTTTGATGGCGTTGACTCTGGCGGCTGCAGGAAAGTCAAGTGTCCTCGGTCCTGAAGTCAGCCTCCTGGGATGATCATTAAAACGCTTCATCTGAATTTCAAAGAGCCAAAGATATGCCAGAGGGTTTCTGGGGTTAAGCACAACAATGGAGGAGTCATGATCTGCTTTCCAAAGTCGTGATTTGCTCCTGAAACAGAAAGACGTCAAACAAGGATTTAAACATGATGTTGAAAGGGGAAATTGAGGCTGATTTATCCTTGATTCACCTCTTATGATAATGGAAGAAATGTGGTCTAAGATCTCAGTGGTTCTAAGGATAAGCATTGAGATATCGTTCACTAGACTGCAGAATTTATGCCTTAAATTTTGCATGTTTCCACTGCCATGTTGATCTCTTCTGGAGCAAGAAAAGACAGTAAGGAATTGTGCAGCTCAGTGGGTAACCAGTGGAAAACCAGCATGCACCAGTTCAACCTGATAAACCAATCTCTTTGTTACAACATCCTCCAGCATCTTTGTTTTTGTTTCCCCTGGATCAGATTGCCAATGACCATAATGTATAATATAACTGTTTGCAGATGACATTCAATTATACTGTATATCTATTCACATTTCAGCAGCACGTTAATGCATGAAATAGTTTGAATCCAGTTATCTTCCTGTTAAAAGCTGGAAATCTCAGACTTAATGAAACTCAAAAACAGCCCTGGAATTCTCTCTTTTTAGCCATCTCAGACCCCTTTAACAAATTTTTAAAACCAGCTCCAAGAAGCCCTGGTATTTTTTCAGTCCCAGCTTTGCGTTGTCATATTGTTACAGAGGAAAAAATGTACTAATTCAGTTTATTTTCTCTGTTGCAGATTGCTGAGCTTGTAGCCACCGAGTTCTTCGAGCAGGGTGACAAAGAGCGACGGGAGCTGAACATCGAGCCCAGCGTGAGTGCACTGTATCTTTTCGAGTAGTGGTGTGCCTCAGGGATCTGTTTTGGGTCCTTTACTTTTAAATCTCTTGTATGCTTTTGCCTTGCTGTTGGATGTAAAACGCCTCGTTTCTGATTTAGCTGAAATATTTGTGACTATCAGTGATATGACTGTAGAGTTTTTGGATGACTTTTGGAGTTATCAGTGCTTATAGAAGTATCCAATTACCTTTTTACACTTACTTTAGGACGAAACTGCATGTGCACTGAATTAATGACTGCAAAAATATATATAAAACTGTAAATAGAAAAAAAAAGACTCTGCAAGGGTTCAATTTTTTAATTTTTTTCTGCACTTGTATGATAATTGTGATTCTGATTTGTATTGAATTTGTTGCAGTCAGTTTTGTTGGCAACCTTTTCATTCTCTAAATCAGCTCCCTGCCGAAATCCTCTGATTTTACACTACTTTATTTGTACCCAAACTTCTGAAAGAACATGGATGGTAAATGCAAATAATTCTCAATACCCAAAGTTGTGTTCATGTGTCATTTTTTTGGTCTTTTTCTCTTTAGGATCTGATGAATCGTGAGAAAAGAGATAAAATTCCCAGCATGCAAGTGTCCTTTATAGATGCCATCTGCACTCAGTTATATGAGGTAATTTAACTACATAATTTCACATGTCGTAACTGCTGATTTATTGTCTGGAAGTAACTTGGACTCAGAAGACTTGTTTTTGGCAGAGACTGTTATTCAAATGTTCAAAAAAAAAAAAAAAAAATTTGTCTGTTCTTGAAACCTTATCTGAAGAAAAACCAGGAACCGAGTCAGCTTTTTTGTCTGAGCTTTCATATCTTATTCTTCCACATGCAAAAAACTGAAGCCTGGCACTGGTACTCTTGATACCGTTGGGTCAAATCCAGAGCAAAGAAACAAAACTTGTATGAATCATAATTGTCCTTTTTTCTGTCTCAGACCTTGGCAGGAATGTCGGAGTACTGCTCCCCGCTGTTGGAGGGGTGTCAGAAGAACCGGCAGCATTGGAAACGTTTGGCCGAGGAGTGTGAGAAAGGACTGGTCAACGGCTTGGTGTGATCAACACGCTACTTTCACAAACACAAATATGCGGGGTATATCCTGTCAGGCACAGTCTCACAAAGTTTGATGAAATCAGCATGACACTTCAAGGACTTAAAAACATGCTTTGTGCATAAAAGGACTGAAGTTTCACCACAGTCACCAGCGACAGCCTGTTTAAATCTCGTGTTAACATTTGTCAGGTTTCCTCTCTTCTCTGCTGCACAGCACTGCAGGAGCCTCATGCGTTAGTAGAGTTGTCAGTCATGGCATCAAATTCTCCCCTAAACCAAACTCCTCAGAAAAATGCTCTGCGTAAATCAGCGTAGTAAGAAACTACAAGAGAACTATTAGTTTGATGCCCAGTGCCCCTGAAATTCCAGTTTATGACAAGTTTTATCTCTTTACACAAAAAAGGGGCTGATATCAACCTGTGCGCATGGTATGTTTATCATGCAAGAATCAGTTATTGCCTTGTGCATGACAAAACTATTTTTGTGTGCATAAGATAACAACCAACAAGAGAATAACTTGCACACGCAAGATATTGACTTCTGTAACCTGCCAAGACTCTTTTTTTTTTTTTGCAATTCTCCCATACTCTAAAGTAGGGCTGGTCGATATGGCCTCAAATCAATATCACAATAAATTGAGCAGTTCACCTCGATAACAATAAATGGACGATAACTACTCCACAAGCTGCTCACCCCCTCCCACATTAACTTCATCTGCTACAGCTGCGCTCCAGCCGCTACAGCTTTTGAATCGTCCTAGCCTACCTACACACATGGAAAAACAACTTTTATTTATTTTTTTGACTCCAAATATATCGAAAATTTATATATTGTAAATTTTCAGTAAATTACAGTCGGTAAATTTTTGGTTTATCGCCCAGCCCTACTTTAAAGCCATCTCTGCCTTCCCACTGTTTCTCCAAGGAAACTCCCAGGTTTAAGCCTTAAAACATAATCATAAAATTGAAGCACTTACCATTAAAACCAGTCAGAGGCAGTGACACACAGGGCTGTTTCTGTGCCAGTTTTCACATCTTTAGTGCAGCACATAGTCTGTAAAAAACTAACAATAAGCCTTCTGATGTTACAGGTTTGAAAGGACAGTAAAAAGCACAGCAGAAAAGTTGACCAAAACTCCCAAAATAAGTACCACAGCTGTCATATCTGTTCACATGACCCCCCCGGAAACTAAGCCTGTGAAAACAACAGTTCTGTAGATGGTAATCTTTCTTTCTGAAGTCATGCTCTTGTCACTGAACTTTAGTGAGATCGTCCATCTGTCCTCACTGTCCTCATGTCTGTCACTCACAGAGAACATACAAGTCAGCACTAAGCTATATTTATTACCATGAAGCTTTTATTTTTGCACAGAGTGGCTTTCATCCTTAACTCTCCTCTCACACTCGCACCGTCTCTCACAGGCTCAGATTCAGGATACAGAGGGCGTATTTAAATACATTAATTTTACATAGTGTCACTGTACAATGATAGCTTTGTTAATATGTCTTCACACCACACACACAGTACCTGAGTTTGAGTCTTTTGTAACATTTTTCACTCATTGTCGTAACTATTGCATATTTATTTTTCTTTTGTATATTTATTAGAATTTCTATATTGTACGGTCAGCCTTTTATCCAGAGCACACAGTTCTTTTAAGAGGAAAAATGTAGTTTTCATACTCTTCAACTAAAGTCTTCTTTTTGAGGGACCTTTCTAACTCACTCCTCTGTCAGATGACATTTCAAATGTAATGTTTGTGTTATTGGATTTTTCTAAATGTAAAGGAGCCAAAGACTAGGCCCAAAATTTCAAGAAGAAAGAGGGTCTAGATTTTTCCACTGCCTTGTTGTGATACGATAGGACCAATTCACAATTAAAAGAAGGAAACTCTTACTTGTCTTACGGCTTTTTTTTCTGCAAGACACTGAATTGAGAATTGTGCAACACACTTTTCTTTTTTCTTTAGGTGGGTAACGTGACTTATAGCCAATCCAGAAGCACAACACAGAAGAAAATAATGAGTGAAACAACCACAATATTTATGAGAAGTCTTTTTTTTTTTTTTTTTTTTAAAGGAAGAGAGGCTGAATACAAGATATTGAGGGTAATATTTTAGTGAGTCTGTGCACCTCAGTGTTATACTTGTTTTTGAAGCCTCAGATTTTTATTTGTATGCTTTTATATAACTTTAAACTAACATAATGTCCATTCTTGATATATACATTCGATTAATTATGCAATCTCGACATCAAAAAGACGATCATTTGGAGGCATTTCACAACAACCCAGGCGATCCCAACTATACTTTGGGAACAAGAGTTCTTTGCAAAATACTGACAAACTCTGCCGAGCAGCAAAATTTCATCTAAGCTTCTTCATTACTGTGTAGTCAAATATTATAGTGTTAAAAAAGCAGCCATAAGCCCTCAGCTAGTGAAGGGTGGTAGAGCAAAAACATATATACACAACACAGGACTGAATACACACAGAACAAATACAATACAATAATACAAACAAAGTAAACTTTGCTAAATCAACTATACTGAATGAAAGGAGCTCTGAGAGCCCTGTAAGAATGCAAAAGTACACTTAAATCACTCCAATGATTAAAAATGAGTGTGGGGAGTAGTGACTTTGGCCCAATCTCAATATCCACACTCAGTGACTTTAAGGAGGTTCCTGCCAAATCCATGAGTGTATAGGGCTGTCTCACTGTCAAATCGTCAAGTGTGTAAGGGACTTTTCTAGCATTTTATGCACCATATCCATAAGTGGGCATCTCGGTAGACTGTGTGAGGGAATTACCCAGAGTTCATAGTACTGGGGGAGTGAACACAGGATTCTCAGGGAAAGGGGAAAGGTATTTCATGATACAGAAACTATTAGGAAAAAAGCAGTAAATAAAGACACTTTAAAAGATACACTGCGGGCCAAAGGTTTGGAAGCAAGGCCATTACAGGCCGAACAGTTGGGAGTAACTTCAAGTTTTTGTTCACAATGCTTTTTTTAAAATCCACCATGAGTTTTATGTTTTTTCGGATGTATTTACTCCATAATCAGATGTTGCTTTCATGGAAATGCACCATTTTACTCCATTTACCTTTAGATATGCATTGATGTTACCAGACCATTGCTAAATATATGTCAGCAAGAGATAATAAGGGCTTAGTTTTAGGGTTGAAAACATTTGCAAGAGTTACAAATTCAGTGCAAAAGCAAAAAAACAAAAACAAATCACAGTTGGATTATTCACTTCAACTTTTTGGCTTTTGAGAGTCTGCATACAAAAATCCTAATAAATGTCAACTGCGTTCAAACTACTGCAAAAATGGCTAAAAAGAAGCAACTGAGTAAAGAAACAAGAGTACAGATTCGTACATTGAGGAAAGAAGGATACACAGAAAGAGAAATTGCAAAACGCCTAAAGGTGTCTAACAAAGGAGTCCACTATACTCTGAAGAGACTAGAGGAACCTGGAAGTTATGATGATAGAAAAAGACGTGGATAAAAGAGAGTTTCTACAAAAGCAGAGGATAAACATAGCATTGTCACCAGTAAGAGAGATCTGCAAAAGACAGCACCACAAATAAGGGAGGAAATCAACATGACAAGGTCGAAACCCATATCTCTGACAACCTTGAAATGACATTTGAGAAAGGCTGGTCTGAAGGGTTGTGTATCAGCAAAAAAACACTACTTCGTCCACAGAAGAAAAAGAGTCCCCCACGCAAGTGTTGACACATGAGGCCCCAGCTGATTTGCATTGTCAATTGAACCCTTATGTGTCATATAACTGTGACCTGACGAGGAGCCCACTGCGTGTTGTAGTGGCCAGCGACGGTCTTGCAATTGTGCAAGTCTCTGTGGCGCAATCGGCCAGCGCGCTCGGCTGTTAACCGAGAGGTTGGTGGTTCGAGCCCACCCAGGGACGATCTGCGCTTATTACTGGGGGCTTAAAGCTCAGCTTGACTGCCTGTGCCCCGATAGAAGTAACCCCCGTCTGAAGCATGGGTCTTTTACCTCACCGAACAGCACTTTTCACAGTTAGCAAATCCAAATTGCCCCCTTAGCTCTATGGCCATGTATGCATGACCTGCTGTCCCTCTGCTGCTCCCTGAGACCTTTAAGGTGTGTGTCTTTGCCCTCCTATGCCAACCTAGCATTTAGCACAAGGTCTTGTCACATGGCACTTTGCTTTCATTATCTTGGACTTGACCCCAAGAAAGCTGTAAGGTAGCACATTTGATCAAGTGAGACCCATATGTGTCACACTGTCTGAACCAAGCACAGTGTGGTGCCGTGGCTTAGTTGGTCAAAGTGCCTGTCTAGTAAACAGGAGATCCTGGGTTCAAATCCCAGTGGTGCCTTCTTTGCATGTCTTTGTCAGGGAGACAATTTGTACACCTGGGGAGAACCAGAACAATGACAGCAAAGCTCTGGGTCAAAAGACTTCTACTTGGTTTATGCCCCTCATGACTTTTGCTGGACTTGATGGCATTATGGGGCCTTGTTTGCCCCAAAAGCATTGCAGAAAGAGGCTCTGTGGCTTAGCTGGTCAAAGCGCCTGTCTTGTAAACAGGAGATCCTGGGTTCAACTCCCAGCAGGGCCTTCACACATGAGCTTAGCCATCAAAGTTAATCCTCATCCAAGCTCGTGAGGCAGTCTGTTTAACTCCCTTCCCTGACCAGTTTCTCTCTGCCAGGCCGCACTGGACAGGGATTTCCTAGTTTTCTTTCCCATCGTGTACCTTTATGTCAGACACCAGGGACCCTTTACAGGGTGACAACCACAAACAGCACTATGATCACAGCACACTGCTTCAAAGGATTTAGTTGCTAGAGGTAGCTGTGAGGGACACCTCCTGGACTCTGGATAAGTGCAGTTGGAGCAGACCAGCTGATTTGCATTGTCAATTGAACCCTTATGTGTCAAATAACTGCGACCTGACGAGGAGCCCACTGCGTGTTGTAGTGGCCAGCGACGGTCTTGCAATTGTGCAAGTCTCTGTGGCGCAATCGGCCAGCGCGCTCGGCTGTTAACCGAGAGGTTGGTGGTTCGAGCCCACCCAGGGACGATCTGCGCTTATTGCTGGGGGCTTAAAGCTCAGCTTGACTGCCTGTGCCCCGATAGAAGTAACCCCGTCTGAAGCATGGGGCTTTTCCCTCACCGAACAGCACTTTTCACAGTAAGCAAATCCAAATTGCCCCCTTAGCTCTATGGCCATGTATGCATGACCTGCTGTCCCTCTGCTGCTCCCTGAGACCTTTAAGGTGTGTGTCTTTGCCCTCCTATGCCAACCTAGCATTTAGCACAAGGTCTTGTCACATGGCACTTTGCTTTCATTATCTTGGACTTGACCCCAAGAAAGTTGTGAGGTAGCACATTTGATCAAGTGAGACCCATATGTGTCACACTGTCTGAACCAAGCACAGTGTGGTGCCGTGGCTTAGTTGGTCAAAGTGCCTGTCTAGTAAACAGGAGATCCTGGGTTCAAATCCCAGCGGTGCCTTCTTTGCATGTCTTTGTCAGGGAGACAATTTGTACACCTGGGGAGAACCAGAACAATGACAGCACAGCTCTGGGTCAAAAGAGTTCTACTTGGTTTATGCCCCTCATGACTTTTGCTGGACTTGATGGCATTATGGGGCCTTGTTTGCCCCAAAAGCATTGCAGAAAGAGGCTCTGTGGCTTAGCTGGTCAAAGCGCCTGTCTTGTAAACAGGAGATCCTGGGTTCAACTCCCAGCAGGGCCTTCACACATGAGCTTAGCCATCAAAGTTAATCCTCATCCAAGCTCGTGAGGCAGTCTGTTTAACTCCCTTCCCTGACCAGTTTCTCTCTGCCAGGCCGCACTGGACAGGGATTTCCTAGTTTTCTTTCCCATCGGGCACCTTTATGTCAGACACCAGGGACCCTTTACAGGGTGACAACCACAAACAGCACTATGATCACAGCACACTGCTTCAAAGGATTTAGTTGCTAGAGGTAGCTGTGAGGGACACCTCCTGGACTCTGGATAAGTGCAGTTGGAGCAGACCAGCTGATTTGCATTGTCAATTGAACCCTTATGTGTCAAATAACTGCGACCTGACGAGGAGCCCACTGCGTGTTGTAGTGGCCAGCGACGATCTTGCAATTGTGCAAGTCTCTGTGGCGCAATCGGCCAGCGCGCTCGGCTGTTAACCGAGAGGTTGGTGGTTCGAGCCCACCCAGGGACGATCTGCGCTTATTGCTGGGGGCTTAAAGCTCAGCTTGACTGCCTGTGCCCCGATAGAAGTAACCCCCATCTGAAGCATGGGTCTTTTACCTCACCGAACAGCACTTTTCACAATAAGCAAATCCAAATTGCCCCCTTAGCTCTATGGCCATGTATGCATGACCTGCTGTCCCTCTGCTGCTCCCTGAGACCTTTAATGTGTGTGTCTTTGCCCTCCTATGCCAACCTAGCATTTAGCACAAGGTCTTGTCACATGGCACTTTGCTTTCATTATCTTGGACTTGACCCCAAGAAAGCTGTAAGGTAGCACATTTGATCAAGTGAGACCCATATGTGTCACACTGTCTGAACCAAGCACAGTGTGGTGCCGTGGCTTAGTTGGTCAAAGTGCCTGTCTAGTAAACAGGAGATCCTGGGTTCAAATCCCAGCGGTGCCTTCTTTGCATGTCTTTGTCAGGGAGACAATTTGTACACCTGGGGAGAACCAGAACAATGACAGCACAGCTCTGGGTCAAAAGACTTCTACTTGGTTTATGCCCCTCATGACTTTTGCTGGACTTGATGGCATTATGGGGCCTTGTTTGCCCCAAAAGCATTGCAGAAAGAGGCTCTGTGGCTTAGCTGGTCAAAGCGCCTGTCTTGTAAACAGGAGATCCTGGGTTCAACTCCCAGCAGGGCCTTCACACA